ATAACTGATCGAAATCATGGAGCATTTGGGTTAGATTGCTAAAGAATGTTCGACGTTTTGCAGCAAGGCCTGTCGGTGCATAGACGTTAAGAACAAAGAAAGGTTCATAGAAATGATGTGGATGGTCAACCATGCATAGTTGAAATCGATCGGAAGTAAAGGATGAGGAAGTGTCGATGATAGAGATGTTGTAATCGGTAGAGAAGGAGAGTATGCCCACATGACTGGTCCAATGGGACTGTGTAGGTTGAAAGAGGATGTTGAGGTTATCTATAGTTGAAGGAGTGGAAGCATGAGTTTCTTGAAAGCATAATATAGAGAAATTCTGCATTCGAAGGTATCGTATATATTCTTTTTGTATTTTTTTGGAGTTTGTTTTCACTAAACTATTGGCGTTTAGTGAGGCATAGTGGCACAGGATATTTTTCTTATTCATTGATGCGGATCTATAAAGGGTGACTCTCTACCCTCTGATTATCAGAGGCAGAAGAGGGTGTGTAGATTTCTTCGTGTCCAATTGTTGGTTCAAATTTGATCCATTACGTCTTTCTCCTTTCTTCATAACGAGGTGATCTTTTAATTGTTGGCTGACGCTGTACATCTTGGTATCCTTATAGAGGTCTTCAATCTCCATCCTGTCATATCCTCGTCTCCACTTTCTATTTCAGATTCATCTTCTTCCATGCTCTCTTTATCTAAAGGATCGTAATCACTATCGCTAGTATCGTTATCATTATCTTTGTCGACATTGATCTCTGTCTGGCCAAAGTTGCTACTTTTGACTTCAATACTGCTTTGCCCTTCAGGCTTGGATGCTTCTTTTCTTGGTTGGGTGGCCTTTCCAAGAACTGATCTTTCTCTCTTTGAACGCTTGCTGGGTGTCATAGACTGTTTCCTAGGACATTCAAACGAGCGGTGTCCTAATTGATGGCACGCATAACATATAATTCTAGCTTTCGACTTCTCACATTCAAATTTTGTGTGTCCAGTTTGGTGGCAATACCTGCACCAAGTGGGCATGTTGTTCCAGGTTGCGTGGAATATTTGGCTTTCGCTTTCGCACCAACGAATGTTATGCTCCAAAGGATGATACTTGAGGTTGTCTGTTGATTCTGAGGGACCAGAAGGAATACCAATGACGGCATATCCTGCGCCCATAAACCATCCGGTGGTGGTTTCTGAGTAACTGCGGCAATCGCACGAGATCGAGTGCTTTCTATGGTATACGACCGTAGCTTACTTTTCGATGAGTGTAATGAATTCACCAAAAAAAAAAAAAAAAAAAAAAAACTAACAGTTATGCCGAAATTACAAATATGCCATTTGTGTACTCAAAAAAATTTTTTTGAAAAATAATAAAAACCACTATTGTAAATTAAATCAAGAGTATTTTCTGCAATGACAAAAAATAAAAAAGAAGTAAATTTTCCAATTTTTCTGCTTAAAATTTTAAAAGAAGCTTGTTCTTCAATTTTTCTGTTCTAAAATAAAAACGAATCTACCGGATGATAATCTTACTGTTTTAGTTTAAAGAAGAGATTACTGGTTGGTAGACTCGGTTTTTATCTCAAAACAGAGAAATCCAAAAACAAGCTTTTTTTTTAATTCAAGCGGAAGAACTAGAATTCTCTACTTTTTATATTTTTGTCATTGCAGAAAATACTCTTGATTTAATTTACAATAGTGGTTTTTATTATTTTCAAAAAAATTTTTTTGAGTACACAAATGGCATATTTGTAATTTCGGCATAACTGTTAGTTTTTTTTTTTTTTTTTTTTTTTTTTTTTTGCAAGTCCTTCATACTGATCACGTATGTCTGAGGCTTACGAGCTTTTACATAGGTTTTTTTATCGCTCTAGCTACCTCTTTTGTAGATCTATCGCTACAGCGTAAGGGACGGAAGAAAAATGTAATCGCTTACTCTGTGGTGTATGATTGCTATGGCCGCTATTATGGTTGTTCTGGTTGCTATGGTCGTAGCAATCATTCTGCTGTAAGAGTGAACTTGTTCAAGAAACTGATGATCAAAAGCATTTAAGAAAGAGTTCAGATTACTGGTGTTGTCATTTGGGAGGTGAAGACGTTACAGATGGCTGACAGTTGCTTTCCAAATAAGGTTTCTAACTGCTACTTCTTGACTAGAATTTGCTAAAATCTATTTAAGGGAAGGGTGTAGTTGACTCTCGAGCCCGATTTCATAGAAAAAGGAAGAACTAACAGCTTTGAGAGCAGTGTCGCCCGTTGGCTGAGTAAGCTTAGATGCTGAGCCATACCTTTCTTATTCTATTTTTCTGGTCCAAGCATAAATTTTAGTGTTCAAAGCCTCTTCCAAAGATTGCAATAACTCTACGAAAAAGTTAGCTAGAGCAATAAAAAAAGTATGAAAATACTCGTAGATCTCAGGCCTTCATGATCCGTGTGATACGCTTACAAAAAAAAGATAAAGAAAAAAAACATTTTCAAAAATAATAAAAATATCAACAGGTATACCGAAATTACAAGTATGCCAATTGTGTACTCAAAAAATATTTTTTGAAAATAATAAAAACTGCCATTTTAAAATAAAACTATTCTTGTAAAATAAATCAAAAGAATTTTTTGGAATGATAAAAGAAGTAGGTTTTTCAATTTTTTTTGCTTAAAATTTAAAAAAAGCTTGTTTTTCATTTTTTCTGTTCTAAGATATAAAACGAATCTACCAGATAATAACATTACTGTTTTATTTTAAAGAAGAGACTACTGGTTGGTAGGTTCGTTTTTATTCTAAAACAGAAAAATTGAAAAACGAGCTCTTTTTTTAAATTTAAAACGAAAATCTAGAAATTTTCTACTTTTTATATTTTTTTATTACAAAAAACATTCTATTTTTACTTTAGAGTAGTGGTTTCTATTTTTTCATAAATATTTCTTTTGAGTACACAAATGGCATACCTGCCATGTCGGCATAAATGGTAGTGGGAGTTAATAATTTTTTGGTGAGTCCATTACACTCATCGAAGAGTAAGCTATGGCCATGTATCATAGGGATTGCGGGATCTCGTTCAATTTCTGCAGTCAGGCTATATATAAACCAGCCATTACTATGTTGACTGGCCTTTGTCTCGCTGACAGATGAAGGCAACAAAGTCCTGGTGCTGAAAACCTTAGAGGTTTTAGGAAATATCTTGAACATACTCTGGCGATACCAGCACAGATGTGTTTTTGACAAGGATTTGTGGTACCCATCAGCGCCATTTGGTCTTTTTTTTTCTTTTTTTTTCTTACTGAACATCAGTTCTTAAATATGTGATTTAGGCGGTCAGTTAAGAGCATCGCAATTATCCGGGGGGGGGAAAGCTATTAATTTGTTTATTCTATATGTCATTCAATTTATTTTTTGAAAATGATTTCAATCTCTACACCTTTTTATTCTTGAAATCAACTACTATTTCCTTCTCGCCTAATAAAACACAAGGCCTTTGATGCTCTATGAGTATGTGTATTTCGTTGATTCCTTTTTTTTGCATTTCAAAATTGATTGCATAACTTCTTGTAATTCTATTATAATTATTTTTTTGCGAACAAAATTCTGATTGATTTCTAGCATTTCAACAGTAATCGTTTTGATAGTACTACTTTCAATGGCTATTTTTTAATATCATTCTTTAATAAATCATATGATATATTCCTTCTTGATGGCATCGTAAATAGACTAGGATGTTGTATTTCTTATAATTCGAAATTCAATTATTAAGTTTTTAACTTTGTCACAACCAAAATAGATTACTCAACATAAAAAGATGCATCTCATATAAAACAATCGTTTAGCAGGAATATGCTTAACGACTTAATAACCAAATCTTTAATGAGTATTGAGCAACTAGTCTTTTTTGATCTGAAGTTAATCTCTAGCACATTGAACACTGCAAAAATAAGCTTGATACTTCCTTCTATGTTCTTCGCAAAACTTAAGAGTACTTTCTTGTCTTCTCAAAAACTTCTTTCTTATGGAAATAATTTAGTGTCATCATTACCATAGATGGCATCTCCCCGAACTCAGGGAGACAGTTTGAAAAAGGCCCAAGTTATAAAAATGAGTAAGTAACTGAGGACGATCTTTCAGCCTCGTTTTGCATGACATTCGTTCTTCTTTTGATGGCATGAAAAATTAAGCTTTTGCTTAGAACTTTAGTGATTTGGTTCACAGAAAATAAAAATAATAAAAAAATAAAGCACTGTTGTAGGGAAATAGGTGAGTCGATTAAAAGGTGGCTTTAATCTTTTGTTAACTTAAAGAAAGTTATCTCTTCATTATCCTAGAGACTGTCAGTATTTATATGCGAGTTGCTTTAATTCCTTGCAGGATTTAATAGCTTCTCCGAGTAGAATTAGTATGGTTAAGCTTATGTTTTTGTTTGGTAGTAAATACTCTTGTTGTTTGTTCTCAATAAGGTTTATCGAAATTATATTGATGATCTGTGGGTAATAGCCGTGTAAGTTCATTGGATTCAGGAGAGTATCATTTCTGTTGTTATGGAATTAACGTATGTAGTTCACTACTAGAACTATATGAGGACACAGATATTTAGCTTTGTTGCAATAGTAAAAGTTGTAGATCTTTGAATACTAAGTATGTTGGTATAGATAATACAAAAATTCTACTAGTTGAATCTTGAGAAAATACACAAAAATGTTTACAAGGCTTTTTGCTCGTATCATACCATTTTTATAGTACAACCAATAAGCAAACGCATCCACCAAGAACTAGAGTGCCTTGTGCAAATTCTGAGTATTTAAACTTATCAATATCTCTATTTTCGTCTTGCAGTGTCAAGAATAAGGTCAAACATTGTCAAACTGACAATTTGCATAGGTGGCGCCTTTTAGTCGAAAGGCATATCTTGACCATTTCTTACAAGTTGCTTTTTTTTTCAAATCAACCCCAAAGGTACCATGGGTATTAATAAATACTATCTGTAGGCTCCTTTTTTTCTTTTGCATTAGTGTAATTTTATTTAAAATTATAAATCGTGTTCTTTTTGTGCGACTATGCAATCCTGTCTATTCTTCCAGTCTTTTGTGATATTGCACAAGATATCAAGCTCATTTACGACCTTGGGAAAATCATCATAAGTTGCAGGCAGAGCTACCGTACCTAATTCCAAATTCATAGTGAACCCTTCAAACTGATTGGTAGAAACATAGAGGATAATTGAAGAACCTATAAGTATATCATTAGTCAGAGCAAATAAAATGTGTAAAGAGACATACCAATGGTGCAAAAAAAGAAAAAAATACTTTTTACGTGTTTCCCATTCATAAAAGCCTTGGAAAGAATGGCTGCTCGTATTGGGTCCAATTTTACCAAATCCCATTCTTTACTGTCCACTTTTGACACTAATGACATGATTTCACCGACCGTATTCACACATTTCTTTCTTTTGATCCTTTTGGCTTGGGTGCAATGCTCGGCTCTACAGCTTGTAACGGTATCGATAAATTTATCCGTACTAAAAAACATATCAGTCTATTGCTATATTTTCAGCTATACTTATACTTACTAATGGGGATCAAAATACTTGTTGACTTTTGATAGACCCTGAGTAAAGGGGTTGATTAAAGAGCCATCCAGCTCCCACTCCTTAGTTTTTTTTTGGCCTGTGAACAACTATACTATCACAATATTGGTCATAGACATCATTGCTCTTTCAGCAGCTGTATCTTCAGTATCTAAGTATATCAACTTTTTTTCAGCTCCCTTTCGCCACCGTCATGTTCGTAATCCTCAAACAATTATCTAACTTGAACTAGCAAATCAGTAAGAAAATGCTTCTTGTTGTATTTTTCAAACAAGTCCTCTTTCACAGCTTCTACAATCGTAGATGCCTCTATCATTATCTTTGGCAAAAAAAAAGCTCCGAAAACAAATTCCTATAATTTTTTTTGTTAATTTTTGTGTCGATTGATATCGATATATTCACAAGAGCGTTTCTTCATCATTTTGGATAACAATGTTTGGTAATGCTTGATTTTTTTTCAAGTAGCTTCTTTTTAAACAAGTCAAAACTGATGATATGTTGCATTGTATCTTTAGATGATTGGTTTGACTCGATGGAGAAAGATAAATATCGTGAAGATTATATAACTCAAGAGAAGCCAAGTTAAAATTACTGCAGACCTTAAATAATTAGAAGAAATTATAAATATTAGCCGCTTTCTTTTGAATTTGAAAAAGAAACATCACACTCAATATAGTGCTTTCATGTTTATTGAACATAAACATTAGCTTGTTTCAATTTCATAATATTTTGTAAGCATTTACAACTATAAGGAGCGCGACCAAGTTATATTAGCAGCACTGAGGATGCTCTTTGAAAAATAGGTGGTCTTTCATTGTTATGGTTGGCCTGATAAGTGAAGACATAATTGATATTTTTGGCAGCATTCACATCACGATTCCATACGGTACTGCAAGATTCACACTCGGAATCGTACGTACTCTTCATTGAGAATTTCTGTCGATAACATTGACTAAAGATTTTGATTTACACTTGTTATAAATTTGACTTGTAAGGTATTCGTTCACATAAACTAACTTGACTAGACTGTTAAATCAACAGCAGTAAATATATCAGTGATTCCAGGATCAACATCCCATATAAGTGCACCATCATCAATGCCTTGCTTCAAATCCTTGGGAGTCAGTTCCAATTGTTGTTTGTTAGAACCCTCTTTCTTTAAGAAGAATTGAACAGAATAACCGTCTGCTTGAATAAAATTCCTGTAGAGAAACATATCAGTCTTTGATCTGTTTATCGTACCCAAGGTGAATACATACCAAAATTTCTTTCTGTCAGTGAACAATTTGTCCAATGATCTGAAACCTATCTTGCTGAAATCAAAGAAAAAAGGTAAGCTCCAGTAAGGTCATCGCTGGTCTTTTTGGTTGTGCCATACTCTTCTTATCTACTGATTTTGCAGACAAAGTGGATTGAACTAGAGATCGAAAGACAGTCATTTATGCCGGAGATCTCTTCAACTTTTTTGTGACAAAAGAACGAGAAGCAACACTGGTAGGAACATTCTCTTGAACAAACTGTTGGTCTTCTAAGCCTTGTTGAATTTTATTGAGTCATTTGAAGTACAAATGAGGAAAGGCATACAGGTTTGGTTCCGTAGGAGGCTTGTGATCAGGAGAATCAAATCCTGCTCAATGTCTAAGCAAACTTTGTACCAGGTTCCTATTACTTTATTGTCTTCGACAGAGGATGATCAAGCAGAAGAAGAATCCAATTTCAAAGAAAATGCATGCTTAGTTAACGATTTTCTTTGAGCTAAAGATAGTGATCGCCATTATTTTTGTTGACAATGACTTCAAAAAGAAACGAAGGGTTCTTGACTCGTATTTATCAACCATGTTATTTCAAATCGACGTCTCATATAGCTTTGTCATGGAAGAGACAATTGTTTGAAAGTCTGAGTCTTGTAATCTTTCAATTGAAGTTGAATTCTTCTCTCCAATTTCTTGAAACAATCCTTGATGTCTTGTGGGGCATCTTGCTTTGACCAGAAAGAACAGAGAAGGGATTGTAATACAAAGAATGAGACATGGTGGAAGACTGTTGACCATTCTTCAATTGATGCAACAAAAAGTAGTTTGCAAACATAGCACCAGCATATACTACTTGAGAGACATGTGACACCGCTTCTTGTAACTTCTTGACAAATTTATCAGACTTGCAGATGTTGTTCAAGTTTGTCTTGAGGACTGATGTGCTTGTGTATTCTTGGAACTTTTGCTGCTTGCTAGGTTTGTGAGCTTTACACTTGTTAATTGAGGAACGAGCATGTCTTGATTATCCACATGTTTTACAGATGACATTGGCAGATTTGCTTGTTGTGCCTAATCTTTTGCTATACGAAGTACATTTCCTTTATCAATTTTGTTTTCACCTTCTTTAAAATATTAGATGATTTCAAAATAGATCTTGATGACGATGATGCTGCTGCTGTTAAAGCATCTCCAATTGGGTTCTCGGTAGGAGGTGCAAGAGGTGTAGTCTGGCGGGTTTGGCCTGTGATATTTTGATAATAGAGAAAATAGAAGATGCAGAACAAGGTAAATACTTTGAGACTGTTTTATACCATTTTATTATTGTCCTTTTTGAACATGAATTAGGTCTAAAATGACTGAGTCTCTATCATAGACTACTTTAAATTAATTAAATAATGTAAATATAGATTTCAGTCATAAGTTTAATCTGTTAAAAGTACATTGTCTTATTCAGTACAAGAAATTCTTTTATGTCTATTTTCGATGTGAACTGATTATGATGTATTTTGCTATTTAATTGAAGACTTATTTAATGTCAGATCATTACATGGCCAGAGGAAGAAGAGGGCCCAGGAGCAAACAAGTCTATACATTGCAGATTGAGTATATCAAGAATGAATTCTTTTGAGAGGGTAGTTGATCCACTCAAACCACCAGAAGAAGACGAAGGAAGAGAAGCCCTTGTTCTTTGCTCTTTGGTTTGCGTTGATATTGGCGCCTGAAAGTCATCATTAGAGTTATTTTCGAGAGGTGGCGCTATTGTTAGAACACACCAAGTTAATGAACCGGCATTACAGCAATCCAAACTAGACCTACCTTTCTCTCGAAATGTCCTGGTAGGAGCTTTACCTTTCTTTCGTTTAATGATACAAGACAGAAATTGAAGACAATAACGAACAAAAAAAAAAAAAAAAAGGGACAAAGATATATAAAAAAAAGCAACATCAATAAAAAAGCAACACATCAAATAAGAAAACATATTTATCACAAAGTAAAGTGCTTTTTTATTGTTGTCTAAGGTCTTGAGGAGATTTGAATTACATTCAAGGGAATAAGCTCTTTGTTTCTTTCTTCATAAATGTTTTTTTCGCACCCTTTCTCACCAGCAAACCCGATTTCTTTTTACTGGAACAAGGCATTTTTCTTATTAGAAAAGGACGCTTTTTTATGATATGTTCTGATTGCAGATCTATAAGCATAGTACAGATGCAGTAATCGCCATTGATTGGATGATGATTATCAAATTATTTGAATTTCCCATATGACCCACCAGCTTATGTTTTGAGAAACTGGGCCATTTTGAAAACCTTCGCAGCAGAACTTTTATATGAAAAAAAGTATTCTGTTACGTAAAAATTGCTTAGAAAGATTATTAGAATCATTTTTGTGGTTTAGTTTCTGGAAAAAAGTAGTTTGGAGAAGTATGAAGCTTTTTGAGAATCACAAAAATTTTGGGCATTTTAAGTCTGAAGGCACTATAATAAATTCGCCAAGTATTTGTAAAGGATTTACCTGTGTTGCTTCTGATGAACTCATGCCACTTGCTGCAGACGTGATTTTTTTTTGTTCATCTTGTTCTTTTCATCGAGTGGCCTTCAAGTCCTTAGAAGCAAAATGATTAAAGTTGCTTTGGAAAAGAATCAAGAGAAATTCACTTAGGTATTAGATACCATTTCCTTTGCCTTTCCCGTAAAGAAAGCACTCTATCTACTCTAATGTTCTCTCTAAAAAGCAGCCACTTTCGCGCGAATGATGCTCATTTCTGAAATAGAAAAAGTAATTGTAATCGCTTTATTGAGAAAAAGAAAAGAAATGATTTATCAAAATTATGTTCAATTGATCAGTTTATAGCAACAAATAGGTTTTTTATTGTTATTTATCATACAAAAAACCAGTAATTCGTCATATGCATACAAAGATAAAAAAAAGAAGGATATTGCAAAAAAAAATTGAGAAGAGTTGGCATACTTCAACACTTGTAGCCATTGTATTTTCAAAATCTACACATGCATGCTCCTTTTTGGAGTGGACGGTATTCCCTTTTTATAAACTCTCTCTTGATGCTTTGCCTTTCTTCGTCAGAAATATGAGCATGCAAAATAAACTTTATCAAAAGGATTTCACTTTACTCACACAGTGAAGATAAATTCAGTAGATGTTACATTACTTTTGCTGAAGCTAATAAGCAAAATAACGATTACGCATCGAATAAAACTGGCTTTGAAAGAGGGCTAACAAAACAGATATACAAAACCTGTCTCATCAAGGTCATTACTTTTTACTAATTTTTAAACTATGACAAACAAACTGTAAGCTTTTTTTTTGTTTTATATATAGACTTTATTTTTTTTAAAAAAAAAAAAAAAAAAAAAAAAAAAAAAAAAAAGAAAAAGAAAAAGAAAAAGAAAAAAACCTATAAAAAAAAGAAAAGAAAAAAAGTGCACTCTTTGCTTCTCATCGCGATACACAAACACTGCTGATTTAAAACCAACGTATGTAAGTGTCTTTGATGATACAACAAGTTGAGAACACCAAAAAAACTGTTAGTAATATAGCCCTGGTACCCTAAGGAACCCGGGCGTATGAAATGGTAAAGCAAGCTCTTGGTAACAGGGACCACCACATCAAGGCAATATGGAACTCATCAAGTCTTACTTATCTAGGGAATAGGAGAAACAAGTTCTTAAACACTTACTGGGCGAGGCCAGTCGAAGCGCCAGAAAAGGATAATAAAAACAAAAGGAGGATGAATAGATACCCAAGGGTATGAGAACTAGCTACAACAACAAGAACACCAAGAGCAACACCAGAAACACCGTTGTAGATAGTACTTAGAAAGAAGCACACCAAAACACCAGAGCAAACAAACTTAGAAAAAAAAAAGAAGGAAAAAACAAGAGGTGTGTATACCCCCTTCTATTTTATGCGCATATTACAATTTTCAGATTCAGACGAGTGACGAAACATGTACGATATTATCTCCGAATGAAATTCCTGGCAGGTTTAACTTGCTTTTGACTTGCTTTTGACTTGGAGTCTTTGCTTAGAATTGCATCTTTATGCAGTTATTTGGTTTTAGTACAATAACAAAAGCTGTAGGTTTATGTCTTCTGAGTCTACTGATTTAGATAACACAACCACTTTGCTGCTAAAATATTGAGCAAACAAACAAAAGCGTTTATGAGGTTTTTCGCACATATCTCATCTTTTTCATAGTACAATCGGCAAACAAATACATTCACCAAAAACTAGAGCCTTTAGCGCACATTCTGAGTGTCTAGTAGCATTGGTATCTTTGTTTTTCGTCTCGTAGCGTCAAAAACAAGATCAAGAGTTTTCAAAATGACGATTTTCATGAATAGTACCCTTTGGTCAGAAGGCATATTTTGGCCATACAGTTCCTAATAACTTTTGTATCCACTGTCCTTCAAATCTCATTACTTCCATTGATACCCTTGATCACTTTTATTTCCTCTGCCCTACCAAGTATGCTGTTTGGTCTCATGTCTTCTCCAAGTACATCAATCCCAACATCCGTGCACCTTCGGTCAATCTCCTACGTCAAGTCCTCCTCCTTCGGGTTGTTATCCCTCGTGTTTCTCTCCTCTATTTTCCTTCCTTAAGTATCTTCCAAATCTTTGCATGCATTGCTCTAGCCCTCTGGCAAGCTCACTGGCAATCTGTTTTTTCTGAAAACCCATTCCTCTCCAAAACTATAACCAAGCCAGTTTTCCGCTTAGCAAATAAGCTGCATGATGAATCCCGCCTTGATTATGAACCGTAAATTCTCTCCTCCGCTTTCCTTCCCAGTGCCTCTCTCACTACTCATGATGTTCTCTCCATTTCAAGTATTTATCAAGCTCTCTTAAACCCTTATTCTTTTCTCAATTTCTTCTACCACAGGCTCATTTCCCTTTCCTTAGTCTAGTTCTTATAATACCACAGTCTTTTCTTCCACTCTTTTGACGTCTAAAGGACTTTAAATAAAATTGGAGCAAGTCTCCCTTACAAAAAAAAAAAAGTTTTCAAAGTACTCTCGAGAAGTTTCCTGTAAGAGGGATATGATCACTTTTATGCAGATAAAGCAAATATCAATTAGTTTTGGAACAAGTAAGGCTGTCTCAATATGTCAAAATAAATTATTTAACGGAATTCAAGAACAATTGGGGCTTTGTTCCTTGGGGCTGCTGACTTGTGAATGCATGATGGTCTTTATAGTAAATTTCAAATGACTTGAAATAATTTGATTGCATACAAAAGACGTCTGGAATGTATATCCAAAAGACAAAAGGTATCGAAAGGCTGACTTTAGAATTTATTACCATGAATAGATATGCTATTGGGAATCATTTTAAATTGAGAGGGTAAAGTAGTATATTTAAGAGTGCGGTATTCTTTGTTGCCTTGCAAATTCCATTTCTCTATACATACATTCTACAGCGTTTTGAGGGCCATTTTCCTATTTATTCTAAGTATGCGATATAAACAGTTTTTAATTACCTTTCGAATCGCTTCTCCTACCATTTGAGCCTTGACAATCATGGCCGTATTCTGCGTGATTGTCTTGATGGCTTCAGTCAACTGGTTCTCTTTGAGCTTATTCAAACATACACCCACTTGAAGCTCCTCAATACGCTGTCCCCAAAATCGCTGATCACCAAAAAATGGCTTGATGATAGTAGGCAAACCAGCCCTTAGACCAGCTGCTGTTGTGCCTGCACCACCATGATGAACCACACCTTGAATTTGAGGAAACAGCCAATCATGAGGCACAGATTCAATATGATAGATGGTACCAGGATGTTGATCCAGCATCTGCTCACTATCTTCGTCCTGTTCTTCCTGTTCATGCTTGATATTTTCCACATCGCTTTCTGATTTCGATTCTTTATGACGACTTGTCTTTCTAGTCAGGCCACTATTGGCATCACCACTGGCTCGAGCAGACCATCCTTTACAGATGATAGCACGTACATTGGCTTTTAGCACTGCATTGACAATCATAAGCGTTGTCTCTACAGGATCCGGTACAATAATAGACCCAAACCCTATATAGACAATAGGCCGTTTATCTTCTGAATGCAAGAAATCAAGTAAAGAAGGATCAGGTTGCCATGACCTGTCTGGATTATCAAGGAACCAATAGCCTGTACAATGAATATAGTCTGGCCAATCTTTAGGGTGATGAACTACAGTCGGACTAAATGAGTAGAGGTAAGGCACTTTCCAAAGTTCTAGACGGTCTAAGGTTGTACTGGGTAGGCCAAGCACTTGGCGACGGAACCGATTGATATATCGTGCGGTGCCTGCCCATAAAGCTGTATCTATCATGACATAAGTCATATCATTAAAAATACCTCCTCCTCCAGTATTCTGTGTGGCAAAAGGATGAGGAAATTTGGTTGTACGAGTGAACGGGAACGGCATACTACGGAAAAAAGGAACTTGAAGTTTTTCTGCCATATGAACGCCCACCATGGCACTAGGACTCTCAATAATCACATTCGTGCCTTGACATGCTTCATAAGATGATTGGAGCAAAGATTCAAACCATTCATAAAACTTGTTCGTGTTAGTCTTTCTTTTTAAACAATGCAGGACTTACGAATTTTGTGCCTTCTCTGATAAACGAAACAGACAAAAAGCTATTGTCAATGCATAGTTTCTAAAAGAAAAATAAGCTTTATAATTCTCGAAAAAAATCAAACTTACCATAAGATCACCGGGATCACCACCAATCGATCTAAATTCAATGTCGTGATCTGTTATCCAGTTTTCATATTCAGGATGGGTAGCAATACGACATGTGTGTCCGTCTTTTTTTAGTTCTTTGCATAGAGCTAAATAAGGCTGAACATCTCCTCTTGAACCAATGGTGAGGCAAGTGATATGAAGTGGTTTTGCTGGCTTTTTATACTTAATAGAAGGCTGTGATGCTATTGTTGAAGAAGAAAGCAAAGGAGGTCCATCTAAACAAAGATAATAAGTATTGAAATGATAAACAAGAGTGATATACCATAGTCTTGAGGAGGCTCAATGTGTTCTGGTCTATCTAAAATGATGTTGCTGGCAATAGAGATGCCTGTGTTTGACTCCCTGGAATAAACGGAACTCAATCGAGCATGAGTGTCAAAAGTATTTCTATTCTATTCTACCTTGTTTCAAGAGCAGTTGTGTTGTCTCGTTTCAATTGACATATCTGATAACAGAGATTTCGCAATTGTAAAGAAGAAAAATCAAAATATACCTGCACTTGTTTGTCAGCATTATGTAGCTAATTGTTATCCTTTTACCTCGTCAGCAATGTCTTTTACAATTATTGTCAAACCATGGAGCAAATAATAACTTCTTGTCTTAAGCTTCTTGACTTGAATTATATCTTGCCATGGCACAATAAATTTTTGCTTACCAGCCAACACTTTACTATGAAAGCAAAAATATCGATCTGTAATATAGATCTTGCCAGAATAAGGAATAGTACGCCAAAAGGAAGCCTTGAAAACTACGGAAAGACGATAAACAAAACGCATTCTATATATCGAAAATTACCTGCTTGTACATTCTCGGGCTCAAGTAACATGGGAAAGTTTGCATTCAAATGTTCATTCATTGTCTGCTGTTGTTCTTGTTTGATAGTATCATTTATCTTTTTATGATTATAAACATATGCGATATTATCTTCATCATTGTCTGATTCATTGCCATCAGAATCACCTTGTGAATTTTCTAAATCTTGAATCATTTTGTCAGCAAGCCAAATAGGCCCCTGAGGATGGCGGTGGTGGCTTTCATTGATGTGCTGCTGTTGATAATAGTTATCTACCATACTCGGTGCTAGTTTGCCCCAAGTATTTGAGAGTAAAGCAGAGCCCATTGATTTGGCACGCTTCTTTCGAGTTCGTGTGAGCGCTGTAGATGGCTTGTTGGAGTCAACGTCTTCTTGAGTCATTAAAGAAATATCGCCGCTCGTTAAATTCATGTCTGTATGGGCTGCTTCTAAAGAAGAAGATACATTTCGAATGTTATCAGATTTGTTGTGTAGATAAAAAGGAAACAGATTTTGATAGAGTGAAGACAAGGAAGTGTTTTTACTTGTGTTTTCTTCTGCTGCTGGTTGGTCAGACATGCTGTCAACACCAAACATTTGATTTTTAATCGTACGAGGTATTCTTGTAAAAGAATACGAAGCGGAATGGGGTCGCGCCTTGGTTGTCTGAGAGTTGTTCGAAACGGTTGCCAAATTGTTGGGATCACTTTCAACACCGGACTGCTTAGAAAAGAAAGAATATCGCTTTGATTTAGGGTTTTCATTCGACTTGGATTCATCATCACTATCAGAGGCCAAGTCGTTTTCATCAGCTGTTGATACTGTATTAGGATGCAGTTGAAACAAACTGGTGACACTCATGAGTTTTCCCATTAGCATTGTAGGTAGTGCAGCAGGAGAAACATTCTCCAAGAGACTATCAAAGCTCAAGGAACCCATTTCATTAGTTGGCATGGTTTTTTGTTGTTGTTGTTGTGGAGGTGGTGATGATGATGATTTCAATGACAAGGCATTACTAGGCAAAGATGATTGAGTACTATCTGCCCAAACGCTAATGATTTCTTGATATGCTTCCTCAATATTTGGAAAGAAAGAAAAGTAATACTAATTTCTGTCAATGCATTGTAAACAAAAAACTACTTTGACTTACATCTTCTCCTCCTGTGTTCATTAAATCATCTTGGAATTTGATGCTGATCGTTTCAGCAAATTCAAAAATAGGGGGTTTATCTATATTCAAGATTTTGGTAAAGGGCAATACAATACGAACGCTGTTTCCTGCATGTTGGGCCATAAAGACACCTCTTCGTAACTCATCCATCCATTCTCGCTGAGACGTTTCTGAATCAGCAATCATAGTATAATGATGATGTGTATTTGTGGTTAGTCGAATGCCACACTTCTTTAGTCGAGAAGGTTCAATCTTGACAATGCATTTCAAATCAATGCTGTTGAGGGGCGCATATTTTGTTTCTGCAGAAGAATACCATGACAGAACATGATTTCTTAACTCAAAATAGTATCGATAGGTTCGTGGTGAAGTAATGTGATTTTTTTTAGACAAATAGCCTGCTTTATAAGGTCCTTTCTAAATACATGATCAGTGTATGGCTCTTTGTTGGTTGTATGTTGATACCTTTTTTGTAGGTAATGAAGCATAAAAACAAATATAGTTGGACATAACATACATCCAACCGGGCAATGTTACCAACCTTATTAGATAACAAGGAAATTCTATTTGACCGATTAAAACAGAGTCTCATTTGAAAGATTCATACCATTTCGTAACACTTCTGATTTAGGTAATTCAAATACAGCCTTGACTTTGCGCTCAATCAGCATGCGATCCAATTTTTCATTGTCGTCCAATACTAAGCTTTTAGCGTCATCCTGTGTATCACATTCAATTGACATTTCTGTCATTGTACGTGTTAATGCACGCATATCTATTTTTTAAATGAGTTGAAGATAAAAAAAAAAAAGAGAGATTTATATAAAGCGTCTAACCATGCATTGTGTCTGTGCTTTGGTAAACTGTCTCCTATGTATTGGTTGAGTCCATTTTTCTATTAAGAAACATGCTTAAATGACTCTTACACTATCTTCTTTGGGGTATTCGTTTGTCATGAACTAAAGTAAAAAAAAAAAAAAAAAAAAAAAAAAAAAAAAAAAAAAAAAAAAAAAAAAAAGAAAAGCACAAGAATTTCTTAAAGACGCAGGATAGTGAACAGGTTAAAATAAAGAACCGAACAAGTCGGCTCTTCTAATGACGTAGTTATTCTCGTTTTAGGAACTGCGATGTTTATTTCTTTTGTACAATCTATCAAAGGTATATGTGTATAGATATATGGTATGTGTATGTATACAATTCAATGCTAATAATGCTTAGGTGTATCTTCAGAATGCTCGTTTTTGTGTGTAGGCTCATTGTGACTACTTTGTTGGTTTCGAAGTAAAAGAGGTTGAATTGGTTCCATATTTGACATTGGTTGATAGTTCAAGTGTTCAGTGGAAGGTGTGGAAGGAGGAATAGGCGCGACAAAATTGTTGTTGCGGTCGGGTGCAAGTAATGTCATGTTATCCATACTTTCCGCTTGCATCAAACTCGCGCCGTACATGGACGAATCCATCGAAGGCACACGTGCTTCTTTGTTGTGATGATGGATACGATTCTTGACTGCCTTTATCATTTTCTTACCAAGACTTGCTGGTGATTTTCCAAAACGGAAGTTACCAATCGGCATCCAATCTTGGCCTCCTTTTCGTTTAGGCAAAGACATCATCGACTGACGTGCTTTTTGGACTAAACTGGTGCGCAACATGTCGCTGCCTGTGTTGGTGCGATAGACAGATTTTCGGTATTCATCAAATACATGAGCATCATCTGAAGAATAAGCAAAACCAGTAAAAGAAGAACGCTTTCCAGTTCTCATGTTCATGATTTCGCTCTTGGTAGAAGCATTGGTATCTGTACGACGCAAGCCTGTTTGGTTGCGTTTTTTTTCTTTCATGACATAGCTATTTTCTTCATCCTCTTCTTCGTCCAAAGTGTCCAAGTGAGGTCGGTTCTCAGACCGTGTACGTGATAGATTGATAGGAAGAGATTCTTCGTCCAAATACCGTTCTCTAGACACAGGTACCTTGCAGAGTACAGTTTCTCGAATAATATCATTGTCAAAAGGATGGTACATTTGAAGATAAAACTTGGCAAGGTACCGAGGAAACAAGCAAACAGCAAACGTCAGGATCAGACAGAGCCAAAACGTTCCTTCGCCAAATAGAATGGCCTCACCATAAAATGAAAATGTCAAGATATTAGAATAAATGCCGGTCCAGATAAAGAATGTAGCTGTCGAGAGAAAAATACACAGAAACATGATCCAGGTCCAGCTAAAGATAGTGAAGCCTACCAACACATTTGCAACAACAACAGCAATACCAGCAATAAATGTACCCAATTCAGTAACGCCTTCTGTGTCATAGCCATTGTTACTCAGTTTAGGACCAATAAAGACCATATAAGGTAGACCAAAACAAATAGCAGATTGATAGATGGCGTCCAAGACAGTCAACAGAAATCGATTGCTTGTGAATTTATCGTTACGAATGCCCATCAAATACAATTGAGGGAATTTGAAAGAATACTCGGCTTTTAGATCTTGGTCAAAAATACCTAAGCAAAATGAATTAGACATAAGCATTTCTTGGGTTAATTACTTACCAGCAAAAATACAGGGCAATGAAGTGAAAACCAAGTTGTACAGAGTAATATAAGAATAATCAAACATCATTGTACCTGAGAACCTAACAAGGGATTAAGCAAAAAACATACGATAAAATAAAAACAAGAGTGTACGTTACCCACACATCAATTGGTACCAAAACAAGACCAATGTCCACATAATATTCTTGTAAAAGAAAGTAAAGATCATTTCAGATGTACGAAGATAAGACCAACGACCATGCACCAACAACAGCTTACTCAGATATTTAAATTGAGCAATGGCATAATCAGAAGCCATGACAGCCTGTCGACCTTCTTCACCAGAGATACCAACGCCTACATTGGCTTCTTGAATCATACTCACATCGTTAGCGCCATCACCAATGGCAAGTGTCATGACTTTAAGGCCCTTCTTAACTAAATTCACCACTTTGGCTTTTTGCATAGGACTGACACGACAGCAGACAACAGCTCGGCATTGAGTGCCGAGTTCTAATAACTCATCTTTGCAGTTGGGCTCCAATGCATATTTCAAAGACTCTCCATCAATGACCAGAGCACATTTCTGCGTCTTGGATTTTTCTTGTACTTCGAGGGATGCCTTGCGTAACTGCTCTATGGTTTCTTCCTCACTATGTGCATTCACACTAATCAAGAGCATATCTTTGGTCAACAAATTACAGGCAAACCCAATGTTGATAGCTGTCTCTACTTTATCACCCGTCAAGACCCAGATCTTGATGCCTGCTTCTGCAAGCACACCAATAGTATCAGGCACACCTTCTTGTAACTTATCTTCAATGGCAGTACCACCAATCAACGTCAATGAGGTTTCGATTTCTTCACACACGCGTTCAATCTCTTCTTCTCGGTTACGAATGCTGTTGGAAGCATTCTTGTAACGGGCAGCCCATGCTTCATACTCTTCTTCTTCAATCACCCGACTGGCAATACAAAGCGTACGAAGACCTTCATTGGCAAACGTAGCCAAGTGCTGCAACGTTTCTTCTCGCACACGTACCTGTTCTTGACTTGCTTTATCTGTCAATGCCTCAATGCCTGTTGATAATCGTTCATAGATCACAGAATCTGCACCTTTACACAACAAAATGACTTGACCATCCACAGGCGATCGCATGATCACACTCATACGTTTACGTGTTGAATTGAATTCTAAGACATGCAACAGCTGAAACGTACGTTGCTCACCCATGATGTCAACCAACACATTGTCTTGTTCTCTAGCCACAAAGGTAAATCCCATATCGCGAGCAGTTGCCACCAAGGCTGCTTCATCAGGCGATTGTGCCTTGTAGTCAATCTGGTTGGGCTTTTCTTCATCAGGAATCTCGGGAATTACAGTGTGACATAAAGCCAAGGCTGAAAAGAAATGCACAACACTTTGTGAATGTTCATCTTGCATACGAATATCATCAAACATTTGAGGATCGACAAATGTGGATTGGGGGTTGAGGTACTTATGGTCAAATAGGCTTGTTTGCTTTTCAATCATGTCAGCACGGGCCTTGTCAAGATCTAGCTGATGAGAGATCTTGCGGGATGCTACGGCAGCGTCGCCCGTATGCTCTGTTGTTTCAGCGTCACGTAACTTGGCACCAACCGCAGCTTCCGTTTCACCCAGACCATAACATACACCATTAATGGTGCAACGTCGAAATTCCATGATATTTTGTGTCAATGTACCTGTCTTGTCTGAGAAAATGTATTCAACCTGTCCCAAGTCATCTGAAATATTCCATGTTTTAGGTGTACATGGTTGATCTAGTCTTTCGTTATAGAGATCAATGTCTGTATGAATAAAATAAGCCTATCATTAAAAGTTAGATATAAAAAGTAAACAAAGCGCACTTACGGCTGCTGTCTTGACAATCTGAACCGAGATATAGAGTGAAATGGGTATAATGTTTTGATAGATAACCAAAGAAGTCCTTTTTTTAAATGAGTACATGTTGACACGCACACATTTGTGTACTTACCAAAACATAATAAAACCTTCCATGGTACCACTTTCGGCATCTTTACTTTCAAAAAACATTGAGGAACTCTGACTGCTATAGACAATACTTGCTGCAATTGAACATATCAAACATAAGATTAGCAACAAGATAAAGTTGAAAATAACCTACGTCCTTGGTTAATCAACAATCATGGTCCTTTTAGGTAGACTTACATAAGGGTTTGTGGCTTTTTCCATTTTACTTTGTTTGCTTGGCGTTTTACCAGAATTCAACATGATTTTGGTTTCATTGCCTGTAAACAAGACTAATCCAATCACCCAACCTGTATTTCTCAAGACACAACCACGTAAGAGAACAGAACTGGCAGTGATGGCCTCTGTCTTTTCATGATGTACATCTTCCATTTCCCCTTCTTCTTCGTCTTCCAACACTGTCTGAAACCCGTCTTCATCTTCGGCAATGGTATTGGCTTCTTCTAAAGCAAGTCCTTCATCAATACTATCGATTTGTCTTGAATTTTCAATCTTCCATTTCAATACACCATTGTATGTATATAGATTAGCATGAGGAGGTTCACTTTCAATATAGAAATTGGACTTTTCACAGTCTTCGGGTGTGTTGATCTCATTTGTTGCCTGAAGTGAACGCTTGATTTTCAAGTTGGTTTCACCGTCTAGATTTTGAGTTTCAACATAGCAAAGCCCATCCTGTTCTGAACTTGAGAGTACGACCATATCAGCAGGCACAGGCTCATCGTTCCGTAAACAGACATAATCTCCTACTTTCAGATCCTCCCATAAAGTTCGACGCCATCGTTTATCCAGTGGCTGACGAACGGAGGTTGATTGACGCTTCTTTTTTTTTGAGCTTGTATCTTTGGTATTGGACCGAAGGACGGAATGAGGCACTTGTCCTGGTCGATAAGGCATACGACTCTTTCGTTTTAATACCATGCTGGAGAGTGATGTAGTGGATTTAAAGGTGTTTTTGATGGTGGAGGCGACTGATTTAGAAGGCGCCACTGAAAATTGACTGGTCGTTGTGTTTGTTCTGCTCAAGCCTCGTGAGGCTAATTCGAATTGCTCATGATGTCTTTTACGAGGCGTCATGAATTTTTTGATGGAATACAGAATACGTCGCCATCGAGCTACTTTATGTACTGGTATATTGACATTTTTCCAATCAGACAGGGTATATGTGATGGCTTTATTGACACTCTCGTCTGTTTGATGTCTTTTGTTGTCTTCCACAGCATCTTTGACACCTGTGATGACAAGGATAGCAGCCAATGGCAATATCACTAATACAGGTGAAGCAGACGTACTGAACAGAGGAAACATTTGAAGTACCACCAAAAACAAAAAATACAGGTTGGCAATACCTCGAAATTGTTCTAACAGATTTTTCGGTAGAAAAGTGTACCATGTGTATTTGGCTGTCTGGATCTGGTTAGAAATATAGTCTGTGTTGGGTTGTCCATAATCGTCCAGTTCGTCTGGTGGGATTTCCATATTTACATAGATGGTGCGTCTTTCTGTTGAAGCAATCGGGAATGCACTCTTTTTATGCGATTCATGTTTTTGTTGTCTTAGTCGATCGTATAGTTTAGAAAGCATTTCAGAAAGAAGGGTATGGTACAGCCAAGAAGAAAAAAGAAAGTGGAAAAGAGAGAAAAAGGGAGAGAGGTAATCAATTTAATCTTTTGGTCTTTTTTGTCTATAAATGGTCTTTTGGCTTGCTTGTATTCTAATAAATTAATATGTTCGGAGTTATTGCAGTAAAAGGGGATGGAGGGAGGACTTCATTGTGTAAAGCAGTGATTCTTTCCACGTGTTAGAGGCAATTCTTTGAATGCGCGTGCGTATTCATGTAAAATATGCTTATCTCATCCGACTATCAACCGGAACCTTCTTTGCCTCAACGTGTCATTACACGTTATCACCGTCAATTCTTGGACAACATCTGAATATTGCAAGACGCTTTTTTGAATGTCAAAAAGTAAATTTAAAGTTACGGCGACAAAAGAGTGTGAGACTAGTTTCCATGTATTCCCTGTGCTACTTTATCTATTGTTCTTTGACTCCTGAAACCAAGATATGGCTTGTGCTGTCAATGAAGTCAATTTTTTTTTATTTTTCATTCTTAGAGGTCTGCTGCATAGCAACGGTTGCTAAGCAAAAACGAAAAATAAAAATAAAAAAAAAAAATAAAAAAAGGGACGTGAGTTTAATTTGAAAGGTTCATCCGAATATCGGCCCGACATACTCAATACCGGGTAATTTATCATCAGATAACCGTCTTGAGGATAATAATAACAATGTAAGCATTTATTAGATATTGGTAATAGTAGTAAAATGGTATTCTATACAGAAAATATATAAGGGACTGTGTAACAAGGTCGGTATATGATTTAAAAACGAAGTGTGATTCGTTCACACGTTGTGTTGTGCAGAACCAATGATTGACGTAGCTGTGCTCTGCTTTGTTCCCAATCTTGATCGATTTCTTCATCTACTTCTGCCAGTGTTGAACCCAAGATACGATGGACTTGATCAGCGAGTGAAAGGGGTTGCATTATTTCTTGTTTCTCCCAAACTGGCTCGTGATAATCAGAAGGGGAAGCAGGCATATGATCAGATGTGTCTGAAGCAGAGGAAGCAGAAGAGAGGGTGGATGGATTAGGGTGATAGAATGCCAAGGTGGGTTGTTCAGCGATACTATCGCGCTTACTAAATGGGGATTTCAAAGAGACAACGGGTGATGATGAACGAAACAGATTGGATAGTCGTTGACGTACACGGGATGAACTGGAAGAGGACCGAGGAGGGGAAGGTAATTCATGTTCATAGTGTGTATTTATCCTTAAAGAAGGATCATTTTTACGAAAAAGACTCATATGATGAAAAATATAAAAAGAAGTGAGAGAAAAAAAGAAAAGAAAAGATAGAGGGTTTTTATGCAAGTTGTATTTCGGCGTATACGCTTATGAAAAATTTTGTCATCAGTGACAGGGTCTTTACCAATCAGAACAATACGAAACTAAACTTGTATGGAACAATTCAGGGCGCACAAGGCTTACTTGAAGCCCAAAAATAACTTTCTTACCTACATGCATAAAGACAATGATTATCCTAACTTGACTAGATCTCACTTGTATCTAAAAAGGACCTTTTGGCTTCAACTTACTTGACACTATATTCTGATAAAATAGACCCATAAAACAATAAAGTCATGGAACAAGTACTCAACTTTAACTGAACAGGCTACTACTATCTACAATGTAGCTGTCATTCATAAAGAGAAGGCACGTGCTGTACAATTAAAAGACCGTAAATATTCTCTCTATTTTTCTTTTTTCTTTTTTCTTTTTTTTTATTCTTCATGTCTTTCAAGTCAAAACAAAGAGCCAAACACGGTCACTTATTTGGAGATGGTAAGTCCTTATGATACACTATAAACACCGTATTAAAAGACTAGTCAAGATCCCTTAAGTGCAGCACTTGTGTCTTCCTCAGATGATCCTTTACTTACCAACAGTAGTCAAAGTAGCAGAACAAGTTCACCACAGGATCCTCTTTCGCGTCCTGATAGCAGCAATAGTACACCTGTTTTTGGTCGTAAAACCAACGGTATTTTTGGTGATATTGATGTCAGTAAACTAAGCAACAAAAGAAATACGTCATTACGTTCCAATACGCTCAAGAAGCATTATGATATAGAGGATGAGGAGGATTTATTTGGTGGAGGAAGGAAAAAGACAAGCAGCAAAACATCCTCTGTTCATAAAAAGAGTCCAGTATTGGCAGTGAATGATCATTTAGTAGATATACCACCTGTGAATAACAGTTATTCCCAACCTACTTTGCCTGTAAAAGACGATAGAGAGCCTAAAGCAGTAGAGACTAAAATAGAACCCAAAGTAGAGCTTAAAGTAGAGCCTAAAGCAGTAGAGACTAGAATAGAGCCTAGAGTAGAACCCAAAGCGGAAGAACAAAAACCAAAAGTAGAGCCACCACAAACAAAACAATCCTTGTCTACTTCTTCTACCTCTTCTTCTTCCTTTTTTCGGTTCTTTAAATCCAATAATAACAACCCAAAACCCGCTTCTCCATCACCATCCGTCAAATCGATTCAAACGTCTCCTCCTGTTGCTGCTGTTGTTGTTAACAAAGTCAATGATCCTATTGAACAACCTTCTCCAGCACCCATTTCAAAACCCAATCTAAAAAAGAAACCAGAGCCAGAGCCAGAGCCAAAACCAGAACCAGAACCAGAACCAACTGTGGTAATTGAAGATGAAGCAACAAGAGCATTTGCAGACGATGTCATGACATTTAAGCCTAAACCAGCTCAGTATTTTGACGTGACACCTGAATTAAGTATGGATGCACTCAGGATAGAAGACAATACAGCCAATAAACGGTTGGTTCCTTCTGTCAGTACACCCACACACTCTGTAGATGATCCTTGGTCTCAAATTGTACAATTAGAACCCTCTGTGAGCTCACCTTTAGTGGTCAAAGTACAAGATATTGAACCACAAAAGAGAACTGCTTTTGCAGATTTGATTACTAGTTGGAATACAGGTCAATCCAATCGTATTGAAGAAGAACAAGAAGATGAAGATGGATTTTTTGATCATGTAGCTGAAGAAAGAAGGGATATTGGATTTGCTGGTATTGGACAAAAAGAAGATACTCACTCAACGCATGATATGATGAGGCCTATGGATTGGGATAATCCTTGGGATGAATAAAGAGAATGTTTATTATCATGATTGATACATTTTTAATGTCTTTTCTAAATCTGCTACTTTCTGATGATAAGATTGGACTTCTTGCTGTAAATAGCGTATATGATCCACTGACTTCTTCAAAATGATACCCTTATTAGGCTTATTATTTGGGCCTAAACTGATGTTCTCAAGGGCTTTCTCTGGTAACAAACTACAAAGTTCTTGAATACGATCATTGATATTGTCTCTTCTTCTTCTTTCAACTATCATATTGAATAAGCGTACACAGACTAGCGTATTTCTTTACTTGCCTGCATTATGTGATTCTCTTCTACGTCTACGCTTTTCCATCATGATTTGCATACTTTAACTTGTGTAAGTCAACTAGTGTAGGTGCCAATACTTACTTTAGTTGTGCTGTATAATCATCTTCATAACTTTTTGCCAAGCCATGACCACCACTTTGGTTACTCGTTGTGTTACCATGGTGGTTACCATGGATCTCTAATGGATTATAGGTGTATTCATAACCCATATTAGCAGGTGCAGACATAGCTAATGAATGCGTAGAATCAAAACTACTTCCTGATACAAATACAGGTTGGTTGTTTTGTAGAGACACATCTGTAGCAGCAGAAGAACGACGATGGATATCCATAGGGATAGTTGTTGGCTAGATTTTCTCTTGGTAAAAAAACATGAATTGTATAATGTTTGACCTTACCATAGGCTGCGTTGTTGAACTAAATGAATGTCTATCATATAACTGTGGATATTCTGAATGTTCATCATATTCACTTGAAAGGGGTGAAGACATGGGATGCATCACTTGTTGTGAGAATGAATCACTAAACTCGATTTGATTCTGTTGTTGTTGTTGTTCAGAAGGAGAATCTCGATTTAAATGAAAAGGGCTACTTGAATCCACATTAGAAAGCGGATGAGGTGAATGATAACCATTGTTTTCACTAGTTTGTATAATATGGTAAGGTGTTGGGTGTCTTAACTTGAGAGGTTGTTGTTGTTGTTGTGTTTGCTGCGACATAAAGAAAGAAAGAAAAATGTAACTAAATTAATTTTCCCCACACACACACACACACACCAGAAGCCGGCATAGCTTTACTTTGCAATGTTGCATTTTATTTTTTGGCCAATCAGATTCATTGCTGAGTTCTAGTAAGTCTATGAATTTACACTTTATGAACTGCATATGAAAGAATGAAATGGTTTTTATGTAATTCTAAAAGAGTCATGCCGAACAACGATACAAACAATGAAATGCAGGAGAAGAAAGCATACCTACTTGCATGTGTGTCATTACTTTTCTCTCTCTCTCTTTCTTTTTCTTTTTCTTTTTTATTTTTGTTTTTTGAATGGTTACAATGAAGCTTATTTTCAGTTTTTTATGTTTATTCAACTTACTTGTTCATGCTGAAATTGTGTCTCCTTCACGTAATTTCAATGTTACTTTACCAGAACCAAATACGCCTTATGTTGCAGGTCAAATGTTGCCTATAAGCTATACTTTACCTGATGATGCCAAACTGTCTACTGGTAAGTGACATCCATGGCCAACTTTATAGACTGATAAATGATACAGTACTTTTATTGTCCATCTCGTTTGCTGCACAAGATCCAACTTCTAATTTTACTCAAGTTGCCATCACTTCCAATGCTGATATTTCTCAAGGTTTTAGTTTCAAGCGAATGCGTAATACCGATGTTTATTATGAACATCAGTTGAGTGTAAGTGGTATATCAATAGACTTGTCTTTAATAAATGTCATTAGTATTCAATTCCTAATAACACAGATCCTGGAAATTATCATGTTATCTTCTCAGATGCTGTCTCTGGTACCAATGTGTCTGTGCCCATCATTGTTCGACCCTATGCTCCTCCTTCTACAACAACTTCAGTCAACAAGGCAAATCCTTCAGGATCTATATTTAAGCCAAAGAGTGATGCAGTCAAGACATGCCGTCTTGGTAGTATGTTTATTATCTTTATGTTCATAGCACTTTTATATTAAAACTCTTGCCACAAAGTGTCAAATTGACCTTGGAATTCCTTGATACAAAGAGGAATATTTGTGATGATAACATTTTCTCTGTTCTTGAAGCGAGCACTATAGAAAAAATAAGGGGGGTGGTTATTTGTTTGTTGAAATGCATCTCTATGTTTACCCCTTGGACCAGTTAAAACTACCGTTAATCAGGGTAGCACTATCAATAATGGCAAATTTATTATGCATATAACCAGTACTATAAAATATGAGCTGTTGAAGAACGAAATGATCACTTACGTATTGTCTGTCTTGAAAGGAATACCATACGATTCTTGAAGTCGTTTAGCATCAGCACCTTTACCTGCTGCTTGCTGGTTGTCTGTGATAATGCGAATACTCACTCCTCTCTTTTTAGCAGCGATCAGTGCATCAGCTACATCATCATCTGTAAAAGCAAACACACATATATCAATTGTCTTGGTAGCAGAATTCAATACAGACAAAAAGGCCTACAGTACATCGCTATTAAAAATAATTTTCTTGAAAAAACAAATTGCACTTACATTAAAACTATCTTTGGAAGGGAAAAAGAAGGAACGTACAAAATAACCCTGAGCGAGAGCAGAAGTGGACTTGGGTAAAACATCTTTAGACTCAAGATCAGCAAAATATTTCTGAAGTGCTTTAGGACCAGCACCTTCATCAAGAACAGGAATAACAGCTTGTTTTGATGTCTTGGGAGGACTTGAAGGGACTTCTTGGTCTTGGTTCTTCTTCTTACGAGGTGCCTTTTTAGGTGACGTTTTTGTACCACTCTTTCTTGTCTTTTTTTGTTTAGGTACTACACCATCGGCGTCATTGCCTGAAGGCATATAATCGTCATCCGAATCACCAATATACTCATACCTTTCGCCATCATCTTCTTCCCAAGAGACATCTGTCTCAGCTTCTTCCTTGTCATTAGTTTTCTTCTTGGCAGGTTCAGAACGAGGCTTAGGTTTTTCAGTCTCAAGGCGGCTTGGATCCAGATTATATTGGACAGCTGTCGAGACACACACTTGAAGCCAATCAATCAAGGCACGCTCTCTTTCTAAATGGCATGCTTTAGAGGCACTTTCGAACATGGTGTTGATAATACGGAGTGTATTATTAGGACTGTGGCTTTTTGAACCGAGCAATTGAGTCAGTTCCTGAGTGGCATCATATTTGAGTTGTTGGTCCTTATGGATGCTACCTGAAGTACGCATCGAGGTATTAAGGAACTGGTCAAAGTTACCTGACTTGAGATCACTGAGTTGAACTCGAGGGGGTTTTGGTATACAAAGCAATTGGTATAGATGATCCATCGTATAAAAAAAGTAAAGAGAAAGAAAAAGAAAAGAGGACTCATTATGTCAGTGGATCGCTAAAAAAAAAAGAGTTAATTTCGGAAAACCAAAGCCGAATAAAGGTAGGTTGTACAGAAAACTATTGTTTATTGACGAAGAACATATTCCAATGTTTGCTTTTCTTCAAGATTGAGCTGAGTTTGACAGATTTCATGAAAGTGGTTGATATTATGTGTATTGCAATTACGGAAGAATTCAGTCAAATAAGCCTTCATGTCTGTTTGGTAGATGGGATCATTCTTTAATTCTGGGTTGTCTTCTTCATCGTCATTATCGTTCACTTGAGCCAACATGTCTAAAGGATGATATTGAGTGGGTCAATAAACTCTCGGTCACTTACCAGACAAAAGATTAATACGAGTAGAGAAAGGCTCATCATCCACATCTTCCCAATCACCTCCTTCATCATCCACAGACTCAGCATCTTCAGCTGGAGCTTGTTCGTTCATATAAGCCGTGGTAGCATCAGCAACTAAAAGCTTAATGATCTTGGCAGTCAATGGAATAGCCGTGTATTGATCAGGATCTATGCATGGTGTCAGTCTTTTTTTTTTATACTAAATGCTATCGTGTCTTACTTCTCTTTGCTCTTGAACGTGTCACAATACCAGCATTAGGGTTTACAACAATATCACCCTTAACAGTAATATTAGCAAGTCGAGGATCATTCGAAGCAAAGATCTTGGACAAAGCAATAGCACTGACTTTCATGGTATAATAGCCCGAGAAACTATCATAATTATCACACCAAGTGGTCATTAGGACTTCTAGTCCACTCTTGCCATTGATTTGTGCATCACACAGGAACTGGAAAACAGTCTCTTGTTGAGAAATAATAAGGTGAGCAAAGACCATCACAAGCGATTGAATAAAAGGTTGATAGTCTGTGTTCATCAAGCGACCCAAGACGGCCGTCAAGAGGTCAGGCAAGACAGGCGCAATGCCATGACCCACCTTTTGAATTAGAGTAACAATCAGATCACCGACAAAGATAGCATCTGAATCAGAGCCAGTAGGTTCTAATAATTTGGCAATAAAGTGAATAATGTAATCTAAGCCTGATTTGCCTGAAGGATCGCGCCATCGCATAATATGGTCAGCGTCTTTACTGATCAATGTCTTGAGACATTCTTGAGCACTTTGAAGTAAATCAATGTCAGGTACACTCCAGGTCAATTGCATTAATCCAGGGAACATTTGTTCTGTGAATTCCTCAGGTAAAGGAGAAGGTCCATAAGCAGCCATGGCTGTCAGTAAATCAACAGCAGACTAATCATAAAAAATGTGAGCAATAGGCCTATAAGAACATATGACTTACAGCATGTACAACAGGGTCTGTGTTGGGTGTAGAAAAGACTTGATTGACAAAAGGAAGAGCAGTCTTGCATAAAGCAGCATAGTAAAATGTGTTTTTAGCAAACTCTTCAAATAGATCAAGAATATAGCTGGTAATGATAGAGTCTGTAGCATACTTTTGCCAGATTTGCAAGATGGCAGGTGTCAAGATATGCTCATAGCGTGCAGTCACTTCTTGGTTGATCTTGACAGCTGAAGCCAAGGTATCCAGTAATAACATGAGAGATTCTTCAGTAGCCATAGGCAAGAGTTGGCATGTACCCTCCATGATATTGACTTGATAGGGAGTGACATGATCGGGGTTCAAGTATTTACAGTAGTTATCTAAGGCTCTCAAGGCAGAAATCTTGACAGGAATACCGCTGCTGGGAGCTTGTAATGCTTGGACAGCAACAGCAACATATTGACTTGACATATCATTAGGCAAAATCTTTGCGAACTCAGAAGCAAAGACAAAAGCACGGCCTTGTAAGAATGGATATTCTAACAAACCTATAAGTATCTACTGACAGAAAAAAAATTAATTTACCATTAGCCTTCATGTCTTCTAAAACAACATGATCAAACATGCTCTTTAAATCAAATTGAACCGTCTTGTTTTCATCAGCCAAAGCATCCATCAATTCTTCAGACACACGACCCACAGCCAACAAACAAGATTCTTGAATCTTCCACCAGTCTGCATTACCTGCCTTACGAGCCTCAACAGATTCAGCAACGTGACGTTGAACAGCAGCCGTCAATGCATTGAAGAAAGGCACAGGGAATGTTTCTTGCAAAGACAAGAGGACATCAATGGAAGCAACACGGGCATTAAACGTAAAAGTACCGTCTTCTTCATCAGCCACAAATTGGTTTGCGTCATTAGACCACATTTCAATCTGTTCTTGCGTGATTTGCATATACACAAGATAAACATACAGTAATTGTTCAAAGAAGCCAGTGGCAGCACCTTCAGCATTCACAAATAAGTCTCTGACTGTCTTTTTCTTACATGCAGCTGAAATGAAATCAAACAAGACATACAACAAGTTTTGAAAACCAATTTCATTACCCTCAGAATCCTGAAAGGTCTCTCCAATATCGCCTGATTCACTGACAAATTCTTGAACATAACGTTCACGCAAGTTGTATAAATCCATCCAAATAGGTTCAAAGATCTGAGGAAGAGAAGGGGAGATGTATTTGGGGAATTCAGCATTGATAGTACAAATACATTTGACAACCTTCATCTTGAGACCGTATTCTTCAGTTGCTTTCTCTGCGTCATTTTGAACATGGTGATTAAGGATCACATTGAATGCTTCCATCCATTGAGGAATAATTGGTGCAATGAATTGCTCTGCTAAAGCAGGGTTTTCTTCACGTAATGTAGATAACATTTCAATACAACTTGTCAAGATGTTGACTGCTCTTCCACGGGTACTGAAGGAATACACCTAAATAGGTATTATGATCAATATATCTTCAAAAGGGTGTCTAGACTTACGTTATCTGAAGTCAAGATGCGGTACATTTCAGGCACTAATACAGGACCGATCTGAGGTAATTGTTGAATACTGATGTCTCTCTTGACCATTTCTAACAAGACATGCATAGCACCATGGACACTTTCAGAGCTGTTGGATTTAAGGTAGCTCAACAGAATATCAAACAAGTTGGGCCAGTCTTCGGGGAAATCGTCATGTGCAATGCGAGAAACAACGTAGGCACTGACTACACGGATTTTGGATTCAGGATCAGCCAAACCAGTGACAATAATCTCGCGTACAGCTGCTTTGCTCTACATGGATCTCTTAGTCTGATTGCTAATCCTATACGCCTATACTAACCTCGGGAGTAGGCTCAGGTCCAACAAACTTATCATCATTCTTACTAGACCAATGTGTTGTAACATATGTCTTGAGTGTCAAGGCTGCCAAGTACACTAAATGGGTTAAGGAAATACAAACATCAATAGAAATAGGTTAGTTGTTTTTATGTATATATGTAAAAGGATATTTGACGTTGAGGAACAGCATGTTGTTGAGATACTGTCAGTTTAGCAAGGCTGATAGGAAACTCTATTTATAAAGCATAAGAAAACAAACTATACAATAACCATACTTACCAGCTTGAGTAGCGAGTTCCTTCAGTCTGTTTTCAGCAACCGTACGAATAGCGCCATCACTGTCAGCTACTTGTAAAAGAGTCTCAAATACTGCGTTATCCATATCGAGACTAAGAAAACGTAAAAGAGAAAAGACGAAAAAAAAAATGACACGCTTTATTTCAAAAATTTAAACTTCACCAAACAAGCGTAGTACAAATCCAGCGTTGAAGATCAAGACGCGTTTAAGGTGACTCTATACATCTTAAGCCTCCTATCAATATAGGCCTGACTCTGGCATGCTGTTTATTCTGTCTGTTAAACCGGCTTATTCTATAGATGAGCATCAATGCAAGCTGCATGATTTGAACATCAATAAAAACAAAATCGCGGTTAAAATCAAGGCACATCGTCTGGATCGTATCATGTGGCTTAGACAGTCGGAATTTAGCTGTGGCGTGAGGGGTGGAGGGGGTCAACTTGGAATCGTTGGACCTACCTGATTGAACCTTCCTTCTAAACGCGGTTTAATTATATACAATGGTAACGTACACAACAAGAGTGATCCATCCACCATCCAATCAGTCAACCACTTGTCAAATCATTGTTGTTCTGGATGGATGCATCAACAAAGGAACAGACGGCAACAACAAAAAATAGATATGGATAGACAGATTCAGCATGGGCAATGACATGCTCCAAAGACTGATTGGCTTGGAATGGAGGATGAACTTGACCAAGTTGTTATGTATACTAATAATAACTGTAGACCAAAGGTACCAGCTCCTTCGGTAAGCGTCATACCAAGACCCACACCCTCTGCAGACGTTGTGGCAACCGCTCTTTCCACAAGCAAAAGAAGACCTGTGCTCAATGTGGTTACCCTGCTGCCAAGACCAGATCTTGTAAGTTATATGCTCTACTGTCTTTGAGTTACTCATATACCCTATAGTCAACTGGTCTGAAAAGGGTAAGCGTAGAAAGACCACCGGTACTGGCCGTATGGCTCACTTGAAGGATGTTCAACGTCGTTTCAAGAACGGTTTCCGTGAAGGTAAGCAAAAAAGCAACAGTAATAACATGGCTAATGGTATTCTAGGTACTCAAGCCAAGAAGCAAGTTGCTGCTGCCTCCGCTTAAATTACTTGACCATCTTTTGTTTTAATAAACATCTCTTGATCTTATACTTCTTTTCTCTTTTTTTAAAACTACAAGTTTGTTTCTAAATGTATTGTACAGAGAAAAGAGCTATGAATGTGTTAATCTGATCATGTCAAGCAATATGTCCCACAAAGTCATTCAGCAACAAAGTCTGTCTATTTTAAGAAATCCATATTCGTCAGCAAAAGCCATTTTGGATTCAACGGCTAGTATGAACATATTCCTTCCGATCTTTGCTTTCTTTTTTTTTCTTTCTTTCTTTCTTTTTAGTGCATGTCTTTCAAGAGAACAATTACATGACTAATCTAAAGGGAAAAGTAGCCATTGTCACAGGGAGTTGGTTGGGCAGAGGCTTAGAAATAGCTTGTGCATTGTCTTTAGCTGGTGCTAAAGTGATTATACCCTCTTGTACTCTAGAGAAATCTAATTTTGCTCTGGAATATATCACTCAACAAGTGCCTGATGCAGATCTGATACCAATGCAGTTAGATCTCTCGAGCCTTGCCTCTATTCAATCCTTTGCTTATGCCTTCCAATCCCTTCATCTCCCCCTTCATATCCTTATTAACAATGCAAGTGTGGTATCATGCTTTAAATCTTACACAAAAGACGAATTTGAAGCTACATTTGGTATCAATTACCTAGGACATTTCTATCTTACCTTGCTTTTGGCTGATGTACTGAAAAAAAGTGCTCCTGCTCGTATTGTGATGGTCAGCTCAAGTGCAAATCATTTGTTCTTACCTTCTTCTGGTCTTGATCTCTGCAATCTAAATGCTGAAAAAGGATACAGTCCTTCGATTGCTTATGGACAATCCAAGTTGGCTAGTATTTTATTTGCAAAAGAACTGCAGCGACAATTTGACAATGAGGGAGCTGATATTACTGTCATAAGCTTACACCCAGGCATGGCTAATTCTATAGACATGCCCCAACATTTTGATATTTCCAGATTATTAGACTCACTTTGCAAACATGGATCCAAAGACATCTTAAAGGAAACCCTTCAGTCAAGACGAGATAGAATGGATGCCTCCAGTGTTATTTATTGCGCTACTTCGTCTGGTATCATTAAAGGTGAATTTTATTGTCAAAACCAAGTCAATGCAAATCTCTTAAACAAACAAGCAAATGATCAACGCATGGCACGCATGCTTTGGGAAGCCTCAGTAAAAATGATTGCCTCAAAAATGTATTCCATTCAATAAAGTCTTTTTTATTCATCCACTGTTAATACAATTTTGCCTACAGTGCGATGAGACAACAGTTTTCTGTGAGCCTTGAATGCTTCTTTCAATGGTAAAATATTCTCTTTTTCATCAATGACCATACCACGCAATGCTTTAGATTCAAATAAAGGTCCAATGTCTGTCCTAAAATCGGCATGAGGAAGAGAAGTAACTATTTTGTATGGATTGGATTTGAATAATTGCTTTGTGCCAACGTTCCAAACGATAGAGAAGATGGTACTGACACCTACAGGCTTAGAGCCAATATGTTCCACAGGACCTACAGCAGTAGAGTAGATACCTTTCTTGTTTAAGAGAGGGGCCAGCTTGTTATAGTAATCATCACCACCTACGCAATCAAAAATGTGATCAAAAGTGGCTTTGTCTCTTGTGATGAATTCCTTAAAGGCTTCTTTATCTGTATAATCCACCACGATATCAGCCCCTAAAGACTTGACGAATTCAGCATTTTTACCACTGCAAATACCAACAACTGTGTTTTCTGGATTGTATGCTCTGGCAATTTGAATACCATAGGCACCAACACCACCTGAAGCACCCACAACAAGGATCTTTCTCTTTTGTTTACTGATAGGACTAAACTTGACTAACGCTTGATAAGCAGTTAATACAGCAATACCAGCCGAGGCAGCTTGCTCAAAAGAAAGATGTTCGGGCTTCTTGGCAATAGAAGTCTTACTGGTGTCTACGATGGTGTATTCTGCGTAACTACCTTGTGGACCTGCGACAAATGGCAAAGCACCAAACACTTGATCACCCACTTGAAATTCAGTTACACGATCGCCTTTTTCCTCGATCAGACCCGAGTAATCACCACCAATAACACTGGGCAATTTAGCAAGAAATCGACTGATGTTGCCAGAAGCAAGCTTAGCATCCACAGGATTGACGCCCACTGCTTTAACACGCACAAGTACTTCATAAGGTGACTTGATAGTAGGCTTGGGCAAATCTTCTTTATAGACAAGGCAATCTTCTGTAATACCGTATTTAACAAGTTGAATACCGCGCATAATAATAAATATAAAATAAAATAAGATAATAAAAAAACCTTTTATATATATATATATATATATATATATTTTTCAATCGTGATACATAACTATACTGGAAGATTCAGATAGTATTGTATGCTTATTAATCATGATGAATTCTTTTGGACTATTGATAAGATATGTTTGTTTATTTTTTTTCTTGCGCAGTTAGCATTGCTCTTCTATAAAAGGCAGAAACGCTTACCAAACAAAAAACTTCCAAATACAACAAACCAAACAATGCATGATTTTTATTCCAACTCGTAAGCAACCCACTTTATTGTTTTCGACAAAACATGTCAGCTAATTGCCTCTTCTACTCCTACCATCTACAAGGCTGCTATTTAATTCACATTTAACAAGCTGCGAGACTATGGTGCAAGAACTGATAGCTTCCTTGTGTATGTCATTAATGTGTTGAAACTTGCTTTGTGGTTTGGCTTTTGTGCTGCAGCTGGCTAGGAAGAGTAGGGGTAAACATTAGCTAAGTTTTTTTTTTGTAGTAAGTTACATACAGAACGCCTCCTTTCCAGAGAGAGAGAGAGAGAGAGAGAGACCTATATAAATTTCGTCAAAAGATCTCAAGCTGCATTCCTAAGGCTTCCATCTAGCCCCTCTCTTGTGGAAGTCTGTTAATCTCTCTCTCTATAGATATACATCATGGTATAGACCGAGTATTTAATAAAGCATTAATTGTGAAATAAATATTTTATCGTTTTGACTTTTTTACAAGATATACAATTTGATGATCATAATCCACAGATTTGATACAACTTGGCTGAACTAATTTCTCCATTTCATTCAGTACTTGTCCATTATCATGATAAATGCCTATCCATTTCCCCACCCAAGCAAGAGAGGTCGACATATAGGCTTTACATAGCATTTCAATGGCCAAGACACGCATTGTGTCATTATAGTGACTCATCAGTATTTTAAATGTAGGGTATGGATTGTAGTGGTAATGTTCAAAATAGCGAATTGGGTTTTGAGTCACGATAGACTTGATCAATGATTTACCAAATTTACCTTCATTTGTGTCTAAGGAGAGAAGTAAAGTACGATAATTCGCTTTCTTGACATTTCGAAGGTAGCAGCAGTGATAGATAATGTCCAGAACAACATAATAAGGGGAAACAGGTTGCTATTTACCTCAAGTCAGTCAACATGTATTTATGCCTAATGCACTTGCCTTTAAAACCACATAGAGATTCTCTATCAGTCCAACCAAGGATTTAGCAAGTTCTTCATATCGACCTGCTTTAATAGCACAGTCAATAGAGAGTTGAAATACTATAGACTCATGAATAACCAGCATACACATCTCTCATAGTTTACCTTGGATAGCAAATCCATAATTGCCTTCACTCCAATGAGAAGCATAGACACCTTCTCGAAGTTTACGTAATAGATCTACAATAGGGTCCCATTGTTTCTTGTCAAAGGCATCCTGAATGACAGAGACCTAATGAGATATTACTACTTGACAGGATTCTATCCATCACAAACCTTGGATAAGATCAACGACCATAATTCATGTTGTAATGCTACCGTTTTCAAGCTATTTTTATTATTATTATTATTTTTATTATTATTATTATTATTATTATTGTTTATTTGTCTTGTTCGCACCTTTGATTACTGTCATTGTTATCAGATCGACTGACAAGCGATAATTCTTGTACTTGGTTTAATTTCTTGTCTTCTGCTGCCCAATCACGCGTTGACTTCTTTAGGCCTTGTTTAGTATCTGTTCAGAATATGAGTTGCTGTGGATACACTGTATACCTACCTTGCTTTTTTTCTTTCTTATCCCATTTATGTACAGTATGTTTGAGATCAGTTGAACCTTTCTTTGATGTGAGTCAGTACAAACAATGACGTCTCATTTACCTATTTGCTCAGTGTATTCTCTGAAGCCTTCACTTCCTTTCTTTTTGTCATCCTTGTTATCGACATCCCAAATACGAATAGTGAGACCTTCAAGAGGTTGTTTGTTGTTTGACATGGTATGTACTTAAAAAGAAAAGAAAAAAAAATAATGAAGCGTGAATTGAAACTAACTTTTATGCCTTCTTCATTTAGAACAACCAAATGGGATCCTCTTTTGATTCTATCACAGGTAACAACATACGCGTATGCATACAGTTTATATCAACAAAAGATATGAATAGATTGCTGCACTTCAGTCACTTTGTTACATCTTGCTGAGTCTGATCATCACTATTGCACTCACACTGAATGGCACTGACCTATCACTCGACTTGATATTCAACGATAAGGAAATCAGAACAGACACAGGGTTTGGGTGGTCACTCATCTTTGTATGGATTGTGAATGCGTTTGTCAGTATACCTCTGTTGATGGTGATTGTTCAACGTGCAAAGCAAATCCTCGATTTTGTCCTTACGTTTCATTTCTTTCACTTGCTGATCTCATGGAAAACAAGCCATCATTTTCCTACAGGCACAGCATGGTGGGTACTTCAGGTAGTGAATATTGCTATCATGACACTGGGAGGTGAATGGGCTTGTATGCATCGAGAAATGAAGCCTATTTTGACTACAGGAGGTCAAAAGAAGAGCAAGACATCCATGAGCCATGATCCTGTAGCCTCCACAAGTCAGTCACTCGACACCATGTCGGAGGAGATGGGAAAAAGACTCAAGCGAAAAGTATCTGATGCTGAACAAAAAGAAGATGATGATACAGATACTCACGTCGATCATCAACAAGGCGCATTATTAGCTGCTGTAGGAAAAGCCAAAAAAGCCATCATATCCAACAACAGTCGACCTAAACGCCATGGAAAGCAGAAATATGACCAAATCCCCTTGGATGAACTAGACAATGATAATAGTAGTAGCATGATAAAATAAAAAATAAAATGTGGGATAGGACATGTTCAAAGTCAGCAAGGACATCGTTAAAAAAAAAAAGTTTTTCTTTTATTATTCTTTTTTTTTTTGACTATCAGTTATCGATGTCTGCTCAACAACCCAAAGACGATCAAGAAGCCAAGATCATTCAGCAAGAAGGTCTCAAGGCCCAACTTGCTCAGTCTGTAGAAGCTCAAGCCCTTAAGGTCCGTCAATTGAAGGCTGACAAGGCTGACAAGACAGAGATTGACAAGGAAGTAGAAGCCTTACTTAGTCTCAAGAAAGAATTGGCTCTTTTAGAAGGCGACAAGAAGGCTGACAGTGGTAAAAAATCTACTAAGCCTGCCAAGACTAGTTTTACTTTAAAGACGGCCAAGGTAAACAATACTCCCTCCCCCATGATGTTACTTAGATTTGAAACAGGGTACCAAAGATTACAATGACAAAGATATGGCTATTCGTGAAAAGGTCTTTAATACTATCACCAAAGTCTTCAAGAAACACGGTGCTGTCACTATTGATACACCTGTTTTTGAACTCAAGGTAACCTATACGTGTGTTTACAATATGAACTGATCAGAAATCAAACAGGAAATCCTTGCTGGTAAATACGGTGAAGACAGTAAATTGATTTATGATTTGGCCGACCAAGGTGGTGAAGAATGCTCTTTGCGTTATGATTTGACAGTTCCTTTTGCTCGTTTCTTGGCCATGAATGGTAAAGAATATCCCAACATTAAGCGTTATCAAATCGCCAAAGTATATCGCCGTGACCAACCTGCCATGACCAAGGGTCGTATGAGAGAATTTTACCAATGTGTAAGTGAGCTCTAGGATGTTCAGGACTGATGCATGCTTAGGATTTTGATATTGCTGGTACTTATGATGCCATGATCCCTGATTCTGAAATCCTTCGTATTCTATGTGAAGCCTTGACTGATCTAGATGTCGGTAAATTCACGGTCAAGATCAACCACCGTAAGATTTTAGATGGTATTTTTGAAGTCTGTGGTGTTCCTGAAGCCAACATTCGTCCTATTTCTTCTGCTGTTGATAAGCTTGATAAATTACCTTGGGCTGATGTCAAGAAAGAAATGGTGGAAGAAAAGGGTCTGGCTGTCGAATCTGCTGACAAGATTGGTGAATATGTCAAGCACAAAGGAGGTCGTGATCTTTTAGAGATGCTGAAGAAAGATACTGTCTTGATGGCCAATGCCAATGCTGCTGCTGGTCTCAAGGATATGGAAACCTTGTTTGATTATTTAGAAATCTTTGATGTAATGGATTTGATGTCCTTTGATCTCAGTTTAGCCAGAGGTTTAGATTATTATACGGGCATTATTTATGAAGCCGTGACAGAGAAATCTGCACCTCCTCGTAAGTACAAGTAGACAATTTCCCTCTTTACTCACCTTTCAATAGAACTTGCTGAGGGTGTGAAGCCTAAAAAGAAGGAAGGTACAGATGAACTAGATGAATCTACTGTTGGTGTGGGTTCGATTGCTGCTGGTGGTCGCTATGACAACCTGGTGGGTATGTTCTCTGGTAAGAACAAGAAGGGTGTTCCTAACCTTCAAATCCCTTGTGTGGGTGTCTCTATTGGTGTTGAGCGTGTGTTTTCTATTTTGATGTCTAAACAAAAATCAACCGAAATCAAGAGTAATGAGACTGAAGTCTATGTTATCTCTGTGGGTGATGGTCTCTTAAAGGAACGTATGGCTATTGCTAAACAACTCTGGGATGCTGGTGTCAAGGCTTCTTATATGTTCAAGAACAAACCTCGACTTGATAAGCAATTTGATGTTTGTGAAAAAGAAATGATCCCATTGGCTGTCATTATTGGTAAAGACGAATTAGAGCATGGCCAAGTGCGTATTAAGGACATGAGAGCCAAGGATGAAAGTCAAGGTGGTGGTATGACTATTGAACAGACTGATATGATTCAGGAAATTAAATCCAGACTTGAACTAATGAAATAAACGTCATACGCTCTCTAAAATTTTTTTTTTTTTATATCTATATATATATCTTTTTCTTTCGGTAATTTATATAATGGAGAATCATCCTTTAACTACAGAAGAACCATTATCACACCCTGAATTATTACGTGAAATTAATAAAGTGGATCCAAGGGATAAAGAAGTACCTCCTGCAGTCATTGTTCACTATGAAAATCCGAATCAAATTATACCTCCATTGACTCAACAAACCCTATTGGATCCAGTAAGTGTCATTGAACCAAGTCTTTACTAACTCAAACAAGGACAGGAATAATGATGATGATGATGAAATGATGGATGATGAATTGATGCGCATAACTGAATCTAACCGTCATATTCCGTTTCTTGAAGAGAACAAAGAAACAAGCTTGCATGGTTCAAAATCCTTGCGAAGTCAAAATGTCACATTTCGACGCCAGTTGCTTGTCTTTGCCGATCATCCCAGTGTCACAAAAAAACCCGACCGTATCATTGTCCTGAATCATTATGGTGCTGGACCCCAAGGTGTTTTGCCTCAAGAATTAAAGCCTACACGTCGTTCTCGATCTTATCTTGTTGCTTGTGATTTCAGTGAAGAAAGCTACCATGCTATTGAATGGACCATGGGAACCATGATGCGGGATGGGGATAAGCTGTATGTGGCTGCTGCTGTGAACCGAGAAGATAATCCAGAGGCAGTGAAGGAAGCAGGCTTGTCTTTATCAAAAGAAGTAAGATCATCAAAACAAGACGAACGGCTGAGTTTCTTTTTGATAGTTAAAAAAGGCATCTGATACTGTCACAGAAGAAGCTAAAAAAATTCTTAATCAAATGTTACTATTTGATATACAACTCATCACTTTTGCTATTTGTGGTAAAGTCAAGGAAGTCTTGTTTAAATTGGTAAGTGTACACCTAGTCTGAATGTTTTTAAAACTAATTGAATTCTCAGATTGAAGAACTCTCTTTGACTATGGTTGTCTGTGGTAGTCGTGGTAGAGGCACTGTAAAAGGGTATTTAATGGGATCCATTTCGACTTATCTTGTACATAAATCACCTGTCCCAGTGACTGTAATTCGACCTCAAAAGAAAAAGAAGGCACCTCAAAAGAAGACAGTGCGTGCTGCTCCTCTGAGTCAAAGTAAGTCGATAGTTTTATAATCATATCTAATGTCATTCTTTTTGAAGGTGTTGAAACAGGTCAATTAGCAGTAGATGAATTAAGCAAGACATCTCAAGCTAACTAATGCTATGTATATTTTTATTGTTATTGTTATTATTGAAAGATTTTGTTTTCATCATCATCTAAAGGGATATCATAATCATCATCATAAGGTGCTAATTGACCACTATTCGTAGATAATGTCATGTACTATGTATATAATTAAAACATTACTTTTATATATATATATATATCGACACTTACTTTGGCTTGGAAATCCCTATTTAAACCCTCTAATTTGTTCATATAAGCAATACGATCATTTAAACTAGACAAGTTAAAAATACGGTCTTCTAAGCTAATGTCGACTGTTTGTTGTTCTTCATCACTAAAATGAACCATTTTGACATGTTGGTCAGTCATAGAGATGGAAGCAGACACTTGTCTTTGATGAATCTATTACTCTATGTCAGTATCATCATCATATCACAATGATAACCAATTACCATTTCAATCAATATCAATTCTAGTTCTTCAGTAGACACATTCAGTTTGTTGGCCATATCATCCAATCCAACTGTCATATAGACTTTGGTCATTTCCTTAATCTTTTTACGACGTAAAGACTGAAAGCATTGCTTTACTAAGCCAATATGTTTATCCTAAGCCAATCAATAAGGAGTATCAATCACACATCACTTACAGATTCAAACATTGACGATGATTTTGAAGCCATATCATGAAACATATTGAGATCTGAATTCTCAAATGCTCTGACAAGGTTCAAGTAAGGTGCAGCGTGTGTCCTGCAGATCTTTTCAACAGACTGAGCTGTGTATTTAGCCAATGGTCTGACTTGACCTTCAAGGATCAAGGAAGACAGCACAAACTTTTTATAAGCAGCTATCTGAATAGCGCTGATTGTCTTTTGTGTAGGCGCAGAAATCACAATGGACAAAAAGTCTAATGCACGCTCAAAGTTCTTGTTGGCTATATACACAATAGATCCATAATAATAATATTCCAAAAAGCCTTGTATGTCTATATCATATCTCTATTTTAGAGTGAGTGATTGCATACTATAGCCATTGTTTACTTGCTTTAGGATCAATGATGTCAATGTCTTGATTCAATAGATCAAGTGGGAATCGATATGCTTTTGCTGTAATACATGCCTACAATAATGATCTTGTAAGGTTTTGGGATGAATAGCACCCTACCTTACCTGTAAAAAGGGAGCATGAAGCGATGTTAAGGCATGACGAGAACAAGTAAAACGATCAATAGCCACTTTAAAGCACTGAAGGGCAAGTAATGGCTATCACAAAAGCATGAATAACATCTTCACTAGGGATTGCCTTACTTTTTTCAAGACGTGTGTCAAGTGCAATAATGCTTTACCAACAAGGGTTACTGGAATAGATGAGAATCAAGATGAACATGCTTATCCTTACATTGTTTAGGTGCTTGTTGTATCTGTGTAGGATCAAATACTTGAATAAAATGGCTTAATAGTTCATACAAGTGAGCTCCATTATTCGCAGTTGCGTCTATACAACGTGCCGTTCTATTCAAGACTAAATAAACAAAGTCTAAACAAAATAGACGTACATGAAATACAAGTAAGCTAATGAGTGCGATACTGGGTTTAATACAGTCAGAGGATCAAGACCGTCAGACGTGTAAGCTAACAGTTGTTGTGTGGATAATGTGTTTAGGATGGCTGCATGAGCATGAGCTTGATCAGAAACAACAAGTGCAATCACTTCGTCAATAGAGTTGGGTTGTTCAATAGGCGTAGAAGAAGCTTCTGGTGTTGCTTCAGGTGAGTTGACCATCATTAAAAATAATCAAAAAAAAATAGAAAATGCGTGTATTTCTTTTTGAGTTACACCAGAGTACTTAAGCTTGTTGATATCTTTATTTTTTTATTGTGTAGCGTTAAATAGTTATCAGCTTAATGAATTGAGTACCCTTTCGTCCAAATCCATCGTCAAAATCACCGTGAATGTTAGTAAGCATTGTTTGCAGGTATCTAAAGCATTTATGTAGGTAGAAACAGGCTTTATGCTGTCGTTATATGTCTAGAAAAAGACAAAGATGTGTATGTATCGTGGACTTTTTTTTTTTTTTTTTTTTTTTTGCTGTCAAAGCATTTGTTTACCTGATGTCTTTTATGTGCCATTAAGTAGCTTATTTGAACAGAATATCTTGATAAAAATAAAAATAAAAGAGAGAGAATGTTTGCCCATAAAAGTCTCAAAGTATTGGAAGGTTTTATGATGCCTTAGAGCTGGTTCAAATGACTATATATTACCATACATTCGCAGCTCTCATGTAATTACTCGCTTTGTCTATAGCCGAGATACATTCAGCTCAAAATGTACAAGGCCATTTGCAATTACCTAGATAGGCAAGCTTGAACTTGCTCTTATACAACAATATCCCAAGTCATCGACTAGTAGCAAAGTGAGCTAATTTTATACATAAAAAAAAAAGAAGTAAAGGTCAACGGTTTTTAGGATTTACACACAAGTAATCAAATGAAGAGCATTATAGGATACATTTAGTAGACTGTAATCAGTGATGCAACCAACTTCAGTATGAGTCATCAGTAATGAGATGCATCTTTAATGGGATGAGTGAAAAAAAGAGATCGAAGCGCGAAAGAAAAGAAGATGAAAATAAAGACTATCGGTCAATAAAGCCTTTTTTGACTCTGTTGTATTAAACAAAAAAGAAACACTTTTTCAACTACTTTTCTTTAGAATACAGGTACTTCATTAAGGAATCAAAAAAAGTACATGCGCAACATTACAACTTGATTTGCTTTGTCTATTTATTGACTATCAGGTACACATAATAGATTGTTCTTTTTTCTTGTCATGTCGTTCATTATTTGTTAACTGACAAAAAAAAAAAGGCATCATATAATTTACTGTTAAGAATATATCTCTGAACCCACTTTATTACACAAATAAATGATAAAATACTCTACATAAGCCTATCTTTTTTTAAGGGAGTAAATACGTTTGTGTTGCTCTTTTTTGCTTATTGCTTTCATTTGAATATCAACTATCACAAAGACTTCTTCCAGATATATATCACCAATTCACTATTCCATTTTCAAGTCAAAGATGGCACAACTTGGCGTCTACAGACCTCAACATAGGATTTGATTTAAGATAGAACAATGTAATAAACTATTTTAGCACCTTATTGTCATTTTCATTATCACGTCAGAACGGATCAAGCATTGTTGATCACAATAGTTTATTCATCATGATAAGGCCTGAGTAACAAGAGTCACTGAGTCGGTTACCACCGATCTAAGTTGTCCCTTTGGATTAGAATCAATCTCTACAAGACATTTGTTGTAAGTTATGTCGAAAGCTGCCGCTATTATCATAGAAAGTGTCGAGTATTATAGTATTTTTTACTCACAAGTGTTTTGTACATAAACTGGTGCTATAATCAGGGCTTGTTTGCTATTCGATATAACAAAAAAGGGCTATTTTACTATCATTCACAGTGTACAATGAACTTTGAATGCAAATTCGAGGGTAATGCTCAAATTGACTCAACTTTTTCATCTTACTAAACTCGTTTTCTTTTCTTCAGAAGTACCTAGACATATCATTGCCTCATTTTGGTTGGATCAGATCTACATTGGGTCATTCCAAAAATTCTTATTTTTTTTTCATCTTCACAGACTTCCGTGGATCTCCCATGGGTAAAAAAAAAAAAAAAAAAAAGGGGGAGTGGCCAGGTGGCCATTTTACGCTGGTTAAAAAAAAATGTTGAACACGAATTTTTTTTTTTTGCACATGAAATTCAAAATCAGCGACTTCACTTTCTGAAATGACTGTAAGTTAGCTGTTGGTGATTCAACACTACGCAAAGCATTCTCTGGGTCGTGGTAAAGTCATGCAAGGACATTAGTTTACCCTACAAAGCAATCATAACTTCATTCCTTTTGGGATCAGATACACTTTTACCTTCTCATAGTTGATCCTGTTAGTATCAAAGCTTGTCTTTGAGAACCAAACAAAGTGCTCCTTCATGTGTCAAATGAAATACGTAATGAAAATCTATTGTCAATACCAAGTCTAGTACTTTTGCAAATAAGGAGCCTCAGAAAAAATCCAAGAAAATACATGAAAAGAATAATAATAATAATAATAATAAGAAAGAATACAAGCAAAATTGAAAATGAATAAAGAGAATGTGCAAAGATATAAAAAATAGTCCAAAAGATATGCGGCAACAAGAAGAAATGTTTTGGATTTGGTATACATATAATAAATTGGTTCTTTTCAGCCAGAAAATATGATTAGTTTCATGACAGCGTGCAAAGGACATCGTGCCGTTGGAATTGGATGTATTTCCTCTATAAAAGTCCTGGTTTAACCAATGATGAGATTGAGCTCATCAAAAGAATAGACACATACAAAGGATCGTATCATCGCATAAAGGTAGCATAATGTCTATTGATACACGCCTAAACACTCTACATGCTTAAAGATAATGTTCGTTAGCATACATGGTACCTTTGGAGTCAATTTGGACCAAAAAAATCCGACATGTCCAAAATGACCAAAATATACGTTTTGACCAAAGGATATTACTCATGAAAGTCGTTGGTTTGACAACCTTCAATCTTGTTTTTGATGCTATAAGACGGAAAGTAGAGCTATCAACAAGCTTAAATATTCAAAATGCGCACCAAAAGCTATAGTTTTTTGGTAAATGTGGTTGCTTTCTGATTGTGCTATGAAAACAATGAGATATAGGCCAAAGACCTTGTACGCATTTATGCCTATTTGATCAATATTCTGCTAACAACAGCTTAATGACTCCTACATCAATAGAACCAGAAAGCAAGGATTTACAGCTTTTGTCACTGCACCAAAGCTGAATAAGTGCGTCCTCATGTAGTTCTCAGCAAAACCTTAATTTTTGATGCGGCTGAACAAAATCGAATTGCTTTCATTTTTCTCTTGTTTCATTCTCTACTTCAAAATCGTTTGTGCGTGTGCAGGATATTCGGATGCTACTTATAATATACAAGATCAAAAAGATTACAGTCAAATGCGCTACGAAAACCCACACAGAAAATATGGAGACTAAAATATACTGAATATAATAATTTAATACCAAAGGGTTTAGATGGGGTTGTAAATTTTCAGGTACAGTTTAACCAACATCATCCTTCACCAGATTAGTACAAGCTTAATAGCTGTATTGTATGAGAAAGCATCTTTTGAATTTTATAAATCAAGCAGAGCAAGAGAATGATTATATTGTTACTTACATTAGGTAATGAGGAAGTAGAGAGAATAGAAGAGCAGCAGATATTAACCAACATGTGTCAAATACTTATACGTATATAAATACTCCCTTTAGAGTCATGTATCTCGGTAGACCAGCAATAACTAGCCAGGAGAAGGTTGATATGTCTGTATCGACAGACATAATGGGCTTTTAATAAATAACCTAAGCTTTTATTTTACACAGTTTATGACACTAATTTATTATAATTTGGAGAGCTTATTCAAGGATGGAAAGCATGCAATTCTTTTTGTATCAGAAGATGGTAAAGCATTTCTCAATACGACCATGGCACAATATCACAACATGGTTGACATAGAGAGTATATATTTCACTTACACTCGATATGAAAGAGAGCAAGGAAAGATTAATAAGTAATTCCCATCTTCGTATCTGCTTAAATCATCAGATCGTGACTATGTTCTTCGCGACTGTGGCTTTTTCGCGTATCTGTAATGGCCAACTCACTTGCTTTTAGTGTTACCATTATTTCACCACGCTCTCTTTCTCTCTTTCTCTTTCTCTTTCTCTTTATTTTTTGTCTTGTGTCTTATTTATTTCTCTCTCTCTTATTTCTAGGCTTATAATACGCATAAATCAAACTATTAAAGTGAGCTATTGACACGATATATAACCATGGAAAGAGACCCACCATCACCAGCAAGGTAAAAATACTCGAGAGAAATACAAAGAGGAGCTTTTTTTTTTCTTTGTTTTGTCTGTCTATTAACCTGTCTTTTATGATAGTAGTAATAATAATAATACAACTGAAGCTTATACAAACTCATACAGTGCTCCATCTGCACCACACGATGCTACAACTTCTTCTTCTTCTTCTCCTGCGATGACTACACCAACAGCAGAGAATAAAGCCTATTCAACAGCAAGTGTTCATCAAGAACAATCATTATCAGATCATCATTATAGTAATAATAACAATCAGCGTAGACTGTCTAATTCTCCCCCGCCTACTAATTTACCGCGGTTGCAGTCACCTGCTACTACGACTGCTTCACCTTCATATTCCAGACAAAAGACACCTGTTGCTGAATCCAACAATAATACCAATGGTTATCGACCTTTGAATGTGAAAGATGCCTTGACTTATTTGGACCAAGTCAAAGTCAAATTTTCAGAACAACCTGAAGTCTATAACCGCTTCTTGGATATTATGAAAGAATTCAAAAGCCAAGCGTAAGTAAAATTCAGCCATCGAATGTGATTTTAACACCGACGTAGTATTGATACGCCAGGCGTGATTGAAAGAGTCTCTACATTATTCAGAGGACATCCTGCATTAATTTCGGGATTCAACACATTTCTTCCTCCAGGCTATCGTATTGAATGTTCAACAGATGCTCATTTAAGAGATGTAATCAAAGTGACTACGCCTACAGGCACTACTAGTACAACAAATGGAGAGCCACTTGTGTTGCAGTCAGAAACAGTGGACAATCGTTATTATTCATCAGCTATGCCTGTTCATTATCGGAGTTCGCATGGACAACTTCCTTCCATCTCTGCTTATCATCCTCCTCCTCCTCCTTCATCTTCTTCTTCTCAGACTCGCCTACCTTCTCAGCAACATAGATCTCATTCACCTCCTGCGAACGACATGAATACTCGACGAGCACCTGTTGAATTTAATCATGCTATTAATTATGTCAACAAGATCAAAAACCGATTCTCTAATGATCCTGACACTTACAAACAGTTTTTAGAGATTCTACAGACATACCAAAAAGAACAGAAGCCAATTCAAGAAGTATATGCTCAAGTACAAATCTTGTTTAACGGCGCCAATGATCTTTTAGCTGAATTCAAGCAGTTCTTGCCTGACACATCTCAACAACAACAACCAGTGCCAGCAGAATATTATACACCTAAAGGCAAGTTGAAAAAGAAAGCCATGGCAGGACTGTCAAAGCAAAAGAGAGTCAAGACACACCACCCAACAAGCAGTAAAGGCGAACATATGATCACTTCTGATGTTAGATCAGGTCGACAACCGATTGTTTCCACAAGCCATTTAGAAGATGGGCCTATTATTTCACTTGTAGAAGTCGAATTCTTTGATCGCGTCAAGAGGCATATTGGCAACAAACAATCTTACTATTCATTTTTACGTATTCTAAACATGTTTAGTCAACAAGTGTTTGATGCTAATACACTGATTGATAAATGTGAGCCCTTTTTGGGAGGAAATAAGGAACTGTTTGAACATTTAAAGAAACTAGTAGGCTATGATGGACATGATCGTATTATTGAAAATGTACCTTTTATTCCAAAATTCGACCACGCAACATGTCCAGAACACGGCCCTAGTTATCGATCAGTGCCCAAGAATGTAGGTCTTGTTTGCTGCTTCCCTTTCTTATAATTAACCTGTTTTATAGTGGCAAAACCAAAGTTGTTCAGGCAGAGATGCTCTTTGTTGGGAAGTTTTGAACGACGAATATGTCTCACATCCTACATGGGCAAGTGAAGACAGTGGATTTATCGCATCAAAAAAGAATATTTATGAAGAAGCCTTACATCGTGTAGAAGAAGAAAGATATGACTATGACATGAACATTGAAGCCAATCTCAACACAATCACACTGCTTGAACCTATTGCTAAAAAGATTGCATCCATGTCCGAAGAAGAAAAGAGCAGCTTCAAGCTCTCTACTGGGTTAGGTGGGTCATCAAAGACAATTTATCAACGCATCATCAAAAAGATTTACGGCAAAGAACAAGGCATTGAAGTGATTGATATGCTACACAAGAATCCTGCTCAAACAGTGCCTGTGATTCTTAAGCGATTAAAGCAAAAAGACGAAGAATGGAGAAAATCACAGGTAAATGAAACATAGGCAGCTCAGCATTGACATCCGTAATTATCTTTTAGCGTGAATGGAACAAAGTCTGGCGAGAGATTGAAGTCAAGAACTATTACAAAGCACTTGATTATCAAGGGGTTATCTTTAAATCAAATGATAGAAAAGCAATGTCTGTCAAATACCTTGTGACTGAAATCGAATGTCTTCATCATGATCAGCCTGCAGACATGCATAGAATCCAGCCTCAATTTGCATTTGAATTCAAGAGCAAAAAGGTCTTTAAGGATGTTACGCGTGCCTTGTATAGTTACTTTGAGCGACAAACAACGTATGGTCATGATGATTGTGAAGTCATGAAAGCATTCATTGAAATGTTCTTGCCTGTCTTTTTTGATGTACCTAATGTGCTTCCCGAAACAGACCAACCATCACAGTCAGATATCACTTTAGAAGAAGATGAGGAAGATGTGGATGATGAAGATGCTATGGACGAAGACGAAGATGACGATAATGATACCCAAAATTCATACGACTCTTCCACAGAATCATCTCGCTCTACTCGAAGAGCATATTCTCGACGAGCCAATGGTAGAAGGTCACCTCGCCATAAGCCTACAGATGATGACCATCAACGGTTACTTAAAGATGTCCTGACAAAGACAATAAAGACACCTTTGGAAAAGACATCCAAGAAAGAACAGCTTTTGATAGAGGATGACGACGAAGAAGAAGACGAAGAAGAAGAAGGATCTGTAAAGCAACACAAGATTTACAATTTATTTGGCAATACTACTTTTTACTGCTTCTTCCGATTATTTCAGGTAAAGAAGAGAAAAACAGATGATGTTCAGCGAAACTTATTTCTTTATCTGTATAGACCTGTTATGATCGCTTATACAAGATGAAACAAATTGATCGAGACTATAGGCACAATGGTGAAAAGGTCAAATTGATGAACAAGGCAGCTTTAGAATTAAATATTACTAGTACTACATTTCATTGTAAGTATAAAATGACTGTCTATAGTCTTGCTTATGCTGTTTCTCTCTTTTTAGCTATTGAAATGGACTTTAGAGCAGGTTATTATAAAGCCCTCTTAAAGTTAGTTGATCGATTTTTGATGATGAAATTGATCAAAATGTGTTTGAAGAATGCACAAGGTATCTCTTTGGAAACAAGGCATATATTATGTTCACTATTGACAAGCTTATGCTATCAATCATGCGCCAGGTAATACGATTCATTGACTAGTCCTTATACTCATCACTTTATCATAGCTTCATCACATTGTGACAGATCCAAAAGCTCAAGAACTGCTATCTTTCTTTAAAAAGAACCATGAACATGAAAAGAACACACCTGCTTTAACACAGGCCTATCGACTTGAAGTGATTGAAGCTTTAGGCGATGATGACAACTTGTATAATTTAGCATTTGATACTTCAAGTAGAGTGTTATCCATTCAATTGTTGGAAAAAGAAGACGAGACATATGAACTGGGCGATTTTGACGGTTATACCAAGTATGTGACAGACTATACCGACTTGAATATTGAGACTGCTGGTGTGGATCATAAACGACTTCAACCACAATTCTTAAAGAGGTAAACAGCATAGAAATGCAACATTAAACTCATATCTTTTTCTTCTAGAAACTTGACTGCTTTTGAAAAGAACGATACTCGAGTACAATCTAGCTTGCAATACAAAATATGTCAAAATACCTATCATATGTTCTTTGTCATCAATACTGAAGACGCCTTTGTTCGTCTTGGTACGACAACGAATGATACTTTAGCAGTAGACAATCAGAGAACTAAAGCATTCAGACGATGGCTAGATAAAGGAAGCGATACAAGCGAACTAGACGAAAAGACACGACTGATTTTCCAGTAACATTTATGTAAATACTTAAAATGCATTTTGAAACATGCTGCTATTTAATATTCTGACAAACAAATAAACATTATGTGTCATGCTTTTTCGGTCTTTATCACAAGTCACTCTTGCTAAACCTACACGTTACTCGTATTTGCTTCATTCTTTTCGCTTTTCTTCTGTTCGCAACCATATGACAGTTCATACAGGAGAACGCTTGAAAGCACTTCGAGCTTTGTTCAATACTGAACAACAAAAAATAGACGCTTTGTAAGTCTATTTCTGCTTACATATTATTTATTTACGCGTATACCTTAGCCTTATTCCTTCTGAAGATGCTCACCAAGTAATAAAGAAAAAAAAACCTTGTCTATATATGTTGAATAACATTTATTTGTAGAGTGAATATGGTGCTGACTGCGATGCTAGACGCCACTGGATCTCTGGCTTCACTGGATCTGCTGGTTTCGCTGTTGTTTCGAACCATGAAGCTGCCTTGTTTACAGACGGTAGATACTTTTTACAAGCTACTGAACAACTTGACCAGAACTGGACATTGATGAAGCAAGGTCTTCCTGGAGTTCCTTCTTGGCAAGAATACATTGTTAACGTAAGTCAACATATGTTTGTATTTAGCTGATATCCTTCCATAGAGACTCCCTCCTGGATCACGCATTGGTTTAGATGCCACTCTGACTACTGTAGCTGATGCCTATGAACTCCAATCCAAACTAAGCACAGTTCACTCTGAACTTGTGCCTGTCAAAAAAAATCTAGTCGATATTGTATGGGGGAAAGATAGACCTTCACCTCCTCTTGATAAAGTCTTTGTTCATCCAGTTGAATTTGCAGGCAAGCACTTCTTTTTTTTTTATGTATAAAATATACTTACGCTTACTCAAGGTGAATCGCATCAGGACAAACTTCACAAATTACGCCAACACCTTAAAGAAAAGAATCAATATGGTGTGATTGTTTCTGCATTGGATGAAATTGCTTGGTTGTTTAATTTGCGTGGTTCTGATGTTGACTGTAATCCTGTCTTTTATGCTTATGCAGTTGTCACACAGAAAGAGACAACACTATACATTCATCCTGAAAAACTAACAGCAGAAGTACGTCAACATCTGGAAAACATTCAACTCAAGCCCTACGATGCTATTTTTGCAGACTTGGGTGAACTAAAAAATACACTGACTACAGTCAAGCAAAAAATGATCATTGATGGTAATACAAGCATGGCCATTGAAAATGCAGTAGGTGCTGAATTTGTCATGGACGAACGGTCTTGGATCAACGATGCCAAGGCTATTAAGAACGAAAGAGAATTAAAGGGTATGCGTGATTGCCATGTCCGTGACGGTGCTGCTCTTGTTCAATACTTTGCTTGGCTTGAAAAGAAATTGAGTGCAGGCCAAACATTAGATGAAGTTCAAGCTGCTGATCATTTGGAGAAGTTGCGTGCCTCGCAACAGAATTATGTGGGCCTTTCCTTCCCCACAATTTCATCGACAGGTCCTAATGGTGCCATTATTCATTATGAACCAGAGCGCGATCATTGTAAAGTAATTGATCCTAATCAGATCTATCTTTGCGATTCTGGTGCACAATACAAGGATGGTACAACAGATGTTACACGTACATTTCATTTTGGTACACCAACAGAATTTGAAAAGAAGTGCTTTACAGCTGTCTTGCAAGGTCATATTGCTCTAGATACTGCTGTCTTTCCTGCAGGCACAACAGGCTATTTATTAGATCCTTTTGCTAGAATGTATCTCTGGAAACAAGGGCTTGATTATCGTCATGGTACTGGACATGGTGTTGGTTCTTTTCTGAATGTCCATGAAGGCCCTCATGGTATTGGTGTAAGAGCCCCTTATAACAACACACCTTTAGCAGCTGGCATGACAGTAACAGACGGTAATGAAAATTGTTCTCCATCATGTTTCTCATCTCTTTTCCATAGAACCTGGTTATTATGAAGATGGCAAATTTGGTATTCGCATAGAGAACATTTTAATTGTTCGTAAAGCAAACACACCTCATAATTTTGGTGATCGTGGTTACCTTAGATTTGAACATGTTACTATGGTACCCATTGGCCTGAATTTGATAGATGAGGCCTTATTGTCTCCTACAGAGAAGAAGTGGATCAATGACTATCATGCTGAATGTTATGAAAAACTAAGCCCTCTTGTTGCTTCTGATTCTGATGCTATTGCCTGGCTTAAAAAAGAAACGCGTCCATTATAAAGTATGTCTCCTTTTTTTTATTGTGATCCAAAGAATTTAACACCCATACTATCTTCGTCTGTTCCTTTAAAAATCTGAGCAATTCCTCTTTTGACAAGAATGTTTAATGCTTTGCTTAAAATAGCCTTATCTAATTCAAAGAATTCTGTCCTTATGTGTCAATCCAATGTGGTTGTTATTCGTTTCTTACCTTGATCTTCTGCTAATTCACCATGCGTCAATTCATAGAATGTTACAATTTGATTATTTTGACCTGTTTGATTAATCTAGAGACAACAATGTCAATTCATCATCACATAATACAACATACCCAATCCCAGATTAAATTAGCCCAATCTTCAGGTGTATGCCAGTACAAAAGTGCTTCTGTCTTGCCACCCTTTGATCCTCCTTCCCATTCAGCTGTACCTAAACTATTAAGTTGATAACAATATTGTAGATATCTGCACATACCTTTCTGTGCCATTTCATCTATAATACTCTGTAGAGTTTCAAATGACAAATTTCGATTTATTTTTTTATTTTCAAATATAGCATATCCTCCCGGTGTTGTAGCTTGATGAACATCGAGTCGAAAGAGTCTGTTTTGTCGAGCATAAGCTAAAATAAAGGTTTCCCATTGAGCAACTTGACTTTTCCAAGTAGCATCTGTGATTTGACGTCTACTATAGGTTACTATATGTGTATTTAAAGCCTGTTTATATGGCTTACGTGAAAAAAGGTGGAAAGTCATATAAAGCTGGATATTGAAGTTGACTCATACTAGAAAAGAAACAGAGAAAAAAAAAAAAGAAAGAAAGGTACTGTTTGAAACTACGAATTTAGTAACACAGACATCTACACTGGTTATTGTTCAACATACGCTTTATTGAAAGAAAGAAATTCGTATGAAATATTAAATGTTAAAAGTTGAGCAATGAGATGCATGAAGAATATTCATATTGTTACTTAAAGGACTTTTTGGATTAGGATAATTTTATTGTTGAGTTCGACTGACAAAAAAATTGGGTTAATTTTTATTTCGGATCAGTAGTGTTTGCAACCAAGTAAATCAAGTCAAGTCTAAATGAAATCAAGTCGGTTTCAGACTTGAATTATTTGATGTGGACTTGCAAGTCGAAATTAAGTCTTGATTCTCATTTGCATAATGAGACTTTACGAATGAGAGGAGGCTCTCTTTTTCAATGACATGTACAATCAAGCTTCACTTCAATAAATTATTTGCATGAAAGTTATTAAATCTTTACCTTTTGAATGGTTCGGCACTGATCAATAAAAACCTGGGATTGCATTTCCACAATTTAAGCAAGGCGGTAATATATTTTTGTCTGTGCCATGTACAAGCGTAAGCTGCGAGTATATATTTAGTTGATCAAGCCAGCTAATAACAGAAGAAAGTAGTCGCCCGCCCCCCACTGCAACATGTTCGGAAAACTGGTCCGAACAATTGTAATTGTTTTTATACTAAATTTATGCAGTTCAATCAGTTCATTTGCTGTACCTGTGCCTTTTGATGGGAAAAGTAACGTGAAAATATCATTGGATGGAGAAAGTGCTCCGAAATCATGCAGACTTATCAAGTCAAAACAAGTCAAAACACGACCGACATGATTTAGACTTGACTTATCTCAGACCTGAGTAAACCTATTTGATTATGAAGCCTACAGATCAACATATAACAAGACATGAGTCAGAAAAGGGCAGATTCAGGTACAACCTCACATCATTTACCTTACGATTGATACAAGCAAAATAGAGCGAGAATATCCTACATATAGGCTGACCAAGTATATAAATATAGCCCCCGCTTATTTGAATAAGAAAGGAGGGTTTTACAGTGTACTTTTTGAACGTTTTTACACGTGCTTATAAGTCCGCTTATTTCTTCAGGGTTTTGTGTCTATGGCAGTTGTCCGATTTAAAAGACAGATGAAAGAGGGACATGAACCCTTTTTTTTTTTTAATAGAATAACGTAGACCTGATCTTGTGGATCCAATATGTTGTTTGACATGATCAACCCGAGCAGAAAGAATGACAAGTGTCTAAACGCGTCTATACAAAACTGTATCTAAATCAGCGGAAATTCTTAATAAGTAACTTTAATTTAGGATTGATTGGTGGAGGAAACAGGAAAACTTTTTTGCAAATTACAAATTGATACTTTAAAACTTTATCTCTCTTTCTTCTCTTTTGTAACTTTTTTCTTCTTTCTTTACTTTTCTCATATATATGTCTTGTTTACCTAATTTTCATTAATGAAAGAAAATATGGAACAAAATACAACCAATACTTGTTCAACTCCTGAACCTTCAAGAAGATATGTTCAGTGGAGAGACGAAGATGTCGGACTTTTGTTATCTGACTTGGAACAACCAGGCCATTATGGAAAATGGAAAGAAAACAAATCTGGTTATTCAAAAAGAGTAGCTGAACAAGTATTCAAAAATGTCATGTATCATGAAGCCATCAAGTTCAAAGTACGCTGGCTAGAATCTCGCTTTAACCGTTGGCACGAGCAATTAACTTCTCCTCATGTTGTGCAAGATGAAAATGCTGTAAATAATATTCGAGGTAATTTATATATTTATATACATGCACTAAAATTGATGCTCATAGAAAAAATGATCAAGGAATTTCCTTACTACGATCGTTGTAAGCCTATATTTAGTTCATTCACTGTAGATTTCCCTGCTGTACAACATCCTATTGCCCCTGCAGAGCATATGTATAAATCAGACTCGAATGAACTGTCTACTGTTCTGAAGCCTGAACCAATCCATATCACAGCCGAGACACCCGATATCACTTTCTCATACCAACAACAGACTGAACCATTTGGCAATAAGCGATTTTTAGATGCTACTGAATCTTTAGTTAACAAGAAGAAAAAATATTCCATCAAATCCGCTATAAACAGGTAAGAAAAGACACACAACAAATGATGACTGATACCTTGTATTAGTGATTTATCAGAAGAGCGAAGAATTAGAATGCTTGAAATGGAACTTGAACTTAAGAAAATGGACCATCATGAACGCATGCAAGAAATGAAGCTTGAACAATTAAGACTGGAAATTGAACTTCAAAAACTAAAACGCGATATACAACCATGTATTCAACATACCTCATCCATGACCAACACTGCTTCTGATTAGATTTTTTTTTTCAAAAAAAAAAAAAAAAAAAGAAAGAAAGGATATTTAAGCATGTTTATGACCCACTACGATACCTTTCATTAATTAAATGATTTAGCATGATTGTGTTACTGAACAATTATGTAAAAATAACACTCATTGTAATTCTTTGTACTATAAAATTCAATTTCTTTAGTGAGGTTAACACTTTACATGTGTAACCGGAAGATCATGCCAAATGCATTAGAAGAAAAGTTTTTTTTATGCCTCGGACTTGGAAGAGAAATGTTCGAGCCGAAATTATATTTGTACCGGACAAGTCTACGCTCTGCCCATACTGCGTTGCGGATTGAGAGTAAAACCATGATCAACTGAAATGGATTCCTCCTTCTCTATCAAGTAAAGCATTATTAGCCATGGTAAATACACCATCAATCAAAACCAGCCATCATCCATCCACCTATTAATCCATTCAATTAGCCTACTAGACTTCACCACAACAGAAAGAAGCGTGGACACGTTTCCGCCGGTCACGGTCGTATTGGTAACTATCGAGACATCTCTATATAAACACATGACTGATTGGCATCGTATATAGGTAAGCACAGAAAGCATCCTGGTGGTCGTGGTCTTGCTGGTGGTCAACACCACCACCGTATCAACATGGATAAGTACCATCCTGGTTACTTTGGTAAGGTCGGTATGCGTCACTTCCACTTGAAGAAGAACCCCAACTGGCGTCCTGTTGTCAACCTTGACAAGATCTGGACTCTTGCCGGTGAAGGTGTCCGTGAAAAGTACAAGAACACTGAAAAGGTTCCCGTCATTGATGCTCTTCAAAATGTAAGTTATATTCGCTTGATAGAATCGTTTCTAACTTTCTCTATAATAGGGCTATGCTAAGGTTCTCGCCAAGGGTACCATCTCTCAACCTGTCATTGTTCGTACTCGTTTCGTCTCCAGCCTCGCTGAAAAGAAGATTAAGGCCGCTGGTGGTGTTGTTGAACTTATTGCCTAAGTTGCACACTCACATTTTCAATAATAAAAAACTACATGCTTGACACCATTCTTTTTTTTTTTCTTTTAGATAGTATGATGATCTTTTTTTTTTTTATTTTATGCGATATCATTTTTAAGATATTATAAAAGCAAGAGAGAAACAGAAGCGATTGCTGGGTAACATGAATTATATTAAAAGATGCAATATATAATGTTTTCTGAAAAAAAGGAAAGTTTGGCGGGGGGAATAGTATTTGCATGAAAGAGGCACGCAATTTATTTAGAACTGGTGTACTTGGTAACAGCCTTGGTACCTTCAGAGACGGCGTGCTTGGCAAGTTCACCAGGGAGGATAAGACGAACAGCGGTTTGGATTTCACGAGAAGAAATGGTAGAACGCTTGTTGTAGGCAGCCAACTTGGAGGCTTCGGAGGCAATACGTTCAAAGATATCGTTGACGAAGGAGTTCAAGATAGACATGGCCTTGTTGGAGATACCAGTATCGGGGTGGACTTGCTTCAAGACCTTGTAGATGTAAGAGGAGTAGGTTTCACGACGAGAGACCTTCTTCTTCTTGCCATCAGCAGACTTGACTTTAGTGGGTGCCTTACCAGCAGCAGTTTCCTTGGGAGCCATCTTTGATTATAATTGTAAAAAAAGTGAAAAAGAGAAAAAGAATTTGCTGGGTTTTATATTTTATTTTTTTTCGTGTACAAAATTCCTCATTTGTTTTTTTTTGTTTTGGTGTTTTTACAAGTAAAAAGATGCTTTGTATCTGTCAAAACATCATAGTAAACCGCGAAAACAAACGCGTGAAGACACGTGGATACGCGTTGATCTATAAGTCTATCAATTAAAAAAAAGTTGTGATTTTTCTTGATATCGGTGGCTATGTACACGCAATACAAAAAAAACAGGTCCTTTTTTTTTCTTAAAAAAAAATTCACGTAAAATAGAAAAAAAATATATATATAATGAAAAAGTGACTTGTTTTATGTTGCAAAAAAATCGAATGGATTATATATAAACGAACTGGTTTTCTTTTCTTTTTTTCCCTTTTTTTTTTCTTGTTCGTCTTGCTTATTATTAAACATGTCTGGTGGTAAATCTGGTGGAAAGTCTGCTTCTGGCTCCAAGTCTCAAACTCGTTCAGCTAAGGCTGGTCTCCAATTCCCAGTTGGTCGTATCCACCGTCTCCTCCGTCGTGGTAACTATGCCCAACGTGTCGGTGCTGGTGCTCCCGTCTACCTCGCTGCTGTCCTCGAATACCTCGCTGCTGAAATCCTCGAATTGGCCGGTAACGCTGCCCGTGATAACAAGAAGTCTCGTATCATCCCTCGTCACCTTCAACTTGCCATCCGTAACGATGAAGAATTGAACAAGCTCCTTGGCCATGTCACCATTGCTCAAGGTGGTGTTCTTCCCAACATCCACGCCTCTTTGTTGCCCAGTAAGACCAAGAAGGCTGGTGCTTCTCAAGAAGAGTAAACTGTTTTCTAAATAACACTATATAAAAAGATATTACCCTGCAAACCTCTTTCGATTATTATCATTATTCACCCTTACCAGTGCTAATCATTTAATAGTGTTATTCTTTCTCTTAAGAGATGCAAACCTATTAAACTATCCCCATTCTTTTTTATTTATTTATAAACTCTTTTTGTACAAACATCGAATAATTTATCTGATTTTTTTTTTTAAAAAAATGTGTGTCTGCATAAATCAATCAATCTTAACAAAGCACTATTTGGCTTGACAATTGTGTACAGTAGTTAAAGATGATCTTTATTAAGAATGGCTTCGTGCCCTTGTTTTTGACACTTGTTTTTTAATTGTAAGTCAATGTAATAACCAGTTAACCTAAACAATAGCTTTGTTTTTTTTGAGTTGAGTTTCCAGTGAAAACTGAAAAAAAAAAAAATGTTGATAATTATTAGAGTAATGTTGGCAGTTTTTGAACATGTCAGATCTTGCATAAAAAATCATTCTTATGCATATTTTCGCACAAGTCAACAAAAAAAAAAAAAAAAAAAAAAAAAAAAAAAAGGAGAGAGAGAGAGAGAGAGAGCAATAAAAGCTATTTTTTGCCATCATGTCGGCTAAGAACTTGCTCAATTTATATATATAATATACTAACATATTATTTGAGAGAATAATGTCATTACTGCAACAAATAGAATTTGTTCTCTAGACGACAATTTGCTGTTAAACCCATTTTCCATTTCAATGTAAATTTAACTTTAATTTCTTATTTCTTATAACAGTTCTCAGGGAATAAAAATACAATAAACATTGTGAAATAAGAGAAAAATGAGCTTTCAAAAAAAAAAAAAAAAAAAAAAAAAAAAAAGAGTTTCATTAAATACAAAAGTAATGAATTTTTGATTTATCCTTGTTAAAATGATTGTGGAAACAGTATATGTTCGCTTTCAAACCATCAAATAATGTAGTTCTTGTTTGTATGTCTGCATAACGTTACGAGATAAAGTCATGCCCTTTGTTTTGTTTTTACTCGAATAAAAAAAAAAGCAATAATATCAATTGATAGTTTATTCAATTAGGATAATCGAATTTTATCCTTTTGTCTAGCATCCTTTTCAACACCTAGTACTTGACAAATTGAGCTTATGCGTCCATAAAAATGACAAAAAAGTAAAGAAAAAAAAAACTTGCTATATATAACAGGAGTTTTTTTTTATTTTTTTTATTTTTTTTTTTACTAATTACATTATGATGCCCTTGGCCATACTAATACTGTTTTCTTTTCAATTGCATAATTAAAAATAATGCATGACCTCATCAAATATGATTAAGCCACTTACGTTTATTAATGGTTCTTATAGAAACAAATAAGCACCATTAAGATCTACTTGCATATGATAGAAATAGTATTTTTGGCTGACAACAAAGAAATCTTTTTCACAGTACTCTATTAAACGAACCCTTTATTAAACTCCTAAGATATAATTTCTTTAAATATCAAATAGGATACCTCAATTGTCAAAACAAACAAATACTCCTGAATTTTGTTTCTTTTTTTTTGGATAAACCAAGCTAAAGAGAATTACTTTTTAATTATTAAACTTTGATGGTTGAATCTATAAATTAATACATATGCATAAAAAGGAGAGGAACATAATGCAAAATAACCAATATGTTTATCAAAAGAGGAGGAGGAGGAGGGGAGGAGTTGTGTGTTTACTCCTTTACCAAATTCTTGTTCCACTGTGTACAACAATAACCTTAATAGGCCCCATTCTCACACAAAATGCCTAAAGTGATCTACCTTGATTTATTTTGATTGTCACGTGGATCAGCTGATTTAGCAAATTTGGTATCATTTCATGTTGGCATTTTCATAAACAAACAAATTCTTTAAAAGAAAAAAATGGAGTTTTTATTATATTTCAAGTTTTTTTTGATGGCGAGACCAAAAAAAGCGAAGTTTAAGCTATATACAAAATGCTGAACTTGCAATATGAAAATTGATTATCACCGAGTTAAAACTTTGGAGATCAAATTTGTAAATATAAAGAGAGAGGGAAATAAGATGCGTAGTAGGGATATTATATTTGATGAAGTTTTGTTTATGAATAGATAATTTATCCACCGAAACCATAGAGGGTACGACCTTGTCTCTTCAAAGCATAGACAACATCCAAAGAGGTAACAGTCTTTCTCTTGGCGTGTTCAGTGTAAGTGACGGCATCACGAATGACGTTTTCAAGGAAGACCTTGAGGACACCACGGGTTTCTTCGTAGATGAGACCAGAGATACGCTTAACACCACCACGACGAGCGAGACGACGAATAGCAGGCTTGGTAATACCTTGAATGTTATCACGAAGAATCTTTCTGTGACGCTTGGCACCACCCTTTCCGAGACCTTTACCACCTTTACCACGACCAGTCATTTTTTAGAATATAATGAGAAAAAGAAAAAAAAAAGTAGGGGAGACGGATCCGAAGTGGTGCTTTTATAGGTTTGGAATAAAGTCACAGGGAAGTGATTTTTTTTAAAAAAATCTTGAACTACCGTTCTATTTTTTTCATGAAAAAAAAATCGCTTGTAAAAAAAAAAAAAAAAATTGTAGAGACGCAGTCGCGCGTTCGGTTGTTTTCATTTTTTTTTGCGAAAAATGTTGTTTTTCTTTATATCTACAATGGACATATAAGCGTACAAGCAAAATAAAATCAAATTGAGTTCTCTCTGTTCAAATGATACAGCATGAATAACATTCATGCTCTTGTTTTTTGTTTTTGAAAAAGTACATGTTTTTCATTTTTTTTTTATTGCGTCTGGACATTGAGAAAAAATTTTTTACTTGTAAATTTTTTTTTCCATAAAGCGCGCTTGAGAATTGGGAGAAAAAATTCGTAATGAGAAAAAAAAAGATAGTTTCAATCAACCATATTTAGTAAAGATACAAAAAAGTTATAATTCAATGTCCGTTAAATTCATTTGAAAACTCCTTATAAAAAGCAAGGAAAAAAACGCTGCCCATTTTTAGAATTTCTTTTTTTTTTTTCCTAATACACTTTTTTATATCTTTAAAATGGCTCGTACTAAGCAAACTGCTCGTAAGTCCACCGGTGGTAAAGCCCCCCGTAAGCAACTCGCTACCAAGGCTGCCCGTAAGTCTGCCCCCTCTACTGGTGGTGTCAAGAAACCTCACCGTTACAGACCCGGTACTGTCGCTCTTCGTGAAATCCGTCGTTACCAAAAGTCTACTGAACTCTTGATCCGTAAGCTCCCTTTCCAACGTCTTGTTCGTGAAATCGCTCAAGACTTCAAGACTGACTTGCGTTTCCAATCTTCTGCTATTGGTGCTCTTCAAGAAGCCTCTGAAGCTTACTTGGTCTCTCTCTTCGAAGATACCAACTTGGCTGCTATCCACGCCAAGCGTGTCACTATCCAACCCAAGGATATCCAATTGGCTCGTCGTCTCCGTGGTGAACGTTCTTAAATCATCTAATTTTAATACAAATTTTTTAAGAATACCCTCTATTTTAAACTTCAAAACTTGCACCATGTCACCTTTTTAAGTATCATATTTCCGCCATTACATCAATAAGAAGTGATTTTTCAATCTTGTACAGCTCTAAATAAATAAAATCATGATAAAAAAAAACTATTGTCTCTTATTTTGCTTTTTTTTTTTTTTTTTTTTTGCTTATGCTAATGTATAAAAGAAGTTTTCATGTTTTACTAAAACGCATTTTGTTTTTATTTTTGTTTTTTTTTGTGCTAGACAACTTATTAACTGCATGTTTGATGTTTGGCTGTACATAATGAAAAATCATATACACTAGGAAGATCATTTCCTGCTTTAAAAAAATTGTTTTATTTACAAATAATCAGAAAAAAAAAGTAAAAGGGCATCAATTCTACAGATGAAAATGAAAGATGAATGATTTAATTTTCAAGAGACAATAAAGAGTTTAAAAGGGATATCAAATAGGACAAAATATGCTAGAAAATTATAATGATGGAAGAAATGTTTATATATTTGTTTCTCTTCCTCTTTACATTTCTTGAGAAGCACCAGCCTTCTTGGTCTTACTGGGCAACAAAGAGGCGTGGATGTTGGGAAGAACACCACCTTGAGCAATGGTGACATGGCCAAGGAGCTTGTTCAATTCTTCATCGTTACGGATGGCAAGTTGAAGGTGACGAGGGATGATACGAGACTTCTTGTTATCACGGGCAGCGTTACCGGCCAATTCGAGGATTTCAGCAGCGAGGTATTCGAGGACAGCAGCGAGGTAGACGGGAGCACCGGCACCGACACGTTGGGCATAGTTACCACGACGGAGGAGACGGTGGATACGACCAACTGGGAATTGGAGACCAGCCTTAGCTGAACGAGTTTGAGACTTGGAGCCAGAAGCAGACTTTCCACCAGATTTACCACCAGACATTTTATGTGTATTTCTTTATAAGTTTAAAATGAAGAAAGAAAAGGAAAACAAAAAAGTTCAATGCGAGCTTATATATATTTCTATGGATTTAAAATCCGACAATAATTTTTTAATAAAGTACGCGCGCGTGTTGTTATGAAAAAAAATTTTGACAAGCTGTCTTTTTTTAAACAAAAGCAAAGGTACAAAGAAAAAAAAAAAGAAAAAAATTTAGTGTTTTTTTTTACATGATTTAACAACTCAGATATATTTAATTCGAATGTAAATCGCGTTTTTTTCGCGATTTCACGACTTTTCTATTATGTTTTTTTTCTTTTTTGATTTTTCACACTGTGTAAAATTTTCAAAAGGCACTTCTATATTTGGAATAAAAGTCACGAATACAAATGATATATAAACTCATGATTTTTTCCTCGACATTTCCTTTTTTCTCTTTTCTTTTGTAATTAACTTTTATATCAAAAATGGCTGCTGATCTCCCTACCAAAGACAACAAGAAGACTGCCCCAAGGGTGACAAGAAGAGAAAGATCTCTCGTCGTGAAACCTACTCCTCTTACATCTACAAGGTCTTGAAGCAAGTCCACCCCGATACTGGTATCTCCAACAAGGCCATGTCTATCTTGAACTCCTTCGTCAACGATATCTTTGAACGTATTGCCTCCGAAGCCTCCAAGTTGGCTGCCTACAACAAGCGTTCTACCATTTCTTCTCGTGAAATCCAAACCGCTGTTCGTCTTATCCTCCCTGGTGAACTTGCCAAGCACGCCGTCTCTGAAGGTACCAAGGCTGTTACCAAGTACACCAGTTCTAAATAAACAATTCATACGTGTAAACGCCCCGCTTTTTCAATACAATTAAAAAAGAATGATTTTACAATTCATTTTTCATTACCCTACTTCACCTATTTACTTGTACAGAACTTTTTTTTTTCCATTCATGCCATAATTTCATTGTAAAGAAAATAAAGTATTTATTTTTTTTTCGTACTTTTTTTAATTTTTTTTTTTTTTATTTTTAATTATCTCATCTTGGGCAAAGTAAAAATGTCATTATCATTATCGGTTCCAAAATCATCCATATCAGCGTAAAAGGCACTAAGATCGTCTTGTAGGTTTTCTTTAGCTAATTGTGCCTTTCTTGCTTCTTCTTCCTTAGCCTTTCTTAATTCTTCTTCTCTTTGCTTCTTCTCTTGTTCAATTGCATATGAGAACTCTGAAGCATAAGAGGATTTATCCCAGTAAGCTAAAAGCCCGTCCATTTCATCGCGTGCTGGAATTGACCATTCTGACTGTCCATAGACGGGTATAAAACTTTCTTGACTAGCAAATGAGACAAGTACCTTACGTCCATCCACCTCTAATAACTCTCTCGCGTACTCTAAGGCCATAGCAGCATACTAAGGGCAATTCTATGAGCCTTACAATAAACTAACCCGAGAATGCTTACCTTCACAGTAGTAAATTCTACAAAGGCGAACTCGCAAGACATCTTGGTCAATTTATCTCTAATCAAAATAGCGCGATGGATGCCTTCTAGAGATTGTACAGCACTGTAGATAGATTCCTCAGTTGACAAATGGTCTAATTGGCGCAGAAGTATCATGGTACTAGGAGCAGTAGAGATATCCTTAGTTCCATCATTGATTTCGATCGTCTCGGTATCATAGGTGCGCTTTTCAGCAGAAGCAGCTGTTGACAATAAATAAAGCGTTCCCTGATGTCTAATAACTTACTCATATACGATTGTCTGCATTCAGTACATGTACGGCGACTAATTGGATTGAAATGACCGCACTCAAGGGGGATAAGTACAAGAGGTGAAACTGTATACATTACCTTTGTACAACGCCACTCTTCTCTGTCATCGCCTTGGTTGTTTCTTTTGCAATAATCAACACGTACATTGTAAGAATGCATATCAAAAGTTCTATATTTCTCAACAAACTGAATAGCATGTCCTACACTTGTGAAGCGAACAAAAGCGAATTTTCTGGATTCACCTGTTTCACGGTCTTTGATGAGCGACACATCATCAATACTAGCGCCCATATGAGATAGTTTGCTTTGAATCTACTTGTCATGATGATTAAAAAAAATAAGCAAATAAAAAAAGGGGATGCTTGTATGGTGAAATATACATCGATTTCTCTTGCTCTATCAGGCAAATTCCTCAATACCACATTAATATTGGGTGGAAGCTGTTCTCTTCGCTCGTTGTATCTAAATTCGTCTTCGTAACTTCTCTTATCATCAAAAGAAGAAGAGCGTCTATTATCAGACTGTCTTTCTTCACTGTGTCTATTGCTGCTGCTATGACGGCTATTTATTGCTTCCTCCTTTCTTCTTGAAGTAGTTTTCTAATGATAATAAGTTTATATATACAAGTTTGGCTTGACATACTTGGTCATAGTGGTCTCTTTTATGTCGGACTGGACTAAGTGACCTTCTTCTTCTTCTTGAGGAGGACTCCCGTTGGGAATAAGAGTGTCTTGGCATAATAATCAAAGGGAAGAAAAGAAAAAAGGAAAAAAAAAAAGAAAGTGACTGAAGAAAAATAAAGGACTTCGCACATTCAATTTAGAAACCTTTCATTGCCCATAACTCCTTTAATCAAGAATAAATGAATAGACAAGGTAGATTAAGCTAAACCCATTTAGCACTATCTTGGTAAAGGTCTTTTGAATTTATAACTTTTTTTTTCATATTCATTACGTAAAAATCAACATTTTTACATGAATTTTCCTTCCTATTTAAAAAATGTTCGCATTTCCTATTGTTGCATTTTTCATTCTTCAATTAGTACAGTATGTTCTTTTCTTTGTCGATATTTGTAAGCTAGCTTTTAGACGCTACCATGCTTCCTCAACAGAAAAGAACCTATTAACCATTCTATGATTTGAGGAACAAAACTCCGATAACTCGGGGGATGGGCCAAGGGAGGGGGGTACAAATAAGCAGAAAGAGAAATCGTCTTATTTTTTTTCTTCTTCTTCTTCTTTGTTCTTGCTATGAAAGACTATTTCTTGCAGTTACTCGAGCCTTCTGTCCTCAAAATGGAATCTTGGGTCAAGTCAATCGCTGCTGACGTTCCACTCGAGACAGACTGGGCACAGTCGTCTTTTGGGTCTTGGTAAGATCAGCTTTAGTTGAGTCCCTTATACTTATGTTGAGAAATTTAGGTATAATGAGCCTCGTCAACATGGATTGGAACTCATGTTTTTGGCTTCTTTTTATGCTTTTGCTACTTTTCTATCTTTTCGTCGTCTGCTACGACCTGGTACGGAGAACTACAAGCTGTTGACACAATTTCAGCCACCTTGCAGAGCTTCTTTAGCAGAAAGAGCCATGACACTTTCACTTATATGTTCACTCTTGCTTACCTTGACACACAAGATTATTCGTAACAGAGTCTGGTTTATGATGCAACCTTGTCATATGAGTGGTGCCTTGCTGCTCTTTACATTGATTTACCCCAACAAACAATCCCCTTTTCCTCATATCTTCTTTAATATCTATCTTCATCTTCAATGGGGCGCTTTGGCTGCTCTTGCCTTTCCTGATTTGAGAGAACATAGCATGATTGGTGAAACGTTCAATTTCTTTGCAGGTAAAAGAAAATAATTGAACCAATAGAATAATGTTGAAATTGACCTTAAACTAGAACATATTCTCTTGTTGGTCGTACCTATCTATATGATCTATAGTCGTCGATATGTAGTATTACCTAAATCAAAGGATATTTTGTTTCTGTCATTCTTTACCTATAGTTTTTTCCATACACCTGTTTTGCATATCACATCTCTTATCTCTGGTTTCAATCTAAACTATATGTTTGCTCCTCCACCAAGTAAGTACATAATATCATAATCAAGGCACATTTTGGTTGCTAATATATGTTCAGTCAAAATCCTACTTCAATTAGGTCCTCTTTATAGAATTGTTATGTATGGTGCAGCTTTTATTTTCAAGTTTGTTACTCGTTTTATTGCAGTTGAAACGATACTTGCATTAATGCCACGCAAGAAGTTCGCCAATAACAATACATATCAACTTAAAAAGAAGTCGAAAAAAATAGAATAAATACACTTTGTATGTGTATCTGTTCAACATTGTATAGAAAAGGTTTATCAGATCATGCAAAATAGACGGTGTAACATAACATCCTCACTTGTTAAATTTAAAAAAAATACATATATATATACATTTAATAAAGAACTGTTGCATTGCTTTAATCAGAACGAGTTGGAAAATCAGGAGTTTGATGGAAATGATACTAAATCAAAAAGTAATTGATTGGAAGCTTAGAATGTCACAAGCATCTTTTAGTGCTTTAATGCGTTTTGTCGAGTTGGTTGTTACTTGTGTATGTATATAATTTACTTGTTTTTTTGCTCTCATAATTATTGATTGATCTATTTCCATTACTGCTTAGAGTCTCCTGCTGTTTATTACTATCAATAGAGCTTTCAACAATACAATTAAGCCTATGATCCAATCAACTTGCATCAAAAGCAGAGTCACACAGCGAGCACTCATCAATTGCACTTTTTTTTCTCCTCTACTCTTTAGCATTCTCATTTCTTTTTATATACAAGAACAACAGCAAATATGGTATGTCTATTAATATAAATATGTCTTTATAATTTTTTCTAATATGCTCTCTAATAGACTACCGCTGCTCGTCCCACCTTTGACCCCGCAAGAGGTAACGATAACAAAGCACCTAGTTTCCAATACAGTGCTCGTGATCTTGCCTCCCACACAAAGCTCAAGTTCAGACAGCCTGGCCAAGGTACTATCGATGAAATTGGTGATAGACAACAGCTTCTGGAAGAATTGAGAAGAGCAGAACAAGAATACTATGAAGAAAAAGAAGGCAAGGCTTCTACAACTCGTCTTATCAAACAACAAGAAGAAAATAACCAAGAGAAGCAAAGGCTCTTAGAAGAAGCTGAACGGTTAGCGAAACTAGACAAAGATGCTAGTGATCAAGAAAGTGATAGTGATGATGATAATAGTAGTAGTAGTAGGTAAGGATGTTTCTATTATAATTATTTTTTATTTGACAATCCTTCAGTGACGAGGATGACGATGACGATGATAACGCGGCAGAGTTATTAGCTGAACTACAACGTATTCGCAAAGAGCGTGCTGAAGAAAAAGAAAGACAAGAGCGTGAAGCTAAAGAAGAAGCAGAAGCTGAAAAAGAAAGAGAAGCAATGCAAGGCAATCCCTTGCTGAATATCGGTGATGAAAAGCGTGACTTCAGTGTCAAGAGAAGGTAGGAAATACACACAGAGCCAAGGCCAAGAGTTTTTTTCCCATGTTGGCACTTGGCAGGCAAAAGAAAAAAATAGTCACTCATATTTTGATAGATGGGATGATGATGTTATCTTTAAAAATCAAGCCAGAGGTGCTGATGAAAAGCCTAAAAAGAGATTCGTAAATGACATGCTTCGATCTGATTTCCATAGAAGATTCCTTCATAAATATATTCACTAAATAAGGGACATTTACTGTGGGTGATTATTTACAAATAAAGTTACTGCGGCATCAAAAAAAAATATGATATAAATAGCTGACCTTGTCGATCTCTTTATTTCTATAATTATGCCTCTTTCTTCTTCTTGTATATCTATTGAACTTCTTCCAGAATTTGGTTGGTCTATTAAAGACCAAGCTGTTTATGGCCCTGGATCAGTCTTCCAAGGTGTGTTTAGAATAATTTGTGTTGTCAGATACTAACATTTTATCAGGTTTTGTTAAATTAAATATGAAAGCATTGGATGTAGAAAGGGTTCGCCTTGTTTTTTATGCTACAGAAACCATTCCTCCTTTTGATATTGCACCTGGCGTGATGCGAACTTCTCGACACACTCTTTTTAGTATTCAACAAGTACTTTGGGAATCCAAAGACCAAGCATTAAAAGTGGATACCAATTCTGATTGCTCTTTACCTTTTACAATTCAGATGCCTATGGTTCAGTTTCCTCCTTCTATAAGCCACTCTGTCTATGAATGTCTTTTTCAGTTGATTGCTATTGTTGACACACCTGCTTCTCTGCAAAAGAAAGCAATGCCTATTAAAACTGAAATACCAGTTATATGTATGCCTTTTATTGAAACAAGTATCTTAAAGACGCCATTGCTTCTAGAATCTCAAAACGGACGTTTGTCGGCAAGGATTAAGATGGCCACAAAGGACTTTGTGCCTTGTGATTTTGTTAGCATTGGTCTTCACGTGGATAGCGCGAACAATGGCAAGAAAAGATCGAATACGCTCCAATATGTCACTGTACAACTCAAATTGATCCAGACTATGCAGATTCGTGTCTTTGATGATATACCTGATCAGACCAAGACAGTAGCAAGCGCTGCTCAGAAATTGCTGTTGATTAGTCGCCTAAATGGAAATAGTTCTTATTGTGATGCAGATTTGTCCCTAAAAATTCCTGCTGATGTTACTCCCTCTTACAATTATGGAAGACTCGTCCAAATCTCCTACAAGCTTCAGGTATCTGTGGAACAAAAGGGTCCTATGGGCGGCATCTGGAACTATATGGTATCCCTTGATGATATTCCAATGGCAATAGGTACACTTGGGCACGGTATTCGATCTTCAAATGAACTTCAAATGTATTCTAGTTGTGAACAACGCAATTCTGATATGCTTGTTCCTAAATTTATGAAGGCTATTGAATATGAAGATGCATTGCCAGTTTATGATCCATGCAGATTACCTGACTACACAACTTTAACTACTGCTACTGCTGCTATTAACTCTTGAAAGAAGTATTTATTGATTGCATTATTTATTTAGACCTTTGTATATATCTTCATTTCTCTGCGTGCTTCATAATAAAAATACGCATTTCTAGAATTCACAACTAAGTCTCATAGCCTGGACTCGGAAACAACAAAAATGTGCTAGACCCACGATAATCGCGCGTCATTTCGTTCACTTGTGTTACTGTACCATCTTGACACGCTTCATTCTTGCGATCTTTTTTTTTGTATGTTTCACAGAGGAAAATTTTACCCCGTATTTCCAGAAAGAGAAGGAGCCTGCCATCCGTGCCCTTCGTTCCTCCGGTGGGTCGGTAAAGTTTGTTTATTTTATAACCTATCATTTTCTTTGGGCGTTTACAAAACAAGAACACGTTACATGTAATTAAACGTAGATTGTAATTCCCTCAAATTCATTAGACTCGTATTTAAGTTTCTTTTCTTTACTCTCAGATATATGATACACTTTATACTGACCACTTCTCTTACATTAATGCGTAACATAATGTTCTTGGTTATGGCATCAATTAGAGGGAACAAAAAGGATGTACAAACTAATCATCATCACGTTTTCATGTTTGGGTGGTTTGTTTGGAGCAGCAACTAATTCCTTCAAAAAAATTTTGGGATAGATTTGTTTTCACTTGAGGAAATTTATTGAATAATACCTCTCTAGAAAGAAAAGAAAATTTCTGTTGTGGTACAGATGTGGTACTAGTTTGCTTAAAGAATACAACATGCGACAATATTTCGAGACTCTTTTTCATTCTGTTCCAGCTCTTTTCTTTTATAATTTCTGAAGATTTTGTGTGCAGACTACAGCTATTTTATACCTCAGTCATCTCATATACTATCGATTTCTCATTTAATTTCATAATGTGTTCCATGTGTGTTATTATTATTACATAACTGCGAATAACTAACCGCCCACAACACCTTCGGTCCTTATGCAAACCACATGTGAGGGAATTTGCATGATTTGTTTTGTCTTGACAGATGGTATTATTAGGTCAACAAAATGTTTGAGTAAATTTGCTGTTTCCTTTTTAAACTTTGAATCTCTTGATCTTACATAATAAGGAACTGATTACCTTCTTTCAATATTGAGCGCTTTGCTGATCATTTTGAAATTTAAACTTGTTGCCTCTAAACAAGATTTTCATAAGATCAGAGTCTCGCGTGAGTTTAACAGCGATAGTTATAGCGATTATTAACTACAAAATTGCATTTTGTGTATACTGCCACGCAAATCAGTAAAGCAGATATAGTTTTTTCTCTAGTAGAACGGCCATATCATATTGATATCTCAACAATCTTCATTGAACAATGCCATGATACGTTTTACTAGACTATGACCCTTTTCAAGCTGTCTTCCCAAGTTCAAAGAGATACCATCTATAGTAAATATGACACAAGATTACTCCTATAAATGAAAAGGATTTTGGGTAGACGAAAAGGCACTCTTGAATTTTGGGAAGATCATAAGAGGAAGTAAAGTGCATCCAGCTTACAATAGCCACTTCCCTTTATTTAATCACGCTGGATATATTTTAGTTAAAGGATTGTCCTTCGTGGCTTATCACTTTCTATAATATTTCTTGTATGCCCATTACATTCATGAAAAGTTCCTGACGTTTACAAGTTTTGTTGTAAGTCTTCAATCGCTTTAGATCATTTTCAACCTCTCTCTCCCTTCTGAAAGACATAAAATTTTAGAATTCTGTGTATAACAATGAGGTATTAAACCATTATCCTTTTTTAATCTGAAATCAACTTCTAGTACATTGAACACTGCAAGAATGAGCTTGGTACTTCCTTTTATGATCCTCCTAAAAGAGTCCGTTTTCGTCTCTCCAGACCTTCTCTTCCCCTCATTCACTTATGAAAATGTTCCAGTGCCACTATTACTTTAAATGAGATCTCCCCAAACTTGAGGAGACGTCTAAGTTAGAAAAAATGAAGAAGCCACTGAGGGCGATCATCCGGCGTGATTAAGTAAGGGGTTTACAAATTTTGTGCAACAACAAAGCAATTATCATCTTCAGATTATTGCTTATTTCAGTCTCCAGTGGTATTTATGCCGAAATTACAAGTATGCCATTTGTGTACTCAAAAAAATAATTTTTAGAAAAATATAAAAATCATTGCTTTAGAATAAAACCATTATTGTAGAATAAATCAAAAACATTTTCTGCAATGACAAGAAATAAAACAGAAGTAGATTTTTCAATTCTTCTGTTTTAAATATAAAAAAAAGCTTTTCTTTCAATTTTTCTGTTTTAAATTAATAAACGAATCTACTAACCAGTAGTCTTTACTTTAAACTAAAACAGTAAGATCACTATTTGGCAGACTTGTTTTCCTTTTTTTTTTTTTTTTTTTTTTTTTTTTTTTTTTTGCTTTAAATTAATAAACAAGATTTTTTAAATTCAAAACAAAAAATTAGGAAATATCTCTTTTTTATTGTTTTTTATTTCATAAAATATCTTCATTTTATTCTAAAGTAATGATTTTTATATTTTTCTAAAAATTATTTTTTTGAGTACACAAATGGCATACTTGTAATTTCGGCATAAATACCACTGGAGACTGAAATAAGCAATAATCTGAAGATGATAATTGCTTTGTTGTTGCACAAAATTTGTAAACCCCTTACTTAATCACGCCGGATGATCGCCCTCAGTGGCTTCTTCATTTTTTCTAACTTAGACGTCTCCTCAAGTTTGGGGAGATCTCATTTAAAGTAATAGTGGCACTGGAACATTTTCATAAGTGAATGAGGGGAAGAGAAGGTCTGGAGAGACGAAAACGGACTCTTTTAGGAGGATCATAAAAGGAAGTACCAAGCTCATTCTTGCAGTGTTCAATGTACTAGAAGTTGATTTCAGATTAAAAAAGGATAATGGTTTAATACCTCATTGTTATACACAGAATTCTAAAATTTTATGTCTTTCAGAAGGGAGAGAGAGGTTGAAAATGATCTAAAGCGATTGAAGACTTACAACAAAACTTGTAAACGTCAGGAACTTTTCATGAATGTAATGGGCATACAAGAAATATTATAGAAAGTGATAAGCCACGAAGGACAATCCTTTAACTAAAATATATCCAGCGTGATTAAATAAAGGGAAGTGGCTATTGTAAGCTGGATGCACTTTACTTCCTCTTATGATCTTCCCAAAATTCAAGAGTGCCTTTTCGTCTACCCAAAATCCTTTTCATTTATAGGAGTAATCTTGTGTCATATTTACTATAGATGGTATCTCTTTGAACTTGGGAAGACAGCTTAAAGAGAGTCTATGAATTGTATTTTTGATATTGCATGCATTTTTTACAGCCTCTTCGGTATCGTCAATGAGACTTTGTCAATGGTAAGTTAGTGGGCACATTTTTTTCAATATTAGTATTGTCTTTTAATGACGCTTTGCTTTCTTCTTTGATCAGTGTAATGTAACAACTTGAATGATTTTAGCTACATGGACTTTTGCGACAGATATCAAAGATATCTAATAACAGCTGTATGCAAAATATACTTAACTTATCAATTGATTTCATTTTCAGCAATGAACAAGATCCTTACAAGTTTTATGCAACAAAGTGTTCTAGAAAAACATTAAAAGTGCAGATCACAAGTCCATAACAAAAAGTTACTATCTGAAACTGTTTTCATATATATTTAGTATAAACAACAGCAAGTAAAGGCGCACCGCAGTAAATTATACTAATAAATATGTTGCCGCAGCCATGGTACTATAAGTTATATTTGTGTCCCATTGGTCCATAAATCAAACATACTTTCGTGTTACATGTGTGGAATAGAAAAAGAAATTTTTGCCTTACGAAAGCCAAGACAAATAAGATTGTTTGCCAAGTTCCCAAGAATTAGTTATCCTTGGTAAAATTAAAAAATGCAGCTATTGTTCATTTATGACGTTCATTTTCATTGACCATATTTTTTATGATTCAATGCTTATAAATCACTTCTGTTTTTTTTATCTTGAGAAATGTCTTTTCATTTATCAACTAGGTTCAATTTTGTCAAAAGCACATTTTGAACAAGCAGTTAATTAGAGGTCCGTTGAATGAAGATAGCATATAAAGAGACCCTTTTTTCTGCGTAAGGATCTATTTTATCACTGATATTATAATGGAAATCGCTCTCTTGCCAGAATTTGGATGGTCTATTAAGAACTCTCCAGTTTATGGACCTGGATCTGTATTTCAAGGTAGAGAAAAAAAGTATTACATTATCATTGATATTTTTGAAGGATTTGTCAAAGCAAAATTTACAGAAGAGCAATTAAGAAAAGCTGATAGACTTCGTATCGTATTTCATGCTACTGAATCTATCTACAGCTCAGCATACATCATTCCCATATACAACAATCAACTTTTTGGCACACAAAAGACTCTTTGGAAGCGAAAAAATAATATGGAACAAACTTCACTCAAATGGGAACCTGGAGTGCAAGCATCTATCCCTTTCATCGTTCAATTACCCCTCGTTCAGTTTCCTCCTTCAGCCAACATCACATCAGATGGGAAAGAGATGTCTTACCAATGTAGACAAGTACTTTCCGCCTATCTAGACGATTCAGAAGCTAGTGTGATCGCAAAATGTCACAAATCAATCAACTATATACCATTTGTTGAAACAGGTATATCTAAAAAACCAATCAATATATCAAACTTGGAGAAAACACCATTACCCGATAATGATAATACAAAACAGCCTTCGGTTAATGTGAACCTCCATTCACTTGATTATATATCTGGAGATAAGATACCTTTGTCCTTGACATTCCATCATATACCCAAAAAATCAATTGATTCTGTTTCCTTCAGACTGTATCAAGTCCAGACTTGGAATAAAATCACTAGAAGTGAAAAGTCAATGAAGGGTGAATTCAGATCAAAACACCTTGTCTCTCAGAATACTATCAATTCATTATCAGAGTCAGCAATCATTGAAAGTGGCGGCAACAGTGTTAAGTCTTCTCTCAGCACTTCTCTACAGATTCCAGTAGATACCTTGCCTACATTCACCTATAGTCCTGTCTTTTCGCTCTACTATTCACTAGAAATCACAATCACGAAAAAGGGAAAACTCTGGTCTCATAAACTTGATCTCAATCATGTCCCTATCAAGATTGGTACGCTTGGGTATGGTATTAGATCATCAGAAGAAATCAAGATTTACTCTGTATTTGCTAGTGTATTTGATCATCAAGCAAACCAAAGACAAGGTACAGTCCTGCCTGTGCCACGGTTTTTAAATGTAATTGAATATGAAGACACTTTGCCTGTATACATCAATGAACAACTTCCTACCTATGAATCTATTGTAAAGACTTAACTATGGAAACTGCATTATATAAATAATATGTTTTGTAGATATGTATATGCTTTTATAAGCCAAGAAGAAAGATTAATTAGAATAAAATATTTATTTATACAACTATGCAGAAACAAAGCTAAAGTATTGTCTTAGAGCATCAGAAAGCGCTTCAGGAAGAGAATTAATATCCCTCAATACCATGAAGTATTGGAAGGGGAAGGTTTCAAGGTAAGGGTTCATTTGAATACTGTATTTGCCATCCTTGATAACGTATTTGACGTTGGTCATGTTCAAAATGGAGTCTTTTTCGGGCTTATTGTCAACAACAATAAAGATCATCATGATTTGTCGATCTAAGGCGCTACGAACAAGAGCACGAAGAGTTTCATGATCTTCGCAAATACCATCAGAGAGAATCAATTGAAGTTGCCATAGTTCAGTGTTGCCAGGACCAGAAGAATGCTTTGCATTTTCGAACAACCCAAGTGATGTTTCAATCAAACTCTTGACATAGGTCTTTTGTTGGGCAAAAGTAAATTGTTGAATGACATTGGCACCAGATTCAGCAGTGAAAGGTTGGTCGAAAGGATGCAATAAACGTACACGTTCACCAAATGAAGTAATTGAGATATCGCCCACTTCCAATTGTGAAAGAGCTTTAGAAATAAGCGACAGTGCTTCATAAGCAAGTTGCACCGAGTGAGACTCAGACATAGACTTGGAATCATCAACAGAAATCATCACTTGGTATTGACGCTTGCTTGGCTTTGTACGACGCAGCCAAATCTTGTCTTTCTTGAACTGACTTGCAATATAAGGGATAATCTTCTTCATGTTCAAACGCTTGCCTGTGCGATAATCACCCTTAAGTTTGGTGGCCAAAGTGGGCTCAAGAATCAAACGAAGCTGTTCACACAGTCCCATAGCAAGATCATGCGTTAGATTTTCATAGCCTTGCCAGAGTTCGCGAGCCTTGTTGATGTCACGACCTTCTTCTCTCCATTCGGATACTTGAGTTTCAAGCTCGTCTCTCATACGATTGATATCTTCTTGTTCAAAGGGCTCACGAGCAACGACAGATTCATCCATGGTCAAGACTTCAGAGTCATCAAACATTTGATTTTCAGGCAACTTCTTGCTAAGAATAGCGCCCTTTGTATCAGTAGAGCCAGCAATATCCAAGGTATCACGGGGCAGTGGCATAGTGTCAACATCTTCAGTTGCTTGATCAACGTCCATTTCTCCAGAAGTTTCTTTGCCATCTTCTTTCTCTTCATCTATACCAGCCATCTTCAAATCTTGGACTTGGTCAGCTTGTGCATTACCCATGGTTTGCATATCATGTGCCTCTTCATCGTTCTTGACATATTCAAAAGAGTTATCTTCGTTCACCTTAGCATCTTGGGCGTCAGCATCATCTGTCTTTTCTTGATTCTCAATTTCCTCTTCTTCATTATTGTCGTTAAGATCAGCGAGTCTTCTTCTCCATTTTTCTAATGCATCACCAAGACTTCTTTGGGGATTTGATTGAGATTGACTAGCATCTTTCTCTTCTCCTTCATCGTCTTGATCTTCCTTTCCAGCTTCTTCTTCGTCTTGATCGGCTTGATTGATACCACGCTCAGACTTTCCCTTGTTTTCCTTCTTGTCAAGTATTTCATCTTCAGCATCATTTGAGTCTGCCTTGTCATCATCACCTTCTTTTTTACCAGTAGAAGTCTTGCTTTGCTTTCCAGCTTCACCTTGAACACCAAATTGATTATCTGCAGTAGTATCGCTGTTGGGTTGTTCGCGATTTTGAGCTTGGCTCTCTTCCTCAGCTTCCTGCTCATCTTCTTCTATCTGTCCGTTCTTTCTGTTTTGCTCTGAATCACCCACTTCAGGTGCGACTTGTTCCTTTTCTTCTTGATCCTCTTCTTCACCAGTAGGATTTTCCTTTTCTTCTTCCTCATCTTCACCAACTTCTGTGTCTCTTTGAGCAGAAGCATCAGCCATCTCTTCGTCTTCTTGATTTGTGTCTTGATCGACATCATTCAAAGGATCTTGGAATGTTTCGACTGACTCATCTTCTTCTGGAAGTTGTTCTTCACCTTGGTTCGAAGGCTGTTCATCCATGTCCATAGGATCATTCATGTCTTCACCTCCTCCTTCCTCTTCTTCATTATCGTCATCACCATCCATATTCAAATCATCAGGCAGTTCTAATGTCTCGGCTTCAGGAATTTCAGCGTTGAGTTGTTCACCAGGTCTATTTTCTGCATCGTCCTCATCTTCCCCTTCGCCTTCACCTTCCTGTTGATCATCACCTTCTTTTTGATCGTCCATCTCTTCTTCACCGTCACCCTCTTCACCATCAGCTTCTTGCTGTTTATCATTCTTTTCTGCCTTTTCAGGCTTCTCGCCTTTCGATTCTGGCTGTTGGTCGTTTTCTTCTTTTGCAACAATCTCAGACTCTTGCTCTTGTTGCTGTTGACCTTGATCGTCTACTGTCTTGTCACTTTCTTTCAGGTTTTCTTCAGCTTCGTCACCCCACATCTTATCATCAACAGCATCTGGATCCATATCGTCAACATCGCCGATTTGCTCATCAGGCTCGTCTTCCTCATCAGAACTACCGGATTCATCATCTTTATCCTCATCTTGTTCCATGTCTTCAAGATTTCCGTCAAAGTCGTTCTCCATGTCCATACCATCTTTTTCCTCTTTAGTATCTTGCTTCTCATCCTTGTTGCGTTCTTCATTCTGAGTACCAAGAACTTGCTCTTCGTCTTCAATTTCGTTGCTAACATCTTTACTACCTTCACCCTCACCAATACCAGTACCATTCATCATACCATCGGCTTCGCCTTCTTCACCATCATCTGCACCAGCAGGCATACAGAAACCCTTGGTAATAATGATACTGAATGAATTGACAAGACAATAAGTCATCTTAGCCATAGACTTGTGATGAATCAACATTTTAGCAAGTGTGTGTTGAACAATAAGCATATATTGTTGCAGGAAAGGATAAACTTCTTGCAACAAATGAGATATTTCTTGAACTTCAGAAACTTCCTTAGAGTCAGAAATCAAGTTGTGAGCAATGGTCAATAATTCTGCACAACGCTTAGAAGCAGCTTCAAGATGAAGAGCACTAGCAAGTGTGGACTGCTTGCCGTTTTGTTGACGAATGAAATCTTCGGCCATTTCCTCGGTATCGCCAGCTTCTTCTGAGGCTATCTTTGGGCTTTCAATGATATTGGCCTTCTTCAAATCTTGAATAGAAACAAGAGCTGTGTCAATAAAACCATGAATCTTTTCACGAAGTTCAACGATTGTGCCTTTCTCGGTTTCTACGGGACTAGAACTTGAGATAGATAAACAAACCTTCTCGATATAGCGCATGATAGGGAATACAACATGGCTAGATTGAGGAAAGGTTTGCATGACACTAATCAAAAGAGTATGAGCAGCATTGATCTTTTCAATGTTAGAATTAATCAATTGGTTGACATCAGAAGACAAAAGTGAAAATTCGAGACCAGTAGCAGCCTTAGGATAAAGATAACGTTGAACAAACCAATAATCCACAGTCTTTTGAACCTTTTGTATTTCACAACACATGCTTTGTACATCCTTAAACATTTGCTGATTGTTGTATCCGACTTGCAAGGAAATTACATTGACAGCTTGGTTCATAAGAAGAGCAAGTTTATCGACATGCACCTTATGGTTCGTCAATCGACAGCCAATTTGTGCATCATTAACAATTTGATGACCTTGAGATACAGAATCATAAAGAGCCGAAAGCTGAACAGACACACCTTGAAGAACTTGGACACGCTCCTCAATACGAGCCAAAAGAGAACGTTCTTTGTTGGTAAGGGCAAACATATGCTCTGTAGCACTTAGGGCACGTTCTACTTCAAGCATAGAAAGATCTTTACTGACGTTGGTTGTACTAATTGTTCTCAAATGGGTTAATCTAGCAATACAGCGGAAATAATAGTCATTAGCCTTCTTCCATTGTTCAATCATATCAAATGTAGCACAAGAAAAAGTAGACAGTTTTTCCTTTTGAAGATCTCTACTTTGGATAGTAGAATCCCATTCAGCAACTTGTTGCCGGAAGAGAACGGTAGTATCAGAGTTTTGTTCTTTCATTTTACCTAGACGAGACTTGAGACCGAGACGACGAAGTTCTTTCAAAAAGTCAACCAGTGCTTTCTTTTTGAGAAGTTTTTGGTTTTTGACAAGCGACTTGTTTTCTTCAGTCATGACGGAAGGAGTTTCTTTTTGGAAGTGCTTGATCTGTTCAATCATTTCAGTCATAAAGTTTTCTAGGGGGAGGTCCTTAGTTTCATTGTCAGTAATATAGACATCCTTGCGACAATAAGCACGCATTCTGTTCAAGGTAGTTTGAAGATTACTCAAATGCTGTCTGACAGGTGGAGCAGAAGTCCAGTCAAACTCGTTGTTGGGATCAGGCAAGTTTGTATCACACATCCAGATATTTGGTTGGGAAAGCTGATCCACAAGACCACGGTTGATATCTTTGGAATAACGCTTATCATCGCCAAATTGATACATAGCATGCTCTTCATTGTAATTAGCAATAATAGTCAACATAGAATTGTTGAGGACTTCACGGTACTTTCTGATACATTTATGGAGCTGTCTATGTGTCTTGGAAGCACTTTGACGGAGAGCATAAATGTTGACATCCTTCCAAGTGGCAATCTTGACAAAGTCCTTCAATTCTTTCTCAATAGGTTTACGTAATTGAGCCAACATAGTATTAGCATGTTCTTGGAATTGAGAGTAATACATGTAGACGTTGCGCAAGATAGTAGCTGTCTTATCGTAGTTTAATTTCTCGCCTTCAAATGTAGAGAGTTCGGCTTGAACCTTGGTTTGGCGGTAGAAAGTGTCAATCATCTTGAGACGAGGTTCTAGTTCAATAATAGAAGCAGTTTGGATAAAGTGGTCAAGAGCACCAAGCAAATCACGAGTATTCTTTGCGTTCTGTTCTTCATCATTGGACCCAAATGATGTGTTGTTGACTGCATCATAAAGATGGAACCACCAAACAAAAGCAGCATCTTGATGATATTGTTCCTGAGCAGCCAATAATTTGGGCCAGCAGTTGAGTTCAAGTTGTCTCCAGCCGATAATCAGATTAATAAGCTCTTCTCGTTGATCTTTCAAAGATACATGCTTGGCAGCATAAGCTTCCCAGTCTTCTGATTTTTGTAGCAAAAGTTCAATACCAGTCAAGAATTTAGCAACAGGAGACAAGACAGAGAATGTCAAGATGCGATCACAAATGACAACCAATTGCTCGAGAATAGCATGCTCAGGCCATTGCTCAATAAGTTTTAAGACACGAGCCTTGAATCGATTGACAATAGGCTCAACTCGCTTAGCTTCACCAACATTTTCACTTTGATAAAAATCGTAAATGTTGTCGCTTGTCATACCAAAGGAATTCTCTGATTCAAGACGGTTGATAGCCAATGAGGCAACACGAAGGTGGCCAGCATTACAGACAGTATCGACAGAGTTGCTGAAAGCACTTTTGGCCATAGAAGCAAGCTGACTAGCAACATTATAAGACTGAATAGCTTCACGGTCCCAAGTCTTGGTAGAGCGAACACAAGAGTCACGACTATATGTTTCAAAGAGAACTCTATGAAGATGCCCAATGCGATGAATATCAGTGTCGTCTAATACAGACAATTCCTCGACTACGGTAGGAATAGAATCTCTCTTGGTTTGGCCATCCTCTTCGATAGTCAAATCTGCAAAATCTTCGTTGAAATCAGCAAAAATCTTTTTCAGATCTTGTTCTTCTAACTCTTCGTCAGTAGGTGGTTCATACTTTTTAGCACGAGTCCTGAACAACGCTTCCTTTTCTGCAGCCATCTTTTGTTTGTATTCTTCGGCAGACTTCCAGACTTGAATGATTTCACTAAACAAAACATTCACAGCAATAAGATCATCAGTCTTAAGATAGGCATTGGTATTGACACCAATAACAAGACGTTGAAGGATGACAATCAAGAGACGAAGATAGAAGGCCCATTTTCTCTTTGTAGGAGCTCTCTCAAAATAATGCTCTTTAGCTTAGCAATTTTGCCCGGAGAAGCAAGAGTATGCCATTCGAGACTCGAATCATGGTGAGAAACGTCAGGATCGCGAACAAGAAGTTCTATGACCTTAGAAAGGAACTTGTCTGTAGGATCACTTCTAGCATTGGCAGTCAAGATGCGCAAACCATATTTGATATCATCGACAGCGACAATCAAAGGCTGAAGGATGTCCTTATACAAGGGAACTTGTGCATCACTCGATCAACAAATTGGAGAGCATTGCCTTGAAGAAGGTCTTCACGTTGCAACACAGAGTCGACACCATTGGCTTCAAGATCAACTAGTAAGTTTTCAACGTTTTGATCGAGCATGCTCTTCTGAAGATATCGTAAGTCAACAAAAATATCATCTAACTGAGATCGAGCAGGACGCAAAGAGAAGATAGTAGAACTTTGAGCCAATTGAGCATTCACTTGATCTAAGTTGGATTGCTCTTGCATGATCTTTTGATTAGTGTTGCTACCAGTGTATATCTTTTCAATGTTGGAACGAACATCAATATTGTCTGCGTGTTCTTGTTTCTTCTTCATTAACAAATCGACCTGAAGACGAGGTTCAGAGGTAGGATCAACAGGATAATCTGGAATATATGCAGAGACGAAAGCCAAGCCTAAAAGAACACGGGCTTTACCAGCAGCAGAGTAAAATCCTTCGAAGCTCTTGCTTCTTAAGCATTGTATGCTATCGCTGATAGAAGTAATACCAGCAGCAAAGTACTTGTTGAGATTGTTGCTTTGTACTAGCTTGAGTATTTGGGCAAATGCAGACAAAGCTTCTTCGCATTGAATGCTAGCATCATTGTTGGAGTAGATGGTAACTCGTAACAATGTACTAACAAAGTCTGAGACCTTAGCAAACTCTGAAGAGATGTTGTTCAAGAATTCTTTAGTCAACATTTCTGATGAAGCATTCAACAACTGTAAAAAGAATAAGTAAACACATCTATAAGACAATATCTTTAAATACACATACCTGTCGAGCCATAGCAATTAATGTAGCAACCTCAAGTGCCTTTCTATCTTTTAGATTAACATTAGCCGTTAGGAAATGCTTCAAGTTCTTCAGCTGAGTAAGAGCGTTGTCATAAGCTTCAACAGGCATCTTCTCCACAGAGCTCAGAATATTCAAGCAAACAAGAGTTTCAACGCTTTGGAAAAGGTTAAGAGAGCCTTCAGTAATTCCAAGATCCTATTCACAAAAAGTCAGTATTTGATACTTCTCTGATATACTTACAATTTCATCTTCAGAGGGTGTTAGTTGATAAAGGTTCTTTTGATAGATACTTGAACGCCAAAGACGTTGATGATGAGTGTAAGCGGCATCTTGAACCATACCAGGGAGAGCACCAGAGAAAGCTTCAGCATTTCCAGAATCCAAGAACCAGACAAGACGCTGATAAGGAACTATGTCTTGAGGAGGGCGAGAAGTCTTGTCGAAGGCAAACTTTCTAAACTTGAGCATTTGCTCCACCAAATCTTCCAAGACAGCAGTGTTAGAGATACTGCAGGCAGTATGGTAAAGATTAGCAATCAACTCCATTTCATGAACCACACTAGCGTAGTCGTACAAGGGTATTAGGGCAGTATCCCAGAAAGTATCTCTTTTAACTGTTTCTTTGGAAGGTTCAGAAGACTCGAGTTGGCCACGAATATATTCAGGTAACTTTTGGAGAGACTTCACAACTTTCTCGGTATTCTCACTATCATTTTCATTGACTGCATAGAGTGTAGCAATGCCTTCAACTAAGGCTTCCTTGGCTTCAGGGTTGGCATGCAAAACAATTGATCTGGGCGCAAGACCATCTTCTGAGTTAAATCTATAGCAATTCATGGTTTCATTGACCTTGTGAAGCTCTGTTTCCAAGTCATGCAAAGATTTAGATGACAAAGTGGCAGGGCAGAAATATTTCCACAAAGCCTTCATAGATTTGCTTGTGTTGAAATCAAATCCGGACATGATATCTTCAATTCGAGTAAAGACCGGATCCATGTGAGAGAACTTGATATCTGTAGCAGACATAAGATCTTTCATTATTTTAAGGATAATTAGGAGATTGTCAAGACTTAAGCTTTGCAGCTGAGTAAGATTCCAGGCATAATCTCGAGCATCAAGAATTTTGCTAAATGCTTCAAAAACGTGTGCAGAACATGTATGATAATAGCCTTGATTGATCCATGAAGCAAAAGCAGACTTGATGGATTCAAAGAGAGGGTGAAGTTTCTTGACAACAGGATGCAATAATTGGTTTTCGTCCAAGCGTCCTTGATGGAAACAATAAGATTGCTGAAGAGCTGTCAAATTACCAATCTTGAGACGGTGAGCTGCACTTTGCATGTTCTTGTCTGCATATTCTTGTTTGTAAGTTCGAATAAGCAAATGATAAGCGTTGCGAGTATATTCTAACACAACGGCATCAGAGTGAATACCATTCTTCCTTTCGGATTGCATCTTTGAAAGTTCTATAAATGTTGGATGGCCATACAATTCTTTCATCAAGTAAGCAATACGTTCTAACACAGCTGAATTTGTAGAGACAGCTTGTTGGGAGATGTAACCTAACCAACGAAGACGAACACCATAGTCTTGATAAGTCAAGTGTTCCAAGAAATAATCACTAGCAATGTCGATCTTTTCAAGCGACTTAGAGTCTTCAGGACTGGCGCTTTGTAACAAATAGACGAGATAAGCACCTTGAAGCGCAATGGTAGCAAGGACAGAGTCCTCTTGGAACAACTGACCACCAATAAGGAAAGGAGAGTTTGTAGGCGAAAGCATGTTTTGAAGTAGATCGCTTTCTGTGTCGATTTCAAGCAATGCTGCTAATGTTTCAGGAGCATCCTTGATATCAACAAAGACTTGAAAGAAAGAATCCCTTAAAGCTGCTTTAAGCGATTGACCACGTTGAACACGCTCAACTAGATAAGTAGTGAAGAGCAAGTAATCACGCACATTTTCTGCTTTACCAAAATGCTTGCGCTGCTTCGTAGCTTCATGCTGCAATTCATTGATCACAATAGGCAGTTGAGGGCCACGCATGCCCAAAGAGTTGGCAAGTTTAACTACATCTTGAGTATTCTTGTTCCAGTTGGAATCAACCAATGAGATTTCTATACCACGATTTCTCATTGCACGAGAAAGCTCGCCATTTTGAGGATCAACCGTCATAAACATTCTAAAGTTAGGGTGGGGCTTGATCACCTTGACTGTGCCGTCTACAAGGCCGCGCTCGTTGACCATGAGAACACCATTATTTTCAAACAGAGGATTCAAGCGATCAAGAACAGAAGGGTTACACATATTGGCATTATCAATCAAAAGCCAATGGCCCTTTTCAAGAGCATTGATCAAAAGACCATCGATCCATTCAAACTTGCCTGCAACAGTTTCCTTTTCAAGCTTTTGAAGGTTCTGGATAGCTACAGTAATTAAATTGATATCCAATTGAGCCTCTTGGTCAATAACTGAAGCGGAATTTAAGCAGTTGAGCACATTAGAGACAAGAGTATAATCCAGTTCACCAGAGTCAGGATCGGCTGACAAAAGCTTCATTTGTTGTTTACTTTCGAGGACATACCATGAATCGTTGAGCTGACGAACAAGTTGCAACACAGTACCATATTGTTCGCTGCCAGCTTCAAGAGAAGCAAAATACATGAGCAAATTCTTTGATGCACGCCTAGTCATATAATAGAGATTTTCCATTACAACCTGACGATGGCGGTTCAAATCCACTTGTTCAAAACCACCAAGTAATTCCATCGTATCTACACTATTATTCATAGCGAATTCTTCCAATTGGTTACCAGTCAACTTGCTCAGGAGGCGAACAAGAGAGGTTTTACCAGAAGCAGAAGGACCAGTTACAATAGCCATCCAAGAGGATTCAACACATTTCATCAAAGATTCAATAGGTGACAAGAACGATTGAAGTACATGAAGCTCTTGTCCAGAAACATCTGAGTTTTCGGAATGCTTTCTAGCCAAGCTAGAATGACCAACAATAAAAGAACTTGGAGTCAATTCAAATCGGGGTTGTGCAGGGCGATCATATTTGATGCCAAATACAGATTCATACAACTGAATGGTCTGTATACGGTCTTCATGAGCACGCATACGTTGCATGTAAATAATATCGAGATATTCTGCAGGATCTTTGACATTGTCCTTTTGCATCAATTCTAGCCAACGGAAGACATCACGCAAGTTGAATTCCCAAGGACTACCCTTACGACCGAAAGAGCAACGAACCATTGTTTCTTCGTACATTCTGTTATTGAATTCAATTATTTTTGACAAAGTAGAAGGTTCGAATTCAGAAAACAAATGAGAACAAATAAATAAGAGATCATCAGAAGTCAATTGCTCAACATATACTTGAGTAAAACGGTTAACAAAAGACTTGGGTAAACCCTTACGACCACCACCTTGTTGAAGAGGGTTTTGAGCACCAAACACACGGAATTCTTTAGCGCAGAAAAATTCTCTATCAAGTTCAGGGATATAGACTGCACCACGATGATCCAAACAAGAATTCAAACCTTCTAAGACAGATTGAGATGCTAAATTCAGCTCATCCAATAACACCCAATCACCGGCCTTCATGGCTTGTAAGAAAGGAGCGTCTCTCCAAGCAAACTCGCCACTGTTACCTCCTTCAACTGGAAGATCAGAACCAAAAAGATCCATCAAGTCAGTTTGTTCAGATAAATTGATTCGAACAAGATTGTGACCAGAAGCGGCTGCCAAAGCAGAAATTAAACTAGTCTTACCTACACCAGGACTACCTTCAAGAAGAATAGGTTTCTTCAATTGCATAGAACGAATAACACGCATAGCATTATCAGAGGTAGTAGGGGCTAGTAATGTAAACTTGATATCTGTTCTTGCCAATTGGCCTCGAGGGATTTCAAAAGGTCCGATAGCAAACTTGTCTCCAGCAGTTTTGACCTTATCCTTAGTCTCGCCCAAAATTTCAAGCTCTGTAGCATTGGTTTTACCGGAAAGGTGTCTCAAGCATTTCAACCTGAAGTCCCTTAATAACTGGCCTGCCATAAAAGAACCAGAGGATCCGTGAGAGCCTAAACCATCGAGTAGCACAAGACAACCACCATGAGCAAAACTGAGCTCAGGACTCAAACCAGAATCAACAGTGACATTAATAAACCGGACCCAAGAAAGAACATCACGCAAAGAAACGACAGTGCGACTTTGACCAATAGCTTGTGTGTACCAAGCAATAAAATCAAGCATTTTTTCGCTGTAACCCTTGAGGTCTGGATGTGTCATTTGTTCGTTAATAATACTGATCAAATCATTTCTGTCTGTTACAGAAGGAACCCAAATTTCGGTGAAACGATTTCTCAGAGCAGGAGAAAGCTCCTTTTTACCGTAATCGCCACCAGGGTTCATGGTAGCCAAGAACTGGAAGTTGGGTGCGCCATACAATTCTTCAACATGCTTACCACCTTTTTCAGCAAGAACTAAAAGACGGCTAGGTTCAAGGACGGAATTCAATCTTTCGAGCACTGAATCGTCAGCAAGAGAGATTTCATCCAGCAAGAATAAGTGACCTTCCTTCATGGCTTGAACAAGTGGACCATCATGCCATTCAAATAATTGTTGCTGCTTTTCTGGGTCATCACTGGTATCTCTGCTACGGACAGGACGTTGACCACCAAGCAAATCACCTGTTTCTGTGTTTTGATGACAATTGACAATGTGAAGCTCACGCTTGTAAGTTTCGGCGAGCATTTGGCAGACAGTTGTCTTACCACAACCAGTTTCACCAACAAGAAGAACAGGCTCGTTGTTTTGAAGGCATCGAGCTACAAGACTAAACAAGCGGCGCATGGCTTTAGTCCAAACGAGTTTAGTATCTTCGCCAGTTTGAGCAGCACGTTCCTTTAGCAAACGATCATATATTTTGAATTCCTCAAGATTTTCACAGTTGTACATTGCTTCTTCAGAAATCTTAACTTTCATGACTTGCTCAAGAACTTGTTTAACAACCTTCTTTTCTTCATCCTTACGACATCTTTCTGCCAAAAGCATATAGCCATGTTCAGCTAATTCTTGGTAACCTTGAGGATCACGACCAGCCCAACGGAAAAGATCACGAAGAGTGATAAAACCATGCTTTTGCTCAAAGATTCGAGTGCTTTGTCTACGTTCCATTAATTCCTTGTAAACCTTTACAAGTTTTTTACAGTATGAGGGAGCAATACTACAGCGTCTTGAGAGAATAGTTTCAAGCTCATCTTCTGGAATGTCGTCAAAATGAAGTTCGAGGAAACGGTTACGGAAAGCTCTAGACAATGCTTTACGGCCACCATAAAGACCAGCAGGATTTTGAGTAGCAAACAACATAAAATGAGGATGGGGTTTGACAACTTCTTGGGTCTCGGGTATTAGCAGTTCTCTATTATCATCCAACAAGCGGTTTAGAGCTTCTAGAACATCAGAAGGAGCTAGGTTGAGTTCATCAAGAACAATCCAATAACCATTACGAAGGGCTTCAACCAAAACACCTTCTTGAAAGACAAGCTTTCCTTCGTTGTTTGATACATAAGTGCCGAGGTATTCTTGAAGATCAGTATGTTCGTGATTGTTGATACGGACAAATCGATGACCTGTCTTTTTGGCCATGTATTCAACCATGGATGTTTTACCAGCAGAAGTGGGGCCTTGGATCAAAACAGGGAACTTTCTGGACATGATCACACGAGCAAGATTGTAAAGTTTTGTTTCTACTGACTTGGTCATAATATATCGAGTATCCTCTTCTGGTGGGAACTGACCCTGTTGAAGCCAAAAATAGCCAAATTGAATAAAGTCTTCACTTGGTTGACGAGGAATTTGTGTAATAAGCCCTTGAGGATTCTGAACACCACGCAAAATAGTCTTGTGGATAAGATCACGCATAGTTACTTCACTTTCCTTATCAAGCTGAGTCAGGAAAGTCATTGAGAAACCTTCGTATAAAGAACGTCTTAAACCATATGTAGGGAAGATTTGAGCAACATAGGTCAATGCACGAGCTAAAGTACGCATACTGAAATGAGGACGTTGATTGGCACCATCAACAAGCTTATGTTCAGCAGCTAATTTCTTTGCTGTCATATAAAACTCGGCGACATCATCATAAGATCTTTCGTCTCCAACAGCAATTCCAACAAGATATTGCTTAACAATTTGTAAGAGATCATCATGGCGGTTATCAGGAGGATGAACATAAAATTCTGTAAATCTGTTGCGGAGACCAGGAGGCAAATCACGCTTTCCAACGTCTGTGGCAGGATTCATACAGGCAAAAAGACGGAAATTGGGATGACGCTTGATAGGTTCAACATCACCTTTTTCTGTCAATAAAAGCGAACCATGAGCATCCTGCAACAAGCCAGAGAGACACTCCAATGTCTCGGTAGTAGCCAAGTTGATTTCATCGAGCAAAATCCAATCACCCTGACGAACTGCCTTAACAAGCGACCCTTCCATGAAATTAAACACAAACTTGTTTTGTGCTTGAACTTGTTGAACCTCAAATTCCTCTACACGCTTAGCAAAAGTTTTCCAGGCATTACGCAATGTTGGGGAAGATACTTTTTTGCTCTCTACATTTTGTTCAGCTTCGAATTTTTGCTGAGACATCTTGATAGCTTGCTTCAAGATTTTGACAAAATTGGGCCATTGTTGGTGTATAAAGGTCAAGCGTGCCATTTCCAAAAATTTGGTGTTCTTCTTTACAGAGAAAGTCTTTTCAAACAAGCGGTCGAATTCTTCTTTCAATGGAATAGCCAAAACTTTACCATCCACAGGCTTAAAACCACCCAAAAGATCGGAACTGTCTGATTGCTGTGACAAGTTGACGACAATCAAATTTTGATGTATCATATCGGCCAGATGCTGAACAACAGTTGTTTTACCAGTACCTGTTTCACCAACAAGTAACACAGGTTCATTCAAGTGAATGCTGACAGCAATTCTTTCCATCAACTTTAAAGCATGGCCAGTAGTTGCAAATGGTCGCTTTTTTTCACGTTTGATTAAAGCCTGTTTTTGCTTTTGCTTGCCCGTTGCTGCAATAGATGATAGATTGACACGGCCAATACGAACCTTGTTTTCATCCAATTCGAGTACTGGCTTATATTGATCAACATAATTGCGCACTAATTCTTCTGAGATTTGCAAAGGCTGTCCCAGTGCTTGGAGTACGGTCATCCAAACATTGTAATCAGAAATCATACCACAAAAACAATCGTTGGCTTCACTGAATAAATCTTGACGAAGACTCAAGTCCATTCCAATTGAAGCTGTATCGTTCAATTTCTCGCCTATCAATAAATCAACACGACGACACCATTTCATCAAATCACGCGTAGAAAGAAAGCGACCCATGGTTGAAGAGGATAACGCAGAGAAATTAGGATCTTGGTACATGCCAACAATAGTTTGAAAAAGCTTCATGACATGAGAAGCAAAGTCACCGATATGCATAAATTTCTGGCGAACAACTAATTCTAATTCTTCCATTGAAAGAGGCTCAACATGCACTCTTGTCCATAAATTTGCACCTGTCATAAGTTCGCCACCTCTGGAACTCATACCTTTACCAGATCTAGTAGGAACAAAAGATCTTGTACCAAACAATTGGAATCCTTCCTTTGCTTTGATCTTTTCACCTCGAGAAGGAATAAACAATTGTCTTGTTTCCAAAAGAGGCAAAAGGACAGATAAAACTTCAGCAGGAGCTAAATCAATATCTTCAATCAAAACCCATCGACCTTCCAATACAGCTGTAGTCAAAACACCAGCTTGCCATCTAAATGAACCAGGCGTTGAGGTCGAAACATAGGTACCAAGTAGTACTTTGGGATCAGTTTGATCACCTAAATGAATCTTTACCAATTCTGAACCTCTACCTGTTCTATTGGCTAATTCTTCAATCAATGCAGTTTTGCCTGCGCCAGTAACACCTTCCAAGAGTGTGGGTGCACCGATTGACAATGCAAGACTGATAGCATGTAAGTTTTTTGATGTAGTTTGAGTCAGAACAAGCTTGGGGTCGTAAGCCTGTCTTGTAGTGTCTTCTTTTTCTGAAGCATATGTTGTTTTGGGAATCAATACACCACACAAATTGCAAGTGAGAGAACATAAATCAGCTCCCGATAACTCGTGGGCTTTGTCTTCTTGTAAATGATAATGGTTTTGTAAGAAGGATATTTGAGCATCTGCCAATCTCTGTTGTTCATACAAGCTATTTAAAGTTAGAGATCAGCGTATCGATTTAAGGTTACGTACCTCAAGAATCTTAAATCAACAGTGTCTCCGTTAATGAGCGTATAAAGAGGTTCGTCGGATTCGTCTAAAGAGCGACCCACAACAGAAGTCAGCAAGCTCTTGGTTTGTGCGTCACTAAGACTATACACTTTGCTGAGACACAAAACAGCCAAATAGCGAACACAAGGACTTTCAATCTGAAGCAACTGAACAAGTGGACCCCAATTCCATAATGAAATAAATGCAGATGATGAGAATTCGAGTAATCGATATGTGGTGAGTAGTAAGTCTTGTAATTCAGCTGTCAAAGAAGGTGTGACCTATCAAATTAACTTAGCACTGAATATTTTTTTTTCTTGAACTTACATCGACTTGATCATTAGTATTTAAATGATTTAATCTTTCAAACAAGGATGCTGAATGGGTAAAATATGTTACAGCCAAGCTAATCGAAATATGCATTAGTTTTGTCCGTATTGAGTCTTTTTTGATAGACTACCTTTTCACTTGCGGTACAATTGGAAGTACAATGCTAAAAGCTCTTGCAACCAATTCGATTTTATATACAGTACTGCTTGCGTTTGGCGAGGCAGAGGCAGTGTCTAAAAATGTTGTAAAGCCGGGTAAAGTCCAACGAGCAACTAAATCAATGATAATAGGTCGGAATAAGCGAATAACACTCAATGTCCATTCTGGCTTAATCATGGCTTTTGATACGGTGTCGAGAATTTGTGTGTTGGACGTTGTTTTTGTTGGAGAGTGAAGGAGTTCAAGATCAAGACTGCCAAAACTAGATCCTCTAACCAAGGTTGAGAGTTGACTGACAGCTTCCAAAAAATCAAAAGCTAATGGATCAAAAGTAGCATGCTCCTGAGTTTGCTCCACAGGTGTCATTATTGTATCCGAATCAGCCATTTTTTTTTTTTTTACAAAGCAAAGTATACAAGAAAAAAAAAGATTTTTAACTTGTCAGTTGAATATCTAAATTCAAATTGTGACAGCTCTACTGGACGGCTTTTTTATTGTTGTCCAGCAGCTGCATACAAGACATTGGACAATAGCTTGTAACATTGATAGTTTAAGAATAGTTTTTCTGGGCATATGTAGTCTCTTGCACTGATATTCAGAATACTATAAATGGAGTTGTGCTTTTTTGGTGTATAAATTTTTGACCTTGACTTGAAATCATCATAAATATGTCTAAAGCAAGAAAATCACTCAATCACTGAATCAATGAGCAAAGCGCATTCATTTTTGATTTTCTCGAAAAACTTGCATAAACAACAGAAATAGAAAATAGGCCAAATTTGCATTAACATGATAAATCAAACAAAAGCTTTTTAAAAAAGATTCTTTCATTTACTAATGGTACCATTTTTCTTAACAGGAGTATAGGCATAATCAGATATTTGATCTTTCAAACTTTGTTACAAAACATTAGTCGTATTTTTCAAGCTAATTCTGGAAAAAAACAAAAAAAGATATTCTTTCTTTGCAAAATAAATTTCAAGATGATGCTCAAGCATAAAACGAATCATCAATACCTAAGAACGTCTCACGAAATTTATAGAAAATGCAAAATAATTGCAGACTGTGAGATTCGAACTCACGCCTCTTGCGAGACCGCAACTTGAGTGCGGCGCCTTAGACCAACTCGGCCAAATCTGCTTCATGTTATTGTCGATTTGATATTTTACTTAGGTTTGTATTCTTATAGTCAAGTCACGAGACAATAGAACGTTTCTTAGCCAATAGATTCACTGGGAAATATTCTGGAAATAACGTGACGTCACAGAAAGGAACTGTGTATTGATACAGTAAGTATAAGATCTTTATTTATAATAAATGTAATGTTACCTGTGTATTGATACAGTAAGTATAAGATGAAGAACTTACAAGTATCAATAACACAGTATTTATATGTTTTCTAATTGTACTAAAATATATAAACTATAACATATGGAGAAGGAAGTAATTAAATACTTAAAGCTGATTGATGTTTCTGTCTTGACGAATCTAAAGTGTGCTTGGCTTTACTAATGCGAATCAAGTTGAGGCGGACTTTCTTTCTTCTTTTGTTCAGTACTTGTGGTTTAAACCTTCGTTTGTTCGGATTATAGTTTGTTGGAAGGTTATATTCAACTTCAATTGGCTGTTTCTTACTGGAATCGCTATTTTCTGTGACATTACCCCCCTCCTGGCTTGATGTTCGTCTCTGAACATTAGAAGCTTGGTTAGAAGGAGGTACTGTAAATGAGGAGCAAGGAGCAGACGCGTCTTGAATACCAGACAAAACCGACATCGGATTGGTAGTAGAATTTGTAAAAGAGTCATCCACGTCCTCAGCATCGTCAACATCAATGTCAATGTTAAACTCGGAATCAGGTAGATCTAACGAATTAGGTGCAGAGTCTGTGAGGATTTCCTGAGCGTCGACAAATTCGTCATTGGCAATAGATATTGGTTCAGTAGTATCTATGGCGAAATCGCAAGGAGGTGCAGAGACAGAAAGCATCTGTGAATTGTTTGTAGTAGGTAGGACATTGTCGTGTTTAATGTCCAAAGGGGACTCATCACTTGTTATAACAGGTTCAGCTGCCAGTTTCGAGACAGGAGAAGATACCTTTAACGAAGAATGGCTTTGATTGTATATGGTAGGAGACATAGCTTGGTCAGGTAAATCCAAGGTCGGCAAGAATGGTGAGTTTGAGTCGTATACCTGTGTACCAGTTGCATTTTCTATGCGTGGTGTCGAACTAATAGGAGTGATTATTGTGCTAGTTGAGTCAATGATAGGTATGGAGTCATTTGTATCAACAGGATCAACATGGTCAATACTGGGATCAACTTCATCAGCCGTAGGTTCAGGAATGGTAGCAGTTGCATCGATAGGTGTCTCTTCAATTATGTCATTTGTGGCCAATTGAGGGGGAATAGATGGTACCACCGCTGAACGTCCAATGTTTGTCATGACAGAACGCCATTCTTGTCGAGCAGTTGTAGGGTCATACCAGGGTTCAGAAGATGAATGTCCATTAGCTAAGCGCAATCGATCTATGTGGACCAATGATTTTAACGGCTCACCCGCTAAAGTTTGTAGCTTGTATGTACCGAAATCAGGGAAAGATTGAACAATAATGTAGGGTCCTTTGTAATGTGGTTCTAGTCCATAACGGCCTTCATGCGTGAGAACCACTTTATCGCCAACTTCGAACGCAACCTTCTTGATCTGAGCGTCCCATCTCTCCTTGTCTTTGTCAGCCATAGCTTTCATTCGGAATTCTGCGGCTGCACGGTGTTGACCCAAATCTGCTAATTCCCTTGAAGTCAAATCAGCGATTGTTCGTTCATCAGCAAATGTCTTTTTATCAAGATAAGGCACTAATGGGTCGCCGGGTAGTCTTGGTTCTCGGCCATAAGTTAAGAAGAAAGGACTGTAACCGGTAGTCGAGTGTACTCGTATTCTTGAAGCCCAAAGAGCCGCGTTAACAAAATCATCCCAACGATGCAGTGCGCCGTTCACATATTTTCTAAGCATGCCCTTTATCACAGCATTGAAGCGTTCCACCTTAGAATTAGTACGAGGATGGTAGGCAGAGGTTAGTTTATGATGGGCACCTACTCTTTTCAGGTAAGCGTTGACCAATTCGCTGTTAAAGTTGGAACCTCGATCCGTCAATACCTCAGAGGGGCAACCAAAACGCATCATGATTTCTTCGTAGATGAAATCGGCAACAGCTTCCTTAGTGGCGGCAGGTACGGCACGGGCAATTGGCCAGTTAGTTGCATAGTCAACAGCGACTAATAACCAACGGTTTCCTTTTACGGTCAAAGGTAGTTCGCCAATGAAGTCTAGGTGCCATCGGTCAAAGGCAGTAGGTATCTTTAAGGGGTGCATAACGTCATGGTGGGTATGGCTAGGTCGGCTGTTGACTTGACATGCAGGACATGTTTTCAACCAATCTTTCAAATCACGTTTCATACTTGGCCACCAAAAACGAGGTGTAAAAAGCTTAACCATGGTTTCGAAACCAGCATGACCATTCGCCTCATGATAGCGAGCAACCAGATCAGCCCTTGAAGCAAAAGGTACGAAAGGAACCGCCTTTGTTGTTTGTTTGTCATCTACTTGAACCAAACGATAGACACGACGATCTTTAACCACAAATTTCTCATGCTTTTTTTCTAGATAGTGTCTTAATTCGGCAGACTTAACTCTATTCAGATCAAGATAGAGCATAGGCCAATCCAGCTGGATAGATTCTGGTGCATTCTTCATTGTCCAAGTAGCATATAAGAATTCTGGTTCTAAGGACGACTCAGCACTAGTAGATTCAGGGCCACCGATTCTAGACAATACATCAGCTGCATTGTTTTCTTTACCAGGCTTGTACTCAATAGTAGGTGAGTAAAGCTCCAACTCGTTCATCCAACGCACCAATCTTGGGCTCATTTTATCTTGCGACCTCAAGTAACAGTTGGGAAGGTGGTCAGTCAAGATCTTGTAGCCTCCGCGACAACCATCAAGAAAACATCGCCAAGTACGAAGTGCATGTAAGATCCCCATCAATTCACGCTCTTGAGCAGGGTAGTTACGTTCTGCAGAGGAGAATTTTTTCGATTCGTATGCTACCGGATGCCACGCAGGAGGGTCCTTATCATCGGGTTGCAAAAGCACAGCACCACAACCAAAATCAGATGCATCTGTTTCCACTCTAAAAGGCTTATTCATATCAGGAGCTTGTAGCACAGGGGCAGAGACCATCATTGTCTTGATTTTATCAAAGCTTTCTTGACACTCCTTAGTCCAGACAATAGGACGTCGTTTAGGACCAGTGCCTTTAGTGAGATCAGTCAAAGGAGAAGCGATTGATGCAAATCCCGGAATGAAACGTCGGTAATGTTGAGCTAGGCCAATAAAAGATCTGACTTCTTGGACATTGGTCAAGGCAGGCCATGAATTTAATACCTTGATTTTGGCACGACTAGGTAAGATACCATTGGAGGTGATATCGAATCCAACAAATGTCAATTCTCGTTTACCAAACTCACATTTTTTTAGATTTGCGATTAGGTTGGCATTTTTGAGTTTGTTCAATACCATGCGTACATGTTGCTTATGCTCTTCTAGTGATTTACTGTAAATCAAAATGTCATCCAAATAAACCAAAGCAAATTTGTCTAAGTAGTCACCCAAGATTTTGTTCATTAAGCTTTGGAACGTTGGAGGAGCATTGGTAAGTCCGAATGGTAAAACCAAGAATTCAAACTGTCCGTATCTGGTGTTAAACGCCGTCTTTGGCACATCTTCTGGATTGATGCGCACTTGGTGATAGCCCGACTTCAAATCAAGACTTGTAAAATAAGTGGCACCTTGCAGGCGATCTAAACATTCATCGATCCTTGGTAACGGGTGGTTGTTCCGAGTGGTTACACTATTCAAAGCACGATAATCAATGCACATTCGCATTTCTCCAGTTTTCTTTTCACAAATAGAACAGGTGCTCCCCAAGGCGAAGCGCTTGGACGAATCAGGCCTAATTGTAGCAGTTCTTTGATCTGCTTTTGCAGTTCATCTAGTTCGGCAGGACTCATTTTGAATGGAGGGCGACTGATAGGCTTGGCTTCTCCCGTGTTGATGACATGAGTTACGTCACGCTCCGGAGGTAGCCCAGGTAATTCATCCTTGAAAACTGAAGAGAATTCTTTCACTATTTTATCCCAGTATTCTTCTTTTACAACCATAGGATTTCTTTCGTTTACTTCAGCAGAATTTACGTACAACAAGTAACTCTCAGCTCCTCTACGAATACTCTTTTCCGCCTGTTTTTTTGATATCAAGTAGTTCAGTTGAGGGATTGTAGGACGTCCTTGACGGTAGTCATTTCGAGGAACTAGTTCAACTTGCTGTTTCTTGTCTTTACTCTGTATATACCAAGTATCGTTGGACCAGTCAGGGCGCGGATCGACATCCTTCAACCAAGTTCGACCTAGAATTACATCAAACTTAGTGGGGAACACGTAGGCTGTCACCTTGGTCTTGAAACCTTGTAAGTCTAAAAATACTTCGACCTTTTGATTAATCTCGGTTGTTTCGCCACCAGCAGTTTCCACTCGTCGATCATAAACAGGAGTAGAAGAGACAGCATGCTTTGCTACACTGGGCGACACATAGTTTTCGCTTGCGCCACTATCGATCAATATGTCTAGACTAGTACCATCAACTTTGCCATGGTATAGAGGTAGTTTTGTAGCGACTACGTTTAGTTCAGACAAATACTGAAACTCTTCTTTTAGCCCTTTACTTGGATGAATGATAGGCACTAATTCAGTAACAACGCCGTGTTCAGTTTTTGTAAATTCCTCGGGGTCTTGGTCTTTAGTGATTACAATAGAATCATTATTATCGTCGTTGTCATCAGTATCAGAATAAGGTGTGTAATCTTCAACTTTATTTGACTTTTGAGTAAAACATTTACAACAAGTTGTGTTACTATAGTCATCGCTTGCAGGAAGATTTTCTGAATCTTCACCTAGCTGAGCTTCCTGTTCCTCAACTAGGTTTAATGAAAATCCTTTGACGAACTAGCACCATTATTCTTGTTTAGTTTGCGATAGCGGTCTTGCTCCATTCGACGGATATCTTCACTACGCATTTTGCAAAAACGGCGAATGTGACCAATTTTGCCACAGTAATGACAACGGGTGTTTTGTCGAGGAGAGGAGGTCATCACGCTTAAATCCATTGGCTCGCCGGCATAGGGTCTCCTTGGTGGAATAGAACGGTTGGCATTGAAAAATCCAACATTTCGACGATAAAAAGTGGGATTTTCATGTATAGCGCTGTCGTGTGCAATTGCGACACGAATGGCTTCTCTCAAGTTAGTACTTTGGGCTTGACGAACTTGAGAACGGGTATCCCGGTTAGAGAGCCCGCGCATAAACTTGTCGCATGATTCATCTTCGGTAATTCCTGGGATAGCAGCAATGATGTCCATAAAACCATTAATATAGTCGTTTAGGGAACCCATTTGTCGGTAGGCTGCCAATTTATCTCTGGCAAGTCGGATAGAGTCATCGGGTCGGAAAAAATCCACCAATTCCCTTTTAAGTGTCAACCAGTCTTGTGGTTCTTCTTCAGTATCAGATTCCAGAGTACGGTACCAGGTGTCGGCCCTTCCGCGCAACAATGTGACAGCATAGCACTTAGTTTGTCTGGAATCCCAGCCTTGGAAATCAGCGTAACGTTCCAAGGTACGAACCCATGAGTCAATAATCATTGCATCGCGAGTACCGTCGTAGGTTGGGGGTTCAATTGTACGAGGTACACTTCTACCACCATTGTTATTCAAGGCCTTGGTAAATTCTTGAATAAGGGAGACAATAGCAGTATTGTCAGACAAATCAGAGGTAGAGTTTTCTTTGGACATTTTTTTTTTCAATAATACACCAGTACTAATCAATTAAGATAATAGAGTAATTACAGCACGTAGGCAAATAAAGATACATACAGCACTTAGGCACAGATATACAGCACGGAGGCACACAGGGAGATACAACAGTCAGGAACGGAACGTCTGATGCTACCAATTGTCGATTTGATATTTTACTTAGGTTTGTATTCTTATAGTCAAGTCACGAGACAATAGAACGTTTCTTAGCCAATAGATTCACTGGGAAATATTCTGGAAATAACGTGACGTCACAGAAAGGAACTGTGTATTGATACAGTAAGTATAAGATCTTTATTTATAATAAATGTAATGTTACCTGTGTATTGATACAGTAAGTATAAGATGAAGAACTTACAAGTATCAATAACACAGTATTTATATGTTTTCTAATTGTACTAAAATATATAAACTATAACATATGGAGAAGGAAGTAATTAAATACTTAAAGCTGATTGATGTTTCTGTCTTGACGAATCTAAAGTGTGCTTGGCTTTACTAATGCGAATCAAGTTGAGGCGGACTTTCTTTCTTCTTTTGTTCAGTACTTGTGGTTTAAACTTCGTTTGTTCGGATTATAGTTTGTTGGAAGGTTATATTCAACTTCAATTGGCTGTTTCTTACTGGAATCGCTATTTTCTGTGACATTATTGAGAATTTAAATAATTATTCTATTAACTTAAAAAACTTATGATGTAGTGACGTAAGCAGCCATTCGATCCGAGTCTGTTTGTGTCCGAGTCGCTTCTATACTATGTGTGTACGTAGTAAAGTGGTGAAGCACCTCTGAGTAATGGTTGTTCTTGTTCTGGGTGTTGTAATAGATGTTGGTGATGATTCTGGTGCGTTCGTGGTGAACATGTGGATCCAAGGGCCAACAAGAATACTAGCAAGCAAAACATAAGCCATCTCTCATTTCATACAGGTCATGTATTTTCTCAACAGTGTTAATTCCCATAATTTTCTCATACTCTTTCTTATGCAAGTAAATCAAGGCCTTTATTATCTTTACTTCCTTTTTACCCGTTATCTGTCTGTACCTGTGATGATCTGACATTAAATAAGTCTTCAATTACATAGTAAACATATCATAATCAATTTACATCAGAAATAGACATAAAAGAACCTCTTGTACTGAATAAGACAATGTATCTTTTAACAGACTAAGACTTATGACTGAAATCCATAATTTACATTATTTAATTAATTTAAAGTAGTCTATGATAATAGAGACTCAGTCATTTGCATGAACTCTACTACTACTTACTCCGACATCTCTTCAAAATGATAACAATAAATTGTATAAAACAGTCTCAAAGTATCTACCTTTGTCTATACATTAACTTATCATATAACTCTCTATTATCAAAACATCACAAGAATAAACCTATACAAGTTCTAATCGACTTCTTTGTTTTTTATCTTTTCTCTTACAACATCACAACAATAACAATAGAAACAATGTTTTTTAACAAGTTTAAGATTTAGGTATTTGAACAGTGAATTTTTTATTTAAACCAACGAGTTGCTAGTGCTATCCCAGTAAAGAGGCACTTTATCATGCAGAATTTCACCAAATTCCTTTGCAGCCTTCATGATCGCACGAACATTTTCTTCTTCGGAGCCAAGGAAATCACGTAATGTCCAACTAGGAGCCTCTCCAATCTTTAAAGTCAAGTTTTCAGCAAATCGATCAACCCAAGCTTCTTTGTAGAGCGAGACTTTATACAAAGAACGGTGTGGTTCAAAAGCAGTAAGATCTACAGGAAGTTCATGATCTTTTCTTTTGATACGAGTCATGTCCCATATCTCATCTTTACAGACTTCAACCACATATCCTTTCCAGTTGTAGAGCCATTTTGTCTTTTGAGTCACCAAATGAGGGACATAATCACTAAAAGTAGCCATGATCAATCGTTTATCAGGTGAAATGCGCAGGGCTTGCCAGAATTTAGAATGAGGTGTATCGAAGTCATTGTTGGGTAATTGACGGGCATGTTGTAGCTTGAGATCCCAAGAGTAACGTCCTTCAATGTTGGTACAGTTGATATCGACTAAATCTGTACAGTCTGTCATAGTGTTCCAAAGAAGTCGAGAGCCTGTTTCAGTAAAAGAGACTTGCATGACAGTATCCCACATATCACCACGCGAAGCTTCACGCTGACCAGACACACGGGGTGGAGCTGCTGCTGGGTACTGCTTTGCATGAACCACAAACGAAGTGCGTGGGTTCTCAGAGTATTCAACAGCATCCGTACCGTTGGAAAGATAGTCAAACAAGTGTTGAAGATGATCCCTTGTTTTGCTCATACAGGGTGCTAAAGCAGACTTGAACATGGGCTTACGGAATATCTTGTCGCTGACTTTTTCAATTGATAGGTATTTATCATCCTTCTTGGGGTAATTCATCAAACAGATACTACCATATCGAATCTTCATACGGACCATCCAGTCATTTAAACGTAAACTTTCGATACCATCTGCCAAACTCTGTTCAATAAAGGTTTCATTGCGTGCATTTAATTTTCGTCCTTGTTCAGACAATTCCTGAGGTCGTTCATCACTCAGACTGATGAGAGACATTGGTGTACCATGAGCCACTGTTTCCAATAATCGGTGCTTTTCTAACATCATTTTCTCTCGTTCAGGGTCTGCATAAGTGTAAGTGACAAATGTACTCGGTAATCGACGGTATCTCAAGAGCCATTGCTTGGAAGGTTGTTGCAATAATCGCAATGTACTTCCAATAGGCTTACGACAACAACGCAAATACCAGTTACGAACACGCTTGCCTGCTTCCCTGACAGATTCCTCTGTATCTGCATTGATTCGGATCAAATTGCCTACTTCTTCGTACCAAAGGAACGCTTTGCATTCAGCCCGAATCGAATTGAAGTATTCTTCACCTCGATCACCCATAAAGCGCACTAAAGGCAAGCGTTTATCAGGCAAAGGAAACACAGCATGGAAGTTTTGAGGTACAGCAGGTAATCCTTGGTATCTTTTCTCTTCGTCCATCTTGGCTTGCTTTCGTTCAGCACGTCTTTTCTCTCTCTCTGTCAATTCGCGCTCAGGCTTACTCCATTTCTTCGTTTTGCGAAGGGAGCGTGTGTCGTTTTCGTTAGCACGAGCAGCAATCGTGTCGAGGTATTCTTTTGTCTTTTGATAGCGATTTCGTCCCCCAGATATCGATTTGATTGTAGTCTGAGTTGTATTCAATGTACGAGTTGGAAGCGCGTTGGATTTCTTTGGCGCGTGCCTTGTTGAAACCACCCAGGATATCCATTGGGTTAAAATGGGCAGGCAAGACCCAGTAATCATCAGCGTTTCGATGGACAGTTTCTGGTACGACAGTCGTGTCTGTAAAACTACGAACTGAACCACTTGAGACGGGTGTGTCTGCTCGAGCATGTTGAAGGCTCATGTCGATAGTGGGTGTTTGTTGTCGCGATTGTGATTGTGAAGGTATACGAACAGTGGTATCTCTCCAGTCATCATCATTATCAGAAGCTTCATCGTCGTTAAAGGTATAAGGTATTTCTGGTTCAATAGACATTTTGATTAACAAAGAAAAGAAAGAAATAAAAAAAAAGAGAGAGAGAGAGAATTTATTTCTCGATGATGCCTCTATTGTTTTGAAATAGAATAATACCCTTTTTTTTTCATGTTATTTTTATAGAAACAGCCATCATAGAGTGTTGTATAATGTCTGCTTAAATACGCACATACAAAAAGAAAAGATGCATAATCAAACAGACCCTATTGATTTGGAGGCTTAGATGGCTTTAAAAACGCGTATTTTTCATTTCTTTTTTTTTCTCTCTCTTTTTCTCTTTTTATTATATGAACCTTTTGAATACAACAGTAGACACTAAACTTGGAACAATAGCTGAAATTAACGGCAATCTAAGTAAATATAGTTGAATGAACGCGTCTTTCTTTATTTATTCATTCATTGGCTTTAGTCCATGTAGAAAATGAATCGAGTCCAGCTATAACGAAGTGGCAGCTAATAATGTAGATAACACCTACTTTTTTTTCTTTTAGAGAGTCAACTCATCGCTTTGATAGATAACTTATACCCTTCTATTCGCTACAAACAAGTAGAAGACTTGAAACCTGATTATGTTTATACAGCAGCCAAGTCCTCTTCTTCTATGGTGGATACGTATTATAACGATATCAAATCCACACTTAGTCAACAATGGCAAGAAAGTAAGTAAACCACCACAAACCTTCTTGCTTAACTGTGCTAGATTTCCTATGATTGCAGCTACACCTCTTTATAAACAAGGCAAACGCATTTATGACTATATCTATTCGACTTATTTAAAGCCATCCGATGCTATCCTAGAACACCCTAAATTCAATTCAAACAAAGATACAGTCGTATACATGGCTTGGCACCCACACCAGGACATACTTGCTATAGTTGATAAACATGACGATGTCTACATTTATGAAAAGCATGATACTGTCTGGACATGTCAAGTATTAAGAGACATTCAAATGAAAGACGTAACAGCATTAGAATGGAAGCATAGATCAGCAGGCACCTTGGCTGTTGGATGTAAGCAAGGTGTATGTGTCTGGACAATACCAAGAGTAGCCACAGATCAAGAACCTCAATTCCATCCCTCAGCTTCTATGGTCTATTTGTCCTATCAAGGTCATGATCATGTAAGTTCACTAGCATGGGATCCTACACCGGTAGTCATCTCTTGGCTGTTGGTTCCGCTGTCTCGAATGCACTTGTGATTTATGATATGTTGCTCAAGAGAACACACGTATTAAAGAGATATGGTCATGGTTGTATTATGTTGCGATGGAGTCCTAATGGTGAATGGTTATTTGAAGGCGGTTCGATTGGTACATCCCGTATGTGGGACACAAAACACTGGGAATCAAAGGTGATCAGTAATCCTCCTGGTTTGTGGGTTCAAGCTGCTTGTTGGGCACCCGATAATCGTTCCTTGGTTTTTTCAATGTATGGCAAATCTGATCTTCATGTGTTATTCATGAGTGGTAAGCAGATCCATAGTGTTGTGGATCATCCATTGGCTTCTTTGCCAGTCACTACTGTCACGACTGAATCTAGAGAGCAGATCAAGCTGGTGGTGTGATTCGCGATATTAGTCTGGATGGCTCCAGATTGGCTATTGCTTTTGAAAATACACCATTGATTGCCTTGTATTCACTTAAACAAGACTCACCTCTTAATTTGAATACAGAGCCTATTCTTTTCCCTATGTAAGTCAGAATGAGATCGTATTCGTCTCATTTATTCGTTTATTCTAGTGGCTATGTTCATGGATCAAGCGTATGTATGGACAACACTGCAATGTCTGTTACTGCTATAGATAGTCAACCACTTGGTATCTCATTTTGCAAGAACCATAAACAAGGCTCAGTCATGGCTATCTTATGGAAGCATGGACTAGTGACATTTGTGACTCACAAGTACCTCACAAATGAAGAAGTGCGAAAAAGATTCTATTAAATAATTTATATACGTGATCTGTAACTTCTAATAAACGTATTGCCAACACCACCAATACAAATGCAGGACCAATACGACCAATACGGGCTAATGTACTCTTGAGATATTCTTTACGGATAAGAAATGTACGATTGGCTATGGTGGCACCAGGGCGATTATAGATGTCCAATGCATACAGATGAACAGGTGTGCTTGCTAATTGAACAATAGCAGGGCAAGCAAGTTGAGCTGCTACCTGAGATGATTTCTGGCTGAAAGAGGCAGTCTGTTGAAGCCAACTAGCAATATAAGGAGGTGCTGTAAAACTAGCAGCAATCGTCAATGAATCTCTGGCAGCAAATAAAAAGTAAGATAGCTTAGGCAATGCTCTTGAGGCAGTCACACCAAACATACGAGCAAACACTTTATCCTTATAGACACATAAACCAATATTGGTTATGCTGGTTGTGATAAATTTATATAAAGATGTCTTGACAGGATCTACTGAATAGTTTTCACAGGTTGTTTCGACAAGATTAGCCGTTGTATAAGTTGAGAAATAGAGACCGAGTACAATACGGAATTGTGGTGATACAGTAAATTGAAAAGGATTTGACAGAAATGAACGCAAGCCGTATTTTAAGCCATCTGTTAATTGTCTTTTACCGTTTAAATTTTCAATAATCGATCTACATGCATTTGCATTAATTTTTTTTTTTTTAATTTTTTTTATTTTACCTGTCTACAATAGCAATAAAAGGTGAAACCATAGCAGCAGAAGAAAATGCAGCAAACAGATCAAGACCATAAAGCCTTAGTAGTCTATCTTTGGTATATAACAAAGGCTTCTCTTTTGAAATCGATAGTTCTGTAGACATAACTCTAAAATAATAATAATAATAATAATAATAATAATAATAAAAGAGAGAGGGAAGGTGAGAAAAATTATAGATGTTCTCTATTTATAAACAGGATATTGAAATTCCGTATCGATTTGTTATTTGGTAAAGTATGTATGACTCTTTGTTACTCTTGTGTTTTCTTTCTTTTTTTTGTCTTCCATTTTGCTTCGCTCCCCTCTTTTTCTTTCATTTTGATTGTAAAATCACTGGTTAAAAATAAAATTGAGACTCAAGCTACTTTTCGATGACACATACACGTCGTTTTTGATAAAATACACAGTGTTAAAGGGACACAGAAAATGATGATTAGTCCAGGACAAAAAAAAAAAAAAAAAAGGGTTTGTGTGAGAAAGGAATATGACAATAGGAATCCTATTTAGTCTAATTTAACACCTTATCACCGGCCATCTTTGTTTTTGTACCTTATTTTATAATCACTTTTTAAATCAGTGAATTGATGCACATATGTTGTACATCTTGTTCAGATCAAACGAGTGTGACTTGAACCTTGTGAAAATAAAGTGTAACGATAATAAACTAAAGCTTTCTTCTTTCCTCTTTCTCTTCTTTTTTTTTTTCTTCTTTTTCTTATTTCTTTTTATGTGGTTAAAATCAAAGGTAAAGCTAAAAAGAAAAAAAGAAAACAAGATAAGCACAATCCACTCATTTCAATTCAAGTAAAGAATCTTATTTACTTTTCACCCACTGAGAATATTGCACAAGAAACAAATCAAACTCAACAAACAACACATCAAAGCAAGTCTAAACTAAACCAGAATGAATCCAATAGCCATGAACACAAAATCATGCTATGTTTGATCAAATCCTATCTCAATTCATCAGTCTATCACACAGTCTAAAGATAGATATGAATACAGAAAAAACAAAACAAGTCTTCATACAGAATAAAGAGACAGTCAAAGACGAACAAGCCATGTTTGAACTTTTAATGCAGGCCTGGAAAGAAGATATTGAGCAACAATATAAAGATACAGCATCACAGACTGTAGAAGTCAAGAAACAATTAAACACAATAGAACAAGAAAATCAAGAATTTCAACAGACATTAAAGACATGAACAAACGACTAAATAACATTCGCCAAGAGACAGAAATATCAACACCTGTTGTATACAAGGACAAGACTGAGTTAGAAGAAGCACTCAAGGTCTCTGTTGAACGTATGACAAGCAATAAAATGGACGGATTTGATGTACTATGCCAAGAGATTGCTGATATCAACACACCGCTATATCAAAGTATTCAAGAAATAGACCACCTATTCAACAGCCATGGACCATGGCAAATAGACTTTAAAATGAAGATGTATAAATGCTTTGATATTCAATATGATCCATATTATGTCAATATGTTAAGGAGACATATGCATATCAACACAGAAGAATGTTTAGATAGTTATTTACTGGCATGTCATGCACTGGCCAGGTATTATGCCATTCCTTTTGACTAGGTAGTGTATCTCAAATAAATGATATTTATTTACCAAATCGTTGTTCCACTTTGGAGTATTTGTATAAACACTTGATAAATACATCATAATTCAACTGGTGTTCACTATAACAATTCCTAAAAAGAGATTTAGTATACAAGGCACGTGTCAGAAGAGAGGGACTTACATAATTTCAGTTAATCGAATATGCCAAGGAGGATAACCATCCAATGAAACGTAGTTATGTGGAAGACCATCATAGCTAATCATCAAATCAGGATCAGAAATAGTATTCACTATCACCATACATTAGCAAATGGCTCTTTATAGACACTAGTCCCTTACGATGCATATATGTGTTTACTAATTCAATGTCTATTGCCTGTTTGTTGTTTTTTATCATTTCTTGTACTACATATCCCATGTGTGGTTTCCCATTTTCACCTGATAAAACTGAAATTTGATGGCTTATAAAAGTCAATGACATCTATCGTCTACAACCGTGTACTTTACCTGGTCTATTCTTTCCATTTGGTTTGTCATCCATTCATGTAACATAGTAGATTGCTGTTTATAAAGATCAACTGCCATTGATTTAAAACTCCTTTTTGTATGAATGAGTCATGTATTCTGCTTCTTATTGCTTTACCTGATGCATCATACACAGATACCTCTTGAATACCAAATTCCCAAGCCCAACATGTAGCCATACAAATGTCCAGCATCATTGTGTCCCAGTCCTTAAGACTTCTTGAGCTCAATAACTCACGAGAAATATGGATAGCAAGGTGGTTTGGTATTTTTGTCAATTGTCGTTTATCAAACTGCATGCGTGCTTGAATATCTGCTTTTGATTGATAGAATGTAGTATAGAGATAGACTGAAAATGAGATATAGCCAATATACAATAGATATAAAAGTGCAATATGTACAATATCACTGTTAAAAATACATCGAAAGTGAGTTATTTTGTTCTTGAATAGGCCTGCTTCTGTTTTGATTTCTTGCTTTGATTCTATGGTATTTGTCATTGAAATGTATTTTGGTATCTTTTCATTGGTTGTCGAGAGATGCAAAGGACTGTATTCTACTTCATTATTATTTGTTGTAATAATGGTTGTCATAATGTAAAGAGATATATAACTGAAAGAAGAAAGAAAGAAATAAAAATGAAATATTTTTTATTTTTTATTTTATTTCTAATTCTAAATTTAGTCACAACCCTATGCCTTTGTTTCATTTATAGCCATTTTTCTACTTCTTTATCAGGTTCAACTGTGTCTTGTTTCTTTTCAGAAAGAAAGGCAAGCCATAAAATGCGATAGCCAAGACTAATAACCAGATACCATAAAGAATATACAGTGGCATTGCTGCTTTTTGATCCTCATACCTAAAGGAATATTAATTAATGCCATAAACAGTAATAGTCGGCCAAGCCAAATATGAACATGATTGTTCCAAGGGCGTTTAGGAGGCAAACAATGATGCTTTCGACGATAACGAAACAAGAGATGGTTTACAGTACCCAACATGACTTGAGACCATACTCCAATAGATAAAGCAGTGCCAATGCCCTACAAGGAACTAGGTAAGTTCATGCCTAATATTTTCATTCAATACGATACAGAATGTGGTTTGAGTTTAAGTTGACCAGATATACCAAATGCAATAAATGCTGAAATAGTAAAAGGCACAAATCCTGCTGTTGTCATGATAAGCATATGTACTTTGGGCCCCCATGTTTTGCCCTTTTTCTTGCAAGCATATTCATGCCCATAGCCACTGGGACAGCAAGCATCCATACAAATACCATAAGTGCAGCATGTAATAAATAAGCTTGTTTTTGTTTCTGGATCCATAATGAAGAAGAAAGGAAGAAAAAAAAAGGAAAAAGAAAGGTGGTTGCTTTATTCTCATATCAGTTTTACAGCATTTGTTAATTTCCCTAAAGGCTCTTTCATCTCTTGAGGAATGTACTCTAATAATTTTCAAACAGTCTTGTTCTTTCTGAAACAAGATGTCTTTTCAAACATGTTAGAGAGTCAAATACATTCTGCTGATTTACCTTCAGTTTCTACAATGTTTGAAGCAAAGACATCCTTTTCTTCATCTTCATCCATCATTGTTTCCAACAGACAAAGGTTGGCACACATTTGATGAAATTCTTTTGATTCCTTTTCATTTTCATAATCTACTACGGGTGCTACTTGATTTCTAAGATATTTTAGAACACTTAATGTTTCCAGGTTGACATTGGCTTCTTGTGTCTTTTGCATACAAGCTATTTGATTACAAGTTCTTTCAGTTTCTGCATACGAATCATATAGAAACACCGTCTCAAGATAGAAGAAGGATCAGGCCTAATGTCATTAGTAATCATACTTGGCAACAGTGATACATACTTGACCAATCTGAGTTCCCAGAAATCATTCAATCGTTTACTTGGATTTGAATTATCACCAGGATTGCCACCAAATATGTACTGGACTCGATGCACGGCATCATACACCATTTGATGAGCATAACGAGGGCATGGCTCTAATAAACTTGTCTTTTTGTTTTCATTCTGATATATTTATGCCACTCATTTTGTTTGATAGAATAAACCCATAATGCATTCTTGACAACATCTGAGTTTGTGTTGCGCTTATAGCCTGATAGAACATAGAGTTCTTCTAATGCAGCATCAATTGTTGCACGCTGATTAAAACCAGCATCGGGTCCAGCATCTTTGGTATAGTCTTGAGCTATTTCTGTAACCATATCTTGGTCTACATCGTAACGATAGAGGTCAGATAAATAGTCTTTGCCACGTTGGCCAGCAAACACATAGAGGGAGCGATTCGTCTGATCAAAAAGCATTGAATGGCCTACACGAGATTTCAAGGGCGCATTTTGTGGACAATGGGGAGAGGTAGAAGGTGAATTGGAAGTTGGCTTGGTATCATCATTTCTATTCCCCATATTAGACCTTTTTTTTTATTTGTTCATGATTACCTAACAAGCTTCCACTGATTTGATTTGATATGGTAAGCATAAAGACCACTGTAGTTTTGTACTGTCGTGTCTCCATTGACTGTTCTTCCACCAAATACATAGAGTGTCTCACCACTTGGATCCACACACATTTGGTGGTCAAATATAAGTTCAGGGCCACCTTCACACTATACAAGCATAAGCTAGTGTTCTGCATGATAGGCACTACTTACAGCTGTATGGTTGCTGATTTTGATCCATTGATCGAGTGCAACGTAATAACGATAAAAATCGGAGCACAAGGATTCTGCTGCATTTGTTGCCTGCGATGACTCTACGTATCTACCTAAAACAAAAATAGACTGGCTTGTTGAATCAAAACAGACTTTATGGCATGAACGAGGACCTGGGCCACCTTGACTTGTTTTGATCGATCAATACACCTACACACTGTGTTTTCTTACTTACATTTGCGTATCTTCACTGAGCAGTTTCCACTGATTTTGTTGAATATCATACGACCAAAAATCAGACAAATCTTCCTTTCCATCCCAACCGCCCAAGATATAAATCATTTGATGATCTACATCAATACACATCTGATGTCCTCCTCTCGGCATAGGAACAGGCGCTTGCTTTTCTTGAGGCTTGAGTTGTCTCCAGATAGGTTTATAGGTTGCATTGTCTGAATAAGTTCGATAGATTTCACATTCATGATGTGCTAGTTGCAACACTCGCTCAGCTGCTTCAAAATCAGTCTCCACCACTAAATACTGATGTAGTTGAGATAACAGAGGGTGTTCTAATTCAACACCTGTCTTGTCTTTAATAAAGTAGAACGTATCCATCATATTTCTCTGGCGAAAGTATTTTAAGCATAAGCGGACTGTTTCTGTTTCTTTGTACTATATGAAGAGTCAATAGGATCATTCGCGTTTTATGTTTACTTGCAGTTTCAAATTCTGAACACACTCTTTGGATCACAGCTGGTTCATTGATGCCACGCACTTCAAGATACCAAATACTGTAATTGAAATTAGCACCAAAAGCAGACAATGGCACAATTTTGATGTATTTAATGGGGAGAATCTAAAGTGAAATGAGTTGAAAGCATTGGTTTGATAGTCCCCATACCAAGTTTTTGTATTGATACTTTAACGAAAATGTTTCTGGTTCGGTATCATTTCTTAAACCTATATGTATATATATATATATATGTATAGTGTATTAGGATGAGATATAATTAACCACAACAAGCAAACCATGATGTAGCAATTCAATCATATCGTCTTTTGGATCCACGCCACCATAGACCTTAAATTCTTTCAAGTTACAAACATGTCCTTTATGAAATTTACCAAACATGACAGAACCTTTTTTTTCGTCTTTCTTTAGAATGCCTGTAATTTTTCCGAAATATTAAAACTTACGAGCAATGACGGGTTTATCGAATTTGATGGTAATAAACTGTTCATGGTCATTCAGTCCACTTGACCATCTAGAGGCTTGTTGTGTAGGTTGATTTACAATGATGTTCTGTGGGTGATAAGATCCCGAATAAGAAGAACAATCGTAAATACTGTATTTTAACTTGACTTGTCTTGCTTTTGACATCATAGATATTAACGTATTTTTGTGATGATCCATAGGTGCATTAGCAGTATTGTTTGTATGGACTTGCGAGGCACGATCCATGTGCTGCTGTGTAAGTGCAGCTACATTCATGGTGTCCTTATAGACTGGATGGTGACTATAATAAATGTTATTCAGGCGATGTTGAATGGATTTTCTTGTTTCAAGCATGTCTGAGAGTGCTCTTGAAGAAGAGGGAGGTGATCTCTTGTTCTGTTGGCATTGGTTTTCCGGTATGTAGCTCATAGGATGATACACTGCTTCAGACAAGAGCTCTTTGTCTTCTATGGTATTGTTGCCGATAATGGAAATGTCATGTTGATGTGTACTAAGGTTTGAAGTAGGTTCACTACTACTGCTACTGTCACTGTCATTGGGATGAAAGTCCATGTTAAATCAGTTTGAACCGAAAGAAAAAAAAAAAGAGAGAGAGAGAGATGCCCTTTAGATCATTCTTGAATAAATGCATATATAAGACAATGAAAAATGCTAGGTCATGTGATCAAAAACAAACGGAAACATTTCCTAAACACATTGTTACACTAGTAAACAAACCATACAAGCGTCATAAACATTGAAAAAGGGAAATAAGCTCATTTTTTTCCACTTTGTAAACCATCACGTCACTTTGTAGCCTGTGCTTCTTTATCTATAGTATATCTTTTTGTGTTTGTAGCCCGTGCTGCGTCTCGAATTGGCCAATAAAAAGATTGCACTACATCCCCCTCCCTCCACAACCCCCAAACGCATCATTCTTTTTCTTTTTTTTTCCTCCTCTTTTTTCTTAATTTTTCTTTCTTTATCTTTTTTTTTTCTTTTAAAATAAATCTCCCTTTCCTTTCCTTTCCCTTCTCCTATATATATTTCTGAATTTATTATGCCTGACGATAACAAACCAATGGAACCACGAAAAAAGCGAGCAAAAATCATGAGCGCCTGTGGTGAATGTCGACGCAAAAAAACAAAGTGCAACGGCGAACAGCCATGTCGAAGCTGTCAGAAATCAAACACAGCTTGTGTCTATCCAACAGCAGCACAACTGGACGATAGAAAAAACCATGGAGGTGGACCATCCAAAGCAGCACTGGAAGCCATTGAAGACCGACTCAAGACAATTGAAGATATGTTACGAACGATTCTCCATCAATCACAGCCGCCGATGCACGATCCCAATTGTTTAAATAATAAAACCTCTGTTGCTAGTAGCCATGATAGTTCTCTTGTTGTTGATGAAGCTAGTCTTCATGATAGTAATAATAGTAATGATAATCGACTGCCTTCTATTCATAATCTCTCAGCATCACTACCACTTATGCAACAGCTACCAAACCCACTTGGATTAACTAGGCATGAAGAAGAGATCTATCATCAATATCATCAGCCACCGCCACATTCCATGTACCGCCCAATTCCTCAACATCACCATGACAACACTTTACAACATCCAGAAGAAGCCTCGGTATCAGAAAGGCATCTGCAGCCAATGAAAAAACGTAAAAGATGATACATTTCTTTGTTCAATTTCTACTCCTCTCACTCTTACTCTCACTCTCACTCTATTTATTATTTAATAGAAAATAACAATAAATAAAGAGAAACGGTTTCATTCTTTTAAGCATTATGTTTTGGTTTTCATTGGTTACTATCTTAAGTGGATTAAGGACTGCTTCCGGTAAAGACAAGTCACAATCCTTTTTTTATATCTCAACCTTTTTTTTTCTTACAAAATCTCGATCTCTTCTTTTTTTTTTTTTTACAATTCCAAGATCTGTGAATATGCCCAGTACTGTCTCTAGCAAAGAAGGTAAGTTGTTTCGAGGGATAAAGAGTATGCGTCTTATACGGAACGATAGACAAACATCGTAGCGATAAGAAGGAAAAGAAGGAAAAGAAGGAACGATCTTCTCGCAAGAGAGACAGAGACGATAAGAAAAAATCAGATAGCGAAGACAAAGCCGAGACCAAGTCTGATTTGCCTGAAAACTCTACAGAAGGTACTCCTGAACCTGACTCCAAGAAGCGCAAGACAGTTGTTGAAGAAGATACAAACCAGGATGAAGATATTCCTGACCACCTTCGTCTTTCCAAGTTCCGTATTTCTGAAGGTACAGTCAACAACCTTGAGTCAAGAGGTATCAAATCTTTGTTTGAAATTCAAGCCGCTACTTTTGATGAGATTTATGATGGTCATGATGTGCTTGCCCGTGCTCGTACAGGTACTGGTAAGACATTGGCTTTTGCCTTGCCTGTCATTGAAAAGTTGGCTTTGAATAAGGAATACAAGGAACGTCGTGGTCGTGCTCCCCGTGTGCTTGTTCTCTGTCCTACTCGTGATTTAGCCAAGCAAGTCTGTGGTGATTTTGAACAAATCTCTGGTAACCGTCTCAAGACATTGCCTGTGTATGGTGGTGTGCCTTACAATGAACAAACCTCTGTCTTTAGAGATGGTGTTGATGTCGTTGTTGGTACTCCCGGTCGTATCCTCGATCATATCAAATTCGGCAACATGAAGTTACATGACCTCAAGTTTATCGTTTTGGATGAAGCAGACGAAATGTTGGATGCCCGTGGCTTTGAAGAAGACATGTTCAATTTGTTATCCAACATTCAAGAACAAAAGAGCTCTCGCGACTATCAAACCTTGTTGTTCTCTGCTACTGTGCCCGAATCTGTCATGGAGACAATTAAGCGTTTCTTGAAAGAAGACTATGAACGTATTGATTTGATCGGTAATGCCAAGAACAGAACTAATACCAACATTCGTCATATTGCTATGCCCTCTTCATACCATACCCGTGCTGATATTATTGGTGATGTTGTGAATGTCTATGGTCGTAGTGGTCTGACTGTCATTTTCTGTGCTACTAAGGCTGATGCCAACGAATTGGGTGCCCACGACAAGATCAAGCAAGATGCTGCTGTCTTGCACGGTGATATTGCTCAAGCTTCTCGTGAAGCTACTATGAAGGCTTTCCGTGAAGGTAAATACAAGTGTATTGTCTGTACTGATGTCCTTGCCCGTGGTTTGGATATTCCTCAAGTCGATTTGGTCATCAACTGTCAACCTCCCAAGGACACTGAATCTTATGTTCATCGTTCTGGTCGTACAGGTCGTGCTGGTCGTTCTGGTGTCTGTGTCACTTTTTATAAGCCTGCTGAAGAAGGTCTGTTGTCTTACATCTCAAAGCGTACAGGTGTCAAATTCGAACACTTGTCTGCCCCTCGTCCTGAAGATATCATCAGTGCTACTACAGAAGATGCTTTCAAGTCGATTGATATGGTCAAGCCTGATGTCTTGCCCTTCTTTGCTGACTCTGCTAAGCAATTAATTGAAAAGCACGGTGCTGAAAATGCTGTTGCTGCTGCCTTGGCCTTCATGACAGGCTATCATCAAGGTGTCCCTAGTCGTTCTTTATTGACTTCTCAAGAAGGTCAAACTACTTTGTTGATGCAATTGACCTATACAATTCAACATCCTGGCTATGTTCGTAATATTCTGAACCGTGAATACCCTGAATTGGGTTATGACGATTTGAAGGGCTGGAGAATGACACAAGATTCTATGGGTGTTGTGTTTGATATCAAGAGTTCTAAATGTGAAGTACAAGAAGATGGTAGTGTTCTTTTGGCTGGTCGTCCTTGGACTTCTCGTAATATCACATTGAGTGCTCCTTCTACTTTACCTCCTCTTCAAGAACGTGATAATAGAGGTGGCCGTGGTGGCGGCGGAAACAACTATGGTAATGGTGGCGGCGGATACAATAGCTATGGTCGTAACAATGGTGGTGGATACAACCGTAATGGCGGCGGTGGTGGTGGCCGTGGTGGTGGCCGATCTGGTGGTTACGGTGGTAACGGTGGCTATGGTGGAGGTGGCCAAAGACGTGGTGGTTACGGTCGTAACTAAAGAGATACATTTTCATCCTATTTTAGCATTTCCCCCCTTTTTCTTTATTACTTTTTGCATTTACAAACAATACCTTTTTTCTATAGAGAGATTCAATTTGTATATGTTTGCTTTAATTTGTTTTCATGTTTATTTATTATCATTAACTAGACCATAAAGACATTTATTTGTTATCTAACAATAATAATAATAATGGATTTCAGTCTGTGAAAAGAGGCTTTTTTTCTCTCTCTCTCTCTCTCTCTCTTTTCTTATTGAACATGGCCCAGTCTCGTATTTTAGTAAGCAACCCCCAAGATACAAACATAAAATTTAACCTGATCAAAGTTGGTTGGCTTAGGAAACGTACCATTACCAAATACTCGACATAATGTAGGCATGATGGTGCTCGATGCCATTGCCAAGTCGCTTAATCTAACATGGTCACAAAACCGTAGTTGGAAATCAGACATGGCTGAAACAAACATACAAGTTCAATCCAAAAACGAGTTTCATGAATACAAACTCACGCTCTTAAAGCCAAGAAAGTTGATGAACATTAGTGGATCATGTATTGCTCAAGCAGGCAAGTGGATCTGTCTGATAGCCTTCATCTAATCCTACACAGTCAAAGATCTTTCACTTCCCTTAAGAAACGTCTATGTCTTTCATGACGATATGCAGCGTGGGTTAGGTAAAGTCAGTCTGAAAGCAAGTGGATCAGCCAATGGACACAATGGCATCAAATCCGTCATTGATCATCTCAGGACACAAGACTTTAACCGTGTTCGTATTGGAATTGGTCGCCCACCCGCTGACATAGATAATCGTTCCAATGATGTTGTGGCTCAATTCGTATTAAGTAAATTCACACAGGCAGAGATAGCTACATTGGAAGAAACGGTCTATCCGATGTGGACGCAAAACAATGGACTAGAACTCTTGTGTCATCAAGGACAGTTATTTAAATTACCAAAAGTCAAGAACAAGAAAAAGAAAGCTGCATTGAGTACATCAGATATCGAAGACAATACCATTCAACAGGCTGCTTAAAGAGATTTATATGTATTTGATAGAAAGAAAAAAAAAAAACCAGCAATGCCAACGTGTTACCTTGCATGATGAATTGGAGAACTATCGTAAATAGAATTAGCAAATTATATAATATAGATTACTTTTTGCATAGACAAAAAAGCTTCCACAGTGAAAATGCCCTAAAAAAAAGGGGAAGGGGGAGTGTAGGTATAAAGGGATTTTCCCTAGAAGTCGGAGAGGCATAATAGGGAGTCGATCCAATTTAAGTCGTACAATGCGCGCATCAGCTGGGTAACTGGGAAAGCCTTTAATAAAGGTACCGTCAACCAAATACACTCCTTCATTCAAGATTGTTTGGCGACCCAAACTGTCTTTTCTCCAAACAGTTTCCATAAACGAACGGTTGAGATATTTGCGGGTCATAGGCACGCGACCGCAATAATCTTCATAGCCACTGTTCTCGTCCATATTCTTGTTAAAATCAAACAGAAGTTCTTCATCTTTGATATCGGTGATATCAATAAGAACGCTGTTTTTTTCAATGCCTTTTATAAAAAGTTGAGCCAAGTTAACAGGTGTCGGTTGAGCAGAGTCGGACAAGAGTAACTCACTGATGGTATGTGAGTCTGTAAACGATGCAGATGGAGTGAAGACAGTTGGTCGAAAGGACAAGTTGGTACGTGCCTGACCTGGCACTACTTTTGCTCAAGAAAGAGAAGTGTTGTTATTATTGTTCTTCTTGTCTGGGCTGGTTGCAATTCGGAGAATTAAGCGGAAGAGTCATGTTAAATTGAAGAAATGAATTAAATTGAAAGCCCAAACATGGCCCAAATGCCGTTTCAGTCTACAGTTTCATGGATTTTGAAGATTTACATTTAGACATTTACCTATAAAACAATCTAAATCCATACTAAAGAAATCGTATTAATTAAGAAGACTGGAACACATGAAGTCTATGAATTGCTCCTTCTAAACATATCCGGAATTCCGTAGACACTCCAGACAGAAATCATGTTTCTTGCTGCAAATGTCTCTTCTCCAAAGTATATGGCAGGTTGTACAGACAAGTACACTATGGCTTTTGGCATCAGGGCAATTTACCACATCCTTATTAAACATGTCGTTTCCAAATACAACAAGGAGAACTTTTGATTCGTCTTTGTTTATTAGCTATTCAACACAGGTAAATGTCGTCATTCATCTAAAAAAACTGTCTGATTTCTATCGAGAATGATATCTAGAAATCAGTTTCAATCTGTTCAAGAAAAAAATAACATTGTCTAGTGTTAAGTTAAAGTGACGTATTAATCATGAGGGGAGGTATTTTGGGAGGAATTGCCTTTGCCGACTGTCAGAAGCACAATCGAAAGAATCGAGCAGACTGACGGTCCTCTTCCTGACAAACCATCCGTGAAGCCCTATAAGATTAATGAAAGTGCTGAGAGACACCTTGGTCGTATCATTTGCAAGAATCCTTTTCGCTTCTTACAACAAATGGAAGGAAGAACTTGCAACAACGAGCATCCATGTTCACAGAGACACTGTGATCTCAGCTGTTCAGCGAATGAGCTTCCAATCGTTTATAGCAGCAAAGAAGCCTCGTCCCTTTGAGCAGCAGAAAAGAAAAGGCTTCGCTAGGCCAGCAGTAAGGTCAATTGGACAAATGAGTTAAAGTTTCGTCTTTCTAGCAATGCAGACAGAAGAGTGCTTTGAAAGGTTGGTGAGCAATATGAGGAAGATCGCACCGTCTCAACAGTAAGATGGGCTGAGGATTTCAGGTCTTTGACTATTGTTAAAGAGGACTCCGTTAACCAGGATGTATATGTCAGTATCTTGTCCCAGACATTCCATCCTAAGTTAATGGAGCTCACCACAACTCAAGACAAGAATTTTGACTTGTAAAAGATGATGCTATTTGCCACACAGACGTCTATACTCGATGATGGAAGAACACTCATCAGATTAGGTGCTTTGAGTACTGGCCTGCTTAAAGCCCTGATCTGAACCCCATCGAGCATTTTTGGAATGCTCTTGAAAAGCTTGTAGACAACAGAAGGTCTGAAGTTGACAATGTTGAAATCCTCAAGTCGATACTTCGACAAGAATGGGAGAACCTCGGCCAAAAAGACGCTGCACGCTTGGTCAGAAGCATGAAAAGCCGATGCCAAGCGGTGATGGATGCAAAACGTGGCCACACCAAATACTAGTTCTTCTTTTTTCTATTTTCTTTTAATAAATAATCTAAACTTTTATTCTACACGGTTTATAATGCTCATTGTCTTTGCTTCAAGGGACTTATTCAAGGATGAAAATCACGCAATTTTCCTGTCTTCAAGAATTTATTTAAAAGGTACGAAAGCAAAATCTGTGTCAGTCTATTAAAAGCCCTCCTTTTTTTCAATGCAATGAACCCAAAAAGTCTTTTTTTTTTTTAGAAGGACAACTAGTCATTAACCTGGCTAGTTTAATAAAGAAATACACAAACATTCATTCGAATATGTTTAGAAAGGAATGCGTATTTGAATGAAATCAACCCACTGTATGCTTTAAAAGAGATGAAAGTCAAAAACTGAGTTATCCATTTTTTTTCTCTTTCTTTTTTTCTTTTATTAAAATGAACAGAAAGTTCGACATTACCATCTTTGGTGGTACTGGTTTAACTGGCAAACAGATTGTTCGTCATGTCTTTGAACTCTCGATAGATCATCCTGAGTTTTTTGCTTCTGGTTTTCAGTGGGCTATTGCAGGCAGAAGTGCCGAGAAACTCGAGTCTGTGATTGAAGAGTTGGCACAACACTACTCAGCAGCCACAGTGACAAAACCAGCCGTTTTAGTAGCTAATGTGACTCAAAAAGAGCAACTGGATGCTATGGCAACACAGACCAAGGTGCTGATAAATGCAGTAGGTCCTTTCCGTTTTATGGGTGAATATGTGGTTCGCGCTTGTGTTGATAATGGATGTCATTATGTGGATGTGACTGGTAGCTATCGACTAAAAATGTATATATCATTCACACTGTATTAGGTGAGCCTGAGTTTATTGAACGTATGCAGCGTACCTACCAAGACAAAGCAAGAGCAAAGGGTATTACTGTTGTTCATGCATGTGGGTTTGATAGTGTAAACATGATCTCTTTTGAGTTATACAATATATATTCATATATGAATGCTTAGGTACCCACTGATTTGGGCGTACTTTATACCAAGCAACTCTATACCCAACATGGATGGACGCCAACACAGATTGAAATGTTTCTAAAGATACATACAGGTCCTGCAGGTATGCGTGGCGGTTATGCAACTTTTGAATCTGCAGGTAAAAGAAAACAAGACCCTGTATCTATATACTGATATCCTCTAGTGCATGGATTTGGTTCTTCTGAGCTCTTGAAAGAGATCCGTAAGGCCTCTTCTTTAAAAAAGCTACCAGAGCCTCAAGGACAAAAGCTTTTGTTCCATAAGCATGTCACTTATGACAATGAATTTGGTTATCATGTTCCCTTTGTGTTTGCTGATCCTTCTGTGGTTCGTCTTTCTCAACAGATCTTTGTGAGTGGATTAGCTCATCCTGCAGCAGCAGCCGTACAACCACCCCCACCTACAGTCCAGTTTGCTGCCTACATGTTAATTCCTTCGCTTTGGTATGTCTTTTTGTACATGATGTATGGTGCTGTCTTTTCATTTTTAGCGGGATCACCATGGGGCCGTCGAATCTTGCTTGATTATCCCGAGTTTTTTTCAGCAGGCGTGTTTTCAAAAGAACATCCTACACAAGAACAATTGGATCAATGTTCATTTGAAGTTATTCTTCGCTCTAAGGGATACGATCACGCATTGACACCTGGGCGACAAGTGCCTCCTAACAAGACTATCAAGGTAGTTGTTCGTGGTCCTGAATTAGGCTATGTAGCCACTCCTCGTATTGTGGTTCAATGTGCTATGGCTATCTTGAATCATTCAGAAAGTGTGCCACATGGTGTATTGACACCTTCTACTGCTTTTTGGCATACGGATCTTATTGAACGTCTTCGGTTTGTTGGTATCACTTGTGACGTTTCTTGTTAAAATAATAAACACTCTATGTTTAGCATCACTTGTATAAAGAGTTACTTTTAATATGTAAAATAGGTCAGTAACAAAAAGACATGTCATGCATCTACTAGGATGTGGGTCAATCCAGTTGTCCGGCAAGTCCGATTCTGGTGAATACAAGTATCCCCCCCCTAAATAGACAACTCAGAAAACTCGTGCAATAAAAAATCATTTAGACGCGCTTTCAAAATTTTTTTTTCCTTTCTCTTCTTTAATACATCAAGATGCAAGCACCTGTCCTTGTTATGAGTGAGTAAACAAACACTTCTCCTAAAGTATTAACATCTGGGTAGATACCAATATGGAACGCGAGTCTGGTCGTAAGGCTCAACTCTCGAATATTACTGCTGCCAAGGTAAGAATGAATAGAGATGACTCACAGGCACTGATGGTTGTTTAGACAGTGGCTGATGTCATTCGTACCTGTCTTGGTCCTCGATCGATGCTCAAGATGTTACTTGATCCTATGGGTGGCATCTTGTTGACAAATGATGGTAATGCTATCCTTCGTGAAATAGAAGTTGATCATCCTGCTGCCAAGAGTATGATTGAACTCTCGAGAACACAAGATGAAGAAGTAGGTGATGGTACAACCAGTGTTATTATCCTTGGTAAGTTAGACAACATACAACAGAGAAAAAAGGAGAGCTCATCTTAGACGATATATAGCTGGTGAAGTGCTTGCTGCTGCCTTACCACACGTCCAAAACAACATTCACCCTATTGTGATTATCAGTGCTTTCAAGAAGGCCCTTGAAGATGCTTTACAGATTGTTGAAGAAATCTCTACCCCTGTTGACGTGAATAACACAGAAGAAATGTTGACTCTTATCAAATCATCTATTGGTACAAAATTCACCAGCAACTGGAGTGAGTTGATGTGCAAGCTTGCTTTGGACGCTGTGCGTTGTGTTGCTATGGAAGAAGAAGGTACTGGCAAGACTGAAGTTGATATTAAGCGTTATGCTCGTGTTGAAAAGGTAGGCACAAATGAAAAAAAGACAATGTGAATTGATGTTGTATAGATTCCTGGTGGTGAAATTGAACAATCTCAAGTCTTGGACGGTATCATCTTGAACAAGGATGTTACTCACCCCAAAATGCGTCGTCGTATTGAAAACCCCCGTGTCATCTTGTTGGATTGTCCTCTTGAATACAAGAAGGGTGAATCTCAAACCAACATTGAAATTTCAAAGGAAACAGATTGGAACCGTATTCTTCAGATTGAAGAAGAACAAGTCAAAGCCATGTGTGATAAGATCATTGCTTTGAAGCCTGATTTGGTGTTTACTGAAAAGGGTGTCTCTGGTAAGTGATTGACCTGAAGATAAGGCTTTTAATTTTGATAGATCTTGCACAACACTACTTTGTCAAGGCCAACATCACAGCTATCCGTCGTGTCCGTAAGACAGATAATAACCGTATTGCCCGTGCTGTTGGTGCCACTATTGTCAACCGTGTTGATGATCTCCGTGAGTCTGACGTAGGTACAAAGTGTGGTCTTTTCAACATTGATAAGATTGGCGATGAATACTTTACTTTCTTGACAAAATGCCAAGACCCCAAGGCTTGTTCTATTGTCTTGCGTGGTCCTAGTAAAGACATTATCAATGAAGTTGAACGTAACCTTCAAGACGCTATGTGTGTTGCTCGTAATGTCTTCTTCAGTGCCAAATTAGCCCCTGGTGGTGGTGCCACTGAAATGGCTGTTGCTGTCAAATTAGAAGAAAAGGCCAAATTGATTGAAGGTGTTGAACAATGGCCTTACAAGTCTGTTGCTGAAGCTATGGAAGTCATTCCCCGTACTCTGATTCAAAACTGTGGTGGTAATGCCATCAAGACGCTCACACAATTAAGAGCCAAGCATGCTACTGGTGAACATTCATTTGGTATTGATGGTGAAGCTGGTAAGGTTGTTGATATGAAGGATTACGGTGTTTGGGAACCTACTGCTGTTAAGGTCCAAACGATCAAGACTGCTATCGAGGTAAGAAGTCAGCATAAAGAGAATGAAGAAAATAACTTTTTTTGTTTAGTCTGCATGTTTGTTATTACGTGTTGATGATATTGTTTCTGGTCTTTCAAAGAACAGAGGACCTGCTCCTCAACAAGGTGGTGCTGAACAACAAGAGGTAAAAAAAAAAGAAGGAAAACATCACACACTATCATGGTAGACTAATGTATTGACTTAGATGATGGAACAACAAATGTAATAGTAGCATAAAACAGCATAAAATAAATCCCATTTTTTTTAAAGGATATATATATAGATATATACATATACACACACACACATATATATAATAAAATGTCTTGATAAAAAGATATGCTTTGTTTATTGTTTTCTATGTAGAGAGTCTATAAAGTATGTAAAATGCAAAATATTGAATTAATGAACATGAGGGGAATGGACTAAAGGAACGTAATCAGGAATAAACATGGAGTTTTCAACAACTTCATTCAATGTTTCGCCTTCCTTCAAGACAGCAGTAGCCACACCTTCTTCAAAGGCAACTTCACAAACACGCGTACCTACAGCCAAAGCAACTTCACGCAATTGACACACACCAGGGAAGAGAATACCTTCCTTCAACTGTTGAGGACTGGCCATATCAGCAATAGTCTTTGCGGTTTCCAAGAACATGTTAGGTGTGACACGGCTTGCTCTTGAGACAGTGATACCAAGACCAAGACCAGGGAAACTGTAAGAGTTGTTACATTGGTTTGTGCGGCCAAGACGGCCATTGGGCAACTGAACATCTGTAAAGGGACTGCCTGAAGCAAAGATAGCACGACCATCGGTCCATTTGAAAGCTTGTTCAGCTGTACATTCAGCACGTGTATCGGGATTACTCAAGGGGAAGACAATGGGCTTTTCTTGATATTTGGCCATGGTACGAATAGCCTTTTCTGAAAAGACACCGGGGACACCTGTCAAGCCCAAGATGACAGTAGGTTTCACGCGTTCAATCACTTGTTCTAAACTGAGACGGTCAGGTAAATCAGCCTTGACATAGCATTGTTGGCGTTCGTCTAGTTTAGTGATTCTTTCTTGACCACCCACAATAGCTTGAATATCGTTGCTTGTCTTGGCAGGGTTACCGAGAAGACCATGTTGGTCCAGCATGTAGATACGGGAATAAGCTTCTTCGCGAGACTTGACCTTGCCCTGAGCTACCATGGCATCAATAATACCTTCACAAACTCCGACACCAGCAGAACCAGCCCCAACGCAGACAATGCGTTCTTGAGCAAGTGCTTCTTGAGGAAGATTACGAGCCTTAAGGGAAGCAAGAATACCAGCAAGTGTGATGGCAGAAGTAGACTGGATATCATCGTTGAAACAAGTAATCTTGTCCTTGTCTATAAACAGAGTTAATCTATCATTCATTTTTGTATCTTTAACTTACATTTATTTAATAAATTGTAAGCATGAGGATATTTAAAATCTTCAAATTGAATAAGAGCATCTAAAAAAAAAAACTCGGTCAGTAACAAGATCATAAAAAAAAAAGAGATACTTTACTTGGCCATCTGCTTTGAACAGCAGTAACCCACTCATCCACAAAAGAATAGTATTCTTCACCGTCTAATCTTGGGTGACCCATACCGAGGTAAAGGGGATCATTCAATAAGTTTTCATTATTTGTACCAACATCCAAGACAACAGGCAAAACAGAACGAGGACGAATACCACCAGCAGCAACATACTAAATTTATACATTAGTTTTGGAAGTCATTCCAAAGAAACTTCGGATCACTTACCAAACTGAGTTTACCAATAGGAATTTGCATACCGTTAGCACCCAAATCACCCAAACCCAGTACACGAGAACCATCAGTAACAACAATGACATCCACTTCATCATGAGGCCAGTTATGAACCATGGCTGACATGGTACCTCTGTCTTGAGAGGAAAAGTACATACCACGAGAGCGACGGTAGATGGAATGTGACAATAAACATGCTTCACCCACTATATATATGTTGATTAAATTTCAGTATGCGGGAAAATCAGGGTAAATATTGTATCGCAGTTGAAAAAAAAAATTTTTACCTGTAGGTGTATAGATGATGCTAGCCAATTCATCCAAATAAGTAATTAAGAGCTTATAGAACAATGTCTCGTTACGATCTTGAAGGGCAGTCAAAAACACAAATTTGGAGAGAGGTGTGTCTAAAGCATCCAAGTTACGCTTGATACGAAGCAGTTGCTTGTCCATTTCTTGACAACGAGGTGGCACTAAACCACGGATCGAGAGGCGTTCTCTTTCTGCAAGACTGAATGCAGTACCTTAATTTGGGTCAGTGTCTCTATTGTTTTTTTTTCTGTTGCATTACCTTTTGAAAGTAAGGGATCATGAATGATGTTGACACCTCTTAAAGGAGTCAACTGAACTGTCTTGTCTCTTCTAGGATCAGAGCCAAGAGCAATAGCAGAAGCGGGAAGACCATAATGACGACGATAAAGAGTTTGTCCCTGTCTCAACATGTGAGGCAAGGATTTACGCATTGAATTAGAAGATAACATGATTTAAAAAGAAAAAAAAATGATAAAAAAAAAGGGAACAAAAGAAGTCTGTATTTATACAAGACAGCATTATGTAAAAGGAAAAGCTGACCCGTGGTCATTTTGCACCAGCGGTCATTGAAATGATACACCGCTTTCTCTAGATGATCATGATGAATCAGTCTATAAACTGTCCCTATATAAGCCGTATGCATGTGCTCTATTTGCTCTGGATATTTATTGATCAGTTTAATAAGCTGGTGGCTATAAAAAGTAAATATAGCATCTTCTTTTAATAGAAACAACTTGTTATGAAATAAAATGAAAAGTTTAATTGACTGATGAGTCATTTGCACTTTCTTCCTGTAATCTCACTTCTTTTGTATTCCCGATTTACTGTAAGTTCTGGGCATCTATTGACACAAACAGGCTTGGATCAGCGTCTCTTTTTGTGATTTTGTCAACTTGAGATTGTCTATTGTTTGATACAGTTCGCTATAGGCTACTTATTTGCTTCCCTATAAATGGTCAAAGCGACATTTTTGACGAAAAAGGAAATGAAGCATTGGGGAAAATATACCCTAACAATATATATTAAAAAAAAAAAACCTCAGAAAATTAGCTCATTTTGCCTTTTAAACAATAAGAGCTCTAAATAGAAAATAATAATAATAATAATAATAAACCACAGTATAAATAAATATACTTAATATGTATACATACACTTTATTGAAAAAAAAAAAATTGTATGGACAAAATAAAATATTAAATTGTAGAAATTAAACAGAGGATGAGATACATAAGTAATATTTATATTGTTGCTTACACTAGGTTATGAGAGCAGAGAATAGAAGAGGGATAAATTAGTAACAGATATGAACCAGTATATGTAAAACACTTACGCGAATAATTTTGTCAGTTGCATAATTGCTTCAACTCATCAACCAATACCAAGCTGCGATTGATGCTAAAGGCGACCATATTCGTTATCGGTTTCTTTCTACTTATATTATCTTTGAATAAACATCTCAAAAAATCATCAACAAAAAACTGAGTGCGTTCAAGTATTGTCTTGGCTTTTTGATCATGATACCTTTGTTACTGAGTTCGAATGACGAAAAACTGAGCTAATTTTAAAAAAAATTTTTTAGGAGAATATACTTTGTCGATTCACATATGCAGAGATCAACAATTTTCAGCCTTAGGCTTCTCTCTCTATGCTTGCGATAGATCATTTTCGAGGGCTCTCTTTGATCAGCAACAGGATCGTCATTGCAAGCATGATACTTTAGGATAGGAAATTAAAATCCTGTTTTGTCTGTGCGCATAGGTTCAAATAGATAGACGATTGCTCAATTACAACTCCTTAGTCTGTCTGTGCGCATGCCCAGAAAAAGAAAAGAGCCAAGAAAGAAGGAGTCGTTTATTACATTTACATACATACATACAATTTATACATAGAATAATTAGTTCATATTTGGGATAAAGAAAAAGAAGGAGGTATATTAAGCAGTCTTTTCTTTTTTTTTCTTATTCGCACTACGGCGAGCAGTGAGATCACGCCAGACAAAGCAAAAATTGCCTGCCAACTGTATTTTAGGTTTTCTGCCTCTCTTCTTTTTTGGCGTCGTGCTGCTATTAGCAAGTTTATTTTTCTGTTGCCAATGCAATACCATGAAATCTTGAGGTTCTTCTTGAACAAGTCTTTCTTGAGGAAGTATAGGATGTTGAATGATATCACATACAGTAGGTGTTATGAATGTAAAATGATCTTTTTTTTCTTTTCTGTTTGGTGGTCTCCCTCTTTTTCTTTTGAGACTATCCATGTCTGGTATGGAGAGTGGGCTTAGCAGAGGCGATAAAGATGGTGAAGAGACAGAAGATGCAAAAGAGAGTGTTGGAGAAGGGATTTGGAGTGATGGTAGATTATCTATTTCTTTTATGAGTGTGCTGATAGGCGGCAAAGTGACATGGTTCAGTGTTGGTGAGGGAGGGTGTAACAAGAACTCAATTGGTGACATTGTAAGATAAAGAAAAAGAAGACAGAAATGTTGCTTCATAAATTGAATTTATATTTTTCCTTCTTTAGGTAAATACATTCACTTTAGAATCTAAAGAAACTTCTTTTTATACGATCCTTTTAGCCTCAGTCACACAGGGCATATTTATGGTGCTTTTCAGCAAATTTGTCTATTGTTTTGCTATTAATATCTTGTCTCTACTAGCTTAAAGATCAAGCAGTAGTATATGCATAGTTGTCTTTCCAAGACATGTATTCAGTAACTACTGTTATTCTATAAATTCAATGTCTATCTTGTTGAAATACTCATTGCATAGCTGTCTCTTCTATATTATATATATATCCTGATATTTATACGCACAACATAACATAGCATAGCAGTAATTTGCATAAAAGTCAATACTCTTTTATCTATAAGATCAGTTTCTCTGATATTGAATAGATTGTAGCAAATCAGAAAGTTATTGTCCAGCTATACACAACCATACAAAAGAAAAAAACATCTTTCTTTGTTCAACTACTGAAACAATGTGATAATGACTAGAGGAATTAAGAACGATTATTTCTCTTACAGCAACACATAAATAAAGAGAATAAATAAACATGTCTATGACCAGAAGCAATCGACGATAAAGACATATCTTCAAACATAATCACAGAATGTTCTTTCTCATACATGTCATTGTAGTGTGTCAATAGTTCGAAATCAAACAGATTATCTAACATGTTAGCATTCTCTGCTATCTTGAACAACAAAGAATCATCTTCCAAGTACATTGTCGCTGCTTGATCTGTAAACATGAGTACAATCCAACATATCCATGTATAATTTACTCGAGATAAAAGCAACTTTGGATTTATCCAATTTGTTTCCATTGGCTGATACAACTATAATAATACTTAGCAACGTCTTGGGTCGATTGTCAATTACTCTCACTAGCATTGCTCATTCTGCATCATCCAAGGTGCCGGTCAATATGTCTGTATATTGATGTTTGAAGAACATCGAAAGACGTAAACTTGGATTTGATTTTGATAGGCATGATGAAGAAAGGAGGCATCGCCAAGATCAAGATAGCAAGGTTAACAAAATATATATGAAAGTCCAAGAGTCATGATAAAAGAGAAAATGATTGAGTAAGACTTTCTCCCCTTATGCTTCTTTTATACCATAACTATAGGACAATCAAACACATCTTTTTTCAGTAGTAAGAAAAGAGACAATACTAACAGAATACAATGAAGTACTCTGTTACAAAACGGTTACATATAGTAAACAAAGCAAAGATTCAATACAAATTTTGGTCTGTGCATAAAAAAGAATGGCTAGGTTTGATAGAATATCAATTTTTAATGCCAAAGCAAGTCATTCATCAGAAAGAGGGGAGTGATAAAATCCAAAAAAGGCAACAGGGGGTGATGTATAATGCTCCAATTTAATTTCTCTTGAATAAATATTTTTCTTCTTCCATGCCAATGTAAGTCGTTTGTTTTACACAGACACACACATATATATGTATATATGAAACACGTGTTCATAACAAAATAAAGTAAACACATTGAACTGTTAACAAAGCAAGACCTTGCAGTTCAACTAGAGTCTTGTCGGCTACTTGAAATAAAACGTATCTGCAAGACAATAGTAAAAGACGACTCGCTATTCAAGCAACTCGGTCTTGACTTTTTGCGCTACCTTTTAAACTCTAAAAAAATAATAGACACTCAAAAATTAGAAACTATTCATGATTGCTACTTGGAACGATTATCAGATAAAGAAATATGCTATTTGATTTTCATATTTCTTTTAAAGATTCGATATGAACAACTTCATTTAGCAGATATTCAAGCCTACAAACTATTTATTGAAACACTGCCTCATTGCGCTCCTTCAACACAGACAGCATGGCGGCAGGCAATGGAAGCCTTTACAGAAAAAGAAAAACTGCAAGTAACATACGATGATATGATTCAAGATTATCTTTATTCGGGTGTTTATCCAAATGCTACAGGGTCAACAAAGTAATATATATATATATATATAGGATAGATGGATTATTTTATACACATCGAGCCCTTATTCATACCCTTTTTCTTTTTTGTAGGTTTGCTCTATTCAATGTATTGTATGGATCAGAATTTGAGCCACTGCAAGTAAATCAATTTCAGTTCTCAACTGCTTTTACAAAATATCTCCCATTGATTCATTCTTCAGAACAGAGACGCAGGCTTGCATTGAATACAACTTTTATTGAAAGTCAGTTAGATGTAAGTGATTGAATACTTTGAAAAAGCTCATTGTAAAATAGAGAATGCAACTTGATGTGCCCACAATGGAGTGCAATCTAATACATGAAATCAGTTTTGATAATTATGATGAATTTGAAACTATGTTTAGAGAATGCCTTGTGTTGTTGGAATCAAGCCATTTTCTATATATGACAACTATTGTGTTTGCAATCATTCAGCTATTCAAATATGCTCAGCTACATTATGATGTCCAAGTAAGTAAAATATATATATATATATAGATAACAGTATTGATAAATCATATGATTAGCCTTTGGTTGAACTATGTCAGGCAACATGGTTTGGGAGATATCATCAGTTACTTTACGAGTATGCTTTCGAATCAGAAACCGATAGAATACACCAAAGACTGTGTCGATTAGCAGTTTGTTATATGCAATTTAAACGTGTGCTCTCTTTTCCACATACTCCATTCCCTGTTGCCATATGGGATCAACACTACCTTGAACGATCCATTTATCTTTCTTCTATTAACCAATTCAACAAAACCAACCAAGACGTATTAAGACTTGTTGAGAAAATCGTCTTTACTACGACTGCATAACTTTTTTATTTCTAGCATCATTCAAATAAACGCCATTCAAATAAACAAGAGGACCATGCTGTGTATGCTTTGGATCTAAGAGATCAGATAAACCAAGCCTCCAAGAATCTTTAAAAGAACCATACATATCATATCCATTCTTGTACCAGCAAGAAGCTACACCACCATGAAGTTGGCCTACAATACGATGGTGGGCATCAAATAAGGGTGATCCTGAACTACCTGACTCTGTTGTGCCATATGTCCATCTTTCTACTTTCCAATGATCATTTTCTGGACATTCATCCCAACAAGAAGGTAATAAATGACCGTCGTACATGGAAATCTTTTTAAAATCACCACTGGGATGATGAATACCAGTTAAAGGAGGATGAGGTTCAGGCTCAGTTGTCCAACCTGAGAGATAAACATCATAACTATCTGGAATAGGTTCTTTCACTTCAAATAAAGCAAAATCAGAGACGTTAGAACCACCTATATGTAGAAAATGTACATTAGAATAATCATCATCATAGCCTATGTATTACCTAACCAAACAAGTCCATGAAGTATATCAGGTGACCTATTTAACTGGTTAAGGGTGCGACAAGACTGTCTTTGATAGTTCAGTAGTACCATGTCTGTTGCTGGATTGGAGGTGTCTGTAAGGCAGTGATAAGCCTAGTTTTTGTCATCAATATCTCTTCTCTATGGATACAAACGACCTACTGTCAATAAAAGTTGTCTTCCATCTTGCTCAACATTGTTGATAAATGCACCTGTACAGTATTTTTGATTTTCATCTGTAAGCAAGACAACAACTGAGCTTGCTTCTTTAGACCAACCTGTGCTCATAGCATCACACGCATAATCTATATTACATTTACCAGAATGTCTATTTCGAGAAATAACGCGTTGATTTGAGCCAGGAAAAGACAAACTTTTCAAAAAAGGCACTTGGCGATACCCATAAACAACACGACTTAAATATATCTTTGGTAATGGATAAAGAAAAGGCGATGTATATTCGAGAAATAGAGTGTTTCCTGCCATAGGTTTTGTAGCAAACCTGGTCTTTTGAGAGGTAAGGATCTATGAAATGCCGTCAATATATATATTAAACAACACATCTTTCTCCTTCTCTAACCTGCTGTCGATCATTTTGATTAAAAATGTCTACTCTTGCACCCTTTGGTATCCATAACTGGTCGAAAATAAAACTCAGTGATAATGCACCTGAGCTATGGATTTTGATTCGCCATTGCCAAACTGTCTCTTGCGACAATAGTGGCAACTCGTTTGTGATAGAGACAGGTATTGATAATCCAAATCGGTATGGTTTAAGAGTCTCGGTGGTATTTTGCGTAATCAAAGGCTGAGGTATATCATATGTTCGAATGTCATCAATTAGCAATTCCCCAGAGACAAACGTAAGTGCAAGTAAAATAAAAAACAAAGTATGAGTCATGCGTAGTGAAAAAGAAAAAAAAAAAAACGAAAAAAAAGGGAAAGACTACTTATCCCATTCATTCTGTGCTACCCATAGCAAACAGTTTCATCATGGCCATAATTGAATTATACACCATTTGTATACTTTTTTGCTGAATTGGATTACAAAGTATAGATCAAAGAACTGATTTTATATTTGAAATGTCCACAATAAAAATACTTTCTCAATAAATCATAATTGTGGTGTTGTAATACCAAACGGCCAAGTTTACCAAGAAAACTCAGCCTCGTTTCATGCCAAGGCCATATTCTGACTATAAATATGAATTGCATAATCACTTTTTTGATTCACTGTCATTAAACAATGGTTCGTGTTGCTGTATTCGGTGGATCTAAAGGTTGTTCTCGTGCTATGGTCGTTCAAGGCTTAGAAAAAAATCAACATCAATTCAAGTTATTGATTCGTAATCCAGATACAATGGAATTTACGGAAGAACAGAAATCGAAATTAACCATCGTAAAGGGAGATGCTTTGGACCCCGTTACTGTTAGACAAACTGTGCAAGATACAGATGTGATTGTGTTCTCAGTTGGCAGTGCATTTGATATGAAGACAAGAAAGATGGTCAGTCCTGGTTTATGTTATGATTCAATGAAGGTTTTGTTGGATGTTCTTAAGGAGATGGATCAACGACCTAAGCGTCTGGTGGTTGTCTCTACAACAGGCTTGGATGGAATGAAAGAAGTGCCTTACCTGTTTTGGCCCATGTACCGATACTTGCTACATGACCCTCATATGGACAAGGCAAAGATGGAAGAGTTAGTGGATTATCAAGACGTGATTAGTGATTGGATTATTGTACGACCTAGTTTGCTTACTGATGGTAAATTAGTGGGCAAATACAGAGCCGAAGTTGGGATTTCAGGATACACAATCAGCAGACAAGATGTTGGCCATTTCTTATTAAATCAGTGTATTGAGCTTGATACATTTATAAGAAAAAAGGTGGTTGTTACTTTTTAATAAATATTTTAAATAAATCAGCCTACAGTAGCCCATTGTTTTGAGGTATTGTAAAATGTAAATAACATGACTGCACTACCAAAACCAATCAATATGATGTCTATTATCTTTTTTGTGCCTTTTGTGCTTGGTAATGCTAAATGAAAAAGAGGCGGAAAAATAAGACTTAAAGGACCTACAATAGGTAAAAGATGAGCGACCTAATTCAGCTATACAAAATAGCACTTACAACAACAAACAGATCCAATTAAACTGATAAACTTGTCCAAATCATTAGCCCCAGTCCAGGCAACCAAGGTCCCAACTATCACAACAGAAGCTCTTAGTGCATTCTTTTGCCATTTAATGCCCATATTATGTTTGCCAGTTCGTTCACCAAACAAGGCTTGCTCAATAATACGAATGGTAGGGAACAAGGTAAGGGCGTTTGATAACAAGACAGCAATAGCATAACCCAATTGTACAGAATTAGGAATTATTCCAGGTGGCAGGTTTAACAAGGCAACCGTCTTTATATTCTCACCAAAAGCGACATAACCTAAAGTACCTACAGCACATAAAGTAGAAGCCACAAGGATCATAACAAAGGTCAAAACAGCAGGAAATTTTTCGGGTTTCTCCATAGAATCTCGGATAGGAATGATAAGGCCTATATAGAGAGACAGAGTAATGAGAAACATGATTATTGTCATCTGTTCTGCTTTTACCAATGCCTTCAAATGAATAAACAGCTGTACCAATAAAGACGGAATAATGAGCGGAATTGAAGATCCAATGAATGCCTGGACCTGTTTGAGGTTCTCCTTGCTTAAAGATTTCAATGCAATCAAATGCTAATAAGGCTATTAAACCGCCAACGATCAAGGCATCAGACAAAAGCGCTGTTGGTGATAATTTAGCAATGTTTCGAATCAATACAAGAGGTATAAGTAGGATAGCTAACATGACAAACACAACCGCATTGTTTAGATGGATTTGATTGTTACTTAGTGCTCTTACAGCTTCAGTGATATTTTCTACAATGAAAATAGAACCACCGCACATGAAGCCCATCTATAAATACATGTCAGTTTATCCACTACCTTTTTCTTTTCTTTTTTTCTTTTCTTTTTTTTCTTTTCTTTTACCTGCGATATAGCAATTGAAAACAAGACAACTCGTCTCATCCAATGACCATATAAATGACCACCCATGTCACCATAACTACCCGTTAAATGCTCTTTACAGTCCAGCAACAGCAAGAAACAATAAAGTGAAATGCCACCCATAAACCACATGGTAACAATAGAAAACAAAAGCCCTCCATTGGAAAATGCTTTTGGCAAAAATAAAATACCACTTCCAATAAATGCTTTAAACAGTAAAAAGATGGTCTTGACAACATTGGCTTTCTTGCTCTTGACTTCTTTCTTTTTATGTGCTTTTTGCTGAGTTGGTAATAATGCTGTTGATTCTTCATCTTCTTCATCTTCTTCTGTATCGGACAAGTCTTCACCTGCAAATTGATTCATATAAGAGGCAATGGCCAAATACTCTAAAAAGTGACGTGTAGGCTTGGAATCAAAATGATTGATCTTTGGAGAGAGGCCGGTGGTTTGATAGTTAGTTCTTGTAGAAGAACAAACTGAGTCAGGACGAAATAGTTCTTGAAAAGCAGACGATTCGTCAATTTCTTGGTGTTTTTGAGCCAATTTATGTTGTTGATGAACATGGAAACGTCTAAATCCACCTGGTTTGTCCAGGTTCTCAAATTCATTCACAGAATTGCTGCTACTAATGGCAGGTGGTACGTCTTTCAAATTGGTCATTGATTTCGTACGACGAGCACTGGGTGAGGATGCCATGACAAGGCTATTAGCATGTGTATAGATATCATGTGTGATAGCAGCACCAGGTAAATGGTATGGTACTGGTATTTCTGTCTCAAGAATAGGTGGTGAGTTTCTTGTAGCTTCGTCTATAATCAAATTGTCATTTTCGCTGCCGTCAACCAAGTGTTGTTGCACTAGACTTGCAATTTTTTCGTCAGGTATGGAACTATTGTTCATTAGAGAATATAACGAGGAAGGGAGAAAGAAAAAGAGAAAAAAAGAATTATTTATACAAAAAAAGCTTAGATCTTTCGGCTTCTCAATTTTTTTTCCTTCAAGAAGTCTGTAATGCAAACTCTAAATTTTTGAAGGAGATGCATTGCAACATTTTTATCTTTGGGACACATTTCATGTAACGTATGATTTTCAGGTACAAGTGCATATCTAGAGCCTTTTTATGGCTCTCCAAATAAAGAAGTAGAAAGAGCTAATGTGCTATAAGCTCATCAAGCAGTACATAAGGTCATAGACTGTGATCTTATTGTTCAAATCAATAAAAAGGTTAAAAACTTGCATATTGCCTTCCAAAGATCATTTTTGTACGAAACTCCGGTATTTGTTAAATGTACGATGACAAAATGGCGTGTTTTTAGCATATATACCACCCTCAGAACTGCTTCCAATTCAGAAAAAAAAAATAGTATGGAATGTATAATACTTGACATACTGTAAAAATATACATTAGAAGGGATAATGAACGCATAAAAATAAAGTAAAGCCCTGCTTAAAAATTACCTCAAAAGTACTTGTCTTAATTCTCCTATGCAACAATATACAAAAGAACTTTTAAATAGCTCCATTTTCATGCAATCACAATTTGAGAGCGAGGCAGTAACTTCATACTAATACAGAAAAGATGCATCTATCACTATAAAGTATGTTAAAAGCACTTGATTCTAAAAAAAAAAAAGACATGGTAAGAAATGGTATGCTTTGACCAGACTTGAGTATCAGTGTTTGCTTATCATAGTCAAGTGAATCAACAGAAGAACAAACACATTTCTTCACTCTAGCTTGCCTTGTCAAGAAATAGGAGGCATATCACGTGATGACAGGGAATAAATGTCCACTTTCAGAGCAAGAGATTAGGACTTTCTTTAAAATCGCAAGATGTCAAAGTTAGAAAAAATGAGCTCAGAGGAGCATATCAACATAAGCAAGAAAATGTTTTATGGAGGTTTTGCTTTCTTGCCTTTGCTATGGCTTGTCAATTTCCTATATTTCTTTAAAACAAGTCGGAAACCTGACGCACCTAAAGAACTAAAGCGATGTAAGACATGTAGATCTTGATTTGTGTTAATACTTTATAGATATATATATGTCGCTAGGCGGTAGTATTGTTTGGTTTATTATACTAACTACTTGGTATGGCTTATTCGTGAACAAAAGAGTGGACTGGGGTATTAGTGCGGATCGTATTACAGTAGTTATACCCAAAGGATTGTAATTGGTGCCTTTTTTGTTGATTTGTTTATATGCTATATGCCTTTCTATCCATTTCTATTTCGCTCCCTCTTTCCTTCTCTTTTTATCATTTGTTCTTTCTCTTCTCTCTCTTAACTTTCACGCTTCATATCAATAAATACATGGCTGTTTGCTATTTTTGTGGTTCAAGTATGTACATCAGTATATTATGTCAATTTCATTCACCTTTTTTTTTTTTTTTTTTTTTTTTTGAAATAGCCAAGCACAAATCCAGTGATTGTGTAAGTAATCCATAAAATAAACCCATTCAAGTTTGCTTATCTATCTATATTACAGCCGCATTATGTTGCTGACATTCTGAACAGACTCTATTTCTCTTTCTTCATATCATTGGCAACAACAACAACAAACAAGGTGGCGTCCAAATGAGTCTTACAAAAAAAAAACATTGCCACACAGAAAAAAAAGAAGAATTAGCGTTTCATTTAATAAAAAGCAACGATAATTGCTGCATGATTCGACCTCAAACAAAATATTACATAAACAGACAATTAAGTTTATTTAAGCCGAAGCTTGTGTTAAATAAGGCGCGAAATCTTCTTGAGTGACTGGAATAGGTGCATCTGCACTTGCAATGTTACATTGATGAAACACTCTTTCATCAGTATCCTTAAGTGAACCGACGACTGAATGAAGAACACCACGGTTATGGAAAATAACAAAATCACCATCCTTCCATTCATGAGCATAGACGTTTTCAGGACTAATGGCTGGTCGTTGCATCTTGTATAACAAATCTCTTACTTTTTCTAGGTCATTCATTGGTTTGCCATCGATTATCAAATCTTCAACGGCAGCGGGATGAACTTGGAAATGGATTTTACCTGTCACGGGGTTCTTCCACAACTAAACAAAGGTTACAACACAATGCCGACAAAACGTTTTATGTTACCATTGGATAAACCTTGATGTCTTCTTCGTTGATTTCAGGTAATTCTTCTTTGCTGAGTTCTTTACCTTCAGAGACCATACCCAGGCCAGTAGAACGGGCTTTGGCTTTAGACATCCATAAATAAGGGTGTGCAGCATACTTGACTTGAGTCTTAAATGCGAGTTCCTTAAGGTCTTGGGGTAAGATTTCAAAGGCTTTTTGGCCAGAAATGACTGCATAGATCATTAGTCACTGTCGATATGCATTATGCGTGTGTCTATATAACTTACATGCAGTAGTGCCCAATTGAACTTCAAGCTGATCATCTGTGCCATCATCGTATCGAACAATTTCTCGTCTGGATTCCTAAAAATAAATTAGAAAAAAAAGTTTTTTTCTACAAACTTGCTGACTTACAGGATTCTTACGACCAAATAAGGTGGTTATTTTAGGAGGATTGAGTTTGTACAGAGCAGCATCCATATGCCAACGATAAAAGCGGGTTTGACCAGCATCCATTTGCTCCTTTGTCAAACAATCTTTATGAAATACAGTGTGACTAGGGTGAGTTAATTTGCGCTCCTCAATGCCAAAGTGGTTCTTAACAACACCGTTTCCTAACAACTGAACTTGAGGCACTTCAGGTAAAGGTGAAATATCACGAGCAATGACAGACTGGTTCGCACGATGCATGGAGCCATGACCATAAAGATCAATGTTTTGTGGATCAAAGCGCTTTGTTAATTCGTATTGTGTTTGGGGTCTGACATGGCCCTGATTTCTAACACAAACAACTTGATATGTATACACAGCTTCAAATAGTTTATCAAAATCTTCAGCTGTATAAAAAAGGATGTTGAATATATTGCAACGAATTAATCCTTTTATTTACTTACGAGAAATAGCTTCCAAGTCAATGTCTTCAATAATAGCACCAAAGTCAACACCAGATTGTCGGGCTGTGGGTTCAATAGGCTTCAAAGTGAAAGGCATTTTATTTTCTTGAGGGAAAAAGAAAGAAAGAGAAGTTAAGGAGCAAAAGAAAAAATATTCATGCCCTTTTTATGCTCAATATATCATCGGAACTCTAATCCTACAAGCGTGTGTGATCTTCAAAAGAACCAATCGATGATTGAATATACACTTCTTAACACAATTATACCGTCTACAAACATACACAAGATAACTAAAAACTGTACTTTCGAAACAGCCAGCTTGCAAGATTTTCTCAGGATTATACATGGAAAACGCAAGAAAAAGAAGGAGTTTATTATGCATAAGAAAGATTTATGTTTTTTTACCACAACTAAAAAAAAAAAGGTCTCTTTACAGAAAAATCGTAGATTGTGCCTATAAAAGATATAATCGCGATAAGAAATCAAGCATAGAGACAAGGGAGATAAGAGGTTGTGTAACAAGGTGCAAAAAACATCACTTTCATGAATACTAGATAGTGTATGCTTACCAAGATTATGAAGAGATATCATGATTGCTTCTGCATAACCATTATGCAGACATCATCTGATGTCGAAATCCCGACCAGAAAAAGTAGCCAATGCCATTTGATACAGTAAGATGCATTTAAAATAAATTATCGCGATTGTCAACTTAGTAATGTTTTTATTTACATTAAGAAATATTCAGAAAAGCATAAAAGATAAAAAAGAGCTAAAACATTCTTTTTTTTTAAAGGAAAGAGCTAAACCATTCATTTAGTTTCTCCGCTTGTCTATTAGTACTGAGCACTAGTAAACAAAGGGCAGAAACATCTATCGTTGATTTAAATAAACGGAAAGAATGCACAACCAAGGAAAATCTTTATTGTATGCAATCTCAACAATCACCAAAGATAATGGTCTATTTGGTAGCAATATAGAAGCTTCTTTGTCATAAAAAAAAAGAACCCCTTTCCCTTTTTGAGTTATGCTTAGATATGTTTGACTAAATATTTAAATACTTATTTCTACATGTGATAATTTGTTTTGTATATCATATTTTAAATTTTAATTCTGGTTATTCAAGGCCATTTAACGTTTTGTTTTGTTCATTGTTTATCGTTAAACGAATTTTTTTTATTTCTAGAATTATGTGAAAAGTGTCAAAAATAGACATTATTCTCTAAATGCCTTGTAAAAAATATTAGATGAAATTCTCAATATAATTAATTTAGAATTGCTTGCTACATGCTTCAGCAATGTATACGCAGCTTTTCAGGCATTTATTCCTTCTAATATTCAAGCAAGACTGTAGAAATGATGAGCGACATACATGTCAACATCCTCGAGATTCAATATATTAAGAGTACCTACTTATCTGCATTGTAAGCGAAAAGAAGCTTGTCTGTAATAGTGTTGTGATTGACAGGCAAGTGAGACCTACATTTTGTACTACCATTAGAAATTCAAATGTAATCTGTGCGTACAAGGAGATAGGAATATCATTCAACAGCAATCCCATCTCGCCATACAACATTCTAATGACCGACCAATAAAGATAGATAATCAACGGCATGTGTAACCGTCAAGCTTTTTAGTTATAGAGTAGGAATGTACGCAATAACAAGCACAAGTTGCTTCATAAATCTGTCCTTGCAATTGTTTTCAGTGGAATTGGGCTTAAAAAATATTAACTAATGCGTAATAAAATAATCTAGAATAATAGGCTCGTGATTTATCATCAAATATCTCATATGATCTCTTTGATTCTCTCTTTCTCTTTTACCCTTCTGTACAAGAAACAAAGACGATATTAACCGGTAATGTTGTCAAAACAAGCCAAACACATTCCTATCGCAGAAAATAAATAGAAAACAGGACGGGTTCATAAAATCACATGTAAATTTGAACGCCAAAATGGACTCTCCTAAATCTTTCTACGTTGATCTGTCCGCTCAACCCCGTTATCGTATTCTTACTCCTTTTAAAGTAATGACTATATAAATTAGAAACGCTGTATTTCTTGTTCTTTTTTGTGCATGCTAAACCGGAGTTTTCCTGATAATCGATACATTTTGCATTACAGCTCCCTGAGGATAATTAAGACTGATTTTTGCTCGAGTTAGTGACAAAGACAGACAAAGTTTATTTTATGAAAAGGAGCGTCAATTTCATACTTTGTTTCCTGAGGTTTATATCGATCAAATAAAATGGAAAACAGACAAACAAAACAAAAAAAAGAGAAAGAGAGAGAGGAGAGAGTAACACCATTTACACAAAGCTTAAAATTTTTTTTGTCGTCATTTAGTGCAGCCTTTTCACCATTCAAAATATATATAAATATAAAATATGAAAACTTCATTTCTGAATCTTTTCTTCTTCTTTCTTTATCTATATGCAATCACAATATAATACTCAAGCATTTCAAATGAATTGGGATAACCAACTAAACTATCATGCTATGCCTGCTAAAGATGACATAAATTACCGCCATCAAAAACAGCAATGTCATCGAAATGAATCTCGTATGCCTCAACCTCTTTTATTGACCCCATTGCCACTCGATAATGAATTGCATCCCCTTGAGCACGCCTCAAGCATGCCTCTAGACTATTCTTCTATGACTATGTTTGACAATCCTTATTTTATCTTGGATGACAACAATATCCTACTTACAGATAGCCTAAGCCAGAGTCATAATGTGTCTCCAGTGTTTTCTAATTCTTCTCATAATCATCATGAAGAAGAAAGTGGTGGCAATACTATGGCAATATCTCCTTTGATTTTTAGCCAAGAGCAACTATTCATGGGTCCAGACCACCAGAGTGAAGAAGAATGGGAGAACAAGAAAAAGAAAAACAAAAGAGGAAAGCATACTGTGCCTAAAAGAAGACGACACACTGATGCTTCCACCTATCCTTCTTTAAAATCAAGCCATTCCAACAATACAACCCACTGCACTAACTGTAAAACAGGAAATACACCTCTGTGGCGAAGAAATCCTCAAGGACAGCCTTTATGTAATGCGTGTGGTTTATTTCTCAAGTTGCATGGCACTGTTCGGCCTTTAAGTCTGAAGACAGACGTCATTAAGAAGCGAAACAGGTCAGGATCTCAAAAGGATACATTGGATGCTAAGACAGCTCGCCGTCCTTGTCGTCGTCAACAGTCAACCAAATGTCAAAAACAAGATACAGAATCAGTTGGATCATCCTCATCTTCATCTGATACTTATGAAGATGAGCAGCTTCCAAATCATCTCGCTGCACTCTCTGCAAAAGGTCATTCGCTTTTGGACAATATGTACCATTTCTCTGCTGCTAACTCAGGAACAGACTTTATTGCTGATCATTACGGAGATCATCTTTTCACAGACTCACTAATCAGAACAAACAACGAAACAGCGTTTGATTTTTTCCTATAACTCCCGTTTTTTTTCTCTTGTATAAAGCCTCTTTAATTAAATACATATAATATAGATATATTCCATTTTTACATTCTCTTTTTGTCTATGCCTATTTTAGCATAATCGTATCATAGAAAATCAAAATCTGTCATTATTTATGGCTCTACTAGGTAGAGATTATTGCTCAAATAAATAAATAAATCTACTCATATGCTTCTCCTACATGCTTGATCTTCTCTCCCCCACCTCCTCTTTCTTCCTATTTTTATGATTATAGTTGAGTGATTCCAAGTTGCTTTATTGTTTACGGATATCCACAGTAAATAGAAGGTGGATTTATGTTATGATCTTCCCTGCAGACAGTACCCCTCATACAGTCTCGGACAACCCAATAACCAGAATTACATTGAGCAAATGAAAACTGGTCATGACATACAAGACTACCTTCTCTATCACAAGCCTGATTCGCGATAGGTAATGCACTTGGTGTAACACTGTTGCTTGTCCAAGTAATACTATCAAGAGACGATGGTAATGACTGGGTATATGTTATCACTTGGTCACTTGTAACAATACTAAACAAAATGAGCCCTTATGTAATCTATTCATATTTACCTTTCATAAGGTTGATCGATAAGTGTAGATACAACCAAGATAGTCGATGTTGTTGTCACATTTCTTTTCAGTGTAGTAGTCCAGATAGATTGAGAAGTAGAATAGACTAGATCAGGTTGAGATCCTGATAATGAACTAGACTCCAAAGCAGTAGTTGTTCCTGTGTTGATTGTGATCGGTGCAAGTTCCACAGGCGCAGTATCGTCAGTTCTAATAATAAAGTTCAATTTACCCTCTTAAATAAATAAACAATTACTCTTTGATCAATCGAGATACACCTGAAGCATAATTGGGTAATACATCAGCTGTATTAGCATATGCCTGAGAGATATCCCATACCATAACACCACCAAAGAAGGGCGAGGATTTCAAAGGGTTAATCTTATTGACTAGTTGTGTGTATGGTATATAGCCTCTGTTAGCTGCTGTGGGGCTACCTGGTATACCAACAAATAAACGTACATTCTTGTTCATTGATTTCGTCTTTGCCCAGCTCTCCCAGACATCATAATTGAAGCCATTGTCACTAACGAGATTGCAGAACTTTATCAAAAATAGAATGTTAATACATTTAAACAAATCATGATTAAAGTTTACACATACATTATTGTAGAATTGGATCCTGAAATTGGACTGTGCATTTAATGACGTGTTACCATGTCTTCATAACTTACATTACAAAATCTACCCAAGTATTGTCTAATACATCTCCTACATAGTAGTCTGGAAAAGGACATTGAGGAGCAGCAGCAATGTAATAAGCTTTTGAGTTATCGAGTTCTAACAAGAAATGTTGAATAGACTATATATGCAGACATAAAGATTTACCATAGTTTTGACGCATTTTGTTTACAAATGAGGTGTATCCCATTTTCTCACCATTCTCAATATCAAGATCAAACCCATCAACAATGGCTGTGCCAAAGGGGCGTGCAGTATCAGATTTTGCGCCGCCTCCAAATGTCTCCCATAATTCATTTGCCAAGTCTTCTCCTTCCTTGGCTGATCCCAGCCCATACGCTGGTGTCGCTCCCCCATAGACAAGATGATTTTCTTGTTTCTCTCTTGACAATACTTGATATCTTTTGGATATCGTCAGACCTGATTTTATCGTTTTCTTCTTCACTCTACCTGCTTCCATGTCTGGACAATGCAATAACTGGGTTCCTACAATAAAATGAACAAAGAGCGTAGATATATGGATAAGTTACCAGGGATAATGCCCTTACAGTCTTGACTACTATTAGCTAAATCAAATGATGTAGATCTTCCTTGCCCTATGCATATGCAAGTTTATGAGAGCTTCTTTATTCATATTATTTCCGGCTTACCAAATTGGTGTAAGAAAGAGACGACAATAATGTCCTTATCGTCATCGTCACAATAAGATGCTAGCCGCTATACATATTCTCATTAGCAAGATACAATATAGATGCATCCTATAGAACCTTCTGCCATAAAAGATGGTTTGGATCACTTGATGCGAATCCTGCAGAATTTTGACCCCTATTTTCATATTATTTCATCGTATCCTTTTCTATGTTGTCTAAAGTTACCAGTAGTAAATAACATTTGAGTTTGAAGTAGCATTGAATACACAGTGTACTTCTTGCAACACAATAAATGTCAATGACAAATAAATGAGCTTTAACATGGATACAATTTGAAGGAAAACAAAGAAATGTATTCATTTATAAACTAGAATGATCCGAGCATTCCTCAATAGACACAATATTGAATTACTTGTTCATAATTATTTTTATTGAATAAACAAAAATGAAGGAATTTAAGCTTGGTCAGCCTTACGAGGAGGGCGGGGACCACGGTTGTTACGGGGAGTGAAGGCAGCAACGGGAGCAGCAACCTTAACACCAGCGAGGTTGTCAAAGTTGATAGCCTTGAGCAAAGCCTATGGAACAGAAAGACGTTAGGTTCATGTGTTGTGTGAGATCTTGACACCTTCAAAAACAAAGTTTTGAAACGAAATGGCCATCGAAAGATCTCCCCACTGACACACGAACTTTTTTACAAGTTTCCAAGTAAAAAAATTCGAGCGACCAAACTTTCTGTTTCTGAAGGTGTATATAGAAAAAATGAAAAAATGCTTACCTCAGTTTCGGGATCAATTTCGACGTTGGAAGTATCCAAAGCAGAGAATTCGGGAACGTAGTTGTCACGACGTTCACGTTCTTCTTCTTGCAACTTGAAAGAGATACCACGGACGGGACCACGAGAGATACGCTTCATCAAGTGAGTGGTGAAACCAGCAATCTTGTTACGGAGACGCTTGGATTGGATGATGGAGACTTCATCAAGAATCTTCTTGTTGACTTGGAAGTCAAGAGTAAGACGAGGGTAGTACTTTTCGATAACGACACGAGAAGCCTTCTTGACAGTCTTAGTTCTAACGCGACCCTAAAAAATGAAGAAATTAGTTTCTATTCAAATGTCTTTTGCATCCATCCATACAATATCAGATGGATTAATAATGGATGGATGGATAGATGGATGGATGAATTATAAGCTTACCATTTTGATAGATATAGATTTAAAGAGGAAGAATTCAATCTCTCTCTGTCCAAATGTCTTTTATTGCCTCCTCCGATGTCAAGCCACATATTCGGTTGTTGAAATTTAATTTAATTTTTTTTTTTTTTTTTTTGGAAAAAAGCTGTCATGATTTTATTGAAAAAAAAAATATAGAGGTTCATGCAAAATAATATAAACACACAAGAGAATTCTATTACTCGTCTTCATCCATAGATTCGTCTTCGTCACTTTCTTCGCCTTCAGCTACATCTAATTCCATGTCCAATTCTTGATCACAGCCATTATAACTATCAGACATCAAATAGACCTTAAGTGTATGTTGACCTGCTTTAGGAGCAACAAAGTCTAGTTTAACAGTCAATTTTTGTTGTAATGTCACTCTCTTGATAGCCAATAGAGTCTTTGTTTCTTGATCACCAATAACAATCCACCAACCTTCATCCTTCTTCTTGGGGAAGTAAGGAGCAATGACAGGTCCTACATCTTGCTCTTCATCATCCTCGTCCACTTCACGTTCAAGTTGAACTCTGACATTCACTATACTACCAGCGGACACAGCATCCTTATCGGCAATATCAAAACCAACTTCAATATTGGGGTATCTGTTGACAAAACGAGCCACTTCACGCATCTTGCGTTGATCCAATTGAAGACATTGATTACGAACATCGTCTTCTAATTCCATGATATCAAACACAGATTCAACTCCTTGTTCTTCACAACGCTTGATGATTTCACTTGTAAAGTAAGGAATCTGCTTAAGAGGAGAATCACGGTCCCACATGGCTTGAACAGACATTTGTGATAGTTCCATAGCAGCCAAAGCAGGCGACAACCAACCATTGGAAGAGATCACATCAACACAAGCTTGTAAGAGAGGAACAACCTTCTCGACAATCAAGGTTTGATCAGATTGAAGATCAGGAGGCAATTGGACTCGAGAAAAGTGTGCTTGTAACAAGACATTGGTCTTGATTCTAGGTGTGTTGAATTTAGGAGTAGCCAACTTAACAGGCACACGGTCATAGATACGTTGGAGGACATTCTCTTCATGATGACGAATAGGAATGCCATCGAATTCTGTAGCAGAAGAGACGATTTCTAAAAGACCTCTGAGCTTGGTTGTGTTCTTCAGACTGACACTGAACATATCCACAGTAGTGTAGTTGATGTTGTAGTAAGCAGCAATCATACCCAAATTGAGAGGACTGATATCCATTTCATCTTCGATGGTAATACACTTGGTCTCTTCCAAATCATTGAGAGTAGTTTCAACAAGCTCAGAAAGATGATCAGACAAGTGGCGATGAGAAGTACCTTGCAAACCATAGTAGTTGGGATTGTGGGCCATACGACGGTACAGGAAAGTCCAAGTGAGATAATCAACAGCATCTTGCTTGTTTTCAATGGTCTTAGTGACAATTTCAGCATTAAAGTGATCATGCAAAAGTTGATCCAAGTGAGATTCAACAGGCAATGCTTCATACAAGAACTTCTTGTAGAATTCTTTCTTGTTAGCTTGACACATAAGAACACACTTGCCAGTTTCATCTTCCAAAGGACGACAGGCACGACCCATCATTTGCAACACATCAGTGATAGGATAGTCTGCATAACGATGTTCTTTACCTTCAAAGTATTGAGTACCCATCACAATGACCATATGAGAATGAAGAGGAAGAGCCCAACATGTATCGCGAGAAGCAATGATGACCTGAATAGCACCAGTTTCATAAAGTTGCTCAACAATCTTCTTGTCTTGCTTGGAAAGAGCTTCATGATAGAAACCAATACCATGTTGAAGTGTTTCAACCAAAGACTTGTCTTGAATACGGTCCAAAATAGATTGAATCTCTTCCAACTTGCAATGCAAGAATTGATCAGTCTTACCATCAGCAACACAATAGGTGATGAGATCAACAGCAGTCAATTTACATTGCTTTCTTGAAGGAACAAATACAATAGAAGGCTTATTGTCTGCGTGTGTTGTGATTGCCAAATAAGTAGGCTTAGCCATAGCCATCATAAGAGAAGCAAAATGAGGTACATTGTAGCTTTGGACATGAATCTCCAAAGGCACAGGACGCACAGATGGATGGAAATTGAATACAGAGTGAGAAGTAGCACCAATCCATTCACCCAAGTCACGAGCGTTAGCAAGAGAAGTACTCAAAGCAACAATACGGATAGGCTTTTGAGTTTGGGAAGCAATGTATCTCATTCTAGAAACAATCACTTCATAAGTAGGGCCAAGGTCGCCACCGATCATATGAATTTCATCGGCAATAAACAAGTCTACATTTTGAACATTCTTTCTTTGCTTCCAACGACGAGAAATAACATCCCATTGAGTAGGAGTACAGCAAATAACATTACCGCGTTCCAACAACTTCAGATCAGCACTTGTTTCGCCTGTCAAGGCAACAATTTCTTTACCGCCACCAATCTTGCTGAACTTCTCAGACCATTCAGCAACACGTTGATCTACAAGTTCTTGGAATGGTGCAACATAAACAACACGAGAGTCGGGAATTTGATTCCATAAATGAAGAAGAGCAAATTCGGCACAAACAGTTTTACCGGAACCAGTGGGGGCACCAATAAAGGTGTTTTCATTAGTTGTGTAAAGAGCATTAAATACTTGTGTTTGCACAGGGTTGAAATGGTTGATCCAAGAAGAGTAAAGTTTTTCATACTCAGGATTACGCAAAGCAGACACAGGCAAAGGTTGAAGATCATGGAGTTCAGTGTGTGGAGCATACTTTTCAGGAAGGATCAAGTGCTTGAAGGAGACAGGTAACTTGGTCTCGCAATGCATCCAACGATCAGCAACAATAGTAACAAAGTAGTTGGGAGGCAATAGTTCGTAGAGAGGAACAGTGAAAGAGACTAAATGTTCTTCCTCAGCATAACGTTGCTTCAATACAAAATATTCATGATGTAAGATATGTTCGCCATCAACATCTTCAACCAGAATCCAGAAAGCTTCAGCAAGACCATGGACCTTTTCATCCCATTGGAAGTCGGGGGTGATAGTCAACTCTACCTTGAGTAAGGAGCGAGTAACAGGTTGAACATGTGCTTGAAGATCAAGCTTAGGGAATTGGTGTACAAATTTATGAAGTGTGCGACCAGCCTTGGGCTGACCAATCAATTCACCAAGTTCTTGAGGATTTAAGTCAAAGTAACGCTCCCAAGGGAACTCTTTACGTTCAAGACGACGAACAATGTCTTGAGGCATAGCCTTGAATTGACGCAAAGGAGACATGGGCAACCACATACGCTTCTCGACCATCTTACACATATCCAAGGCCTTTTTGGTCAATTGAGCCCAACCACGTTTCAAGCAAATTTCAAAGATAGCACGAAGGATACGACCAGCACTTTGAGTTACGTAGACCATGTCAGAAACCAAAGCAAAACCATCCAACTTCAATTGAGAAATATAGGCTTGTAATAAGACATTGATTTTGGCAGTAGGTTCATCAAGGCTTTCTTTGACAGGCACAGGCACACGTTCCAAGAGTTTTTGCAATTCCATCTTTTCTTCTTCACGAATAGGAATGTATTTGAATTCATCAGAGAGAGCAAAGACACGGAAAAGCTCAATTTCACTCATCATAGGACGCAAGTGTTGGTTGTAAGTAGACATGGAATGGTGGCTGACATAGAAGTGAGAGGCGATACGACCAAGTTCAGAGATTTGGAAACGACCTGATTTCTTGTCATATTTGACCAAGTTGCATTTATCCAAAATGGTAGCAGCAGCATGAATCAAATCCACACGCTTTTGTTCGAGGTGAGGATCATCTTCAAGCTCGTCAAGCGAGATACTGTAGAGTGTAGGATTGCGCAACATACGGACATACAAATAAGTATAACCTAACCATTGAACAGCCTCATCACGGTTTCTGATAGTACCAAGAACAATTTCAGCATTAAGATTATCAGCAAGTCGAGAAATGAATTGAGATTCAATGGGAAGCTGTGTGTTGATAAGTGAAAGGTAGTATTGCAGCTCCGAATGTGCTGTAATGATAATACCCTCACCATATGTGTCATATTGTGGACGACCGGCACGACCCAACATTTGCAAGACATCCTGAGGAGAGAGTTCAACCCAGCGACCCTTTTCAGGTGAGTAGATTTGAGTACCCTTGATGATAACAGCGTGTGCAGGCAAATTGACACCCCAAGCAAGTGTTGCAGTAGAAACCAAGACCTTGATATGACCATCAGTGAATAAATCTTCAACCAAAGTACGATCAGCACGAGTCATACCAGCATGGTGAATAGCGAAACCATAAGGCAAGAGATCTTGAAGGTTAGCGTCTTTGACAGTAGCAGCTTCAGATTGAAGAATTTCACGACTAGCAGAGTCTTGCTTTAAGAAACGGCCAATGGTTTCTTTTTCAATAGCCATATCTCTGAGTGTTTTGGCTGTCTTGGCAGTTTCCTTACGAGAGTGAGTGAAAACAAGGACTTGATTCTCTTCCTTTTGGTCAAGTTGTTCAATGACCTTTTCATAACAGACCTCGTTCATGGTTTGGAAACGCTTAATGGCCTTCTTTTCTGTTACACCAATAAATTGTTGCTTCAATGGACAAGGACGATAAGAACCATCAAAATGAAACAAGCCAGTCTTGCTGTCTACACGCAAGAATGCAGCAACATCAGCATAGTTTGGCAAAGTAGCAGAAAGACCGACGAGACGAACAAGCTCTTGTGTTTGTTCCATGTTACGGATAGTACGAGAAATGATACTTTCCAAAACAGGGCCACGATCATCATGCAACAAGTGAATTTCATCAATGATAATAAGACGAACCAAAGCAGTGTAGCTACGATCAGTGGCTTTACGAGTAATGACATCCCACTTTTCAGGAGTAGTGACAATGATTTGAGTTTCAGCAATTTGTTGCTTTGTCAATTGACGATCACCTGTCAACTCGGCTACAGTGATACCATATGGCTTGAGACGTTGAGTAAAGTTACCAACCATTTCAGCTACCAAGGCCTTCATGGGAGCAATATAGACAATCTTGAAATTTTCGAGATCAAGCAAGCCAGTCTCGGGATCACGATTCTTGCCAATTTCATGCAAGATGGTAAGCATAGCCACATTAGTTTTACCAGCACCAGTAGGAGCACACAAAAGAAGGTTCTCATCGCTATTAAATGCTGTAGGGTAAAGTCTACTTTGAACACGATTCAATGTTTTGGGGCCAATAAAAGCATCTTGAGCCCAATCAGGCAACGATTTGATAGGCACTAGCTTTTCACCAGAAGAGTATTGTTCAGGCTTGGGAGCAGGAACGTGAATTTCTTCATAGCCCTTTTTAGAACGCTTGAATGAGCCATCAGGTAACTTGACCTTCTTGTTAGACATCAAGTGAGAGCCTTGTTCAAACACAAGAGAGTCTAAATCAATCGTTTTTTGAGGAGCAACTGTTGTGCCTGGAGTGATAGTAACAGTTGTAGGCAATTGGCCACGACTGCGACCCTTTGAGGCATCATCATCAATTTCCATGGCAGTGTCAACTACACCCTTTCTTTCAAGAGCCTCGCCCCGACGTTGACGATCACCACTCAAACTACGCAAAATCCAACCCAAGTTTTTGTTTTGCATCTCTTTTTCAACAGCAATTCTGTCATTACCATCTACTCGAGCAAGACGTGTACACCAATAGATCAATTCGCGGTTCTTAATCAAAATGCGTACAAGATCAAATTTATCAAAGTCAAAAAGAACCATTAGTTCATTTTCGCAATCACGAATATCAATAGATTCTGAGCCCAAGATATTAAAGGCTTGAACTGTCTTTTCTTGAGCGGTGTGTGCATCAGAATAGTGTGCAGCAATTTGACGTTGAAGCCAGAAGGCATCAATGTCATGAGGGAAAAGTGTGTCGTCTTCTTGAGCAACAGAAGACTTCTTATTGCCTGATCGCTTCTTCTTTTTTTCTTGGCCAGGAAGAACAGTCTTGAAGCCTGATTCATCATCAGTGGACTCTGCTTCTTCCTCTTCCTCTGCAACAGGCATATTGACGTTATCCTCTTCAACATCTTCTTCGTCATCTTTCATTTCAAATTGGTCATCTTGTTCCCCATCATCTTCGTCGTCATCAAAAACAACTGCGACACCAAGTTCATCATCAATCTCGCCAATTTTGTCGCCATTTTCATCTACATCCATAGCTTCGCCATCAGCTGAATAATCAGTGATCTTCTTTGACAGATTGACAAGTTGAGCAAATTGTTCTGATCCAATATTTCCAATCACAGATTCAATCTCTTTCTTCTTGTCAAAGTCTTTAAGTGTATCAGTCTTAAGTGTTTCTAAAACATCATCCGCAGCGCTTCTGATAACATCGCGTGCTTGGTCGCCCAAATGCTCATAAACAAAAGATAAAATGTGTTCATAAGCTTCGCGTGTTTCTTTTGTACGAGGTCTGTAGTTGAGACCCTCCCAGTCTTCAGTTGCTGAAAGAACAGAAGAATAACCATAAGCTCGACTGATAGCTTTCTCTTCTTTTCTCTTGCGTCTCTTTTCATTTGATGCTTCAGAACGTTTAGCAGCAGCTTTTTTCTTTTTTTGTTCAATATCTTTGGGTATTTCTCTTTCTGCGCGAGAACCAAAATCTTTGGGATCAATCTTTCCATATAAAGAATCAGGTTCGCCAGTTGGTTCTTGGTCTCGACGCGGTAGCCCTTTACGGTTTGCTTGTAAGACTAAACTTGAAGTGGCAGCATATTGATACTGGTTTGCTTTTGCAAAGTTTTCAGCCATTTCTTATATATCAAACAATAAAAAATAAAAGAAAAGCTTTGTGAGGTGTTGCAAGCTCTATTAGAGATAAAAAAAGATTTTGTTAGTACAATTAAGCTTTAAGCGTTTGTTGTTTACCTATAAGGAATAAAAAAAGGATAGGAAAAACGAGTTGCAACGAAAAGAGTGTACAAGTTAAAGAAGAAGAATTACTCTTTTTGAAAACTGCGCCAACAAATTGTTGCGTCATTAATAGTAGGTGGTGGTGGCTTAGGGTCGTGATTGTCAAAACACTGTCTGCAGTTAAAAATCAAGATAACGCAGAAATGAGAGCTTTAATGCATAATACAGCTGTCCTGAATGTATCAATAAGATCACATTTTTTTTATCGCTCATCAATCAGTCATTCATTTCTCTTCTTTTGCTTATGCTTTTTTACTTCAATAAAAGCAATCATTATACAAAAGAAGTATTTGCTCTCTGTGTTATTTTGTGTTCAATGTTTGACTATGATTGATTGATTGCTTCTGGCTACATTGTCTTGTTCTGGAAATAAATAACAAAGATGTATTGAGGTTGCATAAATAAGCAACAAACATGTCTGTGTTTGAATAGCCGTATAGAAATGATTTGCATAAAAGTTTATCTGTCTTGTTACTCTTTCTTTCTTGTTTCAATTGCTATAAGATGGCTACAGACATTAGTGATTTCGTTCTTCGACCTAATGTAGGGAGTTCAGGAAGAGCCACACGGGTTCGCTCAAATTTCTTTCAAGTTCAAACACTTCCAACTTGCGATATCTACCACTATGATGTGGCTATTGATCCTCCTCAGCTACCAATTGGTAAGCAAAGAGAAGTCTGGAAGACGTTGGAAGTAACTACTGGCGAGGAGTTTTTTAATGGTGCGAAAGCTGTCTTTGATGGCCGTAGAAATATCTTTTCTTCTTCTAAACTTCGTTTGGGTGAAGAACAAGCCAAGAAATTTGATGTCAACATTCAAGAAGGACGTCGTGTAAGTCAATACTCTGTTCGTATCAAAAAAGTGGGAGTGATAGACATGAAAGAACTGCCTTTGTTTTTGAATGGGAAATCAAGTGCCACTTCAAATTGTTTATCTGGTATAAAGTTTGACTTGGGTAATTATGACCCCTTAATTTATCATTGTAGCTATTATGGTATTGGATATTCTCATTCGAAATGTTCCTACTTTAAACAGTGTCACTATTGGTCGTTCCTTCTATAGTCCTAAAGGCAAAAAGCCTTTATCTAACGCTACTGAAGTCTGGCAAGGTTATTATCAGTCTGCTCGTCCCACTGTTGGTTAGTTTGTTTTGACAATAATTCACATGCTGATTAATCATTTATTTGTTTAAGGTGAAATGATGATAAACATTGATGTTAGTGCTACCGCCTTCTGGGAGCCTGGCCCCTTGCCTGAACAAGTTGTCAAAATATTGAACCGTCGTTCTGTTGATGAGCTCCGTAATGGCATACCTGAAAGAGAACGCTTAAGACTCACAAAAATCATCAAGGCTATTCGTATCGAAGTGACGCACCGTGGTGGAATAAATCGCAAATACAAGATCCGTAACTTGACTGATACTTCTGCTGATGATACTTTTTTTGAAGACCCTTCTGGAAAGCAGATGTCTGTGACTCAGTATTTCTTCGATACTTACAAAAAGCGTTTGACATATCCCTTCTTGCCTTGTGTCGTTGTTGGACAAACAAGCTTTCTTCCCATGGAAGTCTGTAATATTTTTGAAGGCCAAAGACTTGCCAGAAAGTTAAATCAAATACAAACTGCTGAAATGATCAAGTTCACGTGTCAAAATCCAGCTGTTCGTGCCAATAAAATTAACCAAGGTTTTGCAGAGATAAACTACCGTAGAAATGAATATATGCAAAACTTTGGCATGACGGTTGATAATCAGATGGCTCTTGTTGATGCTCGTGTACTTCCTGCTCCCAGAATCAATTATAGTACTACTACTCCTGAAGGCTCTTTTGTTCCCTCAAATGGTGTTTGGAGTTTGAGGGGTAAAAGACTTGCTCGAGGTGTTACTCTTGGCTCTTGGTCTATTGTCAATTTTGCTGGTAACATCCCTCAACCTGCCATTCAAAGATTTGTTCGTGAGTTGTGTCAAACTTTTGTTGACATTGGTTTAAATGTCATTAAACGTGAGCCTCCTGTCCTCGCTGCTGATCCTCAAGGCAATATTGATCGTTCCTTGAAGGAAGCATGGTTAAGAGCTGGTCATGCTGCCAATGCTGAACCTCAACTCATTGTCTGTGTTCTGCCCAATACGGGTACTTCTCTCTATGCCGAAATCAAAAGAATTACTGATACTGTCATTGGTGTTTCTTCTCAATGTCTTCAATCTAAACATATAAGAGATGCTAAAAAACAATATTGCGCTAATGTGGCTCTCAAAGTAAACATCAAGTTGGGTGGTATAAACTCGTATATGGAACCTTCCGAAATACCATTTATTTCTGAGCGTCCTACCATTGTATTTGGTGCAGATGTTGTTCATCCTCCTGCTGGAGACACAAACAAACCCTCTATCGCTGCACTTATTGCCTACATGGATTCTCGTGCTTCTAGATGCTCCTCCACAGTCCGAGTGCAGACGCATCGCACAGAAAATATCGTCGATCTCGGCAATATGGTAAAAGAATTACTCAAATCTTTTTATCAAAGTTGTGGCCAAAAGCCTGAACGAATCCTCTTTTATCGTGATGGCGTATCTGAAGGTCAATTCAAGAATATTCTTGAAAACGAAGTTTCTGCTATTCGTGCTGCCTGTGCCTCTCTAAATGGGAGCTATAAGCCAAGTATCACTTTCGTCGTTGCCCAAAAACGCCACCATGCTCGTTTCTTCCCCCTGCAAAGAAACGATGCTGATCGTAGTGGTAACTGTCAACCTGGTACTGTGATTGATACCAATATTGTCCATCCTTTTGAGTTTGACTTCTACCTTCAATCTCATGCTGGTCTTCAAGGCACTTCTCGTTCTACTCACTATCATGTTCTTTATGACGATAACCACTTCACTGCCGATTCTCTTCAGGAATTGACTTACCGTCTCTGTTATACCTATGGTCGTGCTACTCGATCTGTCTCACTTGTTCCAGCAGCTTATTATGCAGATTTGGTGGCCGCTCGAGCTCGCTTCCATTTTCGTGGCTATCAAAGCTTTTCGGAATCCACTGATATTTCCGAAGCCATGGACATTAGCAACTTTGCCGAGGTTAAGCCAGCGCTTCAAAGAGTCATGTACTTTATGTAATTTTCTCTTATTCAAGTACATACATCATGTTTTAATCCTCCTCATACATTTTTCAGTGAATAATATTCTTATTTGAACAATACTAGGTCCTATATATTCTATTGAATAAAAGAAAGCTATCAATTTTAGGAAACAGGATGATTTTTTAAACGAGCGAACCTGTTCAAAAGGAGCCAATACATTCAGGCACAATAAAGTCACACTAAGCAAACATCTAAAACGCTCGTTTTCTTTTCACTCTCTCTTTTTTTCTGTTTACTTTTTTTTAAAAAAATCTCATGACCTCAGTTGAATTTGGTAGTCCACTTAGAAAATATAAGTTAGTATTTCTTGGAGAGCAGAGTGGTAAATCATAACGAAACTATGTTTTATTTTATTTTATTTTAACAGTCAATATCTTTGTTTCTAGTTGGCAAAACCTCACTTATTACTCGTTTTATGTATGATACGTTTGATAGTACATATCAGGTATGTAAGGGAGAAAAAAGCTTTAATCTATACTGATACCATGGGAAGGCCACTATTGGTATTGATTTTCTATCCAAAACCATGTATTTGGAAGATAAGACGGTTCGCTTGCAACTATGGGATACAGCAGGACAAGTAAAGTATACCATTGTGCTACTGTACACAAATAATTGAGCACCCGCCATGTAGGAACGTTTCCGAAGCTTGATTCCGAGCTACATTAGAGATTCCTCCGTTGCTGTTATTGTATATGATATGTCAAGTAAGTTGGAAAAAAAAATAAAAAAAGAGAAGTCTAATTTTATTTACTAGACAGAGATTCATTTATGAACACAACAAAGTGGATAGATGATGTACGAGCTGAAAGAGGAAATGAAGCCATTGTCGTACTAGTGGGAAACAAGACCGATCTTAATGAAAAGAGGTTGGTTCTTTAGAACAAAAGACAGATAATAAACTGCTATATAGAGAAGTAACCACTGAAGAAGGCGAAAAGAAAGCAAAAGAACTCAACGTGATGTTTATTGAAACAAGCGCAAAAGCTGGGCATAACGTAATTTTCTTTTTATATTATTCATATGGCTTAACTTGTTTAATAGGTTAAAACACTGTTTAGAAGAATTGCTCAAGCTTTACCTGGTATCAATAGTAATAGCCCCACTGAACAAAAAGAGCAAAGTAAGTTAGCTGTGAAAGAAAAAGGAAAAGTCTTGATACTTATTTTTCACTAGTGCAAAAAATTAATCTTAATAACTCTGGCACAGAATCAAGTGGATGTGCTTGTTAATAACTGTTGTCATCACAAGTAACAAATAATATGTATATCAATAATAAATAGTCATCATTCTTTCTCTCTTTTTTTAAAGTTTATTGTATAGCACAATTTGGTGTGTCACAAGGGCTTTTGTCAAACAACTTTGTCTGTTCTTTTAAGATGATAGATAAATCAGTGCCTGTAGCTATACTCGCTGAGTCTATGAAGAAGCTTAGGTGATGCTTCACTTCCTGAGTGCTTAGGACATCTTGGAGTAGTATTGTGTGGACATTTGGGCTTGATTAGTGCGTCAGACTTGCCGTCGGCGATCTATATCTACCACCAGTAGGAGAGGAGTCCAGTCCAGCGTGCCTTCATCAGCAAAAATATGGTTGCCATTACAAGAAAGTAGGCAATATACATATTCTAATGTGAGTAATACGATAAACAAATGTCGCCAAGGCAAAGACATTTGCTATTTTGGAGATCTATTTATGCCTTTCTTATTATGCACACAATTCATAAATCAGAACCCGTTCAGAGTAGGAAGTTGTTGAAAAAGGAAGCTGAACAATCTTTCAAGGAAACACCTAAAATTGGCAAATAACAGCAAGACAAATGCAGCTATTTATACATTCACCTCATATTTATTAACATAAGCATCACATAAACAAACAACTCATACATAGTGTCTACCTTATTCTATCATAAATCATGCTGTGAAGCCATTCCCCTGAAACATTTCCAAAAATCAATTTGATTTTAAAAAAAAACCAGTCTAACAAAGCCCTTTATCTTTACCACTATAAAGACGTAATAAAGGCACTATGATCTTAGCCAACTCGGCTACAAGGAAGTGACCAAATTGGCTTAAAAACTTGACTAATTGAGTTTAAAAAAGTCGACCAATTTTTTCGACAGTGACCAATTGAGAATATTCGTTTTCTTTTTCACACTTACAGATCATAATGTCCAACCACAAACGTAGTCGCTCGCCTTCTATTGAATCAGACACATTAAAGCGTGTTCGTGTTGATAACAATAATAACGAAAGTTTACTAGCAGAGTTATCGCAAGTGTTAAACACAATAAAGTCAACGCCTTCCTCAGGTGAAATCTCTGCAGAGGTCATGGAGACCTTCAAGATCTTGTTGTTAGAGATCGATCACTTGTCTGCAGATAACGCAGAAGCAAGGCGAGTCAAACAAGAGAGCGAGCTCTGTTTGGAATCCTGGTTTGACGACTTACTTGCTCAGTGTGAAGCAGACGGCGAACTTAATCTAGAAGATTTTTGCCAGAGTGATGAGGAAGAAGCAATCGCCTTTGCTATCTCTCAAGAACAACAGCAAGACGAAGGAGATGACGAGGAAGAAGAAATCATTATTGTTGATGATGATGGCTCGGAGCCTCTTGCTGTCTTATAATACATACCTGTAAGTAAGCCAGTCAAATAGTAACAAAATATTCATGACTGGTAACACTAGAGTATATAGAACAAAAAAGATTTCAAAAGAACAAAGAGGATTACCACTACTATCATTACTACCATTTCTTCCCCCTCTTCTCTCTTCAGTACATATATCTTATTGTTTGTAATATTGTTTCTCTGTCTTTTGTGCTTGTAAGTCAACCAATCGTTTATTGGCACACAATAAACGAAATGCAAATCATATTTTCTAGTCAAAAAAAGTTTCACATGGGGGGAAGATCATCAAGCATCAATCATCATCATCATCTTCAGCAGCGGAAATTGATTTTTATTTCAGGACCCATTTTTCCAAGCAGAAAGAAAAGAGTTTTTTATGTAGGGTAAGTAGCATTATATAGAATAAACGCTTATTTTATTATACGATGTCTATTAGAAATGAATGTATGCATAATTATATTACTTGCTTTTCTTTTTAATCCCAACCACCAACATCTAAACCAGTACCAGTATTGGTATCTTGTTCCTTGTTATTTTCACTTTCTAATGCAGCAACAACATCTGTTGTCTTTTTGTTGTTTGTCTTGAGTTTCTTTGTCTTGTCAACCACACCCACAACACCTGTCTGAGCCTTTGTCTGTGGCTTTGAAACAGCCTCCACAGGTGCCTTCTTTGGCTTTTCGGTTTCCTTAACAACTGGTTCCTGAACTTCAGTTTCTTTAGTAACCGTTACCTTCTTCTTGGTTGCCATAACTGGCTTGGACTTCTTTTCTTTTGTGGTTGTTTCTTCAGGCTTCAAGAAGAATGTATCCTTTTCATCCGACTTTTTCTTCTTCTTGGCAGGTTCATCTTGAGTAGCTTCAGAAGCACGCTTAGTCTTGACCTTGGCAATATCTGTGCCCTTCACTTTACGCTCTTTAGGTACTGTGTCCATTTGAACATCGCCATCAGCATCTAATACTTGAGATTTCTTTTCCTTCTTTTCCTTTTGGAGTTTCATGCGCTTAAGACGTTGTTTCTTCTCAACAATGTTTAAGTTTTCTCTTTGTTTCTTTTTACGCATCAAGAATTTAGGATCAAATCGTTCGCCATCTAAAATACGAAGAGAAGGAACGAGATCAAGAACCTTTCAAAAAAAAAAAGTCAGCCTTAAAGAACAATCATGTCAACCAACCTTTTCAAGGTAATCCTTCTTTTTCGTAATGGGATTTCCTTTTAAGTTCAAATTATGTAAATGCAGCAAAGACCCAATAGGCGCAATATCACTCCATTCTGTCAACATGTTGTTACCAAAATCAAGAATTTCAATAGCATTGCACTTTCTTAATGTTTCGGGTATCTCTTTGATCTTGTTATCGTTTAATCGAAGTTCCTTCAGCAAAACATTGTAGGTCAAGTCAGGTACTTGAGCCAATTGGTTATGAGCAGCCGAAAGCTTTGTAAGTTCAGCAAGACTAGATAAACGAGGAACAGTATCAATTTGATTATGGGAAATAACTATGTAGAGAGAATGAGCTTCTTGATCTATACATATCAATAGCTTACCTAAAGTATTCAATTGAAGCAAAGGTTCAATATTCTCAATTTCTAATAAATTGTTATGGTTCAAGATAAGAGCCTTTAATTGTTTGAGACGGGTTAAATGAGGACTCATATGAACCAATTCGTTATGGCTAACATTTAAAACTACAACATTCAGTCAGAAAGAATGGAATTTTTTTACAAGACTCACCATTTAATGTCTGGAAATGTTGAAAGCCTGTCAAATCCTTGAATTTATTGTGAGAAAGGTTCAAGAGTGTCAACTTTTCCAAGTTTTTTAAACCAGCAATAGAGTTTTCGTCGACAAGTTTATTGTTAGAAAGGTTGAGCTTGCGAAGTTCTTTACAAGCTGAAATATCCTGTATTTCTTCAATTTCTTTTTCTGCTAATTTGATTTCCTTCAGGTTCTCCAGAGGTTGGTCTGGGTAGATCTCGGAAATAAGGTTTGTTGTTAACTTCATGGTTGATATAGAATCGAGAAAGTTCAAGAAAATTATTCTTCTTATGCTTTGCTAAGGATAGTCACATCCTTTCATGATTCAGTAGAACGAGTCACGACACTCAAAAGTTTTGGACAAAACAGATGGGTCTACAGAGTAAGCAAGTCTCCAAAAAGGATACTAGACCATCTCATTTCTATTTAAAATCAATTCTGTAACAGTCTATTTGCACATCATCACAGAGCATCTCTTCCGTAAACCACATTACAGAAAAAATAGTCGTGTCAGATAATTAGCCCCGAAATAGTGTACTCCATTTATTTTTTCCAATGACGCTTCTCTTTTTTTTTTCCTCTTTTCTTTTTTTTTTTTTTTGTAATATATCAAGATAATGTCAGCAGAATTAGATCCATTTGAATGTCGATTAGAATTTATCGAGTTATTGCGTAGAGTCAACGCTTCACAACAATCTATACACAAAGCAGCTATTTACGCTATGCGACATCGAAAATTATCTGAGGATTTATACAGTTGTCTAGTGGAAGAACTTGAACAGGTAGAGTAAAAACACATATCTATGTGTGTGTATATATATGGAGAAGGAGAAGGGGGGATGGGTATTTGTATCCAACCAAAATTATACAATGTTTTTTGTTATAAATATATTTATATAAATACATATAAAATATCATTGTGTCTCCTTTTTTCTTATTGTAATTTGAATCGTTGTAATAATCATAATGTTGAATGTCTTTTTAGGCGACGTTAAATGCTCGTTTAAATATCATTTACGTGCTAGACGCCATTTTTTCAGCGAGTCAAAAGTCAAAATTCTCTGGTTATATCGATCTGACACGTCCTGATCTGCCTCGAATCATACACGCCGTGGTTGCCACTGAACCTCAAGGGGTAGTGAACATACCCAACACGCAAAAGGTAAAGACAGAGAAAAGAATAAGAAATTTATTGACACTATGATAGATCATCAGTAATTGGAAACGGAAAGAGTATTTTGAAGCGGACATTTTGGAAGAAGCCGAGAAACCTCTCCTGGAAAGCGCTTCAAGGTACTCTGTAGTTGCTTATTTCATATGAACTAACATCTGCACTAGTATCGATGCAGCACAAACGACTACAAAAGCTACAGACATTATGGCTAAAGATGATATCTTGAGAAGGATGGAAGAAGACAGAGAGCGAGTAAGTCAACAGCAAATTCAATATATGACTTATACTCTAGTTTAGCACAAGAGATCAAGAGAAGAAATCTGGATACGACCACCCGATGAAACAAAGGATGCAGAATTTGAAGAGTTTTGGAACTCTATAGACGTACTCGATCCTGAATACGATTATGAAATTATGATGGTTCAGAATATGCTCCGACTACCGAACTATGCTTGGCATGCCATGTTAAATCAAAGAACAAGCACCAACTAAATAAAAACTGATTTATTTAACCAAAAAGACGTTGCCACCAATGTCTCTTCTTATGAGACACCAATTTTTTTTTATGTTGGCTTTGGATTGTAGACGTCTTTTTAAGGGGTAAAATTTTGTTGAATTTTTGGCGTGGTGTCCATTCATCAAACAAAATACCAAATACACCAATCACAGGCATATGGTCACTTACACCCATCAAAGATTCATGCAGTACTGCATCGTAAGCATAGCAAACAGTAGTATCTCGCAAAAGTTGCTTGCTTTTTTTAAACGAAAAAAGTTTTGATTTTGTATTTGCTAGAGACATTCGTTTTGATAACTGGTCTGTGGAAGCATGATCGCACCAAAGAATACGGTCTGTCCAACTAGGCACGCGTTGCTTTTCAGAACTATCGTAGCACAAGATGGTATTAGGAAATTCAAGCAATGCAACCTTGGAATCTTGATGCATATCATTGCGTTTTTTTCCCTCTTCATCCTCGTCTTTTTTGGGTATAATATCAGGAGCAGAAGACATAAATCTTCTACTTAGGCTTCTCCTTTTAACAGAAGTGACAGACATGACTCTTTTATGATAAGAAGCAGCCTTTTTCATGTTTTCTTTTAGTTTGGAAGGTGTAGCCATGGCTGTGGGTAAAGACGAAGTAGATGAAGATCGGCCATGTTTCTTTTTCTGTTTATGCGTGCTGCCTACAATCACATTGTGATGTGAAAAATAAGTAGAAAGTGGATGGGTATGATTAAAAAGAGTACAGCTATCATCAGTCAAAAATTTCTGTCTTTCTTCAAGTTCTTTTGCTACGCCTGGAATAGAACTAGATGAGCCAACAATGATGGTGTCTAATTTGTAAGTAGGAGGAAAGTGAATAGGATGTTCCTGAAACAGACCAAGTAGGGAGCCTTCAGTTTTCCTTTCCTCAGTGAGTTGATCATATTCTAATAGAGTCTTATAAAAAAACAAATAAATAAATACAAAACACACGTTTATGTAAATTTACTTTGTAATTTCTATTTCGGACAGCTTCAAATACAAAGGAGCGTTCGGCGTTGATGCGATAGTTTGTATCACCAAACAAAAATACATGATCAAATTGGTCAATCACACAGGGATCTACGTTCATGTCATTTCATATAACTGCTTCTTTTTGAATCTTACTGGATTTTTTCTTTTTCTTATGCTTTAATGTCTTGAATTTAGGCATCTTAAGTTCATAAAGGATGCGATGTACATTTGCATTTCTTTCTGCCACATTTGTTTGATGCGCTATCATGGATAAGCGAAATTGCATATGTCACACTTTGATTACCTCTAAGATGACAGTTGATGAAAATAAAAGACTTAGATCCTATCAAGACAGAAACAGCGACAGCCCCTTTGTTTCTAAAAAAAAAAATAAAAAATAAGTTACTAATTTTAGATGACAGTTAAACAATTCTTTACCCAATCATGTTTGCCCAACCTGTCTTGATATGCTCAGACTGCACGTCTTTAATGAGATGAGCAACAGGCTGCCAAGCAAACACAGCAATATGTAATGCAGCCAAGGTTTCTGTCTTTAGTAACCTGTAATGGGAACCAAGGTATTCCGATAATCGCTTCTCCCAAACCTCTTTTGAAGGATAAAAAAGCGATTCAGAGATATCTCTTTCACACTCCTGGGTACCAATCACCAGTAAATGATACGGGTGAACGGCTGATTTATCTAGGGCATAAGAGGGTGCTGTTGTTGTCTCCAGTATTTCGTTTTTTGTCAGAAATGTAGACAAATCAATAGGCAATAATCGGCCATACATGTTCCAAGTGCCTATAAACACTTTCAGTCTGTCTGCATGTTTGCATAAGCTAGTTGCTTTGACTTGTTGCTGCATATAGAAAATAAGAAAAGAAAGAGAAAAGAAGAAGAGCAATGGTTAAAAAAGGAAAATTAAAAGGAGGATAGGTAACACTGATTGAAATCATTAATAATTATGGGCTCCTCCCAAATGGAGTTCTCTCTCTTTTTTTTTTTCTTCTTTCTGGGTTATTATTCCTTTTTTTTCTCCCTTTTTTTTTTTCTTCCTTTTTTTTCTTCGTATATATCACTTCTTTATATATATATATTGTACAGCCTTTCATCTTCTTTATTTTTCTATGCCTATTCGAGTTGCAAATACGATAGTCAGGAAACTATCGAAACAATTATACTACAATTATGGAAAGACAGTAGCGTCTCGAACGTATCTATTACTGCTCTTCTCTTTATCTTTTATAGCCTATTTTTCATTACCCATTGTCACTAAATATTGTCATAATATCATTACACCAACAATACAAAATAACATACCATTATCTCATTTATCGACGTCGCTGGATGCTCAATGCTGGCACGCCTCTGCCCACGTCCAGTTTAATAACTTTACAACCAGCCACCATCCACCTACACAATACCTAATCACTGAACAAATACGTCTATCACATCCAAATCAACCAGTGACATTTGAATTAATACAGCAAGCAAAACAAATTTATGAAAGTATCAGTACAACTATTGTTACCATGGCTGACAATGCTGCACCCGTCTCACTCGCTTCTATATGCTACAAGCACCACGGCCATTGTCTTGTGCACGCACCTCCTTTTGTTCAGTTTAGAGATGAAAACGATTGGCGATCGAAAACACGATTAGATCAGGCAAACACTCGTCACCAATATGAAATACACCCTTACTCGGTCTATTCGAATGCCACCTTTGATCACCAAGGTAGATTTGTCAAAGCAGATGCTGTCTTGTTGACTTTTGTTCTTAAACAAAACAAACAAGGCAATGCGATACGTATTTGGAATCAGTTGTTACAAGAAGTAAAAAACAAATACCATATTATTGATCTTCAACCCAGACCACCACAGATATCTTCTTCTATCTGGGCTGCTTCTTCGAGTAATACCGCGCATATGATTCAGTACAAGGTAAGAAAAAAAAGAAGAAGATTGCCTATTGACATTGTATAGTTCAACTTGTTTCCCTACGATATTTCATACAAGGCACAAGCTTCTATTGTAGCATACTTAATTATTTTTTATTTGGTCTCAATAGCATTTAACAAATCAAATCTTGTCAAGTCTGGTTATTCTTTTGGTTTGGCTGCTGTGTTCCTCTCTGTTGCTTGTTTTACGACAACCTATGGTATCATGGATAAACTAGGCATCTCGCTCAATCATGTTCCCTGGTATTTGCTATTGGTGGCTGTCAACATTGGTTGTTTAGAGAACATCTTTTTGCTGACAAACGCTGTTCTTTATGCTGGTTGTGACATGGTTGTCAATGAGAAAATTAGTCGAGGTATGCCTCAGAACATAAAAACATTCTATACTGATATCTATCTTTATAGGTTTACAAAGTGTTGGTGTGCCTATGACAGCCACATTGATTGCAGAATTGTTCATTTTGAATGTAGGCACTTACATGGAGACAGCCTTGATCAAAGAGTTCTGTATGTTTGCTCAGGTTGCCTTGATTGTGGATTTCATCCTTGAAGGAACTTTTGTGATTGCTGTCTTGTCTATTGATATTAAACGAGTTGAAGTAAGTTTAGCTCTATGTAAATGTATGGCTTATTTTCTTTCTCTTATATGTGTAGCTGGCAGATTTAGATGATCGCCAAATGTCAAAACGTCTTCATGAACTAGCCAATCATGAATTCAAGAAACAAGCACATCATTCTGATTTCTGCCCAATTCAAGACACACCTAATAAAGAAGACAGCAAGACATGCGCAGAATGCAAAGACTTCAAAACTCACCGAGTAATCAATGCTTTTATGGTAATATTAAATCACCACTTTGCATCACTGACATCTATATCTATAGTTGTGCTTAATTTTACTTGTCTTGTCCTTATTCTGTACAAAAGAATACCATCACCATTTACATGTTCCTTCCTCAGCACCATTAATCACTGAAATCGAACCTATGCAACACCATGATTCGTTTGTTTACCAACCTGATCTTAACCAACTCTCAGATCAATTCTGGTCTACAGTCAATCCCGAAAAAGACACAACCTGGCTTCAGATCCAACCTGCTCATCTCTTCATCTATAGTTCAGATATCATGCGTGTTCAGCACCATGTAGATCAATTACAACATCTTTACCAACTCAAATCCATGGATATTCATTACAAACCTGACTATCACCCTTCACTTTTTCGCATGTTTGTATTGTCTGTGATTCAGCGTGCTTTAGTGATATTGTTGAGCATTAATATACCTGTCTTGATCTTATGGTTAGTGATGATTGCCATCATTACCTGGATGACGCCCAAGTGGCGTAAGGAATGGTTAGTGCCATTGATGATTCAGTGCTTTAACCAGTCTATGTTGGCCTTGATTCGATGGTTCTGTATTTTGATGCAGTTCTCAAAACGTGCCTATTATTTCTATATGAAAGGACAAACATTGGGTATTAGTAAAGAGTATGATGCAGACGGTATTCATCGCGGTGCAATTACTGCCCAAAACATCTTTAATCAGCAACAGTATCGTTCCAATGTCAAGAAGATTCAAGTTCATACCTTGACACATCAACACACAACAGATATTCAAGACTTGAATGCCAATGCGAAACAAAACTTGGTGTCCTGTGGTCAAGATGGACGAATTATGCTATGGGATATAGACCATGCTCACCCTACTTGGTTAGCTCGTCTTGATAAACTCTATCCTGCTCGAGGTGGTCTTCTTCAGGCTACTTTGAACCCAGACCATCATGCTAAAAAGAAACCTCATCACAGCAAGCATCAACGAAAAAGAAGAACCAGTCGTCCTATCATGTTATCTAAACAATTGTCAAAAGCCCGTTGTGTTAAAATAGATCAAGGCAACCGTTGGGTTGCTGCAGGTTATGATGATGGCTTGATTCGTATCTGGAATGTCAATACAGGCACGCTTGTTCGAGAAATGGACATTCATCCTCATACGGTGGAAGTGCATCAGGAATCAGAAGAGACAGGGCTTCGCCGTCGATTCCATCATGAACCTACCTTGAGCCAAAAGAAGATTGACCGTATCTTGTGTGTGCAATTCATTGGAGCTATTGCTGAATTTTGTCACCCAAGGATTGCTGAAGCTGCTGCTCATTATAGTGCTACTGATATTGAAGTATCACAAAACTTTATTGTTTCTGCACACAAGAGCGGGTGGTTACATGAATGGGACATTTTGTCGGGTGAATGCATTCAAACAGTCAAGACGGGTCACACAAAAGACATTACACAGCTGCATGTTGTGGACTCCAAAGCCCCTCATCGCAAACTTGGTGTAACATGGGTATTTACTGCTTCAAAAGATGGTACAGTCAAATGTTGGGAACGTCGTTTGATCACCAAAAAGACAGACGATGCGCTTGAAGAACCGTCTCAACAAACAAGTACGCTTTGGCATTTAGTCTATACAATCAAGCAAACAAGTGCCGTTACTTCCATAGCAACTGAAATACCTGTAGGCGGTATGGGCGTCTTGGTCACAGGATGTGCCGATGGTGCTGTAAAGGTGTGGAATTTCGAAACGGGTGAATCTATCTGCTTCTTATCGTTGGGTAAAGTGCCTACACTTTCTTCTTCTGTCTCTAGTACAGCTTCCGTTGTTTCAGACTTGACTGCGCGTGATAGAAACAGTGTAGGCGGTCCTATCCGCCAATTTGCTCGATTCTCTCATCATATAGGTGATGCACCGAGTGAATATTCTTCTTCCGATGGTGATGATGAGGAAGACAGGCGCTCTTCAGCCTCTTCTAGTGATTCGCATTCAGTGTCGCTTGGATCTCCATCGGATCACCGAGGATCCATTTATCAGGTGGTAGTGACACGTTATTGTGAAGTAGAGAACGGACCAGGCCTTTGTCGTGACTGTGATACTTGTTTTGGTAACGGCTTCTTGGTTGCCTCCAGTGGTATGGATAATAAGGTCCATGCTTGGCGTTTAGAGCGTTCAGACAATGGCCATGAAGGACCTTGTACACTATGCACAAAGGACTATCATCGTAAACAATACAAGCATCGTAAGGCGTCTATCAACAGCAACGAAGACGCAACAGCTGACGGATTATTGATGCATACATCTGCTACCGTCGTTGGCAGAACACGCAAACGAGCCTCGTCTTCGCATACGGCTATCAAGAAGAGAACTTTTCAGAGTCGACCTTCTCCTGTGGTGATAAGTAGTCATGATAGTATGGATACGCTTGAGTTACTGGATATTGAACAATTAGCAGGCGATACCAACATTGCTTTGGAACCTACCTTCTTGGGACACATTGATCAACCTGCTGGTCGTGGTCTTGTCTTTTGTGATAAAATCTTGGCTGGTGTACGTCGCTGTCGTCGTCGTCGCCGTCGTGACAAGTCACAGCAAGGTGAATGGGAAGTCTGGTTTGCTTCCTTACAGTATTACGATCCATCTGACTTGACAGAAGAACATGAAACACATCGCTCAAAAATACCTATTGAAACCTTTAGTCTTGATGATAACACACACATGGTTCAATCAAAACAAGAGAAAGAAGAAGATCAACACAAGACTTTACAAGCATTGAAAGGGACTTTGTTGGGCTTGTTTACATCTTCCTCAAGCCATGATGAGACGAAAATGGGCTTAAAATACAAGCACATTCATGCACATCTATCTGACAGTTCTGATGAAGACACCAAGAAAGATCAAGAGGAAGATGATTTTCTTTTAGACGATGATAGTTTAGAAGCAAGTGAAAACTTGCCATTCTCTGCTATTCGCCATATTATTTCGCTGGATGGGTCTGGACTTGCGTGTGATTTTGGTAATTTCATTAAGCTGGTGTATCTTGACAAGCCCAGTTTGACAGAAAAAGAGCGTCTAAAACAAACAAGAGAAACCATGGAAGACATTGGATTAAATGGGCAGCAGATTATTGATCAAATTGTAGCAGAAGATGAGAGTATGGATTTAGGCTGCCAATGTGATGATCATTCTACTTGCTCTCCAACCAACAGAGGCAATAATGGATGTTGTGGTGGTGTCAATAAAGAAAAAAACGGAGGAAAATGTTGTGGTGGCAATGTGAAGCAAAAGCAGCAAGAAAAAAGACAGCAAAAACTCTTGTTTAAGAAGCCAATGCCTGCTACTTGTGGCGGTATTGCAGAGTGTTCCTTAAAGAACAATTGTTCTCGGGCTTCAGAATGTGCTTCTGCAAATCAAACGGTAACTTCACATTCATCCTTCAGTAATTGGCTTTAAAGCATGATACCCCCGTTTTTTAATTAAAAAGAAAGAAAAAGAACAAGAAAAAAGAACAAGAAAAAGAACAAGAAAAAAGAACAAGAAAAAAGAACAAGAAATAATTGTTCTTATCGTCTTTAAAAAAATCATGCAACATTTTGATATTATCTTGTGTAACTTTTTTTAATTGAAAACATGGTTTTTTGACTGAATTCAATCTTAGCATTATTCGAAGAGCATAGACACTAAAAAATGATTTTACGTACATTGTTTTCACTTATTGATGGGACACTTTCTGTAATAAAATGGAACAGAAATAAATTAAAAATTGAAACATTTTTTTCTAAATGTCAGATTGATCCAATGCAGATCTGATCCAACCGATATGAGGTGAGATCACTTCTAGGTATTTCTAACAAAAAGAAAGGAAGTCTACTAAGATTAGAGAATCGACTTGATTTAAGTATTATCTTCAAATCTGCATTCAAAGTTCATTGTACACTGTAATTGATGCACCGAAATCATGCGAGAAAAATATACTATACCATTTGATACTTCTGGGTTCAGTGATAGCAGCTATGAATGCAATAAGCGATAGAGGTCCTGTAGGAGGAAGGTAGAGTATTTCAAACACTAGCATTTTGTTTCTTCTACTCTTTGCTTCTCCTAACCTTTTAAAATTGCTTATGTGATCTAAAGTGCACAAAGCTCTTAAAAATGTTCCAAAAATACATTAAGCAAAGTTGTAGCGTTCTACATGGCGCATCTAATGGTGTATAAAAATACAGTAGACCTGCTACAAAAGTGCTGCGAAAAGGTCAAAAAACGTATTTTTTGCTTTGTAGTGATAGCGTGCACTTTTCATATGTCCTTGTTAAAACTAGCACTTGGAGCTTATTTTGGTACATTATACAGACACTTTTTACTATACACTACTATAGTAGAAGTTGCTTCTATCTCTGTTGAGCGGTGGATTTTTGATTTTGAGCAAGGGTATCTTACTACACCTCAACAAACAAGTAGTTTTGTCATTATTTTCTTATCAAATGTGTCATAAAGTTGCTTGTTGCACATCAAATAGTACCCAGTAAAATAGTATTATGTATAAACTGGTATGTTGAGCTGTGTAAATCTATTTTGAGTAAGTATTCCTTTTTTACATTTATAAAATAGAGTATATTTATATTAAGGAAAAAGAGGTTTCTAGCAGATATAGAGATAACATCCAAGGAAATAGTCTGAAAGACATGCAGCAATAAGAAGGAAATGCTACAAGTTAGGTGTACAAATTTGTATTAATACCTGGGCCTTTTCTCAGAACAATATATGGCTAATTTCATTAACTTATTGAACCTTTTAAACTAAATATATCTCGACTACAGAAAAGTGGGTGAAAGCATGATAGTATACGGTGGTTAACTACTATATTTGATGCGTTTGCTAAAGGCAATTTGTCGTATATCAACAACATAAAGTTTCTCAATATCTTGACATTGTTCGTAAGCAAACATTTCCTTTGATTTGGGCCTATCAAATGCCTCTTTAACATGATGCTTTATGTCGATAAACAGTCCAGTATTACGTGGGTTACTTATTCATGTGACAGAGATACCAGACAAATACATGTTTTGACATTGAAGACACCAATTCATGCAAATCTTGTTCTTTTCTTAGACAACATCAATGTAGCATAAAGCCTGTTTATTCGGGAATAAACAAGCTAGGTATCCACAAACCATGTTTACTAACATATGAGATACCTTTGGATTCAATTTGGACCAGAAAATGCGACATGTCCAAAATGACCAAAATATGCGTTTCGACCAGGGTATTACTCATGAAAATCGTTAGTTTGACAACCTTCTATCTTATTTTTGATGCTACAAGACGAGAAATAGAGCTATCGACAAGCTTAGATACCCAAAATGTGCGTCAAAAGCTATAGTTTTTGGTGAATGTAGTTGCTTGCTGATTATACTATGAAAATAATGAACTATGAGCGAAAAACCCTAGAGCATGTCTGTTCATTTACAAAATATTCTGCTAACAACAGCTCAATTATTCTTACATCAATAAAATTAGAAAGCAAGGATCTACAACTTTTATCACTGCACCAAAGCCATAAAACTGCGTTTTTATGTAGTTCTCAGCAAAGGTTCGATTTTTTTAATGATTTTATTTGCTGCACGTATTAGTGGTCTTGAGAGGGACCCACTAAAAGAGGTGCTCGACAATCATTTATTATAAGAGGTTAAAAGAAACAAAAAGGGTACTACAATTTCAAAAGTACAAAGGAAAAAAGAGCAGCTGTTACGAGGAAAAACTTCTCAAGGTGAAAGGTCATTCTCAGCGGCTATTCGCTTAATTTGATATCGAGTGCTGTGAAGAACAGAGAGATAATGGAATGGTTGGTTCTGCATGGTATGAGCCCAATGGGCCTTCCAGATCTCAGAGAGACCGATCAAGTTTACCATGGCTATTGAAAGAGGATAGTTTGTTTGAGCCCGAATCCGAGAAAAATTGAACGATGCAAGTGCATCTGAAACTAGATCCAGAGAGGCGCCTGGCCATAAAAACTCTCTGATCAAGGCATCCCAGAACGAAAATTTTTTGGGGGCAAAAGAAATGATACATCGTTTCCTAATCACCACACAAAATGCAGGCAGCAGTAGGGAAGCGAGCAGGAAAAACCTTGGATAGAAGTAAGCGAGTGGGAATCTTGTGAGTCAGAAGTCGATACATCACATTTCTCTGCAATGTTGTGATAGGTATGCGCCAAAAGTACTTCCCAGCCGCAGAAGAAACTTCTTGCCGGGCAATGATATCAGACAAGGCAGCTTGTGTGATGACCTTACGGAAAGTATGGCCACCATTTTTGAGAGCAACAAAATTTACGTTGTCAAATGGCAGTTTCAGTGTACGCACAAAGGAAAAGAAACCAAGAGACCGCTAGATTGCAGGAATATGCACAGGATTGTATAAGTCTAATGAAGTACGAACAAGGCATTGACCAAAAAATGGTTCCAGGTGACAACGAATTTGATTCATTGCTTGAAGATATTTCCTAACACTACGCCGAATATCCAAGGGAAAAGAAGAAGCCGGTATTGATGCCAGATAGTGACTCTGTAAATAGTACTCATACAGATAGGAAGCTGCTACTGTACGTAACTTGAGAGGCAAGTTAAAATTGTTGAATGGTAGAACAATGGAGCGTAAGAGCAGTAAAAGACATTTGATAAGATTTGACATGTATATATACTGTTTCCTGGGAACAGCATCGATTGTCTGGCAGCACATGGTGATAGTGTTACTGGCCAACTGCCTTAAATGGCCTGACTGCGAACGAGGAAAGAGCAGACCCAAGAGCAGATGTTCAGTCTGGAGCAAAGCACGGGTATGTGCTGCTAGAAAATCTTGTACCAGAGAACTTTCAGCTTGAGGACACAAAAAAGGATGAAGCCAATGGTAATACAGTGATTTCTGCTGAGAAAACAAGTCAAGAATGCCAAGGCCACCATGCCACTTTGGTGCAGTCATCGTTTGCCAGCTAATGCGAGGAAAGATTTGCCGGTTGACAAAAGAAGTAATGACAGTTCGAATGGTATTAAGGATTGCTTGAGTGGTAGGGATCACCCGCAAAATATACCAGCATTTAGACAATAAAAGTGAGCTGGCAACTGTAGCTCTACCAACAACAGAAAGATTGCGTGAGGCATGAATATCCGCCAGTTGAGACAGTGATCGAGTGAGGGACGAAAAAAAGTGAGCGCGCTGGTCCAAGGATTGGATAAGGGGAAAACCTAAATAGATAATGGGTTCAGCATCTGTACGGCACCATATCTTAGGAATGTCAATGGCTTGTAGAGTAGTCAGCCATTTGTCATCTAGATTGTGACCAGAGAGAGAGATTGCTCGCACTTTATGGTAGTTCATCTTGGCATTGGATGCTTTACTGTAGGCCTGTAAGTGAAATTGCATTCTACGGAGATCACGAATGTTACGAAGGAAAACTAAAATGCCATCAGCATAGCTAAGCAATTTGATAGCAGGTAAGGTGATAGCTTGACTAAAATCATTATGATTGAAGCGATAGCCAGAAAATTGAGTGTCATTCAATATCGACTGGAGAAGTGTCTCTAAGGTAAAATTGTACAAAATACAAGAGAGTGGGTCACCTTGTTTGAGGCCTCGGCGCTTTGGAACTAACTGCTTAGAGAGCCAACCATTGATGTTGATACAAATGGAATTATCTCTAAACAAGGTAATAGTGCTGGCAACCAGGGTCTTTGGAAAACCAAAGTGTAACAACACTTGCTTGAGATAGTCAAGGTTGACACGATCATAGGCCTTTTCTTGGTCTAAAAGAATGCCAAGATCCTTGTCTGATCGGCGGTAGTTTGTTGCTGCATTTTCCATGATCATTTGGGTGAGCAAGCCATGTTCAGCAATATATCTACCAGGCATAAAGCCTAGCTGATGTCTGCTGATAAGTATAACAGCTACTGTCATAGTCCTGTGGTTGATTATCCGAGTGAAGATCTTGTTATCTGTATTCACCAACTGGATAGGACGATAGTTCTCTGCCTGCGTTAAATCACCTTTCTTAGACAAAAGAGTCATAAGTGATAGCAGCCATGATTTCAGGAATAAAGAATGAGCTAAGGCATCATTATATACTTGTAGAACCAGCTGCCTTAAACAAGGAACATAAAGTAAAATACCTAGAATTTCGTATGGCAAACCATCGCTACCAGGACTACTCTGACGAGGTGAGCGTCTACTTGCTTTCGATATCTCCAGCCAAGTGATAGGACTTTCAAGGGTAGATGCTTGCTCTTTAGTAAGTCGTTGGCTGTTGGTACGTTGTAAAAGCGTATTGACATCGGAGGATTGGACCTTGTCAGGACGATATAGCGCCTTATAGAAGGCAACCATCACCTTTGTTTTCCCTTCTGTATTAGTAACCAATCGTCTAGAATTGGGATCAAAGAGCTTTGGTATTGTTCGCTGTGTAGACCTATCTTGTGCAAGTTTTTTTGAGAAGACCAGGAGATCGTTCACCTTTTTCTCGCCAAAATCTGCCTGCTTTGAGATGTTCTATTTCGGCAGATTCATCCTGCAAAATAGTAATCATTTTTTCAACCTTTGGCAAAAGAGATGATAAAATAGATGTATTTTTATGATCTCGTAAAATTTTGTTGCGTTTGGATTGAAGCTTTTTCAGAGATTTGGATCGCCAGTTGTTACGCTCGATCTGGAAGGATCGAGTAAAAACTTTAACTTGTTCTTTCAATTCATCCCAAATAGTTTGAACTGAAGGGCAATCAGGATCCAAACGGTTGATGCTATCCATGTATTGCTCAATATGTGTTGTCAAACCTTTTCTATATGCAGATAGTCGAGCAAGATTAGGATTACCTTTCCAAGGACCAGGTCCAGCTGGAGTGTGTACCAGTTGATAGTTGATAGAAAGAAAGGCATGGTCAGTCCAACTGTAGTTGACAAAATTTTGAGTCTTAGAAATTACATTGTCAGTATGAGGTAGAGTGCAAAATTTATAGTCAATATGTGTGCGACTACCAGTGGTACTGACAAATGTATGAAGAGGATCACTTTGAAAACAATCTTGGAATGAAGTAAGAAGTAGATCATTCCAGCACGTATCAATGTTGGATTTACGGTAAATGTCATAGTTGAAATCGCCAGCAATAATAATAGGCAAAGACGTTGACCGTAAATGTGACATTAATGGTTGATTGGAAGATAATGTGCGAAAGAATGTGGATCGACTACTACGATAAGCAGGAGCATAAATATTGAGGATATACATAAAAGGAATGAAGGGTTCAGAGGCATGAGCGATAGACGCTAAGAGAAAGCGGCCATTGGTAGAATTGATGGTGGGATGTGCTGTAATTTTGTAGTGAGATTTTAAGGAAACAATGCCACAGTGTTCTGTCCAAAGACTAGATTTATTCTGGAACTTGAGATTGAGCTGTTTCTGTATATTAAGTGTAGATGCGTGTGTCTCTTGTAAGTATAGAATGTCATATTTAGTTAAACGTAGAAAGCGGACGAATAAGAACTGTTTGTAAAGATCTATAGTTTTGGTAAGACCACGACAATTAAGTTTGGAAACTTGCATAGAGCCTTTAGGCATAGATTATCTTATTGAAAATTAAGAGAGGTACCTGTGTTATGATTTGGTACCACTCTTTGTCTCTCATCTTCATGATTAAGTTTAACCTTTTTACGCCCTGGATAAGCTTTTCTAAATCCAATGTTTCTTGGGTTGGATTATTGCTTGGAATATTTGGGAGATATTCATCATCCTCTCCGTCTGATTCAATGATTTCTACTTCATTATCTCCTTGCTCTTTCATTTCATGGACCATCGATTCAGACTCAACTAATGGAGTGTCATTGGAGAGAGTTTAAATAGTCTCTGTTGCTATTTGACTGAGAGGAACGGTAGTCAATGCGGCAGGAGAGACAGTTTGCTTAGGCTTCACACTTTGTGACAGTTTCTCATTAGGCGGATTGGGGCCTGTTCTATTAGTCTTGTTTTTTTGTGATTCCAATACGCTTATTAGGAGGGTGGCCTGATCCATGATTACGACGAGGACAATCACAGCTGATATGACCACGCTCATTACAGTTATAACAACGACGAGTATTAATGAGTTCCATGTAGTCTGCTCTACAATGGTCGGATTTCTGACAAAAACGACAAAACTGGGGCATTTCATCCCACGTAAGCAGAAGTTCACAATCAGATCCAGACCAATCTACTACTCGACTAAGTTGCTCAGGCTCATTCTTGTGAGGATTGTTCAGATCAAGGACGACATATCCCTGGCCAAAAAATACAGCACCATCTATCTGAAATCCCAGATCCAGGACTTCATCAAAATGGGAAAAGCAATTTTTTATTTGCTCGCGGAGAGTTGAAGGATGGATGAGGGGGAGTCGCTCAACCTTAACTCGAGCAATTTTGGCGTTTTGGGGCAAGCTGCGGTAGTCTTTGATAATCGCATTATCTTCCATCTGCAAACCGGAGTTGACAAATTTATTGTACACTTCTGATTTGCTATCCCAGCATGTTTCAATAAAGCGTCTCTGCAAATACTTGCGCTCAACAAGTAAAGTGCCAAAGAAATAATACTCTTCATTTGTATTGAGTAATCCAAGAAACTGTTTAAGGCCATTTATATAACGAATATTAGTAATATCAATCAAAACACTATCTTTTTCTAAACCGACAATATAAGGCGTAATGGTGCCTGAAGAAAGAGTGTTGGTACTAGCATACTTTGACTTGGAAGAACTAGAAGTGCGTGCAAATGAAGCAGTGGCAGCCAATGGTGACGACTGGTTAGCAGACACAATAGTTTTAGCCGCTACTTGCGACCAAGTTCTGGGTGAATCATTGATTTTACGACGCCCTTTGGAGGATGTCATGCTGTAGGTTGGTTTGTTAGGCGAAAGAACCATGAAGGCTCAATTTCTGATGAATCGAGGTGCATGTTTTCAATCTCCGACAACAAGCATTTTGTGTGCTTTGATGCTTTGATACACAATATCCAAAAAGATAGCGAGTAAGTGTACTAGCAAAAGCTGCTTTAAAAGTGAAGCTTCACTAATAAGCCACTAAGCTTAATATGTGTCTATTACAAAGATAGCGAGCGAAGACTTAAAAAAAGCCCTCAGTCTTGAGCAAAGACCTTTCATTGTTAGTTTCTTGACCGAGACCTCTGAAAGATAGTTTTAATATGTTGCTTATAGTGAGCAAATCACTTTGAATCGTTGTTATTATTCTGAGTATCTTTTTTTATGCAAGCAAATCCGCTAAATACTGCAACAACTTCTTTCTGTGGTGTAATAGTATAACCAAGAGTATGTAATCTTCGTAGCTCTCAATAATTTTATGTTTATTTGACATGTACGCCATTAGGCTCTTACAAAGATGCAACTCTTGATAAAGATGTGATTGTGTTACTAGTTGGCAAAGAAAAACTACACGATACACTCAAGGTACTTTTTACAATGTGTTTCTCTTGTTGATTTGTGTTGTTGTCTTTTTGTTTACTATTGACAACCTGCTTTTCTTTTATCTTTTGATATGAAGATTTAACTGTTGACTTTGAAAAAAATCTTTCTATATCGACGTCTTTCTCTGTACCTAAAATATTAAATGAATTTTCTTGCATGAATTCCGTATAGACTGAGCCCTACTTTGTTTTGCGGCCTTTATGTTGATAATAAAGTCGACGTTCATCATATTTTGTGTGATGATTCATTGGTTCATTGGCCCTCATTCGGCGAGCTTCAGATAACTGTTCCCAAGTAACTTGTCTAGGCAATGGAGATAATGCTCTTGGTATTTGTTCTTTTCGAGCGGCAGAAACATCAATCATATAGGGTTTGGGATCAAGCAAAGTATCATTTGAAATTGAACTAAAGTTAAAATTGAATAATCATTAAAAAAAGAGAGACTTACCTGTCTATTAGCCAATTAACATGAACAACAGGACATGTTGACTATATATAAACATGAGTAATTTCTTATTTTGCATTGAACACCATTACTTCTTTTGTGTTTCTTAAGATACGTGATGGGCTTTTTAATTCAGTAACTATATAGTCTGCGGCGAAATAAGAGTTGACAAGACAAAGGCTATTTTTCCGACATTCTAAAAGCTCATTTATCCTTTCTAACTTCACAACAGAAAGTTTCAATTCTATTAAATAGATACGAAGAATCATTGTTTCAAAATGAGAAGAGAGAAGCAAACAAGAAGCGATACAAAGATGTATGTATATATACACACATGATGTTGATATATAACTAGACATTGTAAAAAAAAAAAAAAAAAAAAAAAAAAAAAAAAAAAAAAAAAAAAAAAAAAAAAAAAAACTTCGATTTATCAAGGCCCTATCTTGTTTGCTTCTTGAATGCTCTATAGAGACATGTATACGTTGTATGTACTGAAATAATAATAATAATAACAAGAAAAATAAAGCAATCCAGTTGCATTAGCTCCAAATATTTTTTCTTTCATGATAACCTGAATGAATCTGTTAATTATTATGAGAGTAAATACAAACTTAGGTAGAGTAGTGTTTACAAAATGATCACTTTAATAGCTAATTATGACGATCGGTTCCTTCATACGGCTATAAAGTTTCTTGGCTGTCGTACGAATTATATAGCGTGGCATAAAGGCAAGATTAAGGGACTGGAGGGGGGAATCACGAGGTAAACTGCCTATGAAAGAGTATAGCAAACTTGTAGCAGATGTATCATAATTAAGATTGCCTTATTTAAAGCAAATAACTACATCACTGTACATTGTATCATTTTGTGTATGCAAAGTCAAGACACAGACCTTTTGAAGAGTAAAGGATCAGAAGAGAAAATACTTAGCGACTATCTAATACTTCAATACTCAAGCCTTTGAAAAGTTATTGATTGGATGCAAGTAATTTCAGTCTTAGTGAAAAAAGTCGCACAAAACTCACTTTCTTTTTTCTCTTTTCCATAGCTCATTGAACAATGACAAAGGATTCAACGCCTTCTTTGTTTGTACATAGTCCTGTTCGGGAGACACTACAACGACTTGTTCAGAGCCAGATGCTATGGACAGCACCTTTGATAGCCATCTCATTTGCTTCTCTTGTACGTTGGATTGTTTCACTCTATCCTTATTCAGGTACATATAAGCATACGACTTGTCTGGACCTAATAACCCAAAAGGATACAACATGCCACCCATGTATGGTGATTATGAAGCACAACGACATTGGATGGAACTTACAATCCATTTACCTACTTCCAAATGGTATTGGTATGATCTACAATGGTGGGGACTCGACTATCCGCCTTTGACAGCATATCATAGCTGGCTTTGTGGTATCATGTAAGACTTCCATCCTTAACTGTAAAAAGTATTTATATGCTTCTATAGTGGATCAAAAATAAACGCGTCTTGGTTTGCTTTAGATACATCAAGGGGTATTGAAACACCAGCAAGTAGACTCTTTATGAGATCCACTGTGATTGTATCTGAAGCATTGGTTTATATTCCTGCTGTGTTGGTATTTTGTCAAATTGTATATGGCTCTAATGGGTATTTGAAGAAACATATGGCAGCCGTTTTGATACTTATGCAACCAGGTTTGATTATGATTGATCATGCTCATTTCCAGTAAGCCAAGCATTGTCTAGTATCAAAGTGCCTAATTGTCAATAGATTTAATTCTGTCATGTTGGGTCTTGCTTTGTGGACCATCAATTGCTTCTTGACCAAACATTTTGTGTTGGGATCCATTTTCTTTTGTTTGTCTTTGGGATTTAAACAAATGGCCTTGTATTATTCACCAGCAGTATTTGCCTTTCTCTTAGGAAGATGTTTTACTGAGCCAAAAGGGTAGGATTGAATTCTGCAACAAAATGGCTTATTTAATAATAGTTTTATTTTGTTTGTCAATTTGGGTATTACTGTTATCGTTACATTTGGTATCTTGTTTTCCCCTTGGCTAACATCCTTGGAAGGTATCAAACAGGTCTTTATTCGCATCTTTCCTGTTGCTCGTGGGCTGTATGAAGACAAAGTAGCTAACGTCTGGTGCGCCCTTAATATTGTTGTCAAATTAAGGCAAATCCTCAGCCTTGAGTCTACTATGCGCCTTAGGTAATAACATTAATACTTAGTATAGGCAGTGATTAACTCAGATACACATAGTTTACTGGCTACACTTGCTGTGGTTATTCCCGTTTCGATTCACTTGGGCATAGCACCCTCCAGAAGACGTTTCTTATATGCTATGCTGAACTCGTCACTTGGTTTCTTTTTATTTTCATTCCAAGTCCATGAAAAATCCATTTTGCTTCCCCTTTTACCTGGTACTCTACTTGTTCTAGAAGAATCAATTGCTACCTCCATTTTTGTTAACACAGCCATGTTTAGCATGTTCCCATTACTAAAGCGCGAAGGACTAGTGATCCCTTACTTTATAACAACATTTATGTGGAACTGGCTTGTAGGTGGTTATGGTCCTGATGTTGGTTTGGTTACTCGATTAGGCACTTGTGTAAGTTGAATCCCAAATTATATCTTTTTTGTATTCATTGCAAATAGGGTGTTCATACATTGTTTATATGCTGGCATATTGCAGAAGCACTTGTGGATCCACCTGCAGGACTGCCTGACCTCTTTACAGTAATGAATGTCATGATAAGTTGTGGCGCTTTTTCACTCTTGTTTTGCTACTATCTTTATCGCCAATTCACAGTGACACCTTTCATTGCTTCTTCACCACCAAAGAAAAAGACACAATAAATTAAAATACCGTTCTTCTTTTCGTTCAATAACAATAAAAAAAATGACTCAACGTAGAGTAGTCGTTACTGGTCTGGGTCTTGTCACGCCTTTGGGAGTGGGTGTGAATACAGTCTGGCAAAACCTGCTTAAGGGACAGTGCGGTATTGTTTCTTTAACTGAACGTGAAGGTTTTGAGAAACTACCTGTTCGTATTGCAGCTGAAGTACCCAAAGGTCCTTTTGAACAAGGACAGTTCACTGCAAGCGAATGGCTTGATAGAGGAGTAAGCTATTACTAGTTGAGTTCTCTTGTTTTTGACGTTGCTTGTAGGATGAAAGAACAATGGCTAAGTTTTCTCATTATGCAATCGCAGCTGCGCGTCAAGCGATTCAAGATGCCAACTATGCACCCACTGATTCAGAAAAGGAGAGAACAGTAAGTGAGTGGCTTGTTTTTATAATATTGCTGATCATACATATATCTAAAGGGTGTCTGCATTGGATCTGGCATGGGCAGCCTAGAAGATATTGTAGACACAACCACAGCTTACTCGGCAGGTGGTTATCGAAGAGTATCTCCTATGTTTGTCCCTCGCATATTGATCAATATGGCTGCTGGTCACCTCACAATGAAGTATGGATTTCAGGTAGATAGAAGAACCCATCGATCACAAAATAATAGATAATGATTGTAGGGACCTAATCATGCTGTATCGACTGCTTGCACTACAGGTGCTCATGCTATTGGTGATGCGATGCGATTCATCCAATACGGTGATGCGGATGTGATGGTGGCAGGCGGCACAGAGGCCTCTATTCACCCATTAGCCATTGCTGGTTTTGCAAGGCAAGTTGTCTTATATCAATGTAGACTAACATTTCTCAAGAGCTAAATCATTAGCTTCTCAATTTGAAGACAAACCAACAGAAGCATCTCGTCCTTTTGATAAAGACAGAGCTGGGTTCGTTATGGGTGAAGGATCGGGTATTGTCGTATTAGAAGAATACGAACATGCAAAAAAGAGAGGCGCCAAAATATATGCAGAAGTAAAAGGCTATGGATTATCAGGTGATGCTTACCATATGACATCTCCACCAGAAAACGGGCAAGGAGCTGCAAGATCCATGCGTAGAGCACTTCAAGTTGCTGGATTGACACCTGCTGATATTGACTATGTGAATGCCCACGCCACAAGCACACCTGCAGGTGACATTGCAGAAAACAGAGCCATTAAGACTGTGTTTGATGGCTATTGGGATAAAATCAGTGTGTCTTCAACAAAGGGGGCTACTGGACATTTGTTGGGTGCAGCAGGTGCTGTGGAAGCCATTTTCTCTATTTTGAGTGTTCATCATGTAAGTTATGTACTGTATTTGACAGCTCAATGATTTTCTCGCATAGAATATGTTGCCACCTACACTCAACTTACACAATCCAGACAATGAAGAATTCAACCTGAACTATGTACCACTTGAAGCTCAAGAAAAACAAGTAAGGGCTGCTATTACAAATAGTTTTGGTTTTGGTGGTACAAATGCCACATTATGTTTTGCAAAAGTTTAATAATAATAATAAAAAAGCCTTATCGAATGGGACTATGAGGCAATGGTTTCATAATAAAAGAACTCATGCGGTTTACTAAGGGCACTAGAATGAAATAGTTAGTATCTAAAATTTATTTCTTTCATTTACCTGTCTTGTGGACAGTTTCTGCCCAGCCCTCTGTGTTCCAAGCATCTTCACGCGTAGTCTTTCTGTCTTGCAAGTCTCTACAACAACAAAAGAGAATCAGATGTTTTGTCTATATCACATAGGAAATGCTTACGGATAAGTCCACATATGATAGACAGTATTCAGCTCACCAAGTTGAGTAAACCAAGCACCAATAGGTTCACAGAATTGACGGCGACATTCAAGTCCTTTCCGCCTATAGTAAATGAGGAAAGAGCAGTAATCAATCATAGCACTTACCAATGCATTTCCCATTCTAACAAACTGCCAGGCTATTCAATGGCGTTATGACTGCTCTTTGTATTGATATGGCTTACCTTCAAGTTGTATTTACGAAGTTCAAATATGCCATTTGTAACTTTAGGAGGAGATGTTTGCCAAAACTCAAATTCAAGCATAATCCCGTTTTCACGCTTGATTAATAAAGGCCGTAATTTCTTAAGAAACTGGGCATGATCAGGATCTTGGCAAAGCTTATCGTGCGTATGTTTATGGCCCGGATATCCTTTGTACTCCCAAATGTGAACTAAACGGAAAAGTCAAGCAAAGATTCTCTTTGGGTCACAACTTACCAAACGAATCTTGATCTCCTATTTCAATAGACCAGCTTCCACATAAATGAACATCATTTGATGGATCATTGGCTATTTTAGGAAGATGTTGGGATCTATAAAAAGTGAGTGAGGATAGTCTTTTTCTTTCTTGCTTACACCAAGTCAACGTATTCGTCTACTTTATCTGGCTTGATCTTATGAACTTGTGGATATTAGCTATCGTATATCAATTATAGCTTCCTTTTTATATATACTTTGGAGTTCATGTACGTATTTTCCTCTTGCTAAAACTTTTGAATGTGTTTGATTTTCAATTTCTTTGATCTTTTTTGATCCATACAAGACTGCTTCAATGATTTCATTGGCGCGTCCTTGCTTTGTTTTGGTGTTATTTTGATTCAACAAGGGATTGACTTGTCTACTGAAATTACGCGATTGATTTCTTATAGTTCTTGACAGCATTAAAGAGAAAAGAGAAAGTAATAAGGCGTAAAGCAAACAATATTTATTCATGCAGAAAGCTCGACAGTCACGAGAACTTGTTTCACGCATTATTTTTATGCATTAAGTAATTTCCGCTTGTATTTAAAAACAGTGTTTTCAAAAAGCAATGTCGCAGCCAATCAAAATTGATGTCGCCGACAAGTCAAAATCATTGTTTAAAGCATTATACTTCTTTTTTTCGCGATAGCGATAGTAGCATACATGGCTTGATCAAAAAATGTAGATATATTATCATAATTATGCTGGTTCTTTGATAAAAAGAGAATTGAATGTACTACCACGATGGAATGTATGTGGTCTTCAAGAGTTAATTGCCATCCACTACTGAAGAAATTGAAAAGGGCAATACTCACATCAATAGGCTGTACTATGAAATGACTTTGAGGATCTGGAGGTGGAAAATAAATACAAGTCGGATTCAAGAGCTCATTTTTGAAGGAATCGTTGCAACTAGCATTTCTCTTGTTTTGTTCTGCACTTTGTTCTGGTTGCTCTGTTGTTGGTACATCATTATTGCTAATTATGACTTCCTGGTGCTTGGCCTCGGAATCGTCACTGGTAGTGGCTTTCTCTTGCCCGTGGGCCATGGAATAATCATTGTTGGTGATCTGACATTGTTGATGATGATGTGTTGCCGGTAGTGTCTCCGGATACTCTGAATAATAACGATTTTTCAGTTTGTGTATCATTGCATAATAAGATGAAAAGAAAGATACTAAAAAACTAATAGCAGCTATATTGTTAACATCTATACATTTGTGCTCCTTTTTGGAGTGGACGGGGTGTTCGCCATTAAAGAGATACATTATACATTTTATATTTTTTTAGGACCGTCCCTTCTCAAGCCACAGTTGTATGAACCTCCCTCTCTCTATCTGGTACTCTGAGAATTTTGGTTTGAACATGTCCGATAGGGGTGGTCCTTAAGAAAAAAAAAGGGGGAGTGCATAAGAAACCTGTAAATTAATCAACCATTTTCTTTAGTTTGTGCACTTTACAATTTCACTACCAATGCCCTAAGCAGGAAATGTTTTCAATAACTGAAACAGTAATTCTCCTGCTTGTGTACTCATAATAAATAAACAAAAAAGTCTACTCCTACCACCTCCACCTTCCTTCAGTAGAATAGATTAAATCTCTGTTTCGAGTAGGCATTTATTCGACAAAGTTTAATCTTGTTTTGCATGATCAACAGTTGGAATAGATGTGCTACTACTGGAGGGCTTCTTAATCCAGCTAGACAAGTATCCTCCCCATGATGTTGCTGTTTCTTGTAGAGGAGGAGGTGGTGGTGTAGTAGTAGTGGCAGTGGTGGCATTACTTGTTCCATCCCTAATATCAACAAAGGAATCATGACTATCTGAGCGTTTTAATTTCTCGCCAGTAGGGGATGATTGTGCTAGTTGAATGGGCGTATCTGTAAAAATAGGTGTATTAAGTTGATCCATTGCAGGCGGCTGTGGAATGTCTGGAGATGGTTGGAATCGATTGGTGGTGGAAGCAACCAAGGTAGAAAACAGGTTATACGGGCTAATGATATAGCCACCTGTTTCGCTCATCACAGCTGGTTCTGTAGGAGCAGTAGTGGTCGTACTACTACTACTGATATCTTTTTCTTCTACTGCGGCTCCCTGACCCTACACACAAGATCATTTAGTGTGACTGACTGTACGCCCCTACTATTTTCTCTTTACCTTGAATACAGTATCTATCACCCACTTCCTGACATTAACAATAGCTTGTTTGCCGTACAAGACAATGGTCTGTTTGAGCTTAGCTTGAATCTCCACCAGAGCATTGTCAATTTGTGCTTCATGTGTGTTCAAAAATGGGTCCAAGTATCGTGTATAAAACACAGATGCGCCCTTTTTTTCGATGTAAGTGTTTATCACAGATTAATTAAATGTATCTCTTTTACCTGCGTCTGTGGTAAAATAAGCCATAATACCAATACCAGTTTGATTTCATTATAAAATGGCAACCTTGTTTTTTTCGGAAGATAAGGACGTGTTTGTTTAAACTCGCTTATGCATAAAACAACTACTTACCAGAATAGAAATATATCCGAGAAGTATTCGAGAGAAAGATAAGTGATTGAAACTACCCAAAAAATCAAAAGAGAACCAAATTCTTGTTGGTTGTTGGTCTTGATAGCCTTGTAACATATGTAGGCCGGATAAAGTTGCAACAATCCCAACTTGACACAAAAGTAAATAGCAGAAGTAAACATAGTAAAGAAAAATAGAAAAAAAATAAAAAAGAAAAAGATAGTGAGGAGTTAATTTTTCCCTCCTAATGCAAAAACCAAGAAAAGTGACACAGAGTCACTGTTGTCTCGAAATTCGGCATAATCGGGTTACTGACGTTATCAGCCGGACTGTCAGCTGAGATCGTATCATACAGCGAGAAAGAGTTGGAAGGTGTATACTACACGAGGTGTAAAATGGGAGTCATTTTATAGTTAGGTTATCCTTTATTCTTTATAATACTTTGTTCTTTAGGTTAGTCTGTATACTGCCAAAAGAAACAAATTGAGCTTAATTTTTGTTTGTTGAGAAAGAGAAAAAAAGCAAATTCGAGGAAAAAAAATAAAGCTTAAATATACCGGACTAAATTGACATCTCGGGCGAATCAAATCCATGAGGGAATCTTAGCGTCAAGGACTTTTCAAGTTGATTTAGCCTCTTAATAATGTTTAGTCAAACTCTTCTCATTGCTCTTGCATGGAACACAAATCTCCCAAAGCAAACTTGACTCGGGTTAACAGAAAGCATTAATAAGAATTAATCTCAGGTAAGAAACACGCATAAATGTTTCTCATTTTACAATACGACTATATGGTTTTATTTATTTACAAGAATTGGGTAATCAAAAATATTCAATGGAATCATCAAATCGCAGACCGCCTTTGTTCCTTTGAGAGGCAGTTTTATGCAGCAAGGAATCAAAGACAATAGCAGGATTCTGGTTAGCTGTTATATGTTGCTTGTCAATGTTTAATAATCTTTGCGGAATAGTTACATTGCCATGGCTGTTCATGAGCTCTGGCTTAAGTTTTTGGAGTACTTTGGAGATATAAATAGTGTCTTGAAATTGTTGTTCTGTGAGTTGTTGCTTAACTACGTTTTGTAAAACACCAGCTGTATTTGTGAGTGGCATATTTCTGTAAGCTAAGATAGAAGAAAGAGAGTTTGGTAGGAACGGAGCTTGGTGTGTTTATTTATACGCCTTTTTGGTGTGAAAATCTATTATCTTATCAATAGGACATTGATAGATAATAGATAAAACCATGTGATTACGTATACGCTCAATGAGACAAAATATTCTCAGTCCAATATTCTGATTCATTGTTTTTTTTTCAAGAAAAACAAAGTATAAAAAGGATGTAACTCACTTTGAGTGTCACTGTACTTGTATTAAAACAACTTTTTCTTTCTTTCAGTACTATCAAAGATAGTATAAAGAGTACAATTGTAATTAAGCTTTTTGTATAAACAGACGCATATGTCATTCTAAGACATAAGTGACACAAGTTGAGATCAGTAGCATTTATGGCTATTGACTAAATATAATTATTAGAACTTGTTGTTGAATGCCTACAACAAAATGCAATAAGACACTGAATCTAAATGTAAGAATACCTTATCTACAATAACTGCTATTGTGATAGTAGAAGAGCATCTGCAAAAATATATTCGTCATACTCATACAGTCTTGGTGTTTCTCATTGCTAAAAAAAAGTTTGAATTTCTTTTTTAGCTATAGTTCTTGCAATTAAAAAATTTATGCAACTCAATTTTAAACGAATTTGTTTGGCTGGATGGTAATGGTATTTAAAAATCACACACGCACAAACAATCACTTGACAAAGTTTCTTTAAAGCAACCTAGCGTCTGCATAATCTTTGATTTGATCGTGCCTAGATCGAGACAATGCTAGTAAAATATGATATACAGTTATTTATATGAAAATTAATTCAACTAATACCGACCTTCTGGGAGTTTTATGATAGCTAGGTTACTGTTTGTATGTACAACTATTATCTTAAATATCTACCAGATAATAGAAAAGCTCAATTTTCTGATATTGTGGACATGAAATTAAAGGATAAGAGGAAGCAGGACTAGGCTGGTATTGTATAAGATGTAAATACACTTAATATTTATCAAATGGAAGCCAATTAAACATAGAAGCTATTAGTTTTGAAGCTATCCATCTTGATAAAATAAACCGCAAACTTAAAGTATATATCCGTATTCATGATATTTTTTTTTTTTTTTTTGTTTGAGTATTGATGTTTGCATTGTGCTTATAAGTCATTTTATAAGCGCGTAGGATGAACTGCATCATGTGCAAAGTATATCAGCATAGCTATGAATAAGCAGGGTATCATGTTTTTGCCGAGATTGTCTGCTTTAAATAACCTTTTCGCTTCTTTTTGACTGCACAAATGGTTTCTTTCTGACCGTGAAAAGTTTATAAATTAAAAAAAAAAAGATCTTTTTTTGTTTTGTTAGCACAACCATCATGATTGTTTGTTTGATTTCAATATATAAAACTAAGTAATGGTCTCATGGTGCAAAAACAAAAAATAAATCAGAAGGTACGAATTCGGCTGGATCTTTTTTTTAAAAAAGAATAAGGAGAAATAAAATAGTAAGGGGAAAAACAGAATTATTTATTAGTTTCAAAGGCTTATTTGTTCTTCTTAGCTTTCTTCTTGGGACTTGACTCAGTAGCTTCTTCCTTGGATTCAGACTTCTTCTTTTTCTTCTCAGATTTTTTGGACTTTTCAGTTTCGGCCTTTTCAGGTACGTCAGCCTTACGCTTACTAGAAGCAGTGTCAGCGGCAGGAGCAGGAGTAGAAGATTGACCACTCAAAGAAGCCTTGTATTTTTCGTTTTCCTTGTCAAAACGAGCCTTTTCTTTTTCAGCGCTCTTAACATAAGGTTGCTTTTCCTTATCACTCAAACCGTTCCACATTTCACCAATAAGCTTGGCAATATCAACAGCCTTAAGGTCAGGGTGTTTGGCAACGATGCTAGGACGAACTTCTTGGGAATAGAGCATGTAGCTAGAGAGGTTACGCTTAGGAGCATTGGGATCCTTTTCCTTTTTTTTCTTTGGTTCAGTATGTTCTTCAGTCTTCACAGAAGTTTGAGTACTTGTGCCCTGGGCAGTCTCAGTGGCAAGCTTGAGAAGGATTTCTGTGAAATCATGCAAATTCTTGCCAAGTTCCTTGATAATAGTAGCAGCCTTTTTTGCAGCAGATTAGATCTTGTCTTTTACATAATTTCTATTTTACTTACGCGTGCTCTATCACTTGCCTTGTTATCAACCATTTTTATTTGTATAAACGAAAGAAACGAGAAAATTTCCCCCAGAAAAAATTGATTTTTTTATTTTTATTTTTTATTTTATTTTTTTTTTGTCTGGGACACTTTGGGCCCGCGGTGGGTGACTGGGCTAAATATAATTTTTTAAGGCGATTTTTGTTTTTTTTTTTAAAAAAAAAAAAAAAATGGACGCGCTGTCCTTAGCCTGCCCCTTTTTTCTCCCCCGCTCCCTTCTCCCTCTAAGTTTTTTTGTCTAGTTTCCCCGAGGGAGGACGAGATTGAAACAGAGAAAAGTTTCCTTCAATTTTTAGGCGAGTTTTTATCTTCTTGACTTGATCTTGTAAAGAAACATCTTCTCTCGCCCGTATTTTTTTATTCCCTTGCTTGCTTTTTACAACTTGCTAACAAGTCAATCAACGATACCAATACGTTTGATTGTCATGATAGTATGCTTGATAATTAACTGTGCATGATTTGCTCGTGTTTCTTAAAGTTCTTTTTTGTTCAATACAATTTATTGACAACATTTACATTGATGAGCGTGATTGACATGATATTAATTAAGAGGTAATTCTTCTATTTATGTACAGTATCAATTAATACAATTATATAAAGAGGTTGTTTTCTCTTTTGCTTTCTTGCTCATCATTATTCCATTCCTTTTTGAACATGAGATTCCTTTTCTTAATGTTTGTTATCTTGATAATAACAGTGATTACAACAACCTTGGCTGATGAACAACATCGCCGTGTTCGTAGTCGTGCCAAAACTAGAAGATCAAGATCAAGAACAACTTCCCTAGCAACGAAAACTACTAACACCAGACCAACTTCTCGAGCAAATACCACTTCCAAAGCTGCTGCTACTACAACTAAGGCAATTGCCCCTACCTCTGCTCCCCTCAGTAACAATGGCGCCACCTACTTAGGCGATGGCACTTGGTACGATATAGGCCTTGGTTCTTGTGGCTGGACAAATTCAGATAGCGAGTTTGTTGCTGCCTTAAATGCTCCCCAAATGCAAAATGGTGAAAACCCAAACAAAAATTCCAACTGTGGCAGGATGATTCGAGTGATCAATACTGCTAATAACAAGGCTGTCAATGTCAAGATAGTAAAGTACAGCGATATTATATTTTATGTACTAACCAGTCATAGGTTGATACCTGTCCTCCTTGTGCAAGTGGCAGTGTTGATCTCAGCCCAAGCGCATTTTCTCAAATTGCTGACCTGAGTACAGGCCGCATAAAAATCAAGTGGTCTTGGTCCTGATTGGTTCTTAATTAAATAATAAAGATGTTTATTATGTAAGATGATATATATATATATATATATATGAATGTACATATTTGTACATCCACAGGAGGTTGTCAAATGACAATTATTACATATTTACGAAAAGAAAAATGAATATTTACAAAAGAAATGATTTAAACAGGATAAGATATAGTATTGTTGTTGGTATCGGTTGTTACTGTGTTTGGTATTGTTGTTGCCGTTGCTGATGCTGTAGCTGTAGTTGCTGTAGTTGTTGTTGTTGATACATCATTATTACTACTTATATTTGTAGTTTCACTTGAGTCTAAAGCACAACGTGTCTTTTGAGACAAAGAAACACCATGAAGAGGTAAATAGACATGGTGAATGTCAATCTGAATAAAACTACCATAGTGCTCAATAAACGATTGAATGTCTTTACTTGAAACCCAGAGATCATAGCGTAATAAACCCAAAAAGCTTCTTTCCATGCGATTGATTTCTTTAGGAGTATAGGCGTGATGCACTAAAGAAGAGAGTTGTGTACTTGTTAAACCAGTGCCTGATTCTGACAAGTATTTTGAGCTGGTTAAAAGAGCAGCCAAGAACAGTCGATAGGGTGTATCAGGTCCGCCTCGTGCATTATCTGGTAACTTTGATTTCAAGCGTAACAAATAAATAAGTGTGAATACTTTCACTGCACATGACAATCTTTTTTTCTTGTGATAAAGATTTTGAATAAAGTCGTTTAATGGCGGTAGTGATTTGCAATTGATATTGTTAGTACAACTCAGTAAATTAGTCGCTGTCAATGTAGTGAAGGCTAAAGTAATGTAAGACATTACCCCTGTATTTTATTTTATTGATCTCATCCTTACCTAACATTGCTTCAGGATTATGAGATACAATCTGAGTTGTGTTGATTGTACTAGACATATAGTTATTCATCATGTTGTACAAGTCAAAAGAGAAGAAAGAAAAAAGAGAGAGAGAGATAGAAAGAAAATGAAAAGAAGGGAGATTCTTTATATATAAAAAGTAGAGGTGGACATATTTAGTAAAAACACTTGTTCTTTTAAACCAATCAAGATTTCTCTCCTTATCGCCGACAAACGGATAAAATTTTTTTTATATGAAACCATACAAAGGGCTTCATTTTATTGTACATGATTATGCTTGATTATTTTTCGGACATTGTTGCTTCATCTTCTTTTTTGGAATATATCCTTAATTATTTTGAAATTGGTTGGTGCGATATTGCTGAGCACATATTCTGAAAATCACAAATCTTTTTGCAGACTTAACTTGCCGAATTCAGAGTTAACTTGATCTACAGACAAATGTTAAACTTGGCTATATATATATATATATATACACATGACATAAGAATGAACATTTAATTCTTCTCCATTATTTTTTGTCTCTTTTTTCTTTTTTTCTCCTTAATGCCACAATCTTCATTGAGCTTTCAAAAGTCTCGTCGTAATACGAAATTACACACAAAGAACATTGTAGATGATTCTGTTATTCAAATTGGAAAATGCAAAAAAAAAATGGAGAGTATGTAGTAATACTAGCGATTCCATATCATCATTGACACACTAGTTTAGTTCATCAAGAACATTTAGACAAGACCGACAAACTTCTTCGAGCATTTGACCTTACGTATGCTTATGGTCCATGTGTTGGTATTAAGAGGATGAAAAGATGGGGTGAATATTAGTTTGTTTGAATTTTGTTCTGACCATACAAAGAACGTGCTCATTTGCTAGGCCAAAGTCCTCCAGAAATAGTCAAAGAAATTCTGTTGAATGATAAATCACAGAAATATGGTGAATCTTTATTTCATCAATTTAGAATGATTTAGAAAGAAATTAACTTTTTAATCATGACATCAGTTTTATTTCATGCAAAACCCTTTCAAAAAAAAAGATATATAAAGCGTACTTTTCTGATATTTTTTTTTGTTTTATATTTATCAATTAACAAACAACAACAATAATGAGCTACCGCGGAAACCAAGATATCTCTCACGCTGAAGCTGCACTCGGTGCTGGTCGTCCTTATGAAAAGAGCAATGAAGGTCACAACCAAATGTTTGATAGCATGAAGGAATTGGAAGCTCATCATGCTAAGCACACTGGTCATCCTCCTGGCAAGCAATCAAGAGGTGAAAGAATTGATCAAGAATTAGCCGAAGAAGACAAACAAACCATTGAAAAGAAGAACCAAGCTCACATGCAAAGCGAACAAGCTCATGCCAAGCCCAGACACGAATAAATAATAAACTGTTTATATATGATTTTGTAAATAAAATAACTTTTTGACAAGATTTATGCAAGTAATACCTATTTTGTGTGTGCACGTAGTCATGTTATTTGACTTGTACTATATCAAAATATATGGTCTAGCCAGCAACTTTTATTTTGAATGCCAGGTAGAACTAAGAAGGTTGAATGATGTAAGAAACTTCAAGATATTCTTTTTCAGTCTGAAATGCGTCATTATACTGAAGATATAAGCGCTATTCAATTTCTGTTCTTCAAAAGAAATGCAGGCTATATTCTAAGATTCTATTCTGAATTGCAATTGAGTTCTCGGTATCAATTGAGATATACTTAAACGTCGTTTGGTAGATCTTTTTAGACGACATTTATTACTTTTTTTTTTTGAATTAAATAGAACGAACAAAGTCCTTTCTTGTAATTGACTAGTTTTATTTATTTCAAGGTATATAGAAGCTTTTCATAGCTAAAAATATGGTATACCTCAGAGAAAATTTTAATAGACATTTAGTATTATATACGTAAAAAGGAGCTAGTTTTTTTTTGAAAAATGCTCAAAAGAGCTACTGAAATAGTGATTGTATACTTAGATATCTGAGCTAGAAATGGTCCACTTTTTCTAATCCGATTGCAAAACAATGACTATCAGATTTAGTTTGCCCATGTGTCGGCTTTCCCTCAATACATGTAACCTCTTTGTTTGCCAAAAAGTCTTTCTCCGTGATTATGATTGCCTTTAAATTTAAAGTGCATCAGAGGAAATGTTAGCTGTGGAATTAAGTGCCACAAGAATATAGTAAAAGTTACTATAATCAGAGCTGCTATTTCTTATAAAAATGCCCATCTGTCAGATTTTATGAATAGTATAATTGGATTATATTAGATATAAGAAACAATGTCAGTATCATTGAAGACTAGCCATCATCCAATTGAAAAACTCATTTATTATATAAGCACATGGAATGGCTTGAACAATTTAAAACTCCTTAGAAAAAACGCAAAAAGGAGACACAATTTTGGAGAAGCATAGAAAAGCTCTCAAGATGAAGTAAAAGCGCCTAATATTGAATCTTTTTCATATAAAGGAATTTAATAAAAAGAGCTTCACAAAAATTTAGTTGATTAGGAAGAAACTCATTGCTTTTTAAGCGCAATGCTTCAACTATTGATCACCGTATGTATCCTTTTATAACAAAGATACATTTCGAATGCATTATAATATCATGAAGTCGTGACATTTGCCCATTCTCCAGTTATCAAGAAAGAAAATATCATATTTATTCATGTTTCGCTTTTTGAATAGTAATACATAATTTAAGCCATATAAAGTACGCTTTGCTTCTTTCAAGGATTCTAAAAATATAACAGCGTTGCTTCTTTCTTAAGCTCTGTGAAGTGCAAGACAATATTTATGTAACTCATTTCAATTTTGAACTTTATTTGCTAGACCTTGAAGAATATAAATAAACTCCTATTAAACATACTGTTTCGGCTTAGAACAATATTCAATTTTCAGAATTCTGTTATCCTAAATATGTCGACATACTGAATAATAAGAATCATGTTCTGCAATTGTTTTCGAACACAACATCTTGTCTCTTTAATGATCCTGAAACAACAGAAAAATGAATAAAATAAAGCGAAAAAAAGCTTAAAATAGAATTTTCTTTAATAGTCAGGGTAAATATTAACTCAATGACTCTTGTTCTGGACTTGTTGCTTGTCTCTTAGTAAAAGTGGGATTATTAACCATGTAAAAATGACATTCGCTATTTTGTTTTAATGAGTATGAAACAACGGACGAGACTCTTGTTCATTATACATATATTTCTTGATCTAGTCAATAAAACCTAAAAGCTTTCGGTCAACTTCTGAACGAAAACATGTCATATTGTTTGGCTGAAAAAAAGAACCTTATTGCCCTTGCTTAAGCAAATAAGCTTGACTTCTGCTGTTTATAAAATTAGGGTTCTTTTTTTTCTGCAAGCACAAACCCATAAAAGTATAATTTCTTCTTAGATAGTAATTAAATTGACTGCTTTTCAAATGAGCTATGTGCTTAGTTTAATTTCTATTTTTGTGCATCTAAATGCCAAGAAACAACAACACATAAAAAGACCTATACTTCCAGCCATTTTTTTTGAGAAGTTAAAGATGCAACTCAAATCATTATTGATCTCATTGGCCGTTGCCAAACTTACTTTGGCTGATATTACTGCTTCCAATTACTACCAGTCCTTTACCTCGCTTACTGATCCTCACAACGTCACTGTTCCTTCTATTGTTCAAACGGAAAGTATTGATCCTACTCAAGAATGTACCTATTACAACCCTGATACTTCCCTGATTAATATCAATTCATCCGAGTTTCCTTCTATCTGGGAAGTAGCTACTACCAATGGTATGAACACTTCCGCTGAATTCACCAACTTGTACAACTCCATTAATTGGTCAAATGCTCCCAATATTCCTGTTCGTACACTTGGTGCCGATGGCAGCCTGGACATGAGTAACTACAGTTCTACTGAAGACCCTGATTGTTGGTGGTCTGCTTCTACTTGTACTAGTCCTAAGCTCAAAAATGTGAATGCTGATATCTACCAGTGTAATGAACCTGAAACTTGGGGTTTGACTTATGACGATGGACCCAATTGTTCTCACAATGCATTCTATGATTATCTTCAAGAAAAGGAACTCAAAGCTACCATGTTCTATATTGGTTCTAATGTACTTGATTGGCCTTATGGTGCTATGCGTGGTGTCAAGGATGGTCACCATATTGGTTGTCATACTTGGTCTCACCCTCAAATGACTACCCTAACCGACCAGGAAGTCCTTGCCGAACTCTACTATTCCTTGAAGGCTATTAAACTTGCTACTGGTTTGACTCCTCGTTACTGGCGCCCTCCTTACGGCGATATAGATGATCGTGTTCGTTGGATTGCTACTCAATTGGGTTTAACTGCTGTTGTCTGGAACTTGGACACAGACGATTGGGTAAATATACTTGAATGATTAAGTAAATTTCTAAACATATTTTATCTTAGGCTGCAGGATTAACTACTACTGTTGAAGCTGTTTCTCAAACTTATCAAGATTATGTTGAAATGGGTACAAATGGCACCTTTGCTGATACTGGTAATATTGTCTTAACTCATGAAATCAACAACAACACTATGTCTTTGGCCCTTGAATTTTTACCCAAAATTACTGCTGCTTACAAGCAAGTTATTGATGTTGCTACTTGCGCCAATATCTCTTATCCCTACTTTGAAGGTTTTGAATGGACCAATGTATTGAACGGTACTGCCAACTCTTCTTCTCCTTCTTCTCCTTCTTCTTCTCCTTCTTCTTCTTCTTCTTCTTCTTCTTCTTCTGGTGTTGCTACTGCTTCTGCTCAAATCAAGGCTGCTACAAATGATGTTGGTTCTCTTATTCCTTCCTTTTATATGACTACTTTCATTGGTTTTATGGCTTTCTTCTTTTTTTTTTAGAATAGAAACATGTCTTGTTTAAGAACTGATTAAAAAGGTGAAGGGGCTTTGTTTATTCAAGCAATTACTTAGGTTTTAGTCTTATTTTGAGTTGCACATTCTTTGTATTCAATAAAACAGGGCTCTTTTTTTCTCAAGAATCTAACGTCATGCTTTTATCAATATATAAATTCAAGTCCCCATGATATGTTGAAAGACAAAAGAGAGAGAGAAACGCTGTGGAACAGTATGACAGCTATCTCATATGTTATGTCATGAGTTTACAAGAAGCTATGAAAAACTTGATAAGTATATATATATAAATAATTAAAGAAAAAAAAAAAGGGGGGGGAGCCATCGTCATTAGGCTATTTCAGTAAAACAAAAAAGTTCTCGAAAATAAACAAACTGTTACTTTCTCATTTCATCAATTGACTGATGGCTGAAACAGCATAAAGTGAATCTTGCGTTTATAATTTAAACAAAAAAAAACTCAAACAGTGAAATAAACTTAAAGTACAAGATCTTTTCTTTGTAACACATATTTTGTAAAGAGGGGTCAGTGCTCTCTTTTTGTTTTATCATTTTTACATGTAACACATAACTGTGCAACTTTATCATAAGAACAAGTTGACCGATATAAAGCCCATTGGAATATCATGGGGACATGCATATCACTTTTAAGTAGCTTTAGTAGTATCAAAAATATAGAATGGACGCTAAAAACATTAGTAAATGAACAAAATAAACATTTAAAGCATCCTTAAATCTATCTAAAAAGTTAAAGGAAGTTGGGCGTATATGTGCTTGGCTAAAAAGAAAACAATGATCAGATGATTTATATATATTTGTGTGTGTGTACCTTTTTTCCTTTCTTCTAACCCAAAACAAAAATGGTTCATTCCATCCTGCAAGTTTTCTTATTTTACATACTCTCCTTTATATAAAAATCACCGGGTGTATGCACACTCGATAAGCGTAAATGCATAGTCTAAATCAAAATAATGGCGGTATTTACGAACAATCTAAAAAAAAAGAAAGCTGCAGGCGCTCCTTTGTTTGCTTTATTTAGTACCCCCAAATATCTCCCATGACACCTTTGTGGTCCTGTAATTGTGCATATAAAAATACGCAGCCTTTTTTTAGTTTTCCTCTCTCTTTCTTTCTTTATTCTATGCATTATACCACCTCATTATCATAATCTAATGTCTATTATCAGCTCATCACTCTTAAGATCCACATCATTTGATATCTTGAGCAACAAGGCTCCTAAACCAAGTGGAACACTCAAAAGATCTTGTTCTTCTTCCTCTTCTTCTTCAGCTTCGTCACTGTCTCTAGTGGAAAAGAAATATTCTTATAGAACATGCCCAATGTGCTCTGAACGTTTGCTGGTCCGAATTCACGGGGCTTTTGTACACAAATGGATCAACTTGCATTTCGCTAATAGACATCATGAATGGATGCATGTCGTTGTCAATCTTCATTGAAAGAAGAAAACAAAAAAGCCAAAAAAAATCATTGTAAATAATCATGTATTTCATTTCAAAATAAACCTTTATATATGTACAAAATAAATCAATAAAAAAAAATCATTCTTCTTGTGTCTTTTCATCATCTTCTTCTTGTTGTTGTGAGATGTGAGCATGTGCTGGAACAGGTGCGGGTGGTGTAGCAGGTTTTTGATGGTATTGTGAGCCGTCATCATAATATTGTTGATCTTGATGTCTATAGTGTTGAGCTAGTCTTTCTTTTTCTTCTTCTGCTGATTGACCTTGATTAGGAGGAATACGGAAACCACCTGCATCTACTTTTTGTCTAAGTTGTTGACCTTGAATGTTTTGTTGACCATGATTAAACTGTTGTTGGAACTCGGAATAAGGACGATGAGGGGCACAATATTGTTGTCGCTGGCTGACTTGTCGGTATAATTGTTGGTAATTGACTTGACTGTACATCATATTGGTAGGATCATAGAAACTACTGTCTTGATGTGCCCAATGATGATGCTGTTGTGTTTGTTGAGGGGGATAAGCGTGTATATGTGCAGGTGAGTCTGTGAGATTAACATGGTTAGGATGAGGAGAATATGGCTTTTGAGCTGGCAAATGAGCATGGACTTGATAAGGCGAATTAAAAGAGGCGTTGTTATATTGATGTTCATAAGCGCCTTGATTCGGTGCTAGATGAGCATCTGAATTCAAAGGAGATGACATCACGTTCTGTGAAGGGCCATCATAAGCGGGTGGTGGAGCATCATAAAGATCAATTCTTTCAATATCAATTTCGTTTTCTATGTTTGTCTTCAAGTCACCAGTAGCAGAAGACACTTCGCCTGTAGTGTATCCTGATGGCTGTGTAGAAATAGCAGTTTCAGTGGGGCCATCTTGGGTAGGACGTCTTGGAGGCAATTGAGGGGGAGTGTTGGGTACTTGTGGTGTGGTATCAGGCTCTTTTCCTTTTGTGTTCTGAGGATTATTAGCAAGTGTTGGGCGTTCGTCTTCGGCAGAAGACTTCCAGTTTTCAAGAGCATTCATAGCATCAGCAAAGATAATGGCAGCTTCAGGTCCTTTTTCATAAGGATTGCGATGTGTTTGTGTAGGCGGAGTAGGTTCAATCTCTATCAAGTCAGTCAAGTATTTACCAAAACCAGCAATCAAGGCTGTCTTTTGAGCATAATCATTCATAGCATTAAAGCGAAGATAGAAAGCTTCCTTGAGCGCAAATCGTTTGAAGTCTGCAAGGTCCATTTCAGATTCATGTGTGTCTTGAGCTAATGATTTCAATTCTCGTTGAAACTCAGTCAATTTGGGTGACCTTGGGCTGCTTTTGCTCAAGTTTTGAATACGGGACTGAAGAGAGCGTTTCTTTTCTCTCTGGTCCGACAACTTTTCTTCTCTCTCTCGAATAGATTTGATGGCGTGTCTGTATTGTTGATACTTGCCTTTAAAACGCATTAAATCTACCTTTCAAATTCTTCATAAACACTTACCAGCAAATTCCTGCTCAATCTCAACTTGTTTATCCAATAAGCGACATAGTTTATCTCCTACAATATCCTATTACATACTTAAAACCTGTTTCAAAAAAAGGTACCGCTTATATTACCTCCAAATCACGAGAATTCTCAACCTTTTCTTCTTCGCATTCTTCTTTTACCCATGCCTTGAAGGCTTTATTTGTTTCAGAACGTTCGTAAGCCAGTGTTCGCATAGAAGCCAAGTCATTTCTTTCCTGAAAAATCCATAGTGATAATGCTTTTGTATCTTGCTTTTGCAAAGGGTTGTTTTTAGCTAGTTGTGAGTGTACATCTGCCTTGAATTTTCCAATCGAGTATTGCAAGTCTTTAAAATTCATATTATTATTTAGACCGAGAAAAGAAGAAAGAGAAAAAAAGTTTATTGACTTATAGGTGAGCACAAACTAAAAATAGATTTTCTTGCGCCATACAGCGCTTGGAGGTAACGTCATTGTTGCCTTTATTGGGCTTGTCAGTCGCGGGATAGTAGCCTTTGGGACTTTTACAGATAACTGGATTAAGGATAGTGATATTCAAATGTGAATTTTGATGAAAAGTGAATACAATAAGCCTAACACGATTTAGGAGGACAAATCTCGAGAGATAAGAGAATCGCCTTTATGAATAAAATAATGAGATGTTCTGTGCATAGTGAGGCACACTCTTTTAAAATATAATTGATTTCAAATTTTGAAGCACATGATTGCTTTATTAGTTCGAATGAACAAATGGACAAAAGAAGTTCAATTAAATGGCTCTCTTTTCATGGTACTTCATTCCAGAATCAGTATCCTGAGAGTAGATAGCACCTTTATAGGGGACCCAGTAAGGAGTAAGGTCAAACTTTTTTCCAGGATGTTGAACGATACGGAAAGGAACAGACTCGTAGACACAGTGGATAGTTTCATTACCATGGTTGACCATGACACGGTACTTATACATACCAGAATCGTTCTTCAAATCAAGAGGGAAACGGACGGAACCAGTGTTGTCTTTATTGTAGACATCTAATGTTCAATTGAGTTTAGTTTTTTTGTTTAAGCATAATTTTTCTTTATTTTTTTCATATTTACCAAGGTCTTCGCCAATAACTTGTTGGTTGTAGTTTCCGAAGCTCAGAACACGAATACGAAAGATTGAGTTGGCCTCTTTACCAGCAATAAGCTGAGATTGATCAATAGACCACTTGATTTCTTGAGTGGAACCAGACTCATAAGCAAGATCATAAAGAGTAGGGTGCTCAATCTTGAAGCCCTTACAATAATCAGGGTTGGGGTGACCAGCATTGTAGCCATAAGTCCATTCATAAGCAGGAGCAGTAACAACTTGCTTGTCTTTGTCATCTTCCTTTTTCTCTTCTTGAGGTTTGCCTTCTTCCCTTTTGCCGCCCTTGACATTTTTCTCTTTCTTCTGATCCTCCTTGTCATCATGCTTGTTATCTTTGCCATCATTTTGGTCTTCCTTGTTGCCGTACTTGTTATCCTTGCCACCCTTTCGGCCTTTCTTGTTACCCTTTTGACCTTCTTTACCATCTTGATACTTTTCATCTTCACAATCTTCTTCATTTTTCTTGCCCTTTTCTTGAGATTTTTCACCTTCTCTCTTGTAATGTCTATCCTTGTTAGACTTGAAATCGTCCTTGCGGTCTGATTCATAAGCATTTTTGGTGGTTTTGACGACGTAGATGTCCTTTTTAGCTTCGTTGTACTTGTTAGCAACAGAAGTTTCATAAATCATGCCATGGTCATTTTCACTAACAGGGCGAGCAAGAGCAGCACCAGCAATAGAAGCGAGAATAGGGATAATCACTTTCATTTTGAGTTGAACACAATAAGATTGTAATGAACGATTTGGAAAGAGAGAAGAAATTATCAGCTCCTTTTATATTGATGACAAGCATTTCATAATGGCTAGTTTTTTTTTCAAGTTCATATCTTGTTTCTATCGAAGCCAATGCAGAATGTAAATGTTGTCATTCGGCTCTTTCTTAGAGCACAGAATAATTTCGTCTTTTTTTAGGATCACTTGATTTAAACAAGACTAATTCATAGTAACAAAGAAGTTCTCTATATTTATTTTACGTAGAATAATCTTTGGGAGTTGCGCGTTCCTTGATACAATGTCCCATATTTACATCAGAATTTTTACGAAAAAGACTGAATCATAATCATAAATCCAAAGCTGTGTAGATAGATCTTGATCTTCTTATCTAGACATTAGAGAATACGAAAAGGAACCGATTTAAAGACAACATAAAAAAATTGACCTATCTAGTTGACCATAGTATGAAATTGGTGGAAACCAAAAGGGCTTTCTGCTCAAAGTAAGGGAGTGATGTTGCTAGAGTTATATTTAGTCCAGAGTTCTATATGGTACGGGCTTCCAATTCAAAAGTTGCTTGAATTGTCAACATTTCTAGTAACAATTGGTTAATTGTAGTCATTGTAATTTATAACCACAAGTAAACGTTTCATACCAGAACATATATTGGTAAAATTTCAAGAAAAAAAATTGCCTGTTCTATCCCCCCATGAGAGTGCTCCTTTATGAATGTTTTAGTGTAGAGCGTTTGAAAGAAGCAAATCAAAGGTATATTTGAGGCAGCTATTGGTATTGAATCACTTATACCTTCAATGGAAAGATTCTCAAAACAAAAGATGTGTTCATTGTGAAACTGCTTTCGTCTTACGACGTCAAAATAAACTGCTATTCTTGCATATTGAAAGGCATGTTTTTCTTGTCAATAAGATATACGCACTTTTGCTCAATAGTCTTCCTCTTATTTTATGTACACTGCACAGCTGTATTCCTAAGAGCAAATGACCTCATGATGTACATATTTTGAAATGTCCCACGATACCGAAATTCGAACGAAATCCACTGGATAGAAGCATTTGCATATTCATGATAAAACAGAGATCAACCAATAAGCAATTATGTCCCCTTTTTCTTTCTTACAAAATGCACCTTGCCCGAGTCATTAAAAAGCAGCAACAGCAGCAACAACAATAATAATAACAACAACAACAACAATCAAAGACAAGCATTACAAACAAATTGCCAAATGAAGTGGTACTCTTAATTGTGAGTAGCTTGTCTATGCCAGATATTCTCAATATACTACAAATACTCAACCTTCAGATACATTCACTTGCTCAAAAGGTTCTTGTCAAAAAACTGGCCTCCGAACCCTACCATTTGCGCCTTTATTTTGATCAGGAAAATCACTGGCGGTTTACAATTGATTTCAAGCTAACCAAAACAATTTCGAATAGACTGGCATTTGCACCTATCGTAAAGCACATTAAGGCACGCATGTATACCTCTATGTTATTATGTAAGCCTTCCTTGTGTCGAATATCTTTGATTGGACCCGACATTTTAATGCACAAAAAATATGTTAACGACAACCTGATGCGATCTTCTGTCTCACTTAACGTAAAAGAGCTCGAGATGATAGAGCAATATGTGCCTAAACAACACTTATGTTTTGTGTACAAAGTAACCAAAGTACCTAAGCATCAGATCAAGACAAGACCTGGAGAAAGATGGGTAGAGCCTTTAGAACTTGAGTGTTCTGTTGACTTCTTGAGCAAGCCAAAATGTATAATCCAGCGTGTATTTGATCATTTACATTGTAAGTCAGTCAACAGGCATGATCAAAAGCATTTGTCTAGCACAAGAATACCAGCCCAAGATCAACGGAATGGGGTGGCAGAAATTGGCGGATTATGGAAGCAAAAGTATCATTATTTATCGCCTGTACAAGACAAATCACCTCAAATTCCAATGCTGGGTGCAGGATTATCCCTTTAAATAGACACCATTTCTTTTTTGTACATAAAAAACGATCAACTAAAGTACTAAACAGAATGATTGGCTGTTGTTTTCTTTGTCCTACTTTACACCAAAAGCACAATATATATTAGCAGGTCACTGTCCCCCTTCACCTTCCTTCTTTTTTTCACTTTTTTTTTCTTCTTCCCTTCTCGAGATGAGTAACTATAACTCTGGATACAATGCCAGTCGAGATAGACTAGCTGATCTTCGTGTAAGTGTGAATAACAAACTATAAGTGCTCTTGTATTTATTTGACTTTTGTTTGATAGGGTAGTTTAGACAGGTACTCAATAAAAAAAAGTAGCTATATTGACATGAGATAAATAGCGCAGATGCATTTGGACCTACTAGAACAACTGGCACCTCAAACAGATATCAACAACAGCAACAAACAGTAGTTGAAGATAGTTATGAATTGAGAGAAAGAGGACAACAAGTAGCACCCACGGCACAGACCGATATCTCTACTATGGAAGGGTTCTTGGCAGAGGTATTAGTAGACTAAGATAGGAGAACTTCCATTCTAAAATACATATATATGATACAGATAGATGATATTTCGAGTTCAATCAAACAAGTTCAACAAAACATTGACATTATCAGTGAGTTGCACGATACATCACTTGTCAGTATCAATGAACAACAATGGAAGCAAAACTCAAGCCAATTATCTCAATTCGTTCAAGGCACTTCAGAAATGAACAGAAATTTGCGAAACAGAATCAAAGCGCTTGAGGCATCTAATGCAAGTCATCCTAAAAATTCTGATTTAAACATTAGAAAAGCACAAGTTGCTCGAGTTAAAAAGGAATTCATGAGTTGTTTGTCAAGATACAAAGATGTTGAAGCAAACTACAATCAAAGGTACCGTCAACGTGTAGAAAGACAAATTCGAATTGGTATGTTCTTTTTTTTTTTGTTAGGCAATAACTGATACATTTTTTGTAGTTAAGCAGGATGTGACTGAAGAAGAAATGGACGCTATTATTGATTCCGATCAGCAAAACCAAATCTTTGCACAAAGTTTATTGAGAAACAATCGTTCTGGTCAAGCTAAATCCGTTCTATCTGAAGTACAAACAAGACATGAAGATATCAAGCGTATTCAAGCAACAATTATCGAACTTGCACAGTTATTTGAGGACATGCAAGTGATGATTGAAGACCAGGGTCAAACTTTGGACCAAGTTGAAAACCATGTTCAAGATACAACTCATGATTTAGAACAAGGCAACAAACAAATCAGTCGCGCCATTGTTCTTGCAAGGTCTACTCGTACTGTAATGTATTTCAATAACATTCTCTTTGTTTTACTCATTATTCTTTAGAAAAAATGGTGCTGTTTCTTTATTGTTATCATTCTTTGTGTAGTGATTGCTATTCTTGTTTGGTGGTTTGCTTTTGGTCACCCTGTAAGTTCCGCTTTTTATCCTGCATTTAATTACAAATACTTATCTTTTTCTATATAGGGTGTTGGTGGTAGTAACAGCAACAATGCTTAATTCTATCTACATTATATACGTACTCTTTATCATTATTTTCTTTACTAATAATACTCGTTTAATCTAATAATATATATATATATATATATATATACTTTATTACCAAAAAAGAGAGAACCCAAAAATGTATATACATATATATATATATATATATGTATGTGTATGTATTGTGTGTACAGAAAAGTTATTATGATATGATATGATAGTATATGGAGTTATGGAAAGGAAGAAGAGACGAAGAGATCGTACTTATATGTGAATATTAGGTATCTATAATCATTTCAGTTGAATTGGGTGAATAATCTTCAATCTCTTCTACATCAAAATCATGCACCTCCATTACAGTCTTGCCTTCGTCAGAATTAGACGATCTCCTGCGCTGCATAAGCACAACAGCCTTTGTTTCCGAGAATTGAATCTTCCACACAGTTTTAGCAGGTTGAGTAAAGCTACGTATTAATCTGCCTTGTTTGATATCCCATAACTTAATGCGCCCATCATTACCAGCACTCAACATGCGTCGATCATCAAACTGAAGACAAGTGACTGAATTATCATGGGCTGAAATCTGTTGAATGCATTCATAGTGCTGAAGATCCCAAACACGCAAACATCCGTCTGATCCACCACTGACGAGTGTTGAACCAGAGAGTTGGAGTTGACCAACCAGAGAAGTATGGCCATGTAGAGTGGCCAAGCATTGTCCTGTTTCAGCAGACCAAACACGGATATTTGAGTCCAATGAGCCAGTAACAACTTTATGGCCATCAAAAGCGATGGCATAGATCTGAGTATAATGACCAGCCAATACATGAAGACAGCGACCTGTACGCAAGTCCCAGACGCGAGCAGTAGAATCATAAGAGCCAGATACAACAACATTGCCACTGATTTCCATACAACGGACACTAGCTTGGTGTCCAAGTAAGAGGTGAATACAGGTACCGCGTTGAATATCCCATACACGCATGGTTGTATCTCTTGAGCCAGTGACCGCAATTCGTTTATCTTTCATCTTTAGACAACGTACGGTGGAATTATGTCCACGTAGAACGTGACGTAATTCACCTGTATTTAAGTTCCAAACACGCACATCTCTAAAATCAAGCCGTCGTTAGTTTCTGCAGGTATATGGCTATGTTATTTTTTACCTATCACAGCCACCAGTAACAAGAATACGCTCTGGGTCATGCTTTTCTCCACCCTTAAACTGCAATGCCCAAACACCACCTTCGTGTCCTTCCAAAGTCCGCACTTTTTTTGCGGTGTTTGTATCAAATACTTCAATTCGATGGTTGTCACAGCCAACGACAATGTATTTTTCATCATATTGGAGTGAAGTAACCAGACCGTCACCAAAGCCGTCTTCTACTACTTTGACCTTACCACCATGTGCCCAAGCGGATGCGACGTTGTATTTGCGTTTAAAGTATTCTCTGTATGAAAAGTTTCGGCGTTGACTCGGTGGTTCTAATAGTTCTCCGCCGCATATGCTTGAATTACGTCGGCGATATTGGTGTTTCATACACAATGATTTCCAGGTAGCTTCGTCTTTGAGGAGCGAGTTCCATAAGGTAGACACAGTAGCTGCTCTGGCCAATGTCTTGGGATCATCAATAAATGTCAGGATATGAAGAGAGATTTCGATGGGTAGTTCCTTTAGAAAGTCGATTTTAAGGCGGGGAGCGATAAGGCTGTTCAAATAAGTCAGCTGAGAATTATCACAGCTGTTGATAATTTCGTACAAGAGAAACTGCTTTTGCTCAGGTGTCAGTTGTTGAAAGGACTGCTTGAGTTGTCGAAGATGAGAAAGCTGGTCCTCATCGAAGCTGAACTCTTGAAGAGAAGTTTCACAAAAACTAGTTCTTAGTCTTTGTGTGGGTCTGTTGGTTTTATTCTTGAGAGCATTTTTTAAATGTGTGGGCAGAGGAGTAGTATGCGAAGAAGACCCAAAATTAAAACTGGGTGGTGTAGCGGGAGGAGAAATATCTTCTGGTGAGCAAAGGTCCATCGTAGTTATCTGAGGAAGAAAAAAAAGAGAAAAAAACAAAAAAAAAGAGAGAAAGAGAGAAAAAAGTAGGGAAAAAAATGTGGTTTATTATGGAACAAGCCACAAGTAATATAAAACTCCTATTCCTTCTTTACCTCATTTGGAAGTCGTAAAAACCCTTATGTGTTGCTGCTGTACACATTAGATAGAGAGATGGACAGAGGAAAAGTTAAATATAGAATTTTGCATCTCCCTTTCTTGTTATTGTTTAGTAAATTTGATTATTAAAAAGAGAAATCCGCCCGTCTTTAGAAGAGGGAAAGTTACCATATTTAGAAACACAGTTAATGCGTGAAACTCATTTTCAACTCAGTACGAAAGATGAATGTTGTGCATTCCTTTACCAATCATATTGTTTGTATAGATCAAACAATTTGTTGTCATTTCTATGCTATTGAACGTAAGACAAGATGTGTCAATTGTTGTCATTTTATAAGAAATCTCTTTTCAACGCGCACTTTTTTTTTCTTTTTTGTTTAATGTGTAACATTGTTTTTTTTTAAAAAAAAAGGGGGATAAAGTAAATAATAAAATAATACAGAAAGGATAAAAAAAAAGTAAATAAAAGTATTATAGCAGCAAAAAGAAAAGAAAAAAGAATGTATATATATATACGAAAAAGAAAACAAAACTATACACAAGAATTATATATTATTAGTCCTCTTTGTCATCTTGTTTTTGCAAGACAACAGCTGTTGTTGTAAGTGGTGATGTTGTGGGTAATGGTGATTTAGCAGTATCTTCTGCTTCAGACATGATTTCGTCTTCATCAGAAGCAATATCCATAGGTTCTGTCTTCGGTTTTTCTTTTGGTGACACAGATTCTTCCATTGAACTCAATTGATCTTTTTCTTTATCATCATCCTCATCTTCATCGTCATCATCCTCATCCTCATCTTCATTGTCAGGCGTCTCTTCATTTGTATGTTCTGTTGGCTTGGATACAGAAGCTTCTGATGCCTTTTGCTCTTTCTCACGCTGTTTCTCCAACATATCTTTGTCAACAAAAGCCATAACAAAATGTCGGACATCGCTGTCATTGTCTAAAGCAAAACGGTACGTCATTTGTTCTAGTGCATGCCCAGATTCACCGTCTTGATTAACAGTACGAGAAGGGGCAGCAATTTCGCTTAATTCACGACGGAAAGGTTCTACAATAGTATTAATACATGAAAAGGAGTGTATGTCAACTTACCATTTGTGTAAATAGTACCAATGGTCTTTGAAGCAGCAATTCGAACATTGACAACAGGATCATAAGCGAGAGGAGCTAGACGAGGTAAAAAGAAAGACGCAAAGTCAGAAGCACCAATGCCTGCCTCAATCAATGCTCTACAAATCTGTGCAAATCTTGAAAGGTGCTTAGATAAACATTAATCTTATTTGTTACTTACACTAATCTTCCACGGTATTTTTCTGAACGGGCAAATTCATCAAGTCTTTCCATAACATGACTCAAGAGTGCTAGAGCGTAATTACGTTTGTTTTCTGCAATATCATCGCCATAACCTTCAGCTTGAGATAGAGAATCACCGTCTTCTTCTACTGCTTGCTTTACAACATCCAAGACAATAGGAAACACACTTACGCCTGTTTCTCTTACAGCAGCAAATTCATCATGACAAGCACGAACCACAAGAGGCAATACATGCTCTACCACACGAGAAGCGTCAAATAGCATTGAAATATCAGTCAATTGAGCTGTCAAGATATTCCTTAAATGCCAGTTTGTAACTACACCATCCCAAACTTCATTCAGAATTGGAATATACTCATTTCGAGAACTCACGGCCAAAGTACCCAAGAAGTCGGCCAAGTGCTCTAATACACCTTGCTTAACATCGTCTAGATCCATCAGATAGAGAGCAAAGATCTGCACCAGGTCACGCTCAGTCCTTTCAGGTCCAATAATGCGGGCAATGTCATGAAGTGAGTGTGCAAATGTACATCTCACTTTGATTTGATAGTCTTTGGTCAGGTTAAGGTAGGTCTCTCGCAAATGGCTATTCCAATAATCAACACCTGCTGTCAAGACAACAGCGGGGAAGTTATAAGCACAGATATAAGTACGATCTACTTCGAGTTTAAGCATTTGGTTGTTGTTGCTGTTGGTGTTGTGTCCAAGGGATAAAAAGTATTGAAGAAGAGGTTCAGGCAAATTGCCTGGTTTGCCTGTCTGTTCCCAATCAGGGGGTAGAAATTTAGACACAAGTTCACCTATAATATCAGCCATGGCACTGCGAACACTACGAGAGACATCATTTCCAAAGATTTCAATACTGCTGACAGTAAGTTCTGCTTTTGTTTCCTCGGACAAGACACCACAAATTTGAGGTAATGTTAAGACACATGAACGACGTACATGCCATATTTGATCTTTAGCAAACTGATGAAACAAGGGAAGCAATCTTTCTTCAGCTACTTGTGTATTAACCACCATAGCCATACTGCCAATAGCAGCAGCAGCTTCTTTTCGAGCATAGAATAATGGATCAGAAGCCAACTTTTCAATAATTGGCAGACACTCTTTGGTACATTTCTCAGGATCAAAAGCACCTATAATAGACGCAATCAACTATGGACAAGTTCAGTCATATAACAATATACATGATATCTTACAGAAATACAGGTGATTTTAGCTAGGCTAATTTCACCTTGATCATAATCATCTTCGGAAGCAGAGGCATGATGTACATTTAAAGACGTCTCGAAACCTGGTGTAATTGAAGATCTGCGGCGTTCGGAAGCAGGTCCATCATCAATAGAAACACGGTGGTATTCCAGTGCTTCGTCTCTTTGTGCACCTGGATCCATGTTGTTTTCCTCGTCTTGCAAACGAGGTGATTTCTTTTTGCCGTCTACAATCATCATGAGCCCTTCAATGACTCCCTTAAATATTTCGCAATCGATCACTTGTTGATACAAGTGGTTTTGATCTGCTAACGTGCGTAGTTCTGTTACTACAGACACAATCGCTTGTTGACCCAATGAAGCCACACCTGAGCTTTGATCTAACAAAAGTCTAATGATCAATGGTGCAAAACTCTTTTCTTGAGGTTTAATAGGGTCTGAAGATGAGAACATGGCGGGTACATTCTAATCTAAAGTTATTATACAATACTAAAGTAGAGATCAAACCTTGTAGAAATACAATAATGCTTGGTCAAGTTCGCTGGCGAATGTTTCTTTGACTGTGTCATCATTGTCAGCAGCCAACCTGTTCATAATAGGCAGCACATCTTCAACGGCTTCTGAAAGCGTAATTTCCTCGAGTGCTCTAGGCAATTCTTTTGCTAATAAAATCCTAATATCAAGTTATTATTGATTAACGCGGTTATGTATTCTTTACCTGTTTACCAAGGCGTCATTTTCTCTAAACCCATAGACACGTTCAATAGGTGTCATATTCTCATCTGCCAATAGTTCATCCTCCAGCTCATCTCCTATAGTTTGTTCTGTATCAAATTAACTTTATATGTCTCTTCTTAAAACACACCTTCTGCCATAGTTTTCAATAGTGAATCATTCTGAGTAGAGAAGTCAGCAAAAGGAACTACTTCAGATTCTATTGAATCTTCTCCTTCTTCTTCTTGTTGCTGTTCATCAAACACGGCGTCTTGGTGATAGTCATCATCGGGAAAATCGAAACCGAGATCTTTATGTTCATTGGGTGAGCGACACTTTTGAATACCAAACACGTCAATAAAATATGTCTATTACCAGCCATTTTTTTTTATAAAAATATTATTTCTTTTATGCAAGAGAAGAATAAAAGAAAGAAAGAGGAAGGAGAAAAAGAAGAAAAAAAAGAAAAAGTTGACCAAAAAAAGAAACCAATGCTTTGTCTTAATGCTTATTGGTTCTTTATGATTTGTGAAAAAAATTGACCCTTGAATGACAAGGTTGAATAACTGTCTATAAGTCTGTTGTTAACTATACAAATATCAAGACAATGTCCTTATAGTCTTTTCTTTGGAACTTCATTTGAATTGCTTCATAGAATTTTAATTTTCCGCTTTATTGGTCAAAAATTCATTGCAAAGACAAAGACTAAATTAGACATTACCAACCTGAATCTGATTATGGACTATGATTATTTTGCAATTCATTAACATAGATGTCTATCAATCTGTTTTTAATGCTAAAATAGAAGAAGTTACTACTGATTTAAATTCGGAATAGGTTTATGTCTTCATAGAGCTTATAGGGACTGAAGGAATTTAATAGAAGGTTTTTTTTTTAATAAAATGGCATCATCATAATTTGTTTTAGCTTCATTCATTGCAAAAGACTAAGAAGCATGCTACATAGTAATGTTAGAAAGCCATACTTCAGAATTTATGACATCCTTCAAGATTGTTTAGACTTTGGCTTTAAAGAAATGTATAAAGGAATAGGATGATTTATCAACAACTTTATTAATTGCGAGCAGCACGTCTGGCACGAACACCTTTTCTAAGTTCTTCTAGACATTGGACTGTATCTTCCCAATTAATGCAAGCATCTGTAATGGATTTTCCATAAGTCAATTTATGAGGGCCATCAGCAGGAATGTCTTGGCGTCCTTCCACTAGATTCGATTCAATCATTACACCTACAATATTGTTGCCAGTCTCGACTGGATTAGCTAATTGATCAGCAATATCCTTAGCAACTACAGGTTGACGGCGGTGATCTTTAGAAGAATTGCCATGGCTACAATCTACCATGACAACGGGGTTTAATTTGCTATTACCAAGTTCAGCAGCAGCAGCCTTGATGTGTTGAGCATCATAGTTGGGCCCTGATTTACCACCACGAAGAATGACATGACAAGACTTATTACCAGCAGTTTGAACAATAGCAGATAAACCTTGCTTGGTTACAGATAAAAAATGGTGTCCATGACTAGCAGCACCAATGGCATCAATAGCTACTCGCATACCACCATCTGTACCATTTTTGAAGCCTACAGGACAAGAAAGACCGGACGCTAATTCTCTATGTACTTGGGACTCGGTTGTACGAGCACCAATAGCACCCCAAGAGACAAGATCACCTGTGTATTGAGGAGAAATGGTATCTAAAAACTCACAAGCTGCGGGAATACCCATTTCGTTCTTTAAAGAGCATGAGTAAATAGTTTCTTATTTATGACTACTTACTAGATCAAGTAATAACTTTCTTGCAATGCGAAGACCCTTGTTGATTTGATAGCTGTCAAAAAAAATTTTTTTCTTGTTAGGATTGAATGAGTTAAACTAATGATTTCCTTACGTGTTATTCAAATTAGGGTCATTAATAAGGCCTTTCCAACCAACAGTTGTTCTAGGTTTTTCGAAATAGACACGCATAATAATGTGCAAATCTTCTTTAGCAGATTTAGCATATTCAATCAATTTTTCAGCTGTTGAAAAAAGGTTAGACCAAACTTTTAACTACATGAATGGCTTACCATATTCTAAACCGGCCTTGACATCATGAATAGAACAAGGACCAACCACGACTAAGAGACGGTCATCTTTACCATGAATGATATCTTCTGCGCCTTGTCTTCCTTCCAAGATAGTTTCAGCAGCTTTCAAATTTAAAGGAAGGTCTTCCATAAGAATTTGAGGGGGAATAAGAGGTTTGATATTAGTGATACGCTTGTCATCAAGTTCGTTTAAAGCAGAAAAAGCAGACATTTTTTTTAATAAAGATCAATTCGAAAGAAAATACAACATGCACCAATGTAAAAAAAAAATTGACATTTATTTGACACATGCTGGTTGGAATTTAGCGTATGAGTTGCATTGAGTCATATGTAAGTGACTGTTTCAAAGAAAGACAAAGAAAGACAAAGAAAGACAAAGAAAGACAAAGGCATTGGATATACAACTATACTTATAGTATTCTTTATCCTTTATGTATTCTCAACAACTACCATCCAATTAATTGATTACTCAAGAAGACTCTTTTCTTTTTAGTTTTTAAAATGATTTTTTAGTATTAGAAGCAGGCTTTATCCCCTTATGAGCGATGACTTTGAGTTTAAATACTATCGTCATGTATCAATTCTACCATTTATTAAATTTTTTTGCATAAAAATCAAGCCACAAAGATAACTTTGTGTGCTCAATAATAGACTGTGATTCAAAAAAATCCCTTGATATTCAGAGCTGTATTTTTTTTTTTTTTTGAGTTTACTGAGTTTCTCAAATACCTTTGTCTTGATTAGGCAGATATTTTTCTGTATCATTTTTCAACATTATCATACAATTGTTTCGAGGGAATTTAGAAATGCAATTCAAACAAATTATTCATACATTTATAATGGAAACTCAACAAAGCACTTTCTTATCTGGGCGTACAAACTCAAATGTTTCTTCCCGCCACTTTATAATTATTGTTTTCCTATCCGAGAAAAAAGAAACCTGAAACCTAGAAGTCACCTTGTAAAATAAGTGAAAGCAGCGCCTTGAAGATACCCCCAGTTCCATTGTGTCTTGTACCATTCTTTTGTTTGTAACAATACTTAAATTCTGCTCTCCGTTCTGTACGCGTATGTAACGTTTGACATCAGAGTTTTCCAAACCTACAGCTGCAATTACACTCTATATCACTGGAGATAATAATTTTTTATCCGAGTATCTTTACGAAAAAAAAAAAAGGTCATTCATTCTAATTTTTTTCCCTCTCTTTTTTCCCTCTCCTATTTCTTTACCCACTTCTTCTTTTTTTCTCATGAGTTTAATAGACGATGACACTACTTTCATAGACTCAACTCAACCTATTCAGCCTGTACAAGTTTCTTTATCCGACGCTGCTAAAAGTCGATCGGGGAGACTTATTCCACCAGACGTTCTCCTCAGGATATTTAAGTATTTGCCTGTGGCTTCCTTGACTAAAATAGCACTTGTGTCAAGAAGGTTTAAAGTATTGGCTTACGATGATGAAATATGGGACGAAAAATTGAATATTATGCTAAAAAACGATACAGGTGCACTTGCAGCCATGTTAGGTAGTGTATAACACAAAAAAAAAAAAAAAAAAAAAAAAAAGATAATAACAGTCAAGACTAGATGGTGAAAGCACAAAAGGATCCTTGATTGATTCAGAAAATACAATTTATATTAATAGCAAACCCCTTAATACTTTGATACCCGGCATGTCTACCGACCCTTACCAGGCTCGAGCAAGAGCTAAATCCACTGGTCTCTCCAGAGAGTATTTTAAGCAGTTATATACACAGTTGATGCCATATTATATCGATTTAAGAGATGGAAATAAAGAGTCAACAAAAGTATTACATGATTTCGGTGGAAATCCGGAAGAATGTGGTAAAGTAATCAACTTATTGGTTGGTTTAGGACAATGTCATGTTGTAGACGATTGGGAAAAGGTAAGCACTAAGAAAATAGGAAATGTGTTACTGACCGTTTTTTAAGATAAATGAAGGTGTAAATGCACTCTCCCAATATTTTGAAAGTGCTTCCCTTCACGAATTTGAGGTTGCTTATGATGCTCATAATACAGAAGAAATGAAAGTAGGTATTATCATGCTGGAAAAGAAGGAGAGGATAGTTGACATTGACACGGTATAGTCTTATGCAAGTGCTCTTATTGCTTTAAATGGTGGCTCAACTTGTATGCAAACATATGTACAAAAACATCCCATCTTTTATGACAATCCTTTTAAACCTGAAGATAACTTTGCGTAAGTCATAAACAGAGAAAAATAAAACTTATGTAGGGTAGGATATCAAACGACGATTTAACGCCCTTCAAGAAATTCATGATGCTTGTGGCTGATGAACTCAGTCAACAATCTTCTATTGTATTACAAGTATTTCCAGAGAAAATGGACGCATTTTATATGTTTGTTGACCGTGTGTTTGAAGATGTGGTAAGCATTAAAGATGCATATGTATATGATTTCTCATTCATGATTAGATTGCAGAATTCGTTTCTCAGCTACTAGGCATTGCCATGCAAACAAATGCACATCTATATCTTCGCACCATGTCTGCCGTCTTAACTGCAACAGAGAAAGTAATCAAAGTATTAACAAGTGAAGATTTACCAAAACCTATTGAGCGTGATCGGGGAGTTAACTTATTGTTCAAACTCTTTTTACCATTTTTGGATGATTATTTATATGAAGAAGCCCAATATGCAGAAAAGATTACTAAAAAATACATTGAAGAATGGGTAAGATGCCTTCAAGATATACAGGAAATACTAATCATTACAAAAGAGTAATCGCTCAGCATTTAATACAGACATCTCAGCACGTCTCACAAACCAGTCTCGTGAGACATTCAAAAGGTGAGTTTCTATTCTGCCTAAAAAAAAGACTAATTTGGCCCCCTTTCACAAAAAGAAATTATTTGACTGCATTTAAAAAAGTATTGACTTTACCTGTCGATCTTGTCTCTACAGCTGCAACTACAATTGCTTCTCCATTTCAAAGAGCAAGTATTATTTCAGGAGCAAGCAAATCATCGGGAGACAAACGTAGTTCAATCACATCTGTAGAATCTATATCCACATCACAAACAACACCTCCTTCTACACCGAAAGCTACATCCATGAATAGAATCTCCTCTTCATCTACTATTTCTACAGAGCAGCCCAGGTCTTCTTTTAGTAGAGATGTTACTGGACAACTTGAATTTGCACGTCAAGAGTTGGATATGCTTCAGAATTATTTGTCGCTCGAGACATCTTTACAAATCATCCATATCAATAAGGAATCTGAAGGACGCGTACAACAATTCATTGATATTGGATTTCCTGGTAGAATGAAATCAGACATGTAAGCACACGCCGTTCATGATTTAGTGTTCATTCTTTCTTCATAGTCAGAGGACATATGAACAAATCTTTATTCAACTATTAAAGACACTTGGAAGTACACATATTCAACCTGGATTTAAAAGGTATAAAGTAACAGAAGGGACCCTTATTCATCATCCAATAGTGCTTCAGATCGATTATCATCTTTTAAACCTAGCTTGGATCAGATGAATGAGGATGTACCACCTTTGACTGCCTTTTTCGAACTTGTTCATGTAGCTGATGTTATCCAACAAATGATTCAACTCTATTACGATGAAGAAATTGTAAGCAGAAAATGCGTGTAGGAATAAATCCCACTAATGCCTCTATTTAGACAAAAAATGTAGACAAACATGACTTTATGAATGAAGTAAACAAGGAGAAGAAATCATTTGAAAGATTGTTGGATGATTGTGTGGCACAAGGAATGGATCGAGGCATTCAAGTGTTATTATCGCAGGTAGAATTTATTCTTGTCAACGAGCAAAAGAAAGAAGACTACAACCCTCCTGCTGGTTCAATGCCTGACCTTAAACCTACAAAGGTAAAATAGGTTACTTGTGCTACATAACCTGTTTCTTACTCTTTTACAAAAGGCATGTCAAGACACCATCAACTGTTTAAAGACAAATACATCCATGCTGGTAGGAGCAGCAGAAAAAGGTACGATGGATTTATTCTTTAGTGAAATTGGTCGACGATTCTTTGAGTAAGTCAACAACTGGTTTTCGTTTCTCATCCTAAATTGCCCGTGTAGAATTCTCTGTAAACACTTGAAGATGCAGACTGTGAATGAAATGGGAGGATTCCGGTACATCAGGTAAACAAGAAAGAAGGAAAAAGCCAAGATGCACTAACGATTTGAGCAGTGACATGAACGCTTATTATGATTTCATATTGACACTTCGACAAAAAACGATTACACCATACTTTTTAGCTCTAAAATCACTAGCAAATCTGTATATCATTGAGTCAGCAACAGATATCAAATCTCTCATTCATGATTTGGAGCGATACCATGGGTTAATGAGAGTAGAAGATCTATTCGAATTTGCTGCATGTCGAAGTGATTGGCCAGCAATCAAGCGTGTTGTTCAAAAGGACATGACAGACTGTTGTATTATGTAATGCTTACCTTGCATATTTACCTCTCCCCTTTCTTTTGAACATGAATTAAATATCGCTTTGTAAAGACAACATACATGAATGTGTATATATATATATACATATATTTATTAACGAATACTTTGGTATATGTTTTTTTAGACCTTTTTTTTTGTTTGTAAAGTGTGCAACGTTGGGTTTAGATTTAGCGGGGAAAAAAGGAACAGAATTGTTGGGGAGAATGATACGAGGGGGACAAGGAAAACGGAAGAGGTTCTATTAAATATTTCTATTCTAGTTGGTACCGAAAAATGCACGGAAATAATCGCCTAGACAATATAATAAGTATCGTAGTTTTTATAATCAAATTGACTTACCAAGTGCAACCATACAAAGCGTTTGCCACATTCCCAAGCCAATACGAGGTAAAGCACCACGATAGAATCCCTTCACACCATTATTTTGATAAATCCATCGTGTAGCAGTGGCAATTGACATTTTATCAGGGCGACCAGGTGTCTTTACTTGACTTTGCATTTCAACACGAATGACTTCAATAGGTTGGTTCCAACATGATAATGCACCACCAATAATAGATGCAAGGGCTTTATCAATAGCAGTTGCTTTTGTATGTGCGTCAGGTGCGCTTCCGTAACGAGTTTTAATAATAGACTCTTGTGCGAAACGTGTGATACCGAACCGAGAAGCCCAATTGGTACATTGACGAAGAGCTACTGCATTCACACCCTTATTTATACCGGCAATACCTTCTTTTTTGAAAATGTCTGCAGCAATCTTAAATGTAGACTCTTTGGTAGCTAAGAAGAAATAGGACAATGAGCCTCGTTTCCTTCAAACTCTCTTTATAAAAAGTTACCTGACTTATGACGTGTGACCTCAACGGTTTTCATAAAAGTACAAAAGCCCATCGTTGTATAAGCTTGGGCAATACCACCAGCCATACCACCGGCAATGCCTCCCTAAAAAACGAGTATATCAGTATACACAAACAAACCCGATAAAGATAAAACTTACGAGAAAAGGAGAAGCACCTGCAGCTCTTGCATGATATTCGAATTCGGAAGCAGTAAATAATAATACAGCACCTTTAGTCGAAGCTTCAATCCAGGCCCAGGGAATCAGACCTTGATAGAAACCAAACACGCCACCTCTACCATAGATATTCGAGAGTGCAACTTTGATTGACTGACCACGGTTAGCAGCTAATTGTGTTTTGATCACTTCGAAAGGTTGACCGAGTGTTGAGACCTCAAACAAGTTTAAGGCTAATAATAAGCATATTAGAATCAAAACTCAGCAATATCGATGATGACTTACATGCGCCCAATAATAAGTTCTTGTAAGAGACAGGCTTCTTTTTTAAAGGTGCGTTAGGATCAACAGGAGTAGAGTCAATAGGTGCCATAATAAACAATGAAAGAGAGATGTGTGAAAGTAAGAAAGAAAAGAAAAGTAAAAGAAAAAAAGGCCAAGTCAACTTTATTTATACTATTCATTGTACGTGTGTGTATGTTTGTATGTACGCATTGTGACCGTATCTAAATTATCAAGACCGCGGCCAACTTACCAAACTGGGAAAAGGATCCGCATAAATCCAGCTACAGATCCTTTGTTTTCCTCCCCAGGACACCCAAAAGATATATCTTATGCCCCAAGTATAGATGTTTAGTTTTATTGGCTATTAAAATATTAATCATAATAATAGAAGCGATGTTGCTGCTCTGATCTCCATTGCTGCCAGTGCTGGGGAAAAGGATGGGAAGGATGGTAGTAATATCTTGCTTTGCGAGGATTATTGTTATAATAGTAGTAATAATGTGGTGGATAAATATGCTGCAGGTAATCTTCATTGCTATTATTTTCGATTCGATATAGAGGAAAATGTGGCATGATATAACAGTCTTCTTCGTTCTCTTCCTCTTCTTCATCATCATCTTCATCGTCTGTAGGCCATGAAGAACGAGTAGACAAGGTTCGATAAGAATTATGGCGCAATGGTATATTTGTATTAGATCGAAGTTGATTGATTTGAACTTGATTTTCTTGAATGATTTTCTTCATTTGTTCTTCGCGTTCAGCATAATCTTGAAACTTTTGATGCCAAACTTCCCTTTCATGCTCAAACTCCAAGATTTTCTGATGCAGTCGCTCTAATTCTGCATTGTCTAGTGACAATTCAGCGGTACATTGTTCTGTGGTGTGTATACCTAATTCAACCAGTGTTTTATCTTCTCGGCTGGTTTCTAGTAGTACAATAGATTGACTGTCTGATGCAGATGATGGTGTATTTGGAGTTGCGTTATTTCGTATGATAAGTCGGTATTGCGGAGAGGTTTTTTCTTCAGACTTTGACTGAGTTTGGCCTGAAGGCGAAGGTGAATTGTTCTTGACAGATGTAACTGGGTAACCTATAATATCCAAAAGATCTGAAGGTGATTTGACTCTTGAAGATAATGGAGAAAAGTGGCGTGTTAAAATTGCTGCGGAGGCAGGGTCCATGCTAATTCTGGACATAGTGTGGCGTGTGCCTGAATCTTGATGTTTTCGTTTCGAACTAAATATCTTTTTAAGCATTGAAAATCAAAGAGAAAAAAAGAAAAAAAGAGAGTGAAATGATCGATATCCTTATTTGAATCAACAGCAAAACAAATCATATAACATGACGTCGACTCGAGTTTGACCGAAGTGAATATCATATGATTCTCTTTCTTCTTGGTTACTGATAAGTTTTTTTTAAAAAAAGAAATATATTTTACACAAATTACAAATTAAAAAAGGACTATAAACATAACCGATGATTCTTTAGAAAAGATGAGCGATTTCGAACTCTAAACCTCCATCTTTTAACAGATGATGTTGAAGAGGTGTTCATAGAGTCATGCTCTTGCTCTTGTTGCTGTTGAATAGGTGTAGTAATTGATGATCGTCTTGCCAATGATGTATGATTAAAGTAAGATCTATTACGAGCTGTTAAAACATGATCCGGGATGTCTAGTTCTGGCTTTGGTAGTCGAAAGACTGATTCTATATCTGGTTGACTACAAGACAAAGTGGTTGAAAACATGGCATAAACTCTATCAGATTCATCTGACCAATGTGCCGAACATAACCGGTATTCTAAAGGAATCCATATATCATTTCGCTCAATCCATCTTCCCCTTGCTACATATGACTCAAAGTAAGGACCATGGCAATGGCTACATGCTTTTGAACTACAGAGATAGTCGTAGAGTGGTTCAGACAATAGTGATTTCAGTTTGAGTGCTATAGTGGGATCCTTTTTCTTTTTTTTAGAGATGGTTGCAAATGATGTGAGAAAAATATGTTCATTTCTGACAATTTGCCTGGCACATGTTTCTAATAAGCTGGGTGGATTATGCACTAATTCTGTAGGCTGATCAAGTGAATGTCGAAAGAGACAGCCGTCTACCCGAAGCCGGCGTAAAAACGGTAGGTGTGTTATTTCAGCAGGTAGAACAGTTAGTGGGTTGTAGGAAAGATCAAGAGAAGCTAGGCCTTGAAGACCTTTGATTGAACAAGTGAATCTTCTAAGATGATTATGGCTCAAGTTTAGTGTTTGCAAGCTCTTGAGATGGCGGACAAATGGCGTAAGATGGCTGATTTGGTTGTGCGCCAAATTGAGTTCCTTAAGCTGTGTAAGATGGCAAATAGTATCAGGTATAGAGGTGATATGATTATGAGAAACCGACAAGACTTCCAATTGATGCAAATAGCCAATGGCGTCAGGTATTTCCTGTAATAAATTGTGTGATCTATTTTTGTTAACGAGATTCTCCTTAACCTATGTTGCCACTTACAGATCTAATTTCCTTATCATTGGTAATAAACCGACATTAGGGCTTACCAATCCCAATCCTCTTTTTGTGAGCTCAACATCCTGCATGTTTGAAAGGTTCATAGTAAACACATCTTGAAAGGTAATGGCACTACCTAGTTGAAGAGTGTCCTTTCTTAAACAATGCTGTAATAGGTTGGAGGGTTCTTTTTGTTGATAGTATGTTTGATCGACATAAATTAAATCTTTCCATAATCGACTCTTTTTTCCAGACAACAAAAATAACCCTGAATCCGTTCTATTTTCTTGCTCCATTTTGTCTATAGACATGGATGAATTGGTACCTTCGAGACCATAGAGAAACGATTTGAATAAAAGATTGTCCTCTACCATAATCTCTCGATCTTGTTTCATGTACACTGATAATGGTTGAGCTAAAGCAATATACCCAAAGATGGTTGATCCTTTATTCTCGTCATAACCATGGCTAGCATTCTGTCCCATATTAAGATGAGAGAGTAGAGAGGGAGAAAAAGAGAAAGAAAGAAAAAGAGAAAAAGAGAAAAAGAAAAGAAAAGAAATGAGAAAGAAATAATATATATATATATATGTATGTATGTACGAGTGTATGCACGAGCAAAACTAAAAAGGAGGTACATTTAAACTCTATACGAGAATATATTTGTCTATGTGTGTATATGCACTTTTCTACTGATGTCTGTATATGTATTTTATCCATTTTTATTGTAGTTTAAAACATGAGAGAAACAAGAAAAGTGAATGAGAAGTGGCTCTTGTATGTACAATATGGCTTTGTAGTCTACTAAGCTGCTGGGTTGACAATCACATTGATTTCAGCAGTTTCTTGTCCAATTTGGACAGAAATTTGATGCTTTCCCAAAGACTTAATACGACCGCCTTCGGACTTGAACTCAATGGTTGACTTGTCGACTTCCAAACCGTATTCCTCCCTTAGTTTGCTAATCAAATCATCAGCCGTGACTGATCCGAAGGTGTGATCACTGTTCGGCACGACTGCTCTGTTAAATGAAAGTTCTCGGACGCCTTCTAAATGGCCCAACAACTGCTTCTTTTTCTGCTCTGACTCTTGTGCGAGTTCCTGATCCCATCTAATGTTTAGTCCACTGACTATTATATTTGTATATATATTTACCTGTAATCTTTGAGCATCCAAAGAAGCTTCCTTAGTGGCTTCCAAAATACCATTTTCTGAATTATTGGCTTGCTTCTTGTCGACATAAGAAGCTTTACCCGAAGGATACAAGATGTTACGCATCAATCCAGCTATATATAAAAAAAGAACCCCATTAAACATTCAAATCAAAACCGAGAATAATAAGCATGTTTTCTACATACGTCTAACAGCAATAATTTCTCCTATAGGTCAAATCGTTAGTGTATGTCCAATTTATTATTCTCCATGTTACCTTGGATACCGAGACCATCGACAAACTCGTTCAATTTGACTTGAATATTAGCCTTTTTGTGAGCTTGTCTCTAAGTAACACTAGTTAGCAACCATATTTGCATTTTTTTATTTCTTCATTACTTTAATGATTTGAGCTGTATTTGAGATAACTACTCTTGAGGAAGGACGTAACAAGAACGACATAGTGATTCCAAGGGGATGTCAAAATACGAAAAGAAAAAAAGACGGGACAACTAGGGCCCACAGCAAAGGAAGTCTCATTTGACTTTAGCCTCCGATCTTTTTTTTTTTTTCAATTTTAAGTTTATCTTTGACTCCTTTTTTCGAGCTTGACCCTTATTGTGCTTATTTTGAATAAAAAAAAATTCGAGTGCAAATGATAAAGAGAGCAGTTCAAGCATTGAGAAATATCTCATGTACATGTTTGGCATTCCTTTTGAGAAAATATAATGGATTCTATTTTTTTTTAGTTTAAATTATTGTCAATAGGCACACAATTAATATGTCATCAAGGAGCAAGTTTCCCTCTCTTTTTATTAAGAACTTGGTTTATAAATGTATCTAAATACAGAAGCTATTCTAATGACAGTTACGAGCTGTCATCATGCAACAAAGAAGCGGGAATCAAAGTAGATGCATAAAAACCAGCAACTCTATTGTTTAATCATACAATATGTTCTTTTTCTAAAAGAAAAGCTCAGTATCATAAGGGCATTGTGATCTTTACTTTTTTCTTTTATTCAATGGGTTTGTCAAAGTAATTAAGGTGTTGAAACTTTAGACATTCATTACCCCAACTGATCCATCCAGGACTCAGATGTCGAGCAAATAACTCTAAACATACGGGGTCTTTTTTGTTTATATAAGGGAGTAATGCATCTTCATAAAAATATTAATCAAACGAAAGAAAGTCAGCAATAGATTACTGTGCTTACCTTCAAGAGGAGGCTTTCTTGAATGTCTTACACTGGGCACACTGATAATAGTATGGGATCTTGGTAAAGACTTGCGTGTGTTCATATCAGGATGCCTCATAGGTCTACCTATTATCAATTGCTCATAGGGCTTTTTATGTTCAGAATCAATAGGAAATATACATTCGCCTTGTGTTGTTGTCTTTAACCAGATCCATTCACCGACACATTCTAGTTTCCATGTAGGAAACAATTTGTTGATAATAAAATTATGAAATTTTGGTTTGTTTGTGACCCAAATGGCTACAATACAATCGTTTTCTGCCATTAGTTTTGGCATTTGAATAGAGTATAAATCATATATGTCTTGGGTATCATAATGAGACGATCGCTTTACTATTCACAAAGATTAACCAATGAAGCGCAGATCTTTACCTTACTTGCCACTTTTGTTTGGCCATGGAGGGTCCATGATAATAAGATCAGCACCTCCAATGCTCTGAACTTGAGCTGCATGTGAGTCAACTTTAAAAAAAAAAGTCAAACTTACCATATGTACCTAATTGATTTAAACTACTTGTCATTGAACCCATTAAGTATGTGGATTTTGGAGGTATCAAATAAACAGCAGCTGGTGTGATTTGCAACAACTTGACTTCATTCATAGATTTGTTTATACAAATTAAATCAAATACAGAGAACAAATCGAGGTCTTTTGTCACATCACAGGTAAATTCAAATGAACGTACTTCCTGTTCTTGCTCTTGATAACTAAATTTTTGGTGTGCCATTTCTACCATATGTTGAATACTTGGAAAATCAATCGTATCATTCTCTGTGTTGCTGATACATGGCACTTTTTTCTCTTTCAAGTGAATAGGCCAGCTATTGAGAAGCTCTTGAAGGCATTTTAGCAACGTATCTCTTAGCTCTTTATGTCTCTTTTCTGTCTCAATCTCTGTCTCACTTGGTTCTTTGCTTATTTTGTTCTTTTTTCTCTTTTTTGTCTGTGGCCCTTCTTTTTCAGCACGGTCTTGTTTTGAGTAAAAGTATGGTTTACACACATCAAACTCTCCTTTAATGAGTTGATAAGGTTCTATATTTCTCGAAAAATACTTTTCTGAGTCTATAAAATCAAACATAAAGCAAAAGAAAAGAGAGAAAAAAAAACTCTCGCTTAACCCTATTGGATTCATACTTGACATCATTGGTTGTTTAATAATAGTTTCACAGAATGTAATCGACTTTCTCTCTCTTTTCTTTTTTTTTTAGTTTTACAGAAAATCATGGGCTTATTTTCTTGGTTTAGCAAGACAATAGACAATGATGTGGAAGGTTTGGACCATGCTATTCCCGAGAAAACAGCCTGTTACCATATTGTAAATAAAAAAAATATTATTGATAAAAAGTTAACAAGATTTATAGGAAGGCTTCTTAACTTGCTCATATTTCTCTAATGCAGTCAGAGTAGGCGACATGTTGACGAATAAATATCCTCATATTAAAGTGGATGTAAGTGCATACATAAAGCAACAATGGGCCGAGCGCTCTCGAGAACTACAACAGGTAAGTAGAAATGAATAAGAATTTATATTGATTGAATGATAAGGAGTTCAATACAAGTCACAGAACATCACCTTTTATTTATGAAGGATGCGATTTAAACAACCAAAAACTGATAGGAGGCTATGCAGATTTTGCAAAAAGAGTCAAAGAGACATACAAAATAAGTGTACCTATGGACTGATGTTATTGTACAAAGAAAAAAAGGAGGAGGCAGGCCTCTCAATGTACCTGAACACCTCTTTCTAATAAAGTTAGTCATTGGAACTGTCTTTCAAACCTTTAACAAAAAATTTTTATAAGCCACAAAACATAACTATTTAATGAGCAACAAGGAGCGTGAAAAAAAAAAACTTTTTTTTTATAAGTTTTCATGTTTTGTTTGTGATCTAGTTGGTAAGTTATTATTATTCTTTTTTTTTTCTATCGAAGTTTTGGATTGTCTTTAAAGTGTACGAAGGATGTATAACATTTTCCGTCTTAATCATACGTGTTGATTTAAAAAAAAAAACTGATTTAATGAGCCTGACGTGCACAAAGAAAGCAATCTATTAAGCTTATAGTTCTTTTTTTATATAGCTCTTTGTTATATAGTTTACTAATAGATTCCCTTTTTTTAGGTCTGCTGGATGGCTAGACACATTCTTGTAAATAAACTGTCAATGTTTATGGCAACTTGTATCCTTTGCTTTGCTTTGCTTGAGTAATTGTGTGCCATTAATATTGATAGTTGTTGATTTGAAGGGAAATCCTTCTTGAGTGAACAAGCATAAAATAATATTCATTTTAAATAGTAATAAAAAAAATAGATTCTAAAATATATAACATTGTCTTTATCTTTGAAAAACTTGTCCCATTTTAACTTTAAGAAAATTCGTTCTTTTGACTCTAAGAAACTTTGTACTTGAAACTACTGAAATGAGTGACAGAAGTAGGCAGCTGATCGTGAGATAATTGTATTTCCTTTTTCTGAAATGTATTTAAGCTGGATCGTGTTTACGTTTCCTTTTTCTTTTTCTTTACTTTACGTTATGCTATCTACATTCATATCTAAACCTACGCAACAGCGTATATTCATATCTTCATCCAAACGCTATTATGCCACCAATACCATTGGTATCCGACGTGAAGATAAAAGCCGGTGGGAGCGTAGATCCGCTTTAACACCAGACACAATAAAGAAATTGATCAAGGAAACAGGTACACAAGTATATGTTCAACCCAGTACAAAGCGTATCTTTACAAACGAGTCTTTTGAAAAGGTAAACAAATCATTGTTTATTTGGTCCCTGACAAAAACATGTAGGTAGGAGCCATTATCACTGAGGACCTTTCAAGGGCAGACATTATACTTGGTATTAAAGAAGTACCTGAAACTTCCTTGATTGGAGACAAGACATATATCTTCTTTTCGCATACTCACAAGGGCAATGTAAAGAATATGCCTATGCTTCAAGCCATTCTTGACAAGGTAAATGTTTTTTCTCACAACGTCGTGGGAAACCTGCGCTAATTTGGGCATTTAGAACATCCGTCTTTTAGATTATGAGCTCATGAAGGATGAAACAGGAAAACGATTGGTAGCTTTTGGTAAATTTGCAGGAAACGCCGGTAAGGAAATATAGAAAAAGGAGGGGCTGTTTATTCATACTATGTTGAACAGGCATGATTGATACCTTCCATGGTATGGGCCATCGATTCCTTGGGTTAGGCTATAGTACACCTTTTATGGTATAGTATATATATATATATATACATCTCTTATATGTGTATTCATAACTTTATAGTATACTTCAATGGCACATGCTTATCCAACTCTCAAAGAAGCTAAAGCTGCTTTACATCGAATGGGAGATGCTATTACAGAGCAAGGAACACCTAAAGACTTTGGCCCTCTAGTTTATGCCTTTACAGGATCAGGCAATGTTGCTCAGGTAATGTAGTGAATATGTTTATGTCCATCGCTTATAAAATGATTTAGGGTGCTATGGAAATATTTAAACAAGTTCCTCATGAATTTGTACCTCCAGATGATCTTGCCAAACTAGTCAATGACAAGAGTGAGCTTATAGCAAGTCTTGTGTGTATACTCATTCTTACTTCATAATAGATCCAAGATTAGACAGGCTGTATGCGACTCAATTAGATGTCAAGGACTATATTGAACACAGAGACGGAAAGACACTGGTGCATTATGATGATTATATCACCCATCCAGATAACTATCTATCTAATTTCCATCAAAAGGTAAGACCTTATCTATCTTGACATTCATTTTTTCAACCTATTTTTTTTTTATAGGTTGCACCTTATGTCAATTGTGTTGTCACTGGCGCTTATTGGGATAACAGATACCCACGCTTATTGACAAATCAGCAATTGAAAGAAATTGAAAAACAAAAGCAAAACGGCTTGATTAAGAAGGGCAAAATGATGACTTTGTCTGATATTGTGTGCGACATTAGGGTACTAAAAAATAAAATTAAAATATGCATATTTCTCATGTTTATGTAGGGTGCATTCGAATGCTTATCACATAGTACAAATGTCGATAATGGATTTTTTTATTACGACGCGATAAACGATAAGGAACACGATAAGTAAGTAATCCTGAATAGATTCTATAAGCTCAATTTTGCGTACAGTGCTGAAGGAGAAGGAATTCAAATCATGGGTATTGATATTTTACCTGCTGAACTTCCCGTTGAAAGCAGTGAACATTTTAGTCAAGCCCTCTATCCCTTTATCAAGGAAATGGTTCACAACTCTTCTAATCCACCACTTGATCACCTATCGCCTCTCTTGCGTAACGCGGTAATTGCTGACAAAGGAAATTTGACAAGCCCACATCAAAGTTTAAAGGAATTGTTGCCTTCTTCTTCAAAAATTACTAAAAATGGCAGCGATAAAAAAACGGTCTTGTTATTGGGTTCGGGCATGGTTGCAGGCCCATTGGTGGAACATTTAGCTAAGCGTAACAATGTCAACATCGTAGTTGGTAAATGAGTGGACGCTAATGCAAGTAAGACAAACTAACTCTTCTTATTAGCAAGCAATGTGGTTCAAGAAGCCAAAGCATTGGTCGCTGGTCATGCTAATGCGGAATCTGTTCCTCTAGATATCTCGAATTATACTGCTTTGACTAACCTTGTAAGCAAAGCCGATGTCGTAGTAAGGTACCGTGTGTGTGTGTGTGTGTGTGTGTAAGAATTCACAAGTACACAAAACTAACAAACACATATAGTCTCGTGCCTGCATTTTTGCATACACAAGTTGCCAATGTCTGTATAGAACAAAGAAAAGACATGGTAACTGCAAGTTATGTATCAAACGAAATGCAAGAGCTCGAATCAAGAGCACAAAAAGCTGGTATTTTGATTATGAATGAAGTTGGTTTAGATCCTGGTATTGACCATATGTCTGCTATGAAGATTATTGATGAAGCTAAAAAGAATGGAGCCAAGGTTTGTTGATCAAGACTTGTGTAAGTTCTTATATTTGTTTTTTTTTGTGTGTGTATAGATTCGTTCCTTCATTTCTTGGTGCGGCGGTCTTCCTGCCCCTGAGGCTTCAAATGTACCACTTGGATACAAGTTTAGTTGGTCTCCACGCGGCGTGTTGACAGCCAGTGGGAACGATGCTCTTTACTGGGCAAATGGAAAGGTAAATAAAGTCAAGCAACGCGTATCTAAAAAATTGCAGGAGCATACAATTTCTGGTAACAACTTGCTTAAAGAGCATTTCCCTGTTGTACAAACTCCTTATGCTGGATTTGTATTTGAGGGATTGGCCAATCGAAATTCCTTGGGATATGCAGATATTTATGGTCTTGGAGAATTATCGAATATGGACACCATGTTCCGTGGTACACTTAGATATCAGGTAAAAGGGAAAAAGAGAGAGAGGATCGTATGTTTATTGTTATAAATAGGGTTATTCCGATCTTTTGTATGCTTTCCGCAAATTGGGCTTCTTAGAACAATCAAAGTCTATAGCTGATTCATGCAAGACTTGGGCAAGTATACGACATAAATACCAATGGACAACTTCTTACTCGTTATTTTAGTCCAATTATTTTGATCTAGTGCTATCAGGCAACACAGCACCCTTGTCTACAGAAGAAAAGTATCAGTGCATGATAGATAAGTTGGGCCTATCCAAGGATCACCCTATGACTGAAAAGACTTGGTCTGCTATTGATTATTTACTTTCCTCTGATGATGGAAAACTAAGCTCGTTGAATGGAAACTCTGCTTTAGATCTCTTTTCTACTCTTTTGGCAAGAAAGCTCAAATACGAACAAGGAGAAAAAGATATGGTAGCTATGCATCATGAATTCGGTATTGAACACCGTTCTGGTAAAAAGGTAAATAATGATTATTTTTGGTTTAATCGTACTCATGCAACCTGTACAGGAAACACTTACTTCTACATTAATCAAATACGGTAATGAGAAGCATACAGCCATGGCTGATACAGTGGGACTACCTACTGCTATGGCTGTAGAATTAGTACTAGACCAAAAGATACCTGAAAGAGGTGTCTTGCGACCTACACAGCCTCATGTTTATCTTCCTATTCTTGAGCAACTTGAATACAAGGGTATTCAATTTGTTGAGAAATCTCAACCTTATCAATTTAATCGTTTAGAAGCAACGGGTTCAAATACGTGGTAAACATGAGTTATTATTAGGATAGTAAACGATATATCATTGAACTCCTTATTATATATATATATATATATTTTTTACTATTGCTTTTTAATTTTTTTTTTTGTCCTTTTTTTTTCTTTTTATATAGATAATCATGTCTATTTGAAATATGAATATTTTCATTCTATCTATATCTCTTCTAGCTGCTGTCAATGCAATGTCAGGCGGAAGAGCTGTGACATCTTCTGAACAATTCCCGTTCTTTGTTACACTAACAACTCCCATTTTATGTGGAGGTACAATCATTTCACTAGACCCGGCATGGATCATAACCGCTGCACATTGCATTGAAGATAGTACCAGTGGTTCTTTGATTGGATATGGTAGCCGAGAATTCTCGAAACAGACGTATGCGACCATCAAACAGATTGTTTTACACCCACTGTATGTCTCAAACAAGCAATTGGAAACACAAGTCTATGCGTCTAACAGGACAGATATTGTTCCTTATGATATTGGACTCTTACAGCTCACTAAACCACTACCTCAGAATGAATACACTGACCGTATTCCGCTTCTTGCAGACCAGGAAATAGCGACACTCGAAACAATGGGTATGGGTTACACGGGTTACCAACAACCTCATGCCGATCTTTTGCAATACACCGAGTGTAATTCATCCCGAACGGGTGTTCTCCATGACGATAACTTTAATCACAGTATAATTCTGACTCATTCTGAAGCAAATCTTTGTCATGGTGATTCTGGTGAGTAGATGATGCTCTATTTATTTGCTAATGTATATGCAGGTAGTCCATTGGTCACTAAACTATACGGAAGCAATTCATATTATTTTGCAGGCATTTTGAATCGTATCTTGAATGCATATGATCCTGATCCCAATCAAGTTTCATGCCCTTTTCATCAAAGTGAATCTACTCTTTTTGTCAATGCTTTTGTTAAGCCTTATGTACATATAAAATGGATCATGAACAGCACTCAGCTTTCTAAAGAAGCGCTGCTTAATAATGTATACAAACCCGTAGCAAGTCATGCTTCTTCTCAGCGTAGATCACTGTTGATGTTTATATCCTGTCTTTTACTATTATAAAACTTGTTTTATGTATATTGCCACATTAGGAAAAACTGGTATCTTGCGGATGTTGCACCATTTGTGTGTATTGTTGTCCACGTGTGTCATCAAATTAAACTTTCTATATGATGCAATTTAAGGTGAGAACCAACCCGTGCTGGTCTCACCTGAATTCAAGTATTCAAATACGATTTGGGAAATTGGTACTGAATTTGTCACTTTTGCCTTTTTTTGCTTAAACAAACACAACTCGCCATTTTACACAAACCTGGAATAAGTCAGTCGATATTAAAAGAAAAAGAAGGAAAAAGGAAAGAATGGGCCATATGCAACCTTATGAACATTTTTGAATGATTTGGTTATCAACTATATACTTTGTGCTTCATGTGATTCAACTAGCAGACTTTTTCACCCCTTTTTTCTCCTTGAATTAGACCCCCGCAACAGATAATATATAAATAGGAGGACTAAAATGAAAATCCATTTCTTACCTTTTTTTTTTTTTAATTATTTTCTCATGATTGCTCATAAAAAGCTACCTTCACCTTATGGTTCTATTCCTAAGCGTAAAAAGAAATTGGTAAGTGAATTTACTATACACACAAAAAACTTTTCTTTGTTTTATTTGACAGGCAATAATGAAGTTTTATAATTTGTATTCTTAAATAAACGTTATAGTTACCTACTCAGAACAACAAAATTCATACTCCATACCCATTCTTCTCTCTTAAGCCAAATACGACCTCTTTCTTGACAATTCTCAGTAGTTTATTCAACGAACCAGCCTGTAAAGAAGAAAAGGTACCAGTCGGGTTCATGCCCTGCACCACACCTCATACAACGCAAACACAAACATCCTCACTAGATATCATTGTGCCTGCGAACCCAATTGATTGTGCTCAAGACTATCATCCTGACGCCTGTAGTTCATTTTCTAGTAGCAGTAGTAGCAGTAGTAGCAGTAGTAGTAGTAGTAGTAGTTCAGACAGCAGTCTTTCTTCCTATATGGAAAATGAGTCCGTCTTGAACAATAGTATCAGTACAAAAGCTGCTTTATCTGATATTCTATGCGATCATTATGTCCAGACAAAACGAAATGCTCCGTCTTCATCCGATAGTGAATTGGTAAATGTACCACTTGAGACATTTCGTATCTTTGAAGCGCCGCCTACAGAACACACTGAAAACTGGATGTCAAAAGAACCTGAAAAGGAATGGACTTTGATTGAAACGCTTTCTAAACCCTCAAAAAGGTTACAGAAAATGTTAGAACAAGAAAAAGAAGAAGAGCAAGAACAAGAAGAGAAACAAAAACCTACTGTTCATGCATACCATCACACACGGGATATTCGAGCTAATGCTGCTTATTTGAGAATGATTGTTGCTGAAGTAAATATGATGCGTTCTCAGAAAATTGTTGGTCCATTACGACCTAGAAGAGTGCTTCCAAAGAGGTCTGATGCATTCATGCACCGCCCAAGTCCATTACAATTAATTCTCGTTTAATTGTCCGCTTAATCTAATCAAGATGTAAATGATGCTAAAAATACCCCCTCCCCTTTACCCTCAAAAGCAGAGAGAAAGAGAGCTATTTTTTTATTTCTTTGTATATATGAAATGTCCTCTCAACAATAAAAAAAAAGTTGACTTATGCAACATTCTAAAAATTTCTCATCGCGTCCATTTATTGGTATTAAACTCAGACTGCTTTATCTTTTTTTCTTTTTCTTTTTCTTTTTTTTTTGCTTTTCTTTACAATTATGAATGAATATAGACAAACACTTGTTTACGGGAAAAAGATTAATTTTGACTTGGATCCCGGTTTAATATTCAACTTTGACCAGGACAGTATTGAATATGTCTATTGTGATCCGCTTTACGGAAAGACTAGACTCACTTTATCAGATATTAACGCAAATACTAAAATACAGGTAATTCTTATAAACAAATAACACAACTTCTGATCTGTATTAGATTGAAAAAATACAAAAAGTATTGTGGTGTAAAGACAGCGACTCGCCTATTCTAGTTATTCTTGGAAATGACACAGAACAATCAAATTACATATTGTGGCATCGTGTAAAAGAAAAGAAGACAATCATGATTGATACAAAGAAGTTGCCCAAAGGAGACATAACAGCAGCAAGTATCACTGAATCTCCCTTTGATGTGGCAAGTATTATTGCTGTTTAGTTTGATTTGTATAGCTTATATCCGTAATAATAGATCTTTAAAGACAAACAAGGTTTCTATGATGTCAGAAAACCTTCATTTGTCATGGTGATTGGAACTAAAGAAAACGGGACTACATTAGTCTTGCTTGGTACCAATCATGCAGCCAAGGAAATTCATGTAGAAGTAAAGTATATATGTAAAGTATCTTTCTGTTCTAAGCTTTTATTTAGCTTACTGAGCCTTTCAAACCAGACGAAAGCAACACAAAAGAATTAGGTTATGTTACTTCTATCTGTATACTGCCACCTGATAAAGAAGACAAACGTATGGGTCATAGTGATCTTCAAATCTTGCTTGGACATAGTTTAGGTTCTATTCTTATTTACCGTGTCAGAGCCAATGTGTATTCTTACAAAGCATCCAGACTACGAGTCCCAATCGACATTTCTGATTTTGTCGAATATCCTGGATGTAAATATAAAGAAAGAAAGAAAAACCAAATTTAACAACTTTTGTTTAATAGATCCCATCACTCAGCTGTCGTGTGCTCGTTCTTACAATAGTTTGTTAATGACAGTGGCATTAGCGCAAGAAAAACCAAAAGACAACAATCCCAAATACCAATTCTCAAAACCTTATATCAAAATAGTCGAAACAAAAGGAGATTCTACCACCAAACAAAGAAAAATCATCAACCCAAGTCTTGATTCAACTGCTACCATTATCGATACCAAATTAATACCACCTACAACAACACTTTATGATGAAGAACTTCAACTCTCAGCTGTATTTCAAAGCAAAGATACATCTTTTGAATTGAATGTTTGGGAAGTGACATCTACCGGCATTCATCAGATGCTATCACTCACGATGGGTCAAAAGGCTTGCATTGATTCTTTGATGCAGCAAGATACACTTGAATCCCTTGATCTTGGTTTAGAAGGTTATTTGTTTAATATGCCGCAGAAAATTGCTGATGTTATGTTGAAATCAAACAGTGATGACGATGCCTTCAAGGGTAAAAAGAGAGAAAGAGATGATCAAGAAACACCAATTCGTGCAAAAAGACAAAAAGACAAACAGCATGTCATTCCTACAGTGATTCCACATAGTTCAGATGAGGATGAAGCGGCTGAAAGAGAATCAGGCTCAACTATAAACACAAGTACGATGGAGTCTTCAACTATGTCAAGTCTTTCTTCATTAGAACAGGATGAAGAAATGATACAAATTGATCAAAGTGGTCGACGAATTCTAGGAGAGATAACGACTGAAGTCAGCGTACAAGTCGATATGAACATGCAAGAAATAACGCAAGACCAAGTTGAAGAAGAATTGGTTACTGAGACATCTATTTCATTTAATAGATCGGAACGCTTAAGACAATACACCAATGAAGAGCAATGGGATGAAATGGATAAAGAAAATATCCCGCCTGCTCTTGACACTGCTTTTGAATTATCTGATGATGAATCTATGCAAGTTGGAATGGATGAACAAACACAAGCTGAACCAGAAGGCACTGAACAAGTAAATCTAGAAACAGAAGACAATCAGTCAGAAAATACTCAGCAAGAAGGTATTAGATCAGAGAACGTTGAACCAGAGAATATTTGCCAAGAAAACATTGAGCCAAAGGATATTTACCAAGAGGATATTGAACTAAAGGAAGCTGAGTCAAAGGGTACTGGATCTGAAAATGCTTTATCAGAGTATGTTGATTCAGAGAATGCTGACTTAAGCGGTGACCAACAAGAAACTATTGGACTCAAGGACGTTAAAGAAGACGTTTTGCAAGAAAACAGCCAAGAAGAAGATGTTCAACAAGAAACCGTTCTGACAGAAGACAATGAAACAGAAGAACTTCAAAATGACAATGTAGAATCAAGAGAGATTGCTAATGAATCCATAATGGCTACTATCTCTAATCAACCTCAAGACATTGACACAGAGCTAGAAGCTCCAATTCCTACTGAAGTTATTGAGTCTGACCCTGCTTACGCTAAGAATGACATCTATGTTGAACCAGTCGAATCAGAGTATACTGAAGCTAGTATTTATGATGATACACCGGATTATATTGATGATGCGCCTGATTACATCGGTGATGACTTTATTGCTGATAATGCACCAGAGTATATTGACGACGATCTGTACAATACAGTCATAGTAGATCAAGAAGCTGACAAGAATGAACTCGCTCCAGCCGTTGATGATGAAATTCATCATATAGACGAAGGTAATATTGAAGAAGCAGGCTATGATGTTCAAGATTACGACAGTGATGGTGTTGTTGGTGGGGATGATGATGGTATTGAGGAGAGTGAGCCAGAGCAGCTATTGCAAGAACCAGTCCTTACAGAGGAAGACTATAACGAAGACCAAGAAGATACGTTTTTAGAAGGGCAGCAGGATAACACTCTTGTGGAAACTACGCCTCAGTATGAAATTAACATCCCACATGATCATGATGAACAAGATCCTTTGATGGAAAAAGAGTTGTTAGACTTGGGAGAAGTTCCATTTGTCTCAGGTGGGCATCTACAAGAAGAACAAGAAAAAACCAAAGCAAATGAACAACAGAATACTAAAGAGGATGAGCCTACACCTTCAACTGTTGACTATATTCCTGTAAGTGATAGTGATTTACTCAAGTTGGCAGCTGATAACAACAACAATACCACTGAACAACAAGAACAACTTACTCAATCAGACGCTCTTTTACGATCATTCCCATTCCTTGCTGATATTTTTGGCAACCATTCAGGTCGAGATGGTACGCCTGCTTTGTCTGTAGATGCACCAATAGCCAGCTTCACTGACACAACTGCCTCTCCATCTCCTGCATCTACCCAAAGCGTTGAAGAACCATTCGTAGCTGTAAACACCATATCTGATGAAGATCGTAAAGCCCAATTGATCAAAAATATTGTCCAAGAATGTTTTGGTACTTTTGAAATAGATATTGATACTCTTTCATTGGAAAAGATTAACAAGATGGGCGATTACTGTTGGCAGCAAAAAGAACCTCAACCTAAATTATTTATGATGCAATATTGTCAACAGCACAATATGAAGCAAGCAACTGTCTTTTTGGGTCGCTGTTTGTTGCTTTCTCTAGATATTATGACTACAGATGAAATTAAAGAATGCAAATCTATTCTGAAGAAATGCATATTTCAGGTTCATCCTGCTGTTCGAGAAGGAGGTAAAAAAAGAGAGAGAGAGAAAAAAAACACTATGAATGAGTAATAATACTAAAAGTTAAATCTAGCTATCATAAATCCATTTGATGCCTCTTCACAAGCCAAAATCTTAAGCGAGAAACACAGGTATTCCAAGCAAGAACCACGTTTGGTCAACAAAGACTATATGAATACTGTGTATAAATCCTATTATGATTTCGGTCACTGATTTTCTTTTCAATGTCTAACCATCTCTGTATATGTAAAAAGTAATTGTACAAAGCTTTTTTTTTTTTCTTTTAATTAATAATACATCTATTTGTGTTGACCTGGTTTGAATACATTTGTCTTGACTCTTTCTGTGTTAACAGGCTTGATTTCTACAGGGCCAAATCGAGATAGTGGCCACAAAATATAAGATACTTTTGCATTGACCAAGCCGATAGGAACCTGTCTTATTGATGAGTAAAAGCACCTTCAAATAACAGACATTACCGTGCCAAATGAATTACTGTCTCTTGAATGGAATGCTTCGTCACCTTCCACCCAAACATGGCCTTCAGGAACATGCACGACCTCGTCTTTCTTACGAAGAGGAACGATAGTGTCACCCGGTAAAGCCAAGATTCTCTTTGTGATGGTGCATTTGGCATCAATAGGTGATCTGTTGCTGTTAGTATTGTGATGTATCATTGCATTTTATCTTACTTGAGTGTCACTACTTGTCCACGTTTGAATTTATGATCCGTGGTTGACCATTTGTCGAGTAAAACAATGTCTTTTCTCAACATGTTGGAGTCTGGATTAAATGTAGGCTTTTTTGTTTAGTATTATTACAATGCGTTATTCAATGAGCAGAGACTTCTTCAGTGTACCTGCATAGATCTACCACTGATGACTGCATAGCTATAGCCATGATCCACAAAGAATATGGCTACTGGTACCCATGCTAAGCCTTTCAAAACTGGGACAGTATATGGACTTGATTTTAGTCGAGAGAAAACCATAATAAGAGATTCTCTTTCTCAAGCATGCACAGACAACACACCATAAACAAAATTAATAGTCACTTATTTTCTCAAGTCAGAAAGACAGACTAATAGCATTAGAGCGACTATCTCTCGGTCCTCTTACGTTCAAGAAGGACAGGAAGACTTGTAATTATGATTTCAAGATTTGGAAAGCAAGGCTGGGAGACAAAGTAAATTTCTGAAGCATCTAATAGCTCAACCGCCAAGTTAGAAAGCTTCTTTCTTGATGGGACAATAATTAAACGATAATAGAACTACATCTAAGAGACATTGGGCATAATATTCACTGTTAGTTTTTGCAATGCCATTTTGATTGAAATGATATTTTCGTCATCTGATTAGGTAAGATTGCCAAGGCATCCAGATGGATCACTCGATTTTTGTAAAATACTTTCAATATTTCTGAGAAAAACCGTGTTTTTGTGTAATTATCAACAAGGCAAAGCGAACCAAACCATAGCTTGTAGGCCCTACTTTTTCTTTTACCGCAAGCGGAGGTTTGCCTTGTTTAAATAGCATACGTAAAATTATCTTAATTAATTTCGGTTATTCCTCTTTTTCTTTTGTTTCTTATTTTTATATACTCTAAAAATGGCTATTGGAAAATTAACTGTTGCTCCCGGTAAGTCATGAGAGTATTTAGGTGATGAAACCAATACGCCTTTTCCCTCACTAGAAACCGTACGCGGTCTTCCTTCTGGATTGAATGGTAAGTATTCGAGTACTCAATGTAAGTTAATTTATGCCATTCAATAGATGCTCGACTCTTTGTCGGTTGCTTTATTCAAGAGTCTGATAAGCACAGAACTCATTCTGAAAGTGGACCTCAACCTAACTGGAAGAATACATTAACATGGTAAGCGTCATATTTCCTTTTTTCTTTTCGAGCAACAACCTGATACTTGTTTAATTTAGTGATGTTCGTGAAGGCCAAGAATACTTGAATATCGAGTTGGTCAATGAACACCCTCAACAAGGTGGTATTGTGGCTACAGGAAGAGTTCCTTTGAATGATGTCTACAATCGAGGCCATGAATCCAAATGGGTTCAGTTGAAGTCCAGCGCCGGACAATCCTATGGTGAACTCAAATTGAATATCTCTTTCAATGTAAGTTGTAGAACAAAGTGGCGCATGTATTGATTGCATAAATAGGGCACTAGCTCCGTTAGTTCTGTTACATCATCCTTTGGTGATATGAACTTGAGTAGCGGTCAACAAGCACATTATTCCCAAACTAGCTCGCACTATTCCTCATCTAGCCATAACCAATCAGACAGTCGTCAAGGCTCATTTGCCTCTTTAGGCCCTGCTAATCCTATTCCTCAAAATTATGGTGCCGGAAGTCCTCCACCTTTTACACCTCCTGCTGCTGTCTCTTATCCTGAAAGAAGCAACAGCTCTATGCCAAACAGTGGTGTAGCTTCCAACGAGTTGATTGATAAGAATGGTGTTGTTAACCCAGAAAAGATGTCTCCCGGTGAATTTGAAGAAGCCAAGGCTAGAGGCACAATTCCCACTTGGGCTGTAAGTTCTATATATATTCTATATTTAGATGTACAAATTCTAACAAGGTATGACGATGTATTTTTAGAAGTATGGTGGTGGCGCTTTAGCTGGTGTTGCTGCTTTAGGTCTTTCTGCTTGGGGTGCTCATGAACTCAAGGAGCACTTTGATAAAAAGGAAGAAGAAAAAAACAAGCACAAACAAAGTGAATCCAAGCCATTTGTCATTCCCTCGGGCTATCTTCAACAAGAACAACAACATGCTCCCCCTCAGCAACAACAACAGCAACAACAACAGCAACAACAACAGCAACAACAGCACTATGCCCCCCTCAGCAACAACAACATTTTGCTGCTTCTCACCATGAAGAACACAAAAAGGAGAAGAAGGAGAAAAAAGACAAGAAAGACAAGAAAGAAAAGAAGCACAAGAAGCACGGTGGAAGCGACTCCTCTGATTCCTCTGACTCGTCTGACTCAGATTCTGATGATGACCGTAAGGGAAAGAAGGAAAAGCACCACAAAAAGAAGGATAGCGAATGGAAGTAAACATTGTGTCATTTGATAATAAACCGATTGTTTTCTATTAAAGAAAATCATATTCCAGTAGTTGAGGAAAATAGAAATTGTCTTAGACAAAGCAAGACATGTATAAGAGCAAAGCATGGTTCTTAAGACCAAGACATCCTGCTAGCCGTTTTGAAATGTCAATATTTCAACAAGTTTAAAGCCACACACAAACGGCTTTGAAGCGGAGAATGAAACGAGCGAAAAATGAAAGCAATTTGGTTTCGTTCAGTTGCATCAAAAATCGAGCTTGGCATTCTTTTAGACCAAGAAAAGGCCTATGATCGTGTCAACCTTAATTATCTCAAGCAAGTGTTGTTACACTTTGGTTTTCCAAAGACCCTGCTTGCCAGCACTATTACCTTGTTTAGAGATAATTCCATTTGTATCAACATCAATGGTTGGCTCTCTAAGCAGTTGGTTCCAAAGCGCCGAGGCCTCAAACAAGGTAACCCACTCTCTTGTATTTTGTACAATTTTACCTTAGAGACACTTCTCCAGTCGATATTGAATGACACTCAATTTTCTGGCTATCGCTTCAAGCATAATGATTTTAGTCAAGCTATCACCTTACCTGCTATCAAATTGCTTAGCTATGCTGATGGCATTTTAGGTTTCCTTCGTAACATTCGTGATCTCCGTAGAATGCAATTTCACTTACAGGCTTACAGTAAAGCATCCAATGCCAAGATGAACTACCATAAAGTGCGAGCAATCTCTCTCTCTGGTCACAATCTAGATGACAAATGGCTGACTACTCTACAAGCCATTGACATTCCTAAGATATGGTGCCGTACAGATGCTGAACCCATTATCTATTTAGGTTTTCCCCTTATCCAATCCTTGGACCAGCGCGCTCACTTTTTTTCGTCCCTCACTCGATCACTGACTCAACTGGCGGATATTCATGCCTCACGCAATCTTTCTGTTGTTGGTAGAGATACAGTTGCCAGTTCGCTTTTATTATCTAAATGCTGGTATATTTTGCGGGTGATCCCTACCACTCAAGCAATCCTTAATACCATTCGAACTGTCATTACTTCTTTTGTCAACCGGCAAATCTTTCCTCGCATTAGTTGGCAAACGATGACTGCACCAAAGTGGCATGGTGGCCTTGGCATTCTTGACTTGTTTTCTCAGCAAAAATCACTGTATTACCATTGGCTTCATCCTTTTTTGTGTCCTCAAGCTGAACGTTCTCTGATACAAGACTTTCTAGCAGCACATACCCGTGCTTTGCTCCAGACTGAACATCTGCTCTTGGGTCTGCTCTTTCCTCGTTCGCAGTCAGGCCATTTAAGGCAGTTGGCCAGTAACACTATCACCATGTGCTGCCAGACAATTGATGCTGTTCCCAGGAAACAGTATATATACATGTCAAATCTTATCAAATGTCTTTTACTGCTCTTACGCTCCATTGTTCTACCATTCAACAATTTTAACTTGCCTCTCAAGTTACGTACAGTAGCAGCTTCCTATCTGTATGAGTACTATTCACAGAGTCACTATCTGGCATCAATACCGGCTTCTTCTTTTCTCTTGGATATTCGGCGTAGTGTTAGGAAATATTTTCAAGCAATGAATCAAATTCGTTGTCACCTGGAACCATTTTTTGGTCAATGCCTTGTTCGTACTTCATTAGACTTATACAATCCTGTGCATATTCCTGCAATCTAGCGGTCTCTTGGTTTCTTTTCCTTTGTGCGTACACTGAAACTGCCATTTGACAACGTAAATTTTGTTGCTCTCAAAAATGGTGGCCATACTTTCCGTAAGGTCATCACACAAGCTGCCTTGTCTGATATCATTGCCCGGCAAGAAGTTTCTTCTGCGGCTGGGAAGTACTTTTGGCGCATACCTATCACAACATTGCAGAGAAATGTGATGTATCGATTTCTGACTCACAAGATTCCCACTCGCTTACTTCTATCCAAGGTTTTTCCTGCTCGCTTCCCTACTGCTGCCTGCATTTTGTATGGTGATCAGGAAACGGTGTATCACTTCCTCTTTCGCTGCCCCAAAAAATTTCCGCTCTGGAATGTCTTGATCAGGGGATTTCTGTGGCCTGGCACCTCTCTGGATCTAGTCCCTGATGCACTTGCATCGTTCAATTTTTCTCGGACTCCGGCTCAAACAAACTGTCCTGCTTCAATAGCTATGGTAACCTTGATCGGTCTCTCTGAGATCTGGAAGGCCCATTGGGCCCATACCATGCAGAACCAACCATTCCATTATCTCTCTGTTCTTCACAGCACTCGCTATCAAATTAAGCGTATAGCTGCTGAAAATGACCTTTCATCTTGAGAGGTCTTTTCTTGCAATAGCTGCTCTTCTTTCCTTTTATATTTTTCTACTTTCGTACTATCGTACCAATTTTGTTTTTCTTTATATTTTCTTACAATAAATAATTGTCGAGCACCTCTTTTAGTGGGTCCTTCCCAAAACCACTAATACGTGCGGCAAATAAAATCATTAAAAAAACTGAGCCTTTGCTGAGAACTATATGAAGACGCACTTATTCAGCTTTAGTATAGTGATAAAGGTTATAGATCCTTGTTTTCTAGTTCTATTCATGTAAGAATCATTAAGCTCCTGCCAACAAAATATTATGTCAATGAGCAAAAATGTTTTGAGGTTTTTAGCTCATATCTGATTACTTTTATAGTACAGTCAGTAAGCAAATACATTCGCCAAAAACTATAGCTTTTGACGCACATTTTGAGTATCTAAGCTTGTCGATAGCTCTATTTTTCGTCTTGTAACGTCAAAAATAAGATCGAAGGTTGTGAAACCAACGATTTTCATGGGTAATACCCTATGGTCGAAATGCATATTTTGGTCATTGTAGACATGTCGGATTTTTCGGTCCAAATCAACTCCAAAGGTATCCCATATGTTAGTAAACATGGTTTGTAGTTATTTGGCTTATTTATCCGGGCATAAACAGGCTGTATGATACATTCATATCGCCTAAGGAAAAGGCAAACATATGTATGTATTGTTGTCCTTTTTTTTTACTGTTGAAGCACTTGTGAGAGAAAAAAAGGTAAAGATGAATGCGAAAAAGTAACAAACAATATTTTAAAAGAGAAATATCAACCTCAATCGATATAATAGCTAGAGAGATGTATAAATCCCAAAGGATACAATAGTAATCGAAATATTAAAAGAGGTATGTATCAACAAAGAATGACGTTTTTTAACAAGGAGTAAATTTGCAGTTCGAACATACGTTTCAGCGATGGAAAAACGATGCTTTAAATATACGAAGATACACTTTTTTTGTGGTCGTATATCGCTATCTTCATAGAAAGATAGTTCTTTCAGCCTATAAGGCTTTCATGCGAGGGTTGTGAGGTCAATAGGTGTACTAGACATAAACTCAAAGGGTTTAGCTGTTGTTTTTGTCCAAAGATCTGAACTAATCTACCCCCTAAAATGGACAGCTCTAAAAAAATAAAATGATTGCAAACAGCGCATCGAACTGAACAAACCCCGACTTGTTTCGCCTTTCTCACTTATGTTTTCACCTTCTTCACAAAAGTCCTATGCCTCGTCTTTTGAGTCAACAGAAAGTACCACCACAACTAATATGTTGGCTTGTTGGCCAAAAAAAACAGAGAAAGTTTCATGGGCACCTTATCTAAAAGAATATATTTCCAATGGATATGCAGAACATCCTGACTTGTACACTGATGACTTTCGTGTGCTCGATGAGCTTAGAAATGACTGTATTTATATGGAGACAAACGAAAAGGCATTAAACAGACTGACAAAGTAAGAAATAAGCTATAAAAAACAACCGTTTTGTGTCTTATTATTGCGGCAGGTATTATGCTCAGCTTGTGTTTATTAGTGCAAAGTTTCCTATTGATGTTTGTATCAAGTGAACTAGATAATATATACTCATGAATTTTAGGTCGGCATTGAGTTTCCTTGGTATTTGGTATCTGTAGGAGGAGAGTCGCAAAAACCAGGTAATAATAGATTCGCAATAGACGATTGTTGACCTATATTTCAGTATCGCATAGAAACATGAATTATGAAAAGGCGTGTATACTCTATTCCATTGGTGCAGTCTATAGTCAACTTGGTATTGCAGAAAACAGATCTACTACAGAAGGTGTCAAGAGAGCATGCAATTATTTTCAAGTAATGAAACGATCTTTTACTTAAAAAACAAATGTATCTTATTCTATCGTAGCATGCTGCAGGTTGCTTTCAACATTTACTCAACGTAGTTGTGCCTGAAATGAGAATTGCACCCACGATTGACATGTCATCATATGCATTACAGACACTTATCAACTTGATGCTTGGACAGGCACAAGAATGTGTTTGGCAAAAGGCAGCCATGGATCAATTACGAGATGGAACCATTGCTCGCTTGGCTTTCAAGGTATCCGAGTTTTATGAGACAGCCTATGAATTTGCATCCAACTCGACTATTCAGGCTGTATATCCTAAAGCATGGATCATTCATATGCAAGTCAAAGCACTCCATTTCAATGCAGCAGCTCAGTTTCGAAAATCCTGTGAATGTATCTCACAAGACAAATACGGAGAAGAAGTGGCTCGTCTACAGTTATCGTCTGATTATGTAAGACGTGCCTTCGATCTAGTCAGATCCACAGGGTTCGCTCGAATGCAAGGCTCCACTGCTGTCATGAACGATCTGAAGCCCTTGCAGCAAATCATCAGTACAAATTTAGCCAGAGCAGAAAAAGACAATGATGTGATCTATTTGGAAACGATACCCCGCCTTCTTCTTTACCAGTCATCTTGAAAACACAGATGGTCAAGGCTGCTCCTCCTGCTGAAGTTTCAGACCCTGTATCACTCATGATGAATGCTGAAAAAATAGAGGCATCACCACACCCAGTGATTGGTTTACCCTTGTTTCAAAAGCTAGTGCCTTTTGCTGTGCATCAGGCAGCTAGTGTCTATATGGACAGAAAAGAAAGACTGGTCAAAGAAGACATCATATCCAAGTTGGAAGAACTTACTGGCGTATACCATAGGTAAAAAAAAAAAGAAAAATGGATCAAGTGATATCAAACTCATGGATTGGCATAGCTCTATTGCATCTCTAAACTTACCTGCTCTGCTTGCTACAGCAGAAAATACCACAGGTCTACCTGACTCTATTCTAAGACAAGCTGCTGAAGTGAGAAGTGGTGGCGGATCACAATCACTTTATGATATTTGGGAGCAAGTTCAAAAGGCTTCTTCAAGAAATGGAGAAATTCTTGAAGAGGCTTTTAATGTACTTGATGAAGAACATGAAACAGATGAAGCCTTGAGAACCAAATTCTCTAAAGGTAGCATAAGATTTTTTTTTAAAAAAAAACAAGCTATACTAACTAATCAATTATAGATTGGAGAAGACCAGAATCGCAATTGTTGACACAGCAACTAACAGCTCAAGGACAAAAGCATCGACAAACACTTTTATCTGCCCAAAAGGCGGATTTGATTGTCCGTAATAAGCTTGATACATGGGCAAATATTATTGACGTCTTGACACTGACAAAAGAAGAACTCGAAAATTCAATTCCTTCTTCAGACGGTGGTAATGATAATGAGAATGATACGAATGGACAAGACAGTCTGTTGCGCATCAAGCGACTTACTGAAGATATGAATCAAAACATTCGATTAAGAAAAGACTTGATCAACCAAGTCAAAAAGGCTTCAAATGCAGATGATATCTCACCTGCTTTGCTCAAGAAAGCAGCAGAATTAACTGCCAAGTCACCCATTGTCAAGATTGAAGCAGCTCAGTTTGAAGATTTGTTTATAGAAGAGCTAAGAAAATACGATCATTTTATCATGACAGTCGATCAACAAGATGAGCAGCAAAGCACCGTATTGAGACAATTGCATGATGCTTATTACCAGCATAAAGCAAGAACAGACAATTCCAACAGTAGTGGAAATGCGAAACGAGAAAAGGCCTTACAAAACTTGACTCAGGCTTATTTTAAATACAAAGAAATCAAGACAAACTTATCTGAGGGACTCAAGTTTTATGGTGAACATGCTAAAGGATTAACGCAGTTTTGTGATACTTGCAAAGATTATTGTGCTCGAAGACAAGCTGAATCAGACCAAATGATGAGGTAAAAGCTTTTCTTTAAAAATTGTTTATTTATTAATTTACATACAGAAAATTGACAAGGGGAATAAGTAACATGTCTATTCAACCAGAAGGATCTCAACAAAGAACCAATTGGTCTCATTGGTAGATTTTTTAGTTATTTTGCCATCTTTCCCATGCTTCATAATATGCCTGTATTTCTACAGTGAATAAAAAGTGAAAAGAAACATAAACTTACCTTGTATTCATCTGTTGTCATATTTCTTTGGTCCTCTTCTTGAACTTCATTTAATGGGATCATTTTGCCATTCACTTGTATAGTTAGCATATATATGTATATATATTAATAAGGCATTGCTTACCAGACACAAGTGGAATATCTTCATCCTCGTCAAATTCTTCTCCTGAACCACTATTGTTTGTTTCCTCAAATATCTCTGGTTGCTCTTGATGCACTGTCTCAAATGTTTCTTCTTCAATATCACCATTATTATTATTGTTACTTAGGCTTTCATAGTATTTTGCATAATCTAACAAGAGAGTCAGTATAAATGACAAGCAAAGAATATACGCACAATCTTCTGTATCTGCATCCATTTCCACAGGTCGAATTTCTTCAAATGCATCATCTTCTTCATGATCTTCCATAGCATCTGCACGTCCATCCACACCAACCAAACTGGTGCCAGAAATAGTCGACTGTTGATGCCAGACAGGTAATGCGTTTTGCTGTCTTTTCTGTTCTGCTTCTTCCATCTTGGCACGTCTCGCTGCCTCATTATCCATCTGAAGATCTACAATAATATCACCTTGACCTGCTCCTGTATCTTGTGCGACTGCCAGTTCGAATTCATCTCGATTACCACCATTGGCCTTGCCAGCCACATGTTTATATACATAATTTGAAGGAATCACAATGGAATCCGTCTGTTTCAATAGAGAGATAATTGGCTGAGATTGTTCTCGAAGGCGTGTGAGTGTCTGTTGACTGCCCTTGACATTTTCTGCATTATCGTTTTCGACCAAGACATTTTCACATTGATCGCAGTGAAAGAGTTGATCTGTCATGTCTACCAGGGATAACACGTCCAGAGGTGTAAATTGCTTTTCACAGTTGGGACAGACATAACCTTTATTTTCGGATTCAGTACGCAGTTTGTCTCGTACAATTGTCTGCATTTTATACATTTTCCATTTGACCACGTCCACGAACTCTTTATAGTCTAAATAATAATAGGTTTTTGGGACCATACGCTGATCTTGTTTTCGAGGTTCCATTCGATTGGCCCTGATGATGATCAATATATACACAAGCATGGTAGTATTTCTCGGCTTACATCTTGATCAGTCGATCTTCTTTTAATTTACCACAAATTCTATGAATATCTCGAGGTGTCATTTTTAAAGTATATACAAGGTCTTCTTCCTTGACACTAAGATAGTCTTTAGTTGAAGTTTGTCTAAAGAACTGTTTACCCGTTGCTGTTTGGGGCTGCTCCGTTCAGTGCGTCTAATATGGCGATATATTTGGGCTCATAAAAAGCTCTTGCTACTCGAGCAATAAGTGCTTTAAGAACTTCCATCGAAGAGTCCATAAGAAAAGTGCAGAAGACGCGTTGAAAAAAAAAAAGAGAAAAAGAGGGCAGGAAGAAAGCTTTATAAGGTGACTGCTCTAACAAATTACTGCTTTTAGCCAACTACATAGAAGAACATCCTTTACTAATTCGTTTACTGTTGTATAAAGACAGAATTGAAATAGCTACTATTGATTTACTTGACTGCAACAAAGAACTCTAATAGATCACCATGGTTACACGTTCTCCGTCCCCCCCCCTCTCTTTTTTTTTAGGTAGATAGAGGCAGCTGATCTATACTTTCTTAACCCTGAATTTCTTCCCTTTTCTCGGACCTCTAAACACACTGGGAGAAACACATAGCCACAACTAAGGGTCCTTTTTAAAAAAAACCCCCCTTTTTATTACTTAACCAAATGTACTCACGATATGAGCTAATTGTAACAAACTTGTCTTTGTATCTGGTTCATCTGTATGTGTATCTGTTAAAGGAGAAGCAATACTACTACTACTACTACTACTACTGCTGCTGCTGCTGCTGCTGCTGCTGCTACTGGTGGTGGTAGTAGTACTAGTAGTAGTATTAGTAGGCGATAAAGACAAAGAATTGGTATGGTCGATATGATGCTTTGGATGTAATAAAGTAGATGGAAATACTAGACTTGTTTGCTCTCTAAAAAGCAAAGGCTTATGCTGATAGAACAAGATAGGCTCTTTAGGTAAATCTATTGTGGGTGTCGTATGCTGTTTCTGCAGAGCAACTGCACCTAAAGGTGGGGGCATTCTGTGCTTATCTATTGAGATATAATGTTGCTGTTGTTGATAATATTTGTCCAAGTGTTGGTCAATCGTCAATGGTCTTTCAATATGATAAGGATCTGATCTGATACGCTGATGCGCATGCAATTTGGGCTTTAGATGAAAATCTTCCAAGCCCTTTTTAGGTATGCGCCTTGGGTTGTTTGACATGTGTGTACGATAGTGTTGCATCATATTGTCTTGACGTGAGAAACGAGATAAACAGCCTGGGTAAAAACAAGGGAAATTCTTTTCGCCTGTGTGAATACGATGATGTCTAGCTAAATGTCCACTGTTTTTTTTATTTTTTTGATTTAATATATCTGTATACGCTATAGGTATGACTTACCTGGTAGTAAAGCTTTTTTCACAGCCAGGTTCAGTACAATGGTATTTTCTTTTATTGTTTGTTGTTTTAGTGGTAGGTAAGGTAGTCTCGTCATTTAAAATATTAATAGATCGACCAGAAGAATTTATGGCTAAAAAAGAGGTTTCATTCATTTCGCAAAGTTAAAGAGAAAAAGTGGAAAAAAAAAAGGAGTGAGAAAAAAAAAAGGATAATTATAAAGAAAAACTCAGTTCATTATTAGATAATTGAAGACCCTACAAATTGGGCCCTTTTTGTCCCTACATACTATAAGCATTCGCATCGCCAATCAAAATTGATTTTGTATTTTAGCCATCCTTTATCATAAAAGAGGAAGCACATAGACTACTTTTGTTTCTTTTCTCTTTAGGTATTTTATAGTAACAAAATAAGTCCAAGTGCCATAAATTTATCTTTCTGCAAAAAGAATAAAAAAGACATTCTTGTTATTATTGAAAAGAGGGAGGTTCAAGAGGGAGGTTCAAGAGTGAGATTGCAGAAAAAGACGAAGGTAAACAGTAATGAGACAAGTAACATGCAATTCTAATTTGGAACAATATTTGTTGTCTTTTGTTATAAGATAGAGTGTCTTATGAGAGTCATCTATCTTCACAATGACTATCCTTCACAAGTAAACTGTAAAGTTCAAATAATAGTTCTTATTCGTAAAATTAACATTTGTTACTCAAAAAAGAGCTTGTGTCAAATAAAAAAAGAGGAATGGCATGACTATGCTTAAAAAATATTCCGTCCACTTCACTTTATGTTCATTTAACTCTAATCTTACTTGCATCATTGGGCTTTTTATTTTATTTTATTTTATTTTTCTTTCCATGTTGGTTAAAATGACCTTGTTACATTCTATCTTGACTCAACCCACAGTAGACAAGTAAACTCAGGCAGACAGACAAGAGACAATGATGTAGACAATACCATCACAATATCAGATCAATCATTTACTATTTCAAACAACGAACAACGGGCAATATACGCCATCAAATACATGCAAAACATCAACATCTACAGTAAGCCCATATAAACGTAAATGCTCGAATTAACACTTACGAAGTATGAAATTAGATAGAATGACCAAGAAGACATACTTGAATAAAAGACACGGTATGCCTCTTTTCCAAATCGAAAATCGAGGATTGTTTATTAAAAAATATATTCATATGAGGTCATATTATACTACTTATTAAAACTCAGTATTCCTTCTAAGTAAAGAGAGAAAGGATATCTTTTTCCTTGATTTATAGAATAAAAGAATGGTATATAATGGGACGATTACAAGACAATCAGTACGCATCACCAAGAACCAATAAACACCCTCAAAAGAAGAAACAAGACAAAGCTCAGTTACAACAAGACAGAGCACGGGATGAAGCTAAGCTACAAGCAGCATTCTGTCCACCTCTTGATCCTTCTCTTATTCAAGCTATTTGGAACGATTCATTTGATTATGACGGATCTTTTGAAATTCTGACTTCCTTAGCAAAAGAAGCAGATCGTACATTGGATGGACAACAGGAACAAGAGTTGTCAATGGATACACTTGAATTAGATGACTCAAGTACGACAAGGTCTTCTCAATCAGAAGATGATCATGTCGAGTTTTTGATGACATGCTTCCCCACTTTACCAATGCAAGAACTGATAGATGCACTCAGACAGAGTGAGAACGATGTAGAAAAGGCAACAGATATTTTGCTAAACCAAGAATTTATCTCTCAAGTTGATAAAGATGGAGGCGCCGTGGTTAAAAAAGACGATGAATACTACCAGGGTCAAAAGAAGAATAAACAACAAAAGAAGACAAAAAAGAAGAACACAAACCCTACTATTTGGTCTTCAGGTCAATTGCCTACTGTCAATAGTGCATTGGGTAATGCCTCCAATCCTGGTGCTGTGTCTATCAGTATGCGTAAAATCATGCAGCAGCAACAAGAACAAGAAGATGAGGACCCTTATCAAGCATTAGCTTCTGTTCCCTTCAATTACTGGCATCAGCACGATGCTACTGTCAAACAACTCCAACGGCATTTCCCTCGTTTACCTGAAATGACCATTGCTGCTGCTGTTCAGCATTGTCGTGGCAATGTGATTGCCTCCGTCAAGACGCTGATGGAAAAACATCCCAATGAAAAACCAGAGCACGAAATGACATGGCCAGTGATGAAAGAACTGATAAATGTCAGACAAGAACTACAGGCTATTATGGTCGACAGATCTGAACAGGATGTGATAGGTGTTGCTGTTGGAGTCATGATTCAGTTTGAAGGTCAAAACAAGCTGTTGGATCAGCTCGTTCAGGCAGGCATAGAACACTTTTTGACATTTGATGTAAGCCAACTTGCTCTTGAAGCCCGTTTAAAGAAAATGGCAGAAGAATCAGAATGGATACGGGTTCAGAATAAAAAGAAAGAGATACCAGTGATACCAGAATATTTGTTGATCAACAATCAGCAGACGTATCAAGAAGACGATCCTGAAGAGTGTCGTGATGTAGCTATGCAGCTAATTCTTGAAAGAAACGAACTGTTTCGTAAGGCTGCTGCTGCTTATCGTGCTGCTAAAAACAAAGGTCCTGGTGAAGGTGGTGTTGCTTTTTTCTATTCAGATACAGCAAGACAATTGGACAGTCAAGCCAAGGATTGGAACATGAGAGCAGCCAGGGCTACTGTGCGTCGACAGCGAATTAAACAGAATGATGATCACTTACTTGATTTGCATGGTTTGACTGTAGCAGAAGCACAAATACTTGTGACAGAAGGCGTCACACAATGGTATTCTCGAAGTCAAATGCAATCTGCTCGTCTTCAATTCAGACCCCTCAAGATTATTACAGGTGTAGGCAAACACTCTAAATACGGTGAATCTAAACTACTGCCAACGACGCTCAAGATACTCAAAAATGGAGGTTGGCAATATGAGATGAGTCATCCTGGTTGTATATACGTAAAAGGTGTAAAAAGCACAAATAAATAATTTGCATTGATTTTTTGTTATTCTGTTTATGTCTCTTTTACTTACTAAAAACTGTCACTACGCGATCCTTGTGGCCATTGAGGATGGCAAGTACATTCATTGACTTCAAAAGAAATTAACGGACAACGTTAGGTCAACAACTCAAGGCTGAAACAGATAAAGACATTTACGTTACATCTCGATTGGATCTACAATTACCACCTCAAGTCGATGATCTGATCCCACCTAGCACACGCTTGTCCACACGTTCTGCATTATTTACGGAAACACCACAATGGCGAACAACATTGGTCTATTACTTGTCTCGACAAATCTTGACTCGATTAAGAAAACGACAAACTCATGTGACGCTAGACATCATCAGTCTTTCAGAACAATGTGTGTACAAGAACACTTGGGATCTGTTGAACTCAATATGCAAGATGCCAAAATAGTCCTGATGAACAAAGGCAATCGAGATATTACTCAGATTCAACAATTCGTGGTAGATAAAGGTGAATGGCATGCCATTCATCATCCAGATCATCCTGTCAAGGGCAAAATCAAGGCAGGTCTTTTCTTTGTGGAAATGCCAAACAATGTGGAAAATTCTGCAGCAACCAACAAAGAAGTGGGTACGCCTGTTCAGGCACCTGTTAGAACAAAGCCCAATAGTTTTGCTGCCAGTCTTCGAAGCCAAAGTACAGAATTAGGTCTTGAAATAAGCACAGATGTCAGCAAAGTATTTAATCAACAAGAAGATAGCTCATTACTAGATGACGATGATGACTATCTACCTCTTGAAGATAATACGCAACAAGACTTATTAGACGAAGAAGACGAGGATGATGACTACAGTAGCCAGATTATTGCCATAGGACAAGGAACGGATCAGTATACATTTGTATTTCGTATACTAGAAGCTAAATATATCTCTTCCCTTTTAAGTCAATACAATAATGAAATTGAAATTGCATGTATTCAATATAGATTCGCAAATCAAATCTATCAGTGCAATGTAGATACTCAACAAGATACTTGGGAAGCACTAGAGTATCACAAAAGTGTGTTTCTTCAGGGTCATCTTGAAGATATCAAGGAGTGGTTATCAGAACAAATATGTATTGAAGTATGGCTGGCAGTCAAACCAACGAGTGAAGAGCAAGATGTGATTATGGGTTATTCGGAAGTTTATCTCAAAGACCGAGATTTGGGTATTATTCAGCAGTCCAGTATCATTTATGATGCTAACAAAGTATGGCATATCAACTCTAAAAAGCAATTTGCTCAACTGCAACTTCAGATTGGTCTGACTGAAGGCTGGAGTGAACCTGAATTACCTGAATTACTCAAATAAATTCTCCGCTTGCATTTCCATTGTTACCTCTTTTTATATATCAAACCTTCTTCTTCTGCTTTTTCTTGTGCATTATATTCTCTTTTTTTTTCTATGCTAATTACTCCTGTTGATTTCTCAAGACCTTACAAGGAAAATTCATGTATACCTTTATATCGAAAAGAGTTATCAGATTTTAGACAAGCACTTTATAGAAACAGTCGAGTTCATCGTTTTACGATAGAGAATTTTTATCAAAATTCTTCCGATATAGTGATTGATACTTGGTATACAATTCACCTCAAAGTAGTGACTGAAATGGGACTACCTGCCTACGGTATCGATCAGTTGATAACCTGTCAGTTACTTACAAATAATATGCATTACTTTATTACACCCACTGATCTCAGCATTGAATATCGTTTAATTGACACTCCAGACTCATGGCAAGATCCTATTCAAGAAAAGCAAAACTTTACAGTACTATTTAGTTCTGAAAATAGCACTATTCGATTGCAATATCGTATACGTGGTCGTCCCCTTCAGGACAATCAATACTTTCTTCATTTTGAGTCCCAACAATCAGCACAAGATTATCAGAAAAAGAAGCTTCTTTCATTGTGTGTGGGACCTTTTAAGATTTCTGGCCAAAAAAAACAAGAGGAATTGACTTACTGGGACAAAACAGTCAATCCTTCCTGTATTCAAATGTATAGAGCATTACCTTTGGTAAGAGAACATCAATTTATTATGCTTCAAGAAATTTGGGAAAACGGTACACCAGGCAAGCTATGGGATTCTGCCTTAGTAATGATGCAAGCCGTTGGTCAATTAATCAAATGGAGCCCAGACTGTCTTGCCGGTCGTCGTATTCTTGATTTAAGTGCAGGGTAAGCATGCATATAAGCATGGTATATATTCAACTCTTCTTTTGTATAGTATTGGTTCGTTGGGTTTGTCTATTGCCATGAATTGCCAAATACATAATGTTATCAATCCACCTACTATTGTGCTCACAGATCTGGAAGAAGCTTTACCTTTAATGAAGAGCAATCAAGCACTAAATCATATCTCAACAGAAAACACGCAAATTGAGCCACTTGCATGGGGCTCCAAGAAGGATATACATCGAATTATGACGGCTAATAAAGCCTCATTTGATTATATTCTTGTTTCAGATGTACTTTATAACGCTAGAGACTTTTCTGCACTTATTTATACCCTTCGCCAGTTATTCAGTCAGAATACCCAGAAAAAACTGACTATTCTAATGGGCTACAAGCCTCGAGGACTCAAGAAGTCAGAAGAAGACATGTTTTTTAATACTTGTAGACAATTTTTGAGAATAGAAGCTATTGACCTCAAAATCTTTGGAAAGGAACTAGCGCCATTATCAATTACAGTGCCTTATTTCTGTACCAACAAAATATTAGAAGAGACGGGCGTCTGTTTGTATAGAATGACAAAGAAATAAATGTACTTGATAATTCTTTATTCATGCAATGAATTTTTAAATGCAGATGATTTGCTGTGTTACCTTGAAAATCAGGGCATACGCAAAAATATGTGTTTGTGTTTGTTGTCGTCAATGATGCATTTTGATCCAAAGCGGAATTTTATTTGTAAGAATGATATTAATCAGGAAAGAAAAATAGAATACATATGACTCTGTGTTTCCCCTTTGGTAATGGTGTGATGCTAAAACTCTTTTTTTTTTGTGTGATTTTCAGATTAGTGTCATTTTCTAAAAAAAATGTATCAGAAATCAAGCATATCAAAACATAATTAAAAACAAGCTTTTTTCAAGAAAAAGCGAGGCAAACCAAAGTTGAAAGCTCAAAAAAAAAATTTTTTTGAACCTACAAAAGCTTCAGCAATTTTTTTAACCATAAGAGGCGGTTTGGTTTGTAAAAAACTCGTTGTAATATGAAAGTTTTTCTTTCTTTGTTATTTAAGCATTTTCTTTGTGCTCAGTATGACATAGCTACATAAAAAATAAATCAAGGCTTTTCTTTCCAAACTCACTGAGAATCGTCAAAAAAGAACGCATACACAAATGATTTATCTAACTCTTCTTAACACGGCTAAGGAAAGTTGTCTGCATAACAAGAGAAAAAAAGAAACCCATGAAAATGCTGTGTGCTAAATCAATATAAATGTGTATGTACTACTGTTTCGCGTAGACACAAAGTGTTTTCTAACAATAGAAAGAGGAACATGGCTGGGAGTGGTATGTAGGTCACAAGGTGAAAAAACCGGTGCTTGAATTAGTGGAGGCGCAATTTTTGGCTTTCCGCCTGTCTCTCTCTTTTTCTCTCTCTCGCTTTTTGCATTCAAATGTATATAATGCCTCACTCTCTTTTTCTCTCTTCTTTCCTTCCGTCTACTTTCTCTTTATATGCATAAATGAATCAACAGTCACACAATCCCCTCTCTTTTCTAAAAGGTAGCAATGCCTCTAGTACGTCTCTTGAAAGGTCTTCCAGTACACGCTCACGCTCCGGTAGTTTATTTCGTGCTATCGCTTTACACACCTCACCTTCTTTATCACCACAACCACCACTTCCTTCCTCTTCCTCTTCTGCCTTTTCTGTATCTATGACAAGAACAAACACCAGTTCTTCCACCATCCATAGTACTGAAAATGATGCATCTCAACCAATTTCTTGTAACCCAGAAGACTTTGAATTTAAAGATCCTATTGGTAAAAATAATAACCTTGTACCTAGTTTTTTTTTTTTATTTTTGTTTGTCTAATCTGATTGTTTATATCATAGGGTATGGTTCGTCAGCTGTTGTTTATCATGCCACTTTTATACCAAAGAATATGAGAGTGGCTATTAAAGTGATTGATCTGGATTGGTTTGAACGTAATCAGATCGATGAATTAAGAGTAATGCACATTAAATATCATAAGTATTTAAGCTGATGAGATGTATGTTTATTTTTAGCGTGAAACTGCATTAATGGCATTATCCAAGCATCCTAATGTTCTGAAAGTTTATGGGTCATTTGTAAATGGCTCAAAATTACATATCGTCACCCCATATCTATCAGGAGGTAAAATGAATATGAATTACTATTGGTTTCTAAAAGGAAGATAGGCTCTTGTCTGGATATTATGAAGAGTGGATTTCCTGATGGTTTTGAAGAAACTGCGATTGCAACCATTCTTAAGCAAGCATTAGAAGGCTTAGTTTATCTTCACAAGAACGGCCATATCCATCGCGATGTAAAAGCAGGCAATTTGCTAGTGGACGATCAAGGTACGGTCCTTTTAGGTGATTTTGGTGTCTCAAGTTCCCTGACTGAAAATAACGAGGTCCGAAAAACGTTTGTGGGTACTGTAAGTATATCGTACAACATTGTTATTCCTATTTCAGAATAGTGGTTTACATATTTATAGCCTTGTTGGATGGCACCTGAAGTCATGGAACAATCAGGTTATGACTTTAAGGCAGACATTTGGAGTTTTGGTATTACTGCGCTTGAGTTAGCTACAGGTTACGCTCCATTTGCTAAATTCCCTCCAATGAAAGTAAGTTGGCATCTATTATATATACGTTTTATTCTTTTATTAAAGCTTGTTTTAAGGTTTTAATGATGACATTGAATCAGGCGCCGCCTACTTTGGACAGAGAGCATGCAAAAAGAAAATATACCCGTACATTTAAAGAGATGATAGATATGTGTCTGAATAAAAATCCAAGCAAAAGGTAAGATATCTACATAATATAGCTCAAGATTTAATGCTTCATTCTATCAGACCTTCTGCAGAGAAACTCCTTGCTCATCCATTTTTTGCTCAAGCAAAAAAGAAAGAGTATCTTGTCAAGGCATTGCTGTCTTCCGTCCCCCCTCTTGATCAAAGAGTACACAAGAAAGTCAACCATAAACAAGCAGTCGTTGAAAACACAGCACAATGGGACTTTGAAGATCAACAGAGTACTTTGACGCAACAACAAAATGACCAAGAGATTGTGTCTTTAAGTAATCAAAAAGTCAACATGGTAGACAAACCAACACATCTCTATGCACGAAATAACAATACAGAAGGATTGCTTAGACAACAACATATTACTTTTAGCGATGATCTACCTTCGCCTGCTGCTTCTGAACCAGAAATCACTTCACCTATGCCTATTCGTAAGACAAGATTTGTAATTGAAGAGCATACTTCGATAAGCCCTCCAGACAACCTACCTGCCTCGCAACGGTATTCTTCTGCTAGTCCGCCTCCTTATGATGTTGTACCATCTTTTGCAAGCACGCCCATGACACCGATTACATCCTCATCATCCTATCAATCATCTAAACCATTCATGGACAATAATTGGCAAAGCTCTCTTGTTATGGGCCTTGGTATCGCTTCTAATAAGGCGGAAAATGTCGAAGTTCGTAAAGGACGATTTAGTGTGAACCAAAGTAACTCCCTTTCTCGAAAAAATAGCACTAGTGTAACAGATGCTGCAAAGTTGGAACAGATTCCCATTCAAACACCTCCTCCTATCCCGTCATCCGAATCATACTCCTCTTCTGATTTGCGCTGTGTTTCTATGTCGCGTGAAACAAGCAATGACAGCTTGAAAGGTACACATACATTTGTATGGAGCAAACTCTAAACTTTTTTATTGTAGAACGAAAATCAAGGTTTGAAGTAACAAGTGGTTCTCCAAACAATCAGAATCCTTTTGAAAATCAACATATAAACAGACCTGAATTACTTCCTTTGACACGAGAATCATCTTTTCGTCACCAGCGCACCTTGTCCCGCGAATCTTTTGCTTCAAGTAAGATTGGTAGATTCTCTATTGAAAAAGAAGACAACAGTACATCGCAAACAGAAGGCGTACATCCTTTTGATGGAGCTATTTCAGCCTCAACCGATTATCGTAAAAAGGGACGCTTCGAACTTACAGGTGGTACTGTTTCTAGCGAGAAATTCGAATCGCCTCAAGCAACGTTGAGTAGCTCTTCACAAGCCTCTTCGTCTATTGCGACACCAGGAGCTACAGAACATAATCATCAGCGGAGGTCGTTTTATTTTGAACAGCAACCCATATCTAGCACATTATCTCTGTATGGTCAAATTGACTATCTCTTACAACAAAACGAATTACAAAAGCAGATGTTGCATGAGGTTTTGTATGAACTCCCATCAAATCAACAACATATACCCAGCGTATCCTCGGGAAGACGCCGCTCGTCTACTGCAGACTTCCGTAAACATTCAAACCATGCTATTGATTCTAGTCATCTCTTGTATCAACCTTCTTCAAATGAAAACTCAAGGTAAACATAGTGGTTGAGTAATTGTTCTTTGACATTTACACAATTTGATTTTGTTTTAGATCATCACCTTTAGTAAAGAACGATATTACAGCAACACTGGTAAGCGAATACACTTGCATAATTATATATATAATGTACTTATAAAGCTTGTAACAGAATCGTCTTCAACAACTACTTTTGTCTTCCTATAAAGAAAAAGATCGGTTAATCAAAGAAAATGATGCTTTGAAACGCGAAGTAGAGTTTTTGAAAAGGAAGCAACAGACACCCGCTACTGTAGATGTTTGAGAACACTTGTTCTATATTTAATCCCTTTTGCTGTTATGTATTATACATGATAACTCAATGAAAAAAAAAAGGCTAATATGTAAACCAGGATTTGTTTTGCATTACATACCAAAAAAGCAACTAAAAAGAATATGTAAATATGTAATTTGAAAATAAAAAAACCCTCCACATACGAAATCCTTGAATACATTACTATACGTGAAGAATCTGCAAAAGAGCATAATAAAAAAGGATATCGCATAACTACACACACCACACGTTCCGGCTAAAATAAAAGAGGGGTCGACCGGGGTTTGAACCCGGGGCCTCTCGCACCCAAAGCGAGAATGATACCACTTCACCATCAACCCTTTTGTGGCTTTGAAAAGTTAAATGTTTTTTCTGTCTAGTTTCAAAATATTAAGATGGTGACGTAAGCAGCTATTCTGATTCGAATCCGTTAGTGTCCGTGCCGCTTCTATACTCTGGGTGTACGTTGTAAAGGGGTGAAGCACCCTATGAGTAATGGATGTTCTTGTTCTGGGTGTTGTAACAGATGTTGGTGATGATTCTGGTGCGTTCGTGGTGAACATGTGTGTTGTAAACATATAGAATCTATATGCATGTGATGATCTGACATTAAATAAGTCTTCAATTACATACTAAGATATATCATAATCAATTTACATCAGAAATAGACATAAAAGAACCTTTTGTACTGAATAAGACAATGTATCTTTTAATAGATCAAGACGTATAACCGAGATCCATAATTTACATTATTTAATTAATTTAAAGTAGTCTATGATAATAGAGACTCAGTCATTTGCATGAACTCCACTACTACTTACTCCGACATCTCTTCATATATAAATACCTAGAGAATGAAGAGCTAGAAAAGGATATACATGTTTTTTGGATAATAAACCTATACAAGTTCTAATCGACTTCTTTGTTTTTATCTTCTCTCTTACATCACAACAGTTGAGATGGAAGGTCAAAATGCGCAAATTCACTTTAAAGTAGTAATGGAAACAATTACAACATGGTAATTATTTGGTGTTAATCAATTTGTTATATTTCGAACTGTTTACGCTAGTTAAGAGATATATGTTATTGGTAAAATTCTTTGTAAGAAACTGGGGCTCATATATTTGTTTATGAAGCTAAAACTGATAAAAAGAACACTTTTTCCCTTCGCTCAAATTTGGTTTTCACTGAATTTTTGTCTTCAGTTCAAAATAGATGCTATAACATTTGCTACGACTGTTTTCCCTTTCTGCAGTTATTAATCAAAAACATATTACTGCTTGAGTTATGAAACATGCTGCTGTATTATGCGTGATCTGTCATTATACCAGTGGGTTATTACGTCAAAACGTCTAAGAAATTATTTTCTAACAAGTATAGAGCCAAAGCTATCATCAGATGTGATGCTGTATGAGTGATCTGAACGAATGTATGCATGTAAAACGATTCTGAGCTCAAGTATACTTCTTAAACTCAAAAACAGATGCTTTGTATTGAAACCTCCCCCAGAGTTTTTTTTTCACTTGAAGGATCTCATTCAATTATACCATACATCAGTCAAGTCTATCGTTTTTACATATAAGCCCGTTGTATTGGCATAATGTCTCAGAATGCAATTCCTTTACGTAACTTCAAATTTATTTCCCTTTCTAAACTTGGTTTAACTTGCGTCTTTTGTTGCAAAAAAGACCATCTACATGTTCGAGTAGTCTGCATTATGATATCAAAGTCACTGTTCAAATAAAAAAGAAGTGTCACTCATTTCTGCTTCCTTATATCCCTTTTTTGATGGTAGAAGACGTAATTGAATGTAACGGGATTTTTCAGTCGAACACTCTTTCTTTGATAAACTTGCTTCTAAAAAAAAACTAAATGACTCTTTATTTATAAAATGCTATTGAAAAGTAACGGAGCTTTTTATCCTACTGAATCTATAGTTAAAAAGAATTTAATATCCACTCGTAGTATTGAAAATGCTGACGTCTGACTCTAGTCTCAATTCATTGATTCTAAAGTGAGACAGACATGACACATCATATACATTGAAAACTTTTAAAATTTCAACTGAAGTTCTCTCTAGAGAAAGTTATATAAATGGCTTTATTTTGGCCTTTTACATGGGAAGTTGAAGCAGAAATAAAAAATATTGATTACTTTTATTTTCTCGGCTTATGCACTCCATACTAGTTTGCTGAGTCTTCATTTATTGCTGTATAACTTCTTTTTTTTTTTTTTTTTTTTTTTTTTTTTTACAAACATCAAGATGATGCAGCTTTGTTTTGATGCATGATATTACTAAGGAAATATGATCTATGGTTTGTCTTTCTGTTCCTTTTTTTTTGCAGCGATATTAAAATTTATGTTTGTTTTTACGTTGCATACAAACTCTGTATTCCAGGTTTTCAATGTTCATTGGATTTCCATGTAGGCAGCCGGAAGAGGTACATGACACGAAAATACCCTTTGCTATGCATGTTTCCTTTCTTCGCATTAAAGCGTATGTTTATTCACAAGAAAAAAAAAGAAATTAGAACAAATTGACATTGATTAAATCTTGTATCTACGTTGCTCTTCTCTGGACTTGCATTTTCAACGGGTTCATCCTTTATAGGAAAAAAAAAACTTCAATTCGAAGCGATACTTCTAAATATGAAACTTTGCCCCATAAGTCATTTGGCACGTCATTGCTTCTTGAGCCACGAATTGCTCAACAGATTGTTATTATTGAATGACATATCTTTAAAATTAAAGTTCTTCTTACTCGACAGCATTGTCTATTTAGCAGCCATGGTTTTGAGCATGTTTTCTCAAGGACTCTTTTTATTTTTAGATTTTGTATAAAAGGTTGGAAGTCGATACTCTTCTCTCTTTTTTGTTTGTTATTTTCCACAACTCAATAGTCTTGAATGAGATCTGTTTCTGATATTTTTCTATGCAACAAAGGCTCGTCTCCAAATTTGAAAGCAGACCTCAGGGCTTCGTTGGGCGAACTTGTCGGAATGCTGATATTTATCTTTCTTGCCTTATCTGGAGCCCAAACTAGTCTCAGAGCACCTCTTCCAAATCTTGTTGGTGATGGCCTGAGTTTAACGTGAGTTAATAAATTAAAAGGCCCAGCAATTAATCACTTTTTGTTTTTAGTCAAATCGAAAGTATATCTTATAGTTTTGGTATTGGTATTGCAGTCGCCCTCTTTGTTTGTGCTCATATATCAGGTGGTGTCTTGAATCCTGCGGTGTTACTCAGTCTTGTCCTCACTGGCAACATCAATTGGCTTCGAGGCATTTTTTTCTTTGTCGCCGAGATCGTTGGTGCAATTATAGGTGCATACTTTGCTCGTTTTATTGCTGCTCAGAACTTTCAAGGCGCAAACGTACTCAACACAAGTTACAATTATGCACAAGGGTTTTTTTTAGAGTGCTTATTAACATGTGTCCTATGCTTGACTGTTCTCTTTGTCATTATTGATAGGCGCTTACTGTCGGATTTCGCGCCCTTAGTTGTCGGTGTTACAGTTTTCGTATGTCACATGATTGCTACGCCTATTGATGGCACATCTATTAACCCTGCTCGTTCTTTTGCTGCTTCTGTTGTCACTGGGAGATGGAGTGATCATTGGATTTTTTGGTTTGGTCCACTTGTAGGTGGTATATTTGCTGTTATGGTTTATGTTTCAATTAAGTTCTTGACTGAAGATCTTCAAATTCAAGGATTACTAGAAGCGGCAAAAAACCAAACTGTGCTTAAAGATGCTAAATTAGACAAGGAAGAAGAAATCGATGTTATAGTCATGGGAGTATAGTGTTTGTATTGAAATGAAGACTTGTTTTTGTTTACTTCTTCCTATTTTTTTTGTTATATTATTCTTTTAAAACGAGCTATGAATTACAATAAAACGGGCTTTCCTGTAAATCTTAACTATGTAATAGCACTCAAAATGCAACAACTATGGTTCTGGGCCAACGCGAGTTTTGTTATCATAATAGCTCTCTATATACCTTGGTGAGCTAGTTTGTAAACAAGCAAAGGCTTTACTTAAAACTAGAGATCAATGGTTTAGATTCATATATTTCTGGATACATATTTACATCATTTGTTCAGATTGTTAACAGGTTCAAAGCTTGTATTTATCTTCTCTTGTTCTATTGAAGACTACGATCAGGCCACTTAATAGTGTATTGTAAAAACTTTATTTGAACAAAATATTATTTTTTTCTCTCTTGTTTGTTTTCCTACTTTAAAGACATATTTCGCTATAACCTGATGTTAGATATTTACAGCCCAATATTATGTTTAAAAAAGCCATAAAAAAGACATCCTAAATGCGTTAGAAAAGCAATCATTAAAGTTCTTAAAACAGGTTTTATCAGAGTAAAAGTATAAATAAGAGACAATAGGCGTTAAATGAAAAACAAAAAGAGGGGTCGACCGGGGTTTGAACCCGGGGCCTCTCGCACCCAAAGCGAGAATGATACCACTTCACCATCAACCCAATTCTGAAAAATTTAAAAAAGACAAATACAGATTTTTTTGTATTTATTTGGCTTGGAAAGCACGTGATAGGCCCTTATATCTTTTTCTCGTCCGAACTTGGTGTTTCCTCTTTTTAGACTCGATTTGGTAAAATTGTCTATTTAAAATCGTTTTTAACGTGTAAATCCAACTACATTGAAATATCAAAGATATAACTTAAAATTCGAAATAACATAAGCTTCGCTATCATGACGGACCAACTTGGGTCGTTTGACTAAAGTAAAAATGTTTGGCTCTATTCACCTTATTTTTTTTTTTCAATTGGTTGACTGAAACTTCATTGATTTTTGATACGCTCTAATTATCAATTTGTTTCTTTGTCTGACCAATCAGTGCCATATTGAGATGAATAAACAAGAGGTCTTGATTATATGCTTATCAAAGTACAATGTTTTATTATCATTAGATTGTTGTAAGAACCATTTTATGCAGTAAAGCTGCCTAGTAGTTCAATTGGATGATATCCACCTTTGGCGATCTGATCAGCCCTTTTTACAAGATCATATGTGATTTCGTTTGATACGACAGAATCTTGTTTGTATTTAGGATGGTTTTGTACAAACTGACGAAGGTAAGCTGCACCAGTCATAAGCTCACCACTTGCTCTTTTACTGATTAAACTCAAGTACGATGACAACTTGCAGCGAGTTTCAATATCAACATTTGTACTGTTGAGATAGCTATGAATCAAAGGCACAAAGCCAGGGAAACCGTTCTCCTATACAATCTTACTTAGAATGCCTTTTTGTCATTGTGCTAAACAATACCTTTCCGTTCACAATTTCATTCATTGTCATAAGCTCGTAAGCATCTTGATCTTCTTGCTCATTCTCTGTGGACAAGTGTTCTCCGCGAGGTGTACTTGAAGAAAAGACATTCTTACGGAAAAAGAATTTGTCGTTTAGTACAGCATCACGTTTATGAGCAGTTTGCATGTTGGCATCCACTTTTGAAATAGGAATATAGAAGTTGAGACCAAAACTGATGATGACACGGGTAAGTAACACGATAAAGACCGAATAAGCTGCATTCTCAAAATCAGATAATTGGACTTCCATACTTCTAAATTCAACACGCCAACCAATTGTGGAGTTTGGTGGAGGAGGCTTGAAACGCATTGTTTGCCAATTTGTAGATTGGAGGTTCTAGTAAACCAAAAAAATGTCAGCAAATGTCTTCCTTTGACGGCTCTATGTTTACCTCAAAATGGTCAGAGCTTTCCTTGTCATCTACGTTCAATAGTTCCTTGAAAACAACGAGTGGATCACGGATGAAGAGGTGTGCAACATGTTTGGCTAACTTATCATCAACATCCCTTTCTCTTAGTCGCTTGTAAATTGCTTCATCATATACTAAATCGATATCATCATATTTTGCTTTGTAAGTAGAATCATTAGATAAATATGAATCGATGGAATCATAACGAGATTTGTTAATAACAAACCGAGAATTTTCTAAGGGCTAAGCGTATGTGTCAGTCTCAAATACATTCTCTCCCTTGTCTTTACCTTTAAGCCTCTTTCTTCAGATGTTCTATCATCTACACTTGAAGAAATAACATTCCATCGTGCATCAACATCAGCCAAATAGCCACGGTATATAGGTGAGTTTGCAGAAAGTGCCATCATCAATGGGGCCACAGGTGCCAATTGGTCATAAAGTCTTCTAGCTTCATCAATATTGCATGCTTGGAATGTGATTTGCAGACAACAGCAGCCCATACCAAATGCCATTGCATCCATGTAAATGTGATCTGGTAAAGCAGCACCCTCTTTAGCTTCTTTATCATGTTTGAACAAATCACGATCCCAAGGAATAGTGGGATCAATGAACGGTTTGGGTGTGTTCTTATCATGAAAAATAGGCATATTGATCTGAACCTTAGATCCTCTACGGCGACGAATATTGGCAGTCAATGTCCTATAAAATCCAATCAGTATGTCATCCTTTTTTTTTCGTATCGCATTCTTACGGGAATCGAGCATGGGGATTGATGATTTCGTCAGGAACAAATAAACTTTGACATGCTTTACCATTGGGCTCATGATCTGGGTATAGCTCATGAGGACAGCCCAAACGAGGATAGTTGACTAGTGTCAGAGCACGTTCATCAGGGTTCATTGCAGCATGAGCCATTTTGCGTCTCAATTTCATATTCGCTTCTACACCAACCAAATCACGGAAAGTAGCACCATATGGCATACCAGGTGTACCTTCAATCATATAACGACCATATTCAGGTCGCCATAAAGCGCTAGGTTCTTTGCTAACAAAAAAAAAAAGGTATTGGTAAATAGGCTCTGCCTTTATCACCTACTCTGTGATTCCTGCCAAAAAGTCTTGTTCCGGTTTGATCAGTTTGTCTAGAATATCAAAGGCGCTGAGTGATAATTTGGTGCTTTTCTCTTCATCATTGACTTTTACTACTATGTATTCAATCTACAATAATTCTCAATTATTGAGGAACAAAAAGAAACAAACGAACAAACACATACTTCGTCTCCCCATAATAAAGAGTGTTTCTGTCTATCTTTTTGGCTGTGATAAATATTCAAGAACTGCTCAATACCGTGTTGGCGAACATGATCAGCATAATCTTTGGCTTCTTTCCAAGGAAGAGGTGTACCGAGGGATAAGAGACCCATGTTTTATCTATAGTTTTCTGTAAAGAATATGAGAAAAAAGAAGAACAATGTCGTTATCTGAAAAAGAACAGATGGTTTTAAAAGCCACCACATCGTTCTGACAAATAATTCAATAATTTGTCAGCAAGATCACCCTGTATGCATGTATTGGTAAGCAATATGATATCTTTTTCTTACGGAGGATTCTATATGCATCATCTCATTGTTATTACTATCGTTCTTACATTCGCAAAAAAAAAGTGAATTCAATTTGTAGAGATCGCGCTTAATTGCGCCATAATATGATTAAATGATTATCTCAGTAAAGTGTATTTACACATGATCTTCTTGTTTCTATATGCAGAGCTCCTGTTATCGAGAAAAGCCTGGTTATTTGTAGAGAATATCTGAATATTACTTATACAAGAATAATACGAGTTCTTATACTCAACATAGGACACAATGCTGTTTCTATAACAAAAGGGACCAAGAAATCACCTAGGAACCATTCACGGACCGTTGTTATCGAAGTGAATCGGATCTTTAATCGCTACAGATTATCAGCCCGCTAGTTCTTTTCACCAGTCTCAAACATTAAACAAATCTTCTGCTTTTGGCTCCGCCTTTCTCTCCCTCTTTTTTCCTTTTCCATTATAAGCAAGATGAAGAAATACGTCCCGCCGAAGGATGCGCCCCACAGAAAGCCCAGGGCAACTTTTCTTCGAGATCTCTCCAAATACTTGGCTGATCATCAGATTGGTACTATTCTCAGTTGTAGAAACACGGTATTTGTCGTACTAATTACTTTTTCTCGGTAGAGATCCCCATGAAATTTATTGCATTTATTGTGGCAGGCTGTTTCCTTCGATTGCCTTTCTTTCAAAACTTTGTATTTATTAGCAATCAAAGAAATGATGGTCGATATGAAAAGAGTTTATGGGACTTCGCTTTTTTATTCTTTTATATTTGTGTTTTTACAGCACTTCGGGCAGCTATTATGGATTATGTCTTAATACCTTTGGCCAAATATACTAATGTGCTTGTTAAGAAACATCAAAGATTTGCAGAACAATCTTGGGCTTTTATGTATTATACTTTTGCTTTCATTTTTGGTGTTGTAAGTATATCGGAAAAGATGATGGGTGCTCCAACTAAAAGCTGATTTGTATAGTATGTTATGAAGGATGAACCTTGGTGGTTTGATACAACCTATTTCTGGCGTGATTATCCCGTTACTGATTATTCAAGAGGATTCAAGTATTATTATTTAGTTCAATTTGCCTTTTGGCTTCAGCAGATTTTCGTGCTTCAAATCGAGGCACCTAGAAAGGATTATAAGGAACTAGTCATGCATCACATCAATACTTTGTTATTAGTCAGTCTCAGTTATTGCTGTAACTTTACAAGAGTTGGTAATGCAGTTTTTGTTTGTATGGACTTGCCTGATTTATTTTTGGCTGTAAGTGAGCTTTTTTTTTCTAAACAAAAATTAACCTTTTTTTTTAATAGCTCGCTAAAGCCTTAAATTATGTTTGCCCTGGATTAATCTGTAATGTCACATTTGCAACTATGGCTTGTTCATGGATGTACGCTCGTGTCTACCTTTATGGACGTATTATTATATCAACTATTACGGAACCCGAACTCTATGTCCCTGTATTCAAACTTGATCCTCTCAATGGTCATTGGTTCCCTCACTTTGTGAAATACATCATTGCCGGCCTTATGATCGGTCTTTACTTCCTTATTCTTTTCTGGACGTTGATGATCTTCAAGGTCATATATAAGATTGCAACTTCTACTGAAGCAAAAGATGTTCGTTCAGATGACGAAGAGGAGACTGAGGATGTATCGATTGAAAAGATTGAAGGGTAGGTTTTCATACTTGATTAAATTGAAATGCTCAATTGTTCTTTAGTGATCATTCTACTCCCAAAACACTAGTTAGAGGCTTAAAAGACAAGAGTCAATAATATTATAATCCATGCATATACAACACCTTCCCCTCACCTTTTTCTCTCTTAATAATAATAATGGTAATAGTATTTTGTTTGTAACTCAATTCTCCACCTCCTTTCTTCTTCTCCTAATACCTCATCAAAACAATCGGAACATACAATAATAAACAGTAATACAACGTTTATAAAGGATATACATACGCAGGCTTTATTTATTTGTTGAATTTTGATCAAAACGATTACCAAATCCATTAACAAATTAGATGAGATATTAATGCGTTAAAAATTATCCGTAAAAGTGCATGGTATATATAAACGCTAAGAAATCTCAAAAGACTTTCGTTGTTCCTTTATGCTTACCAGAAAACTACTTACGTACAGTTGGATTACACTTATTGTCCTCTTGTGCATTATAAAAACTGTATCTGCAGGGCATCACCATCACCATCATCATGATAGCGACGATGAAAGTGACAGTGACCATGACAGCGATAGCGATGACAATGAAAAGCATGACAAAAAAGAAGCAAAACCAGTTGATTTAACTGAAACTATTACACCTCATAATGAAGAATGGCTGAAAGAGTTTGACTTAACAGATATTGTAGGCAATGTCCGTCCCGTTGGCTCCGGTATTTGTAAAGCACCAAAATGTGATGGCACAGACAATGATGAATGCTTTGAAAGCTGCGGAAACAAAGCAACACCCGATGATATCTATGGTTGTCCTGAACGAGACAATTGGGCTCTTACTTTTGATGATGGTCCTAGCAATTTCACCACCGATTTACTCGATATTCTTGACGAAGCTGATATCAAAGCTACTTTCTGTATCATGGGTGCTCATGCCAAACAATATCCTGAGATTGTCAAGAGGGCTTATGAATCTGGACACCAGATTGCTTCTCACACTTACTCTCATGCACACTTGATGAGCTTGACAAACGAAGAAATTATTTATGAACTTAGAGCAACTGAAGAAGTGATCAAAGAAATTATTGGTATCCGACCTCGTTATATTCGTCCTCCTTATGGTGAAGCTGACGCCCGTGTCAAGCAAATCTTTAAGAAACTAGGCTACAAGGCATTGATGTGGAATGTTGATCCTACTGACTACAATGTCCATATGTTACCTGATGGTGCTCAGCAAATTCAACAGATGTTTGATAAAATCGCAAGCGGAACCCCTAGTAACCTAAACGCTCATAGTGATCCTGGCTTTATCAGTCTTCAGCATGGTAAGTCTACATTTTTATTAATTGCGTAATAAGGCTAATGCACTCCGTATTAGATTTGTACAATACTTCAATTCAACAAGTACCCAAAATCATTGAAAGCTTAAAAGACAAGGGATTTTCATTCTCAACAGCTGCTCAATGTGTAGGAGACAAGAAGCCTCATAGAAAAGGTGATCGCTCTGAGGATTCTGACTATGGCTCTGATGATGATGATGATGATGATTATCATGAAGACAAGCTCAAGCAAAACTCCGCTGAATCATTCTCTGAAATGAAAGCAAGCCAACAACAAGAACAATCCCAAATGTCTTCTGCCGGCTCCTTGTCTTCTTCTTTCTTTGTAACCCTCGGGTTGGCTATTGCTGGTCTTGCCAATTGCCTTATTTAAGTCACATTTTTATATTTAGAATATTACAACAATAAAATATTTATTTATGTGTAATTCACTCCATAATTCATAATATCATAAAAAGCTGCTACTTAATCGAAGTGTTATAGACTGATAGTTATGTTATACAAAAAAAAGACTTCTTTGTGGCTCATAGAGTCATTGTGGCTTTATCAAACTTGATTTATAAATTCATGCAATATCTCTTCTATTTTTCACTTTGTTGTTTTGTTTGAAATACCCTGTATTAAACCTAATGCTATACCGGGAGATTAATTACGTTATCCACTATTAGAAGCTATTGTTGCACAAAAAGATAAACTGTGTACCTGCATGTATATTTATGATTACACAAGATATTCAGTTTTTTGTTGACCAGTATTTCGTTCTACCTCCAAGTCAGATTAGTTGTTTATTCTAGTTTGGTTTCGCTGCACAATGTGATTGAACATTCAAATTAGTTGAGTACGCAGTATTTATTCAACATTTATTGAAAAAAGTAAAAAAAAAGCATTTTAAAGTGATGGTAGCATATATAAATCTTCCTGATATTCTGCAAAGATACATTAGGATATACAATTCAAAACATTACAAGATAAAGCGTGTTGGGAGACAAGAATGTATAATTCCATTAGACATATAAGAGAAGAAATATTTCGACAAGTGTCAATAAAACAAAATCGTAAGTGTCAATATGTTAATTAAAAACATTCTTATTGTTTATTTACTTTTGCCGGAATTGGAGAGATAGTAAGAAAATAGAATAGCTAGATAAAGAAGGAGAGCGTAATTAAACACGTTGTTGAGACAGCAAGGTATGTATAGTATTAGGACGGGAATGTATGTGTGAATACCAAAATGATTCAAAATTAAAGCTATATGCATGTCATACAGATCGAGAGTACATTTTTTTATTAAGCCATCATCAAAGCCATAGTGACAAGAGCAAACACCAAAGTTATGATAGAAGGCTGGAATTGATAAGCAGCATTGACAGATTGTTCAGTAATATCATTATTTTGACTTAACATTTCATTCTTCTTGTTGGAAATAGAGTTATCACCATCAGAAGTACCAGACTTTTCATTAGAAGAAGGAGTTGTCTTTGCATTCGAGATACTGATGGTAGTAGCACTAGCAGCAGGAGCAACATTATCAGTAGTAGGCTCATTGGTAGTAGTAGTAGTAGTAGTAGTGGTGGTGGTGGTGGTGGTGATAGGTTCATGAGTAGTGATAGTAGTAGTAGTAGTAGTAGTAGTAGTAGTAGTAGTAGTAGTAGTAGTCTTGGACTTAGTCTTTGTCTTCGTTGTTTTAGTAGTTGATTTAGTAGTAGCAGGCGAGTCAGAATCAGCGTCAGAAGAAGGGCCATTGCCATAGGGGCCACTATAATCACCAGGAATAATATGAGCACAGCCCTTTTCAGAGATACCACGATTACAGGTTCTATTATCATTCTATTAAATCGTTAGTCATGATATACGCATCAATGGACAAGCTTTTTAACTTACACAACAACGCATACAGAATGTTTTACCAGCAGGCTCAATCAAGTTGACATAGTATTTCCAGCCAGCACAAGAAGAGCCTTTAGGAGCCTTGATATCCATTTGCCCACCTTCATCAGTAACATTCAACTTAGCCTTAGAAGGATTGATCTGACCAGTCACTTGAATGTACTTATCGGTTTGAAGAAAGTGCGCTGATTGAATAAAACCAGAATTCAATTTGCCAGCATTCTTTGCCAAAGGTGCATTACCGAGACAAAAGGCTTGAGCATTCCATTCAGTGTCTGCAATATTTCTGTCGGCAGAGTCATTAGGAGGTAAGAAGACACAAAAGTTGTTGGCATCTACAACTTGCGCAATTTGGCCATATGCATTGACAAAAGATGCAAGAAGAGTCATCGATACGATGAGTAAGCTAGTGTTGTGAATGGCAACCATTGTGTATGTATTATGTATTAGAGATGTCTATTGTTGAATGAAAGGATAGGGCTGATTCGTTGCTTATTCTAGTTTAATAATGATACAATAAAGAGTGAAAAAAATCAATGAAAACAAAAGATAAAAAGGGTACCTTTTTATACCAGAGAAATCAGTGCAATTAAAGATTTTCGGCAAAAGGGAGTTAGAATTAGCAGGACTTTGCCCATCTAGGAGTCGAAGCTAAATCTGGGTAAATTCATTATTTTATCAAGCAAGGTGTAGGACAGAACACTGTTAGTGACACATTTGTAGAAGATTTATATGCGATACTAAACAGAGAAAATGCAAAATAGGGTTAAAGCACAGACGAACAAATATTGTAAATTATATAAAGAATAATGTATAAAGTAGCGCTTCTAAATTACTACAATCATGATTTCATTTTATCTAGTCATTATATATTTCAACATCCATTTGCCAGAGTTAAATAGACGCATTGAACCTAAGCTTTAGAAACAAAAGAATAAAAAAGTCAATCTATAACAATAAACGTATTTATTTTTAGTAGAGCTCCTTTTCGTCTTCCAAATTTAGAATTGAAGCTCCTTTTTCTTCTTTTCTTCTTTCCTACAAGGTTATCTACTTAGAATTCCTACTAAATTCCTAGCCTCTTCTGACAAGTAAATTACAACGTGCGCAGTTTTTTAGGGCTCTTTTTTTTTGTGCTTTGCTGTACTATGTACCTGATAAATTATGCTTAGCCAATTAAATACCTAAATTATTTTTACTTAATGCATGTTACGCATAATAAGTATAGGCATTCATACTAATGTGCTTATCGCAAAAACATTATGATCGCTAGCATATGTAGCCTATTCAAAGCTAAGCAGGCATGTACAGGCCTTCTAGGATGGAAAAAAGGTTCAGAATGAGATATTGCCCCATTTCTTCATATAAAAAAAGAACAATAACATCTTGATTTGCCAAATTGTTCGTTGATACAAACCCAGTTTGATTTCTTAAGCAGACGCATTCTAATACAAATTAAGCACAAGTTTCGGTTAATAACACTAACAATTGACTCTCAATACTTGCTAGTAAACATTAAAGTAGATCAGCCATGAATCACGAGTGTCTTGGCATACTTGGTATACAAATAGTGTTTGACTTTATATTTATTGATCAGCATTTTACAGGTACACATTTCGTCATAACCTGAAGAAGCATGCTTATGCTCAGTCAAAAAGCTTTTCAACGGTTATGCAATTGACCACTGCTCTCTTTTTCAAAAAACTCCCAGCAGACATCAAAGAATCTGACATTGAATGACAACATTGACAACAAGTTTATGATTATTATAAACGTCTGCAGTGGCCATCATAATATTCATGCAATGTGCCTATCTATCGTAAGGCTTTGTGGTGTAATTGCGTCTAAAACCAAATGTAAATGATCGCTACACAGCAGAACAAATAAGCTATAATTAAACTAAATTACCTCAAAAAGTACGTATACAAATATATGTATGTGCCTAATAGAGAAAAAGAAAGAAATTATCTTTAGCTCGTACAGGACTCGAACGCAACATAGCTACTTAACCAGTTAAGAGCCATGTCAAATCAGTAATCAAACTTTTTCTTTGATTTTTCTTGTTATGGAACTTACTCATTAGAATTAACATTGAGTATATGCTTTATCCAATAAAATGACTGGTTTCACTCTTATAGTGGCCATCTATTTTTGTTACACGCTGAGCGATATCTGCATTATTTTTGCCCGGACAATTTTGATCCTTGTGAAGAGTCATTTTTGTAGATCCGGTCACCATCTATGCAGTCATTCAATCGATTTTTTTTTTTTGATATTATTAAGATTATCTTTTCTTATTCTTCTTTCTTCTTTCTTCTTTCTCTTTTCTTTTTTCTTTATATCAACCGAACAATGGCCCTCTTAAACAGGTAAAAAAAGTAAAGAGCTGAGAGGATTATTATATTCAATTCATTTCGTAGTGATTGTCCTGACCTTAAACTTGTTGCTCGCGGTAAAGTCCGTGATTTATATGAAGTTGATGAAAAATCTCTTCTTTTTGTTGCCACTGATCGTATCAGCGCCTTTGATGTTATTATGAAGAACGTAAGTGACCATAAAGAAAACTTAAAAGACAAGCCTTCTGGCCTCTTCTATTTATACATAAACAAATCTAAACAGGTCTCTGAATAGCCTATTACCGGAAAGGGTAAAATTTTGACACAAATTTCCTTATTCTGGTTTGATCTTTTAAAGGACGTCTTGCCTAACCATTTGATTACTGCCGATTTCGATGAAATGCCTAAAAATGTTCAAAAATACCGTGACCAACTTGAAGGCAGATCTATTTTGGTCAAGAAGATGCGTATTGTTCCTATTGAAGCTATTGTTCGTGGCTATATTACTGGATCAGGATGGTCAGAATACAAGAAGAAGGGTACTATTTGTGATATTTCTCTTCCTGAAGGTTTAGTTGAAAGTGAGAAGCTTCCTCAAGTGCTTTTCACTCCTAGCACAAAAGCTGAAATTGGTGATCATGGTAATTTAGATGGTTCTTAAAAACTATCGACATCTAATTTTACTGATATAGATGAAAACATTCATCCTTCAAAGATGGTAGAAATCCTAGGAGACAAAGAACTTGCTGATAAAATTACTCAATCTGCTATTGAGCTTTACAGTAAGGCCAGCGAATATGCTGCCAAGAAGGGCATCATTATTGCTGATACTAAATTTGAATTTGGTTTGGATGAAAACAACAATCTGGTCTTGGTTGATGAAGTATTAACACCTGGTAAGAGTGTTGGTAGAAGGAAGAAATAATTTAACACCCTCTGTATAGACTCTTCTCGCTTCTGGCCTGCTGACAAATATGAAGCTGGTCGTTCTCAAGATAGTTTCGATAAGCAATTCTTACGCAACTATCTTGAGTCAATCAATTTTGACAAAAACACAAGTATTGAGCTTCCTTCTGATGTTGTGGAAAACACTCTTGCTAAATACAAAGAAGCTTTTCTTCTTTTGACTGGAAAGGAAGTCAAGTTGTAAAATAATTAAACTGTAAAATAAAAGATATCAAATGGAAATAGGGAAAACTTGATTGAGCAATGTCATAACCCCGAGACTCGGATTGCACTATATTGTATTAAAACGTATGATTTTTTTCTTTTGCTAATTTGCAATACTTCAAACAAATGGAAAACTATTCGATGCATGAATTTCAGTGTACCTACCACAAAGAATACAAAAGCATTCTATGCTTTCCAGCGAGTACACAAAGGGAAACCTTGTACCATTTTGTCATTAATAATAAAAAAACTTTTGTATTTTTCAAGACTTTTTTAAGAGAAGTAATTTTATTTACTATAAGGGTATGGTTTTGACAATAAATACATTCTAAATAACGTTTATACATATAAAAAAGAAAAGAAGAGGGGGGGGGAAATCATAAATAAAATTAAATAGAGATTAAGCAACAATTAAGTTGGCTATCATAAAAATAGGTCATATGCACATCTTATTATTGTTGTTGTCGTGCTTTTTTTTTTCGTGCACATCCTGTGTCAACAGTTTGGTGTCTCTTAAAAGCATCTCTTCGTGAAAACTTTTTTCCACAGCTACAGGTATGAGGTTTCACTCCAGAGTGAAGAAGTTCATGTCTCTTCAGATCATGTGGACGAGCGAAAGTCCAACCACAATCAGGATGTGTACAGCGATAAGGTCGTTCGTTTGTATGTGTTCTTTGATGCGATTTGAGGTTATAGGGCCTGGAAAAAGTTTTGGAGCATATAGTACATTGTAATTGACTAGGATGTATTGTTCTTCTTCTTGTTCTTCTTTGTGTTTGACAAATGATAGGCTTAAAGGATTGATCTTCAGAGATAGAATAGCAATAATCTGGTTGATAGTAAAGTTGTTTTGATAAGCATGTCTGATTTGAGTTTCCCATGACACTTGTGTATATTTCAGTTTCATGACTGGTTTGTGGCATTTGGTCATCTGGGTAACCTAGTTGTTGTGGAAATGGTGTGCTTTGGACTGAATTGCTAACATTTGAAACGGCACATTCAATACTGTCTGAATACATGCTAGCAGGAGAGAGTGGAGTATAGCCAAAGGAAGTTGAATCGAATTTATTCATCATGGAACTTGAGTTATCAGGGCTATAAAAGTGAATTCCAGGTATAGGTTGAGCAGAAGGAGTAGGAGTAGGGTATGTTTGCTGATGCTCGAATAGTAACATGTTCAATGCTTCTTCAGGGGAGTTCTGAGTTGAGCAAGCCATTTCATAAGGGAACAGACTTGAGAAAAACTCCTGATTCTGCTGCTGATGTTTCTGTTGTTCCCAGGTATATGAGGGTGCAGTAGCATCAAGTGTCAATGGGGGAAAAAGAGAGGCTTCATTTTTACTAACTGATGTGCCATTGAAGAATGAGTTGATTAAGAAATCATTTTGTATATGATCAGATAAACTACAAACAGATTGACAGCTAATAGATAAATAAAAGTGTTAGAGAATATAAAAGATAGAATTAGGGCATACCCGAATGAATTCATATTAATTTTGTTGACAAAGGAAAAAAAGAAAAGTGAAAGAAAAAGGATTTCATAAAACACTTTATGGTATATATGTGTTTTTTTAACTAACAAGGTTATACTTTGTACTCTTCCGTGCTACGGTAAAGCTATTACTAGATTTGGAGTATAAGCATCGGTGAACCCAACTTTAGATAATAGTATGACAATCGCGATCAACATTAACCAGTAGTTAAACAAGGAAAGCTTCTTTCTTATTGTTTACTGCTTCCCTTTCGCTCAAAATGTCTGTTTCAATTAATGTAAAGCACATTAATACTGTTTTGAGATATCAGTTTCATATACATAGAGTTATGCTTCATGTTTACGCCTGGAATGGTCATCAGTGTTTGATATTTCATTTTCTTTTCTTTTCTTCCTTTTTTATTTATCGCTTAACATCGGAGATACACTGACTGTGTTCATATTTAGGAATGTGTCTTTTTTGTACGAAAGCCGATCTGTCCCAAGGCGCATTAGAAAACAAAAGCTTATTTGAGTAGCATAAGAAAAAAACGCGTTTCATCATATAAACAAAAGATATTAGGATATGCTCAGCTAATTTTAGCAGAATTAAATCCGTATCCTTACTTTCTCTTTCTCTAAAGGTACTCTTGTTGATCTGGGGACCAATTCAAGATGGAAAAAATTAATAAAGAAATGCCGTTGATTTCAATGCACGATATACATAGTTTTACCGAATGCCTGGCCTTGTCCCCTTTCACCTCTTTCATAAAATGAAAAAACCTTAATCTCTATTTTAGACTAAACAGTCTGACAAAGGCCTATCGTATAAGCCGCAGTATTAATGGCGGGCGCAAGCGCATAAACACATGCATATTTATAGATTCTTATAATCTGACAGAAGCTCAGTTTACTTTTACTTTATTCAATTTTAACTTTGATCTGCAACTTTGTTCTCTTTCCGTATTATTTTTTTTATTCTTAATAGCTACATCTTTCTCAAATGTCTAAAGAAGCACTAGCAAAATGTTGTTGTCTACGACGTTTGGGAGACAAATAAAGGTTTGTTGTGTCATGTACACCATTTAATGTCTTGGGAGTTCGGAGCGTGCGCGCGAAGAATACCCTTTTTAGTGATACAAGAAAAGTTCTTATCATTATATCATCAAAAAGAAGGAAAAGAAACTATAAAACGAGGCTAAAAACCTTGAAAATAAAAAGAGACAAGCTATTGTTAGTCAGAATCTCTCTCTCTTTCTCTTTTTTTTTTGCTTTCTTTTTTTAAATAAATCCAAAAGTAGATAGTTTCACAATGCAAGCCTCGCTATAAAGGGCTCCTCTTTCAATCAAAACAGTGCGTGATTCAATCCAACTCCATTGTTTTCTATTTTAATCTCGATATTAAGAAAATCTATGACCTCAGAAATTAACTTGTGGGGGATTTCTTAATTCTTAATCAAATCAGACCATTTTTTCACAACCAATAATAGTATGTCTTTGAATGTGTATTATCTGCATTTAATTTTTTTCAAAAGAGTGGGGGGGGGGGAAAAGATCAAAGTGTATTGTCATGGCTTACTAATGACAGTTGAATATGGGTATATGAGTACGTTGTACCATAAAACAAATCAAACTAATAAAGGAAGAACGCAAATTAAAAGAGAGCGTTATCTACGGAGATAAACTCTTCAAAATGATAGTGTTTCTTATTGTGACACTTGTAAATCAGACCCTGAGGAAGAAGAGGGGGAGGAAATAATGCCATCAAGAGAAACGGGTTCGAGCACGCCGAACAGATAAGTTTAATGTGACTTGTCAAAGCAAAATTTTCTCTCCACATTGCGACTGCTTATTTTGTTTCCTTCTTTCTTAACATTTGCTTTTTTCTACTCACTTACTATGCCTGTCAGATCGCCCACTATGAACTCAACCGCTGTTCAAGAAATCCCTACACAAGATATGTCAAAGAGTTTAATACCCACTCTTTCTGAAAAGGAAGAGACAAATGAAAATGTCAGTAAAGAGAAATTGGCCAACATGAAGCTTATCATGAAGACATATGTTTTAGGCGCTTTGCGAGAAAAAGAACAGGTAAACTATTTTATTTCTTGATTTAAGCCATCTTTTCTGTATGGTTTAAAGATAGTTTTATTATGGTTTTTTTTTTTGCTTCCCTTCACTTTCCCCTTCCTCCCCTTCTTTCATTCAATTCTCTTTTCTTCGTATACCACAGGCCTATCATTATCAACTATCATGTAACTTGAAAAAGTGAACAATGGGATCAAGCTTTTTTTTTTCGAGTAGATTTTTTTTTGCTTCACAAAAAAAACAAAAAAAAAACAACCAACTACTGCGGCATGTCCCCGTATTGTGTGGTCAACAATACGTTCGGGTAATTGCAAAGCTTTTCATGGGTCCAAAAAAGTAAATTGTACAATTGTTTCCATATTTTATTATATTCTTTTTTAAATGATTAAAAAAAAGAAGAGGGAAAACAAAAAGGAGAAATCCTGTCAGAAAAAAGAGATACATATGCTTCTTTTTTTACATGCAGAAAAGATGGAAGATCTTTTCATAATATGGGAATAGACAATACTTAGTAGTTGGACAAGTACCATTGTTGTTGATCTTTATAAATCCCACTTGTGTGTAGGATTTAGTAGAAAAAAGAAGGATTTTCTATCTTTGACTTTCTTCAACCCTTTCTCTTTTTTATCATTTATCTTTTATGTTGGTTATGTCATGACTAACCTCATTTCAATGATAGGGCAATACTTCTCGGTATAATGAATTGGTAGAAACACTCAACAGAGATCCTTCGGGCCCAGAAGCACCTTCCACATTGAAGCTATACACATGGATTGTTGTGCTGTCCCAATCTGTATCATTGCTCGACAAATCTTGTTCTACACTTGTCGAAGCTGCTTTACAGGTCGATTGGAGCTTCCGCAATAGAGGATTTGTGAATGCATACATTGGTTTTTTGGAAAACTTAGTTTCTGCTCATGCATTCTATGTTGTCCCTATTTTAAATTCACTTGTTGAAGGATTCAGATACCGTAAGTGTAGGCAAAAATAGCAAATTTGATTCCTTATGTATCCTATTTAGGTCTTCGTTTGCCTGAAAATGCTACTGTTGCTCGTACTACATCTTATGATCGTTGTCACGAAGCTCTTCAATGTATTCTTCAATTGATTCCTACAGGTGCCAATTCACTTTTTGTTAGTCTGGTACGCTTTATGCCTCACAAGCGATTTAATTCTGCTGAGCAAGCTGCCTATATCAAAAATATTCTATCCGTTGCTGAGTATGTTCCCATGTTGCGCAAACAAATCCTTGGTCTGGTAGTTGATCAAATGGTTCAAATAGACGCACAAATCCAAATCGAGCTGGACGAAATGGACGAAGATGTCGAATTTGACGTTTATAACTTAGATTTTGATCAGGATTATAACTCTGAAAACAGTGATTCTGAAGACGATGACGATGAGGAGGATATTTCTGATGATGATTCTGTAGCTTCAGACTATATAGCCGACCACAACGATTCTGTTCAACAAATTAAATACATGGTTCGCAAATTGGATGCTATGATGAATTTGACATTCCAATACTTTGAAAGAAGCTCAAAGCAGGCTTCTGTTGATGTTCAAAACGAAATCTTTTATGCTTTGGTAGACATCTTTGACAGGTCCATTCTCAAGACATTAAAATCGCGATACACACAATTTTTGCTGTTTTACTATTGTTCCTTGAATGTTAATGTCTACAGCGCTTACTTTTTGGACCACTTGATCAAGCATATTACTGATCCTTTAAAGCCTAATGTTACCCGTGTCTCTGCTGCTGCCTACATTTCTTCCTATGTTGCTCGTGCCAAGTTTTTAGATTCCAGTACAATTCAGGGTCTAATCTCTGTGCTATCTGTTTGGTGTGACAACTATGTTGATCAAAACGAATCTTTGATTCGTGGTTTAGATTGTACGAAACATGATGTGCTTTATGCTGTAGTTCAAGCTATCATGTATATCTTTTGTTTCCGTTGGAGAGATCTTGTGATTGACAACGATCTTGAAATCGAAGAAGAAATGGAAGAAGAGTCACCCATGTCAGAAGAACATCGTCGTTTAACACATCCTGAATCAGGTTTTGGCAGTGGTGCTAGCCGTACTTGGTGTGTCGGTTTGCGCAATTTACCTCGTTTGGTGATGAGTAAATTCAATCCATTGAAATTGTGTGCTCCTGCTGTAGTCCGTCAATTTGCCAAATTGGCTCGCAACACTCACTTTATGTATGTATACCCTGTCTTGGAAAAGAACCGAGAAGTATTTGTTCCTGGTTTAGGAAGCGCCAACTTACTACAAACTGTGCAAACATTCTTTCCATTTGATCCATTCAAGCTAGAAAGCAGTCGAGGTTTTATTGATCCCATCTATTTTGAATGGATCTCTGAAGACGACGATGAAGACGATGATGAAAGTGAAGAAGAAGAAGACACCGAAGATGAGGATGTAACTTCAGGGATGATGGCTATGAGTATTAGTCCTAGCCCTACTCATTATTTACAATAATCTCATCCGTCATCACTTCAAACTTCCTACATGTTCTATACACTGCCTTATTGCATATTATTCATTTCAATAATAAATTACTTTTTTGTCAACTTTATTATTATTGTAGTGACTGTAACTTGCTATGTCTCCAACCAACAGTTTCAGGTTTCAGTACAAAGACAATCACTAAAATAATCATAAGAGCAATGGTGAAAGTACCAAAAGCAATTCGAGAACGATGTCGCCAAATACGATCAACTCTTCTACTTGCTGAAGTTTGACGGTCTGCATAAGATGAAACGTAGAATGCACCAAACAACCAAAAAGGGGGAAACAAAAATCCAAGCATGAAACAGACAAAGGATCGACGACATCTTCCAAACTTCGGGTTCTGTTCCTCTTCTGCTCCATTGGTCATATCTGGTTGCTTTTCATCAGGGTCCAAAGAAGAAGAGTCAGAGGACAAAGTACTTCCTGCATCATCTTGAGCTTCTTTACGTAGTTTTTTTGCTTTTTCTACTAATTTCTGTCTCCAACGGGCAGTCAGAGTGCTACAGTTTTTACTGATGGTATTGTTGCTTTGATCTTCTTCCAAAGCTCCCTCTGCATCTTTTTGATCACCTTGTGTCTGTTTTTCTGATTTTACACGAATTTTCTTTAAAAGCTCTAAACGCTCTATCAATGTCTTTTCATCTCGAGGGCCCCAAATTTGTTTATTCATAGAAGCTCTGTTGTCAGTCAGGCAAGGTAGCGTAGGTGTTAAAATGCCCGCTGTTGGCGTAGAAGATGCAGTACAATGAGACATGGAACCATCACAGCTTGGCCTAGTACTTGAGCGAGGTGACTTGAGTGGTTCTAGCATCAAATTACCATCATCAATGAGTCTATCTACTTTCTTTTGATGCGCTTCTTGATCTTGTTCTTCTGTTTGCTCAGAACCTTGAACAAATGCGCCAAAAGAATATTGTGCCTCAAAGAAGGCATCCCAGCGCTGTCTCTGTAAACGTGCATCTAACGTGGCCGTAGATTCTGGTCTTTTTCTGTTTCCTTGAGGAAACTGCTGCGTAGTCCCTTCAATCAAATCCATGCTATTCCGACTGTCTCGGAGTCTTATGCTTTGAGTGCAACTACTTGTCCTGCTATGCATTGGCATTTTCTGTTGCTTTATCGTCTGTTGTTCCATGTCGTGATTGACAGAAGAAATGGAAAGCAACAATCAGTGAAATCAAAGATATCATAACGGAAAATTAATCTTGTGTTTATTTGCAACTTGGAATAAAGTCAACTTTATTTGTTGATAAAAAAAAACAGTGTCGATAGGACAAGGAGTATTATCATCAAGATATTAACAAATTGTGCGTGGTTTATTATGTATATGCTATATTACAAAAAAGAGAGAAAGAGAGTCTAATTCTTGAGCTGAGATTTGTAATGAACTTCAGGGAGTTCTCTAAGACGACTAGCAGCTTGTTCAGGTGTCAAATCACGTTGAGGCTCACCCAACATTTCATAACCTACAAGGAATTTGCGGACAGTAGCACTTCTAAGAAGAGGAGGATAGTAGTGAAGATGAAGGTGAGCGTAATGGTATTCACCATTCAAAGGCTTTTGATGAATCCCCATAGAGTAAGGGAAACTTGTTTGGAAGAGATTGTCATAGCGACAAGTGACACGACGAACAGCATCAGCAAGGTCTTCTTTCTGTTTTTCATCCATTTCGGGCAAAGAGCCAATGTGAACCTTAGGTAACACCATGACTTCAAATGGCCAAACAGCCCAAAAAGGAACTACCACCAAAAAGGTACCATTCTCAAATACAGTACGCTTGCGCTCAGGATCACTCAATTCGCGTTGAGCATAATCACATAACAAACACTTGCCTTGATGTTTTTCTTGGTATTCTCTCAAAGAAATCAATTCCTTACCGGGTTCTTCAGGTACACGTTCAGTACACCACATTTGTCCATGAGGATGAGGGTTTGAGCAGCCCATCGCAGCACCTTTGTTTTCAAAAATCTGAACATGGTTAACAAAAGACTTCTTTTTCATCTCTTGGTAGCTATCAGTCCAAATATCGACCACCTTCTTGACGTCCTCAACAGACATTTCAGCAAGCGTCAAGTCATGACGAGGAGAAAAGCAAATGACGTGACATTCCCCACGGACACCTTCTACCTTGATTAAATCATCGTCGTTGGCTTCAAGCTCTGGTTGATCTGCCTTGACTGCAGCGAAATCATTGGGGAAACGAAAAGTAGTATCATACTTGGGGTTCTTTTCGCCATTGGCTCTTTCGTTTCCAGGACAGAGATAGCACTTGGGATCATATTCAGGTCTTTGTTCAATATCTCCACCTTCTTGTTGTCCTTGCCAAGGTCTTTGTGTACGATGGGGAGAACAGAGAACCCATGACTTTGTAAGAGGGTTATAGCGACGATGAGAGTTATTACCGTAATCAAACATGATATGAAAAAAACAACAATAAAATAAAAGAAAAAAAGTGATATAATCCATGGTTTGTCATTTATATACGAAAAAAATATAAATCAAAGGCCGCAGAGGAGACTTGATTATCTAAACAACTGAGTTGAATTTAGCTCCCGTCAGCTTACGTAAATTACACACCCGACAATTTAGACGTTTTTTTTTTTTTTTTTTTTTTTTTTTTTTTTTTTTTTTTTTTTTTTACAAAAACCATCTAGATTTGGTATCCTGTTTCTGCCAATAGTTTGACCATTTCTATTACATGTTAGATAAATAAAGTTTACATTTTTACTTGTTACCTTGCCACTCAATCCCACTTGAAGCTTCCCATAAAGAAGATTGTTGATCGTCTCTATTGTTATTTTGGCTAATACAGGGCGTTTGCGATTTATTATCTCCACTGATTATACTAGATATTAATTCAAGAAAGGGGACAATGGAAGGCTTATAGCAAGCAATGTTAGAGATAAGAAGCAGGTTCTTTTCTTTTTACCTCTGTAATATAATTCTCTAATTCACGGTGACGTTCTTTAAATCTTTCAGAAAAGCGCTTAGATCCTGCACTCAAGCCAGTATCCGCATTTCTAAAGTTTAAGAGTAACAACATTTGTGTCTGTGATAAACAATAGCCTAATAAAAAATAAACAAATAAAATAAAAAAAGTGTGTAATACGTTACTTCCTAATGACCAGCTGCACAGCAAATCAGTAACATCCATAACATCAAACAAATAAACAGACACTTTCATAGCCTCCTGGCAAATATTAGGTATTGTAACGGTTGATCCGCTGCCAACACCCATAGAAATAAATGGGCGCTTGACAAGTAAAAGGACAGCAGTATAAGCTAATCGAAGTTGGCCAGCTAATCATGTATATGTATAAGCATATGATTTTTTTCCCAAAACTTACCCCCTTTGCTTAATTTAGCTCTCAGTGTAAAATCCATATCTTTCCGTGAAATCCTATCTAACTCCTGCTCTGTCAGGTTCAAATGTGGTGGCAGAGAGTTTTTCCAATCCAAAAGCATTTGTTCTAAGCTTCGAGAAATGGCTTCTAACCCAACGCCCTTTTCAGACATAAGTCTAGCTCGAGGGGAACAAAGTGCTCTCAAGACATCACCCAAAATACAGCTTAATTTGACCATATGAAAAAACATGGTGTATTGTTGGTCGCTTGTGTCAGGGTAGTCAATATCGCAGTCAGCATCTGATATTGTTAATGGTCTAAAATAAAGAGAATTAGTTGTGTGTACCTTGGGAGATTGAATTTTTTTTCTGTTACCTTCCCAGGGAGGCACAAACCCAATGATCGATTATATAAGCAGACCACCATAATCTTTTTTTGGCTTCCATATCTCTTTTAGGTATACTTTCATGTTGCGCATTTGCTCTATGCAAACCTAAATCTTGTGCCTACATTCACATGAGCCTACATAAATTTGTTGTATTTGTAGGTACCATTTTTACTGCAATGCTTGTGCCGATCCAGTCTGAACTTTCTATACCCCATTTCTCGGCATTGGAAGCGCAGATTAAGAGTACTTGAATTGTTTCAATTTTTGGCTGCAAGAAATCAATATCAAAATAGAGATCCATTTGCTTTATAATATCACGAAAGAGGTGAGCGCGATCAATGTTGTATTTCTGAACATATGGGTCGTCTTCTCTAAGTAGACGAGATGTAGCACGACAAATAGCCATAATAATGGGAATAAAAGTAGAAGCATAATTAGCTTTTCGGTATTCTTGATAAAAGCTTTCTTCATCAAGAATTGGCAGTGTAGGATTGATTCGCTTAAAATACATGTTAATTAAATAGTCTGTCAAATCTTTGGGTGGCATTTTCCAATCCGGATTCAAGATTCTTCCAAACCCAAGCTTGTTTAATGGATCACTACCAAACCGAACAATCATCAAATCTTCTTCATTGTTTCCTACTGGTCTCGGTAAAGTCTCTTTTTCTTTTTTATCCAAGTTTGTTGCGTTCCGAGTAAATAATCGACTCAACAAATAAATGCCGGATGAGCTGCCGACATAAGAAAAAGGTTCATTCACTCTTTGTCCATCTTTAAAAACAATGTCTGTGGCCCCTTGTTCTGAATTTCTTGTCTTTTCAGGATCGTCATTCTCTTCTTGCTCAGATAAAGAGCGTCTCTGTCTCTTGCTAGAAGATGCTTTGCTTGTGTGTGAATTTGAATCATCCGAGTTTTGTTCCTCACTATTATTCTCAGTTGATTCCATAACAGCTTTCATTGTTTCAGGAGGTAAATTTCCATTTTCTGCAATGCTCATTAATACAGTGCTTCCAGCGTCAATTGGTCACCTTACCGAAAAAATTGGTCGCCTTTCTGAGAACCAATTGGTCACTTTTCTGAATGCCAATTGGTCGTTTTCCGAAAACCAATTGGTCACTTTTTTGAACTCCAATTGGTCACCCCTTTAAATAAATTGTTCGTCTCAAGTACTAGTCATAGCTTTTTCCGTTATTAATTCGAAAATGGATTCTAACATTACTTTTTATTCTGAGGATGGAAGAGGAAACATCTTTGACGATAACGGTAACGAAGCAGCAGCATACGACGAGGTTCCTTCTTTCCGTCTTAAGAAGATAACCGATCTTAAGAAGCTAGTCCGTCATTAAGCAATCACCCTTTTAAAGATGACCCTACCATTCAGTACCTATATACCTCGTCATTGTTTCAGCAACAAATTGAAACTGTTAATAAGGATACACCATTAAAATTGATAGATCTACAACTTATGGAGTACGATAGGTTGAAAACGCTTGCCAGTTCACTTGAACGACCAGTATTCGAAGAAGCGATTAACGATGCCAAATTAAGAACTCTAACAATTAAAAGAAAATACGAAGATTTGTTTACACCACCAGCGCCAGCGTCATCCACCTGTCTCAGAAGCTGCAGTTTCATTGATAGTATCTTAAAGGAACTAGTGAGGTAAAGGTCTCTGGTATATGAACAACTGAGTTACCTGCAACTTTGGATTCAATAGCCTCGATGTCAGCCAGCAAAGTTGATAAGAACAATGACACGTATAAAGCAGACATGGAATTTGTCGCTGGATTCAAGCAAAAGAAGGTGGAGCAAAAGAAGGTGGAGCAAAAGAAGGTGGAGCAAAAGAAAAGAATGGATTGAGTCACGTGCCTGAAAGAAGGGGAGGATTTGAAAATCTTGAATTATAAAAATTCAGAATCATTACGCCGCCAATTTTACAAATATATGAAAGGAAATGCAGAACAAACAAATTCAAATTCAAATTAAACAAACAACTTTAGTGGTATCTTCGTATACCTATTTTATTGCGTTTTGTTTTATTATTAATTATATTAGCTATTGAATAAAAAAAATTTTTCTACGTTTGTGTGTCAATTAATTTAACAGCATACTGTGACAAGTGCTAAAAATAATAATTTATTTTCGGAAAAACGCTCAATGAATTTCGTATAAACCATCAATCAATTTCGTTTGAATATATGCAAGCCGACATCTCCATGTGAATTATAATCAAAACTTTATTAATATATCTCTTCTTTTGCAGTACAGGCACGGAAGAACTGTATACTATGTTCAATCCATCCCTTGCAGTTTTCTTGCGAAACTTCATAAGAGCTTTGTCTGATATGCTCAATCAATTTGTTTTGGCCCTTCAAGTTGGGCTCTCTTTTCACCAAGTTTTTGAGCTTCGAAAAGCATTCCTCGATTGGATTAAGGAAAGGAGAGTAGGGGGGGGGGCGGCAAGTACATATGATGCTGTGAGTTTTTGAAAAGCTCTTTCACTGCTGGTGTTTTATGAATGGAGGCGTTGTCCATCACAAAAAAGTGAGGACCAGCACCTGTATCATCAAGCTTTTTCATGATACCTTTAACAGATTGCTTAAAGATATCTCCAGTTGTGCCACCTTTTACAATCTTGACGGATACATCTTCAACTCCCTGATACGATATTCCTGCAAGAATTGTCATGTTGATAGCCCTCTTATGGGCATTGACAACCACACTGGTCGATCCTTTCTTTGAGTAGCCTTGACCAGGAACAAGATTGGCATTGAATCCAGCCTCATCAACAAAGATGCAGTTAGTTTTATACAAGATGCCTCTCTCAGGCATTCTCTCAACTACATACTCGTATCTTTGCTGAATAGTAGCAGCAGTGTTTCTTCTCTCCTCTACAGCTTTTGTTCTTTTCAGGGAAAAGCCAATACGTTCGGTAAGGCATCTCCATACGCCGCTGTCGTAATTCCCCTCTCTTTCAAGTCAGGGAATTTGGCTACTAGCCTTTCTGCCATCATATCCAGAGTCTGAGTGCAATCATCATCAAGAAGCTCCTTGATATAATCGCAGTGTTGGTCATCAAGCTTGATGACCTCTTCTCTTCTACCTCCTCTTGGTTTGAGCTCGATACGTCCTTCAAGATAATATCTATCTAACATACTGCTTAAAGTCGAAGAGGCCAGGCCGTATCTTCTACAGGCTTCTGCTTGAGAAATGTTTGCCTCTTCAACGACTTGCTGAATAATCAACTTTCTGATGCTTTCTGGTATGTCTTGATAAGTTCCTCTTTTTTTTTTCTCGTTAGTGATTGAAGTCTTGGGCATTTTAAAATTGTATAGTATGAAAAGGGAATGAAAGACGACATATTCGAGGCATCTCAATTATATTTATTATAAAATGAGAATTATTATGTCAACTTTCAAATGGAGATGACGGCTTGCATATATTCAACTCAAAATCCAGAATACAAAAAAAAAGGACTTGTAAAAAAAGACAAGAATATTAAAAAAGGCAAAAAAAGGTAAACATAACATCATTCTAATTAAAACCATCTTTATTTTAAGTAAAAAAATAATGACTATATACAGGTGTATACGACAACAATAAGAGCTTTGCTGTATCTATAAATGAAAAAAAGGGTCAGTAAACCGTCTATTTCTAGAGTCAATAGCCGTCAAGTTTGTACTAAAGTAGGCAAAGCACAATGACTTTGCGTGTCTTTCGAAACTCAACGAAAATATGGTGAAGTTCAGCTACAAGACTTAGGCTGACACAAAGGCTAGCGTGTTCGTTCGCCTACTAAACGTGGGCATATTCGGTGGTATGGTGAAATTCAGCTACAAGACTTGGGCTGACACAAAGGCCAGCGTGTTCGTTCACCTACTAAACGTGGACATACCTTTTCTATTGACCGTTTTACTGAGTAAGCTATAAAAACTTACCATTATCCTACGCCAACTATTCAATTAGTAGAAGAAAGAAAGAAGAAAGAAAAAAGATTCAAGCATAAGAGCATCCTTAGCGGACTTTTCATCAGACTTTCTAAAATTTATACTTTTTTTCAGAAAAAAATGATTTGGAAAGTCTATTTTTTTAGTGGACTTTCTAAAATAAAATTAACTTTACTCCTGAATTTTAAAATCAACATGGATCACAATACTACAATGGCTGCACTTCAATGGTTCATCCAAAGAAAGAGACAAAACGATGCTTTGTTTGATTTATTGTTGGAGCTTGATGAAGAAGAGGATACCAATGTCTCCAAGAAGCGACAACGTAAAAGAAACAAGGAGAACTTTCGTCATCTCGGAGAAGAGAATCTTCAACGAGATTACTTTCGCGAAGATCCCGTCGAAGATGAAGCTACATTTCGACGCAGATTCAGAATGAGTCGTAGATTGTACGAAAGAGTCAAGGAGTGTGATGTTTGGGTTGTGAATGAAGATATAATAGAAGATAGAAAGAAAACAAAGAAATACAGTGAGACTGTTCAGTACTTCTTTATTACAAAAACAATTTGATTGTTGTCTAAAATATATCTTTTTCAGGTTGTCTTTTATACTGCCTGATTCATTGACTAATTGTGATTATTGATTATTGATTACTTAACGCTTTGACAGCTTGTGCCTGGGAGTTGACTATGTAGATTCTCCTTTAATCCTCCTGGTTATCTAAAAGGTACAATTATGGTTTCCTTTTTGTAAATATCCATATTATCCCAGTTATCGTTATTTACTGTCATTATACAGTGCTTACTTTATATTTATAATGTATAGTGCTATAAGTGATTATTCATTTATATGATGAAAGACTATTTATTATATTTTGTATTGAAAGTGCTCAGATCACCACAAGGAGGCAGCTATGCAACACGACTCTTTTTTTGTGCAATCTCGCGATATGGCTCAAAAACTTGGTCATTCAACTAACCAAAAAGTAACTGCTGCTCTCCGCATGCTTGCATATGCTGTCCCTGGAGACTTCATGGCGGAGTACCTTCGTGTAAATGAAGCAACTGCTTTACACTGTATGAAGAAGTTTTGTAAAGCAATCGTCGAAGTCTTCAAGAACGAATACCTCAGAAGACCAAATCAAGAAGACATTGCACGCTTGTATGAGGTAGGAAAGGAGCGTGGGCTCCCAGGAATGCTTGGATCTTTAGACTGCATGCACTGGGAATGGAAGAATTGCCCTAAGGCTCATCACGGGAGCTACAAGGGCAAGGAAAAGAAAGCTACTGTTGTGTTAGAAGCTGTGGCCTCCCAAGATCTTTGGATATGGCATGCCTTTTTTGGTGCACCTGGGTCTCTCAACGAAATTTTAAATTTTCAGGGAAAAAGTTTTGAAAAGTCTACCGAAAACTTTTTATTTTAGATAGTTTTGGAGGAAATTTTTATTTTTTTTCATTTTAGAAAGTCTGATGGAAAGTCCGCTAAAAAATGTTTGACCTATCTAAAATAAAAAACTTTTCATTTTGGAAAGTCCGCTAAAGGATGCTCTAAAGGGGTGACCAATTGAAGTTCAAAAAAGTGACCAATTGGTTTTCGGAAAACGATCAATTGGCATTCAGAAAAGTGACCAATTGGTTCTCAGAAAGGCGACCAATTTTTTCGGTAAGGTGACCAATTGGCGCTGGAAGCACTGTAACTGTTCCATACGCTTTAATCGGGTTTCTAATCCTTCTACGTATCCTTTTGGTGGTCCTCTCTTTTTTGCAGCCTAGCCACGGTGTTAATACATCCACAAGTAAATGGTAGTGGCTTACTTCATTAAATGTGCATGTCTTTTCATAGCTTCTGCATGAACTGCAGGGATTCTGAGGATAATCTTGGTCATAATCACATCTGACTCATATAAATATAGCCATTGTGTAATTGAAAGCACTAATTACCTTATTTTCTTCTACAAAGGTCACCTATAATATTGAATAAATAGCTATCAATTTAGTTAAACATATCCCCTCTTATTTTCGCAACACGCTTGTTTCTAGTGTGTGTTATAATATGTGCGTTCCTTACAAGCTCTATCTTTTTTTGTTCTTTTGCGATCCTTTTTATCTACAGGTGGATTTCTTGAGGGTGCGATAGGTAACCGCGGTAACAGAAGTTGCGGGTTTAGCATATTTTTTGGTGTATACATTATATATATATGAATATGCGCAAGCAAAAAATAAAAAAAGCAAAAGATATGCAAAGTTATCATTTATTCGAGAAAAAAAGCAGTGACACTAGTATCCAACCATCAATCAACGGTAATTCATTTGTTTAGGGTTTCGGGAAACTTATTCTTGCTAACTAAATGCATTTGTCTGGCATTCATTATAAACAAAGGACAAATTATGCTATTGAAGAAACCCACCTTGGCAACGTTGAGAGACTATTCATTGTTGTCTGGAACTTGACTTATTTTGTCACGAAAATCGATATGCGTTGTACAAAAAGAAAAAGAAAATCTTGTTTTTACAATATATAGTTGCATTTCTATTTTTCTTTTTTTTCCTTTCTCTTTTACTTTTTCGTCTTGCATTTGAGTTTTATCATGGCACATCCTTATAGCTTTTATCATTTTCAGCATCCTCAACAACAATTCATACCACTTTTTCAATCACAGCAGCAATTTATACCAGGCTCTCAACCGCCTTCAGATCAACCATTTCATTCGCCACCTTATCAACCACAACCACATGAACAATTCTACCATCAGCCACAACAAATGAATCCTGAAGTTATTCAAGCCATTTACGAAACTTTCTTGTATCAGCAACAACAACAAGAAGAAGAAGAATATTATCGTCAACGATATCGTCATCCAGCTATACCTAAAAGAAAGAGAAGTAAACCACGTAGATCAAGATCCACAAGGAGTTTGAACTCGAGATATTTGAATGAGTATTATCCTGTAATATTATACATATTTAATTGCATTTTTGTTTACCTTTTTTTAAACAGGAAGAAGACCAGTATTATCCTGGTGAAGCAGACACATACTATCATACAGGAAAAAAACATGAACCTCAAGGACAACATTATAATAACGATACATGGCGTCTAAAAGTAGATGGGGAACCAATGAATGAACTCGAAAAATTAGCAGCTGAAAATGCAAGTATTAATGAAAGAGCCAGTAAAGCATATTATCCTCAAGACATGTCAGCTCATGATATAGCCCCTCAAGCGCCTCCTCAAGTACCTGCACCAACAAGTAGCTCAGATCCGAGTATAGATATGGCAAATATCATACATTCATTAACAGTAGATGATGGTTCACCTTGTATAACAAGTGATCAGACATCTTCCCTAGAAAACAATGTGGCAATTGTACAACAACAGAAGAAAAAGAAAAGCTGGCTTTTTCGATTCTTTTACAACAAAAAGCCAACGCCCAATTATTTCTTGGCAACAATGCAACAGAGTAACAGCATACCTCCTACACCTACTTTGACACCTGATAATGGCTCAACATCATCGCCTACATCTTCTTTTTATCTGATTGATCCATCCTTGTTAGAAGAGGGTGTATGGGCCTTTCAACTTCCCGAGTCAGCCACTAAATCAGAAGAAGATCGTCAGTGGTATTCATTCGAAGAACCTAACCAAAAAATAATTAGGAAGTATATCCATCGATTCAATAGTCCCAAAGGTATAAATTGTAGCTTTCAGTTGTTTGATAAGGGTATATGCGGAGGTAACTTACCTGTGCTTGTCACGCCATTCTATAAAAAGTGTTATTTTGCTCGAGACACAAGTTTAAGTGAAATGGTTACTATGGACATAAATCTGTTTCAAAACGTATGAATAAAAAACAAAAAGATTTTCCTGATAAAGATTTGTCATAAACGCTAAATTATTACATGTTCATTTATTGGTTGAACGCAACAAAAAACTTTTTTTTGAGGCCGATCAATAATTTTTTCTCTTTTCTTGATCTATTTTTTATGGTGAATCGATATTTAGTCGAGCAAGTCTGCAGTTATTTTGGACTTGTGTTTTGGTCGCTTCAATTAGCACCACAAGGTACAAGTTTGATTATATATTATAGGTTATTGACAGTTATATTTTTAGCTTGGAAGACATACAGAAGAGGAACATCAACGGGTGTCTCTGTATGGACCATGTGGATATGGACTTTTGCAGGCATCTTCTTGGGCTGCTATAATGTCGGTTTAAAAGTAACAGCAGCACTCTGTGTTCAACCACAAATTTTTGCTTTTATTTCTACCATATGTGTTTTTCAGGAATTTCGATATCAGCATAAGTGGTCATTAATCAAGACATGGGTTGGATTTATTCTTGCATGTTTACTATTTGGTGGTTTTGAAGCGGGAATGGTCTTTGCTTTTAGAGTACTGCATATATCTCGTCTTTAAGTGGCTAACAGCTTGCTCATAGAAAGCTGAACAAATGAATAATGAAGATGCCATTCGATTTTTTGGTATCATACCTGTTGTCTTTGTCATTGGTGGATTTCTACCTCAATACTATGAAATATTTCGTAAGTAGTACCTGTAAAGAGCAGGATATTAAGCTATTCTGTAGGCGAAAGAAGAGTTATAGGTGTATCACATCTTTTTCTTGCCATGGACTTTTCTGGTTCCATTTTTTCAATTGTCAGTCTAGGTAAGTCATTCACACACACACACACACACGCACACCTATGGATTTTTATCTTGTATATACTCATGTATAGCTAGTTTTTAGTGATAATATAGACGCACTTGATCTCGTGAATTATATTGCCATCAGTTGTCTCGATGTAGGCATACTTGTTCTTTATTATATTTTTGAGTGGTATCAAAATAGGCTAGCCAAGCAAAAAGACATAGAAGCACCAACCGTTAAAGAGTTAACCGATGACTATGAAGATGCTCATAACACCAAACCTTCATCTTCCGAGGCATACACCAAGACCACATCTTGAAAGCTACGAGGCAAAAGAACCTCCATTGAAATAGCAAACTACCTAATAGAATAATCATACATGTGTAGACGATCAATTCTAAAAAGAAAAATGCTAAATAGTAGTACCATACATCACCTATTCATCATTATATAAAAAAAAACAATTTACTTGTGCTTTATCCTACTTGGACAGTGTGTCAACTTTAATAACATTCTTGTCACTTGAATACTTGAAGAACCTGTAACTCCAAAGATACAGAACCGCCAAAACCAGAGCGCATAGTACTTGAAGCCCCTTGTCTGTTTTCTTTCGTTCATAACCGTACTAGTGGGGAGAAGTAAGCGTGTTTCCTCGGGCATTATTTCTTGATTATTTTGGCTCATAATTCTTATCAGATTTTTTAAGAAAAAAGAAAAGAAAAGGGTTGGGTTACAAGTGAGTTATTTATCATTAAAACACAGCTGTTTTTTTTTGTATGCGCAAAGACGTTTATGCCCGTGACGGGGCGTCGAATCAATTATGTCTTTCATTTGCCAGACAAAAGGTTGCTAATTCGATCTAAGGGCCTTGACTTTCTTTTCATACTGTTCCAACTCATACTGCGTTTCTGGCCTGGTTACTGTGACTTTACATCCGGCTTTTTCCTTTAAAGTTGATCGCGAAAATCTTTATCGGACTATGTTCGCCCGTTTCCCTGCTGCAGGATAATCATTCCCAATGTAGTTTAACTCATCTGGTAAATATTGTTTATACCCTAGCTAACAGTCCGACGGGCTATAAACGAAACATAAAAACCCAAAAACACTGTAGCACAGAAAAATCATACTGTTATAACCAATAAAACTCTAGGAGTCGTAAATGATCTCCCCTAAAAAACAAGACATTTATCTCAACTATGATCTGTTGTTGCAACAAACAATGCATATAAATCATAAAAGAAGAAAAAAGACATCTTTGAAACACAAATATTTCTATTGCAATCTTGTGAAAGCCTTTGGGGTAGGTGGGGGTTGTATTTACTTTTTTCGCGATAATTTGGAGCGTTATAGTCTTAGTACCGAGAAAAAGCGTATAGTGATAAGCAATGGACATTGGAAACTTTAGAAATGTTAAGATACTAGCGGCCATAAAGTAAAAATGAATAAATACTTACTTAATCCGCTAAAGAAATGCTAAACTCTTGACTGATACACCGCTTTTTGTACAGAAGGTTGCCGTTTGCAAACTTATTTCAGTGTTGGAGTGACTGACGCTTGAGGAGAAAACAGAAAAAGTTCCATGAAAGAACAAAGTGGCTATGTCTGAGATAGCAATAGCTAAAGCTAGATACCTTATCTCTTCCACTTATACTACGACCATTCTTGACTGAGGGACATTCAGGATTATAACAAGCTAAAGGCACCTTTCGTGCTTCTGTATCTTGTTGTACGTTGTCTTCTGACTAATTGCTTAGAATACTGAAAATTCTGGAAACAGTAGACACTGGCCTGAGATGTACCTTTATTTTAGTGCTAAAGTTGCCATCATCATGCGCCTTGTAGCTTTGTCTTAGTTCTACTTACCACTGTATGATAACAAAAGATGATGGTAACCAAACTTTGTGTTGAGACTTAGCTGCAACATAGTTTTCACTACTTTAATTATAGCTTACTGCTATAGAATAAGATAAGAGTTTCCTAAACCCAAGCAAGTCCAGAATATAAACGCAATGGAGTGTAAATAATTTATAGTGACACAAGTATCCATGCATAAAACGTTGTTGAACACAACATGTATTGTGCGTTATAAAATCCTTCTTCAATTTTTTAAATAAACCATAAATAAGTTTATAATGTCTGAAAACAAAAATTGTTGGCGCTCTTCGTCATTCCTATAGCTTAAAATGCAGCTCCTTTAGTTTATTTTATGCATGACTAACAGCGTAATTTAAAGTCAGACGCATTTCAATTGTTAAAAGAAAGCAGAAAAAGGCACAAGACAATTAAGTTGATAATAGTCATACACTTCAAGGAATGCATACTACAATCTTCTCACTGATGATTGATTTTAACACTTTTTTCAACTTTTCAAGGAAAAACGCCGTCACACTTACCCTTTTTGGAAATCGAGGGACGATCCTGGATAAACCGAATCTGGCAGCCCACACAGATGAATCCCTCTTTTAAATTTCTAATATGGGTAACGTATCTAACATGATCCATCCATCCATCCATCCAAACCATTATCATCTAACGCAATTTATTTAATTTAATTCAATCAAATAGCTGTCGGCAAGAATAAGTAAGCTCCATCAAATTTGTTCGAACAATAAAAACTAACCTTTGATAGGCGTCTTTCTAAGGGAAAGAAGGGTTTGAAGAAGAAGGTGTAAGTGTTGAAATCGCCAAGCTGAAGAGTGAAATTGGAGACAGATGGGAAAGAAAAAACTAGTCGACATTGAAATTACAGAATAACATGAGACCTGAATTTCAACATTGGAAAAGTCTCAGTAGCATCAGCTTTGACACCTTTCTTATAGATACAGAGCCACATTTTAAACAACAAAGCGTTTCGATTAAAGAAAAGTAGCAGTAGCCATGTATCAGCATAAATAAGTCAACGATTGATTTTTCTTTTCCTCTATCAACAATTTCGTACCTCTTTAGCAGTAGCAGTATAAATTTACAGATATTAATTATATTATACAATAGTGTTGATCCCTTCACCCGTAAGGACTGGTACGATATCAAGGCTCCCTCCATGTTCGATGTTCGTCAAGTCGGTAAGACTCTTGTCAACCGTACTCAAGGTCTCCGTAATGCCAACGACTCCCTCCAAGGTCGTGTCGTCGAAATGTCTCTTGGTGACCTTTCCAAGGATGAATCTCGCTCCTTCCGTAAGATCCAATTGAAGGTTGACGAAATCCAAGGTAAGAACTGTCTCACCAACTTCTACCGTATGGACATGACCACCGACAAGCTCCGTTCTATGGTCAAGAAGTGGCAATCTTTGGTTGAAGCTTTCGTTGATGTCAAGACCACTGACGGTTACCTCGTCCGTCTCTTTGCCATCTCCTTCACTGCTCGTCGCCGTAACCAAATCAAGAAGACCACCTATGCTACTTCTGCTCAAATCCGTCAAATCCGTAAGAAGATGTTCGAGATCATGACTGAAGAAGCCTCTGCTTGTGACTTGAAGGAATTGGTTGCTAAGGTCACATCCTCTGCTTCTCAATCCGCTCAAGATGCCATTGCTGTCCGCATCGAAAAGGCCTGTCAAGGTATCTACCCTCTTCAAAACACTTACACTCGTAAGGTCAAGATCCTCAAGGCTCCCAAGTTCGATGTCTCTGCTCTCTTGGCTCTTCACGGTGGTGCCGCTGCTGCTGGTGATGATACTGGTGCCAAGGCCTCCAAGGACTTTGTTGAACCCACTCCTCAAGCTTCTGTCTAAATTCCTTAGTCGTTGCATCTTTTTTTTTTTGAAAAAAGAAAAAACTAATAAAATCCATTCAATGTCGCTTGTTCCTCGCCTCAATTCATTTTGTGTCTTTATTTATACAAAATGTGTTAGGATAAATGGATGAAAGAAACCAAACAAAAGCTGGTAGATTGCGATGCTCTGGACAATATAAATCATAGGTTCAAGCAGCCTACTTCTGTTACTATTTTATATTGACATAATTGTAACAAACCTTGAATTGATTCTAGTTGGCGATTCTGCTAATGTTGTTAACAGCACAAGAATGATTAAAATTGGTACATCTTGCAAGACGAGCGACAGTGGTGTATGGAAACTAGTCCATCCTATGAGTAAGTTCTTGACATAAACAATGACTTGAGGAATATAGTAAGGTAAAAAAGAAATTAATAACATAAGCCACGATTGTGAATAGTAATACACATCTAAATCAGAAGCCTTTCCAGATTCAGCAGACAAACGAGCAAGACTCGTCTTGAACAACCATAGTATCATATAGCCAGTAATAAGCACACATAGAGGCACAACTCTTGATAGACTGAGAATTATGGCTATATGGAGTAAACATTGTTTTTCCGAGTCTACTTTGATTCGGATAGCTGGAAATATGCGAAACAGTCGACTGAAAACGAGGGTGATTGTAGAGCCAACTAACCAGACAATAGCTGCCAAACCAATGCTTAAACCAAAAAGGAATACAACAAAGCCAACCATGACCCATTCATTACTGCCAATCAAGACATACTTTAGCATCAAATCATGCAACTTACAAGTTGGCCAAGTGTTTGTGTAGTTGAGCACAACAAGTTGTAAAAAGCATACTACCAGAATAATTCCTGCAAGATGAAGGAAAGGGCCTGAAAGAGATTGTACAAGTGCAATTGGATATGGAACAAAGCGCTGTTTTTTGATATACGAATACATCTGTGAGCAAACGAGTATGCTATTAATGATAACAAGAAAATGCACAAGCAAAACACCGTAATGAAGTACACATCGTCCTAGTGTACCATACCAGTCAAATCGGATTTGAACTGTCATGGGCTGTTGATCTGAAAAAAATTCAAGTACAATGCCACTACTGTTTGCATAAAAAGATTGATGAAATGTGATTCTATCCGATACACCCTCATCTAGGCCTCGATAGTATTTGATTTCATGTTGATTTGCTATTTGCTTCATCATAGGCTGGAACAAATTGTTCTGTGTGTTGTTCATAGAAAAGATACAAATGTCTAATGCAAAGAGAGAATTGCGGATGAGAGGAAATGTATGCTCTGAATGAAATGAATCAACATGAAATGTCAAGCCATTCAACATCAGATTCCATATAGTAACCCAATGTGTTTTAGTTTGATTAGGTTTAGAATAAGCTTGAATAAAAGCGGCCTTTTCATCTTTACCAAAGGGTAGACCAGAGCAATTTCTTGCTATGCCTACATAGTCGTATGTATTGATATCTTGTTGATCAACAGTTAAAAGACGGTAGGGCGTCGACCCTACTAGATTAGTAGCAGCAGCTGAAGGCAAGACAGTGACTCGAGGAGTCATGTGTTTGCAGACAAGTTCTTGGTCTTGACTGGAGCAAGCAATAAATGACCAGCACGCGTCATATTGAGCTTGTATGTTTGTCAAAAACATAGGCTGTTCAGATACTGAAAGAGGCAGAAGATGAATTGATTCAGGGCTGTTGGAATCAAAGAGTAGTTTAAAGCCCTTTTCCTCAATTTGTTTTTGTTTAAAAGAACTAAATAAGAATGTGCCTTGATGCTGTTGAATAGTTGAGTATTCTCCACCTTGTAATAGGTTGTATTGAAAAATGGCCATACGTTGCTCGACAGGAGAGGACGTTTCTACTACCTGTAGTAGAGTAGATGCTAGCAGTCGAATCAATTGATTACACCACAAAATAGCCATATGATCTGCGCCTGTCCATACACCAGGTATAGACGTTGTGTATGTAGCAAATCCATGTGTTTCTGGCACAAATGGCTCAATATTGGTCCCATCTGAATGAACAATGTTGTCTAATGAGCCGCCAGCAATTGATACCAAAGTAACATTTTCTAGTAAAGTATCTTGATTATTTTGCCAGTATTGAGCGAGATCTCTATAAACTCTATAAACTGTTGAATCCAATAATAATGGTGCAATAAGATGAGGTGTTGCCAAAGTTATTATGGTGTTGATACTTGAGGGAATGTAGCTAGGCAATGTAAACATGGTTCGTGCTACAATTCCACCCATTGAATGAGCAATAATCAAGACTGAAGTAGGTGGTTCAGGATAGTCTTTATAGAGCAAAAGAATGCGCTCAATGGCTTTGTTAATGTATTCTGCTTGATCCAGCAAAACTTGTCCACTCATTGCAGACAACTCTTCATTCAAATCCACTAGAGAGAATGATGAGTTAGATATATCTTTTTTTTTTTTTACTTTGTACCAGTAAAATAATCAATATTTCTTTTCGATTTGCTACTATGAAACCAATGTGTAGTTGCTGATGCTAGAGACCTTATTTGTTTATGACTACCTGCTTGACCTGGGATAAAGAGCGCAGGGACACCATAGAACTAACAATCATAAGAAACATCGAATTTTTTTAATTGATGCATGAATTTATTATTTACTTTGTTGGGATCATCTAAATGTCCTTCACGGTATAAATAGAGTTTGTACTTTTGAGACAAGGCCGAGTTGGGCTTAGGCTGGTTAATTTCGAAAAACATCGGATAGGCATAGCTCATAACACAGTTTTGAACATCCTGTCGTTGAAGACGTGAAACTATGGATGAAAGCTCAGGTCGATGCAAAAGAAAAGAATCCAAGATGATCAGCAAGATAACAAGTGTAGCACTAATAAGCAGTCCTAGCTTAAGCCATAGGTATTTTGGCGGGCTGCCGAGTACTGTAAAGCCTAGCATATTTCTGGACAAGAAGGTAGACGCGAAGACTCTGTATGCAGCATAACAGAATGTTAATAGATGGTCACAAAAAAACAGCAGTCATTCACTGATTCAACATACAACATAATCAAGTTGAAGCCTGTAAATGAATGCGATTGATTGATAATATGCATAGAATGAGTTCCTTACACTTTAAATTTTACTAGCGAGTACGAGACAAACATCCACTTATGCTGCAGGAAATACTGCTCATGAAAAAGGTATTAAAGCCCTCATTACCTCAAATAGATTTACTCGATTGTTCTCTAAATACAGATTCAATGCACCTATTGTTATTGTTGCATGTAATCCACAAATTACACGCCAGGTCTGCTTTCATCCTGATTGTCTTCCCTTTTTGTTATCTTACTGCTTCGTCGAAACAAACTAGCTATCGCTGCGCTTCTTATAATACGAATTATTTTAGCCCTCTTGAGATTGTCTTTTGGAAAGACGATACTGATGCTAAAATTCAATGCGAAATACCAAACCGATTTTTCTCTTTTAAGTATAAAACAAGGCAATAAATATAGATAAGTAGAAAAAGTCACCACTTATCTGCTTTTTTCAACTTTCCTGCGTTAAAATACATCTACAGAGGCCTTTTGAAAGGATATCAGTTTCGACTGCAAACACCAAGACATGACTCCCCCTGATCCTATAGCGACTAAAATTCTTTGCTATGCAGATGATGTTTTAGTATTTGTAGATGACCCGAATGATTTAGCAGCGACATATATCAACGTATTGTAGCGCATCAAATGCAAAAATCAACTTTAACAAGATTGAGGCTCTATCTTTATCTGGTACAAACTCCTGGTCGTTTTGGCATAGGTACCTGCTACCGCTATAGATACAATATATTCACTCTTCCGTTGATGCACAACCTATTGTTTACTTAGGCTTTCCACTGATCCAATCAGTTGCATGAAGACAAAATTATTTTGAAACCTTCTTGGCAAAGGTAAAAGCTGCCTGCTTGATACACTCTACCCGTTCCTTGTCAGTGTTAGGCCGTATCACGGTGGTTGACACCTTGATATAATCCGAATGTTGCTATCTTCTTCGTGTGACGCCGTTCACGAAGACTGAGATTTCTCGAATACGGTCTTTAGCACAACAGTTCCTAAACTCTAGATCTTTCCAAAATTACTTGGTCGACTTGGATTCTGCCAAAAGAAGATGATGGTCTGGGAGTTCTTGATCCATTATTGCAAAGAGATGCGCTTTGTAGTCGCTGGGTCTTCCCTCTGTTGAATCACTCTACCAATGCACACTGATATCGTATACTCGCAAGGCACATTCAAAATATTTCTGACTATTATGAGGTGGCTATTCCTTTGCTCTTTCCTTTGGCTAGACACACTAGAATTTTTCAGTTTGGGTGCGGTACACGTATTTCAATAATCGATCTGTTATATGCCACAATAGATCACTTGCCTCGAGATTTTGGCCGTATGACGCTATCTCACCAAGCATGTCTTAGTTTACCGATGAAGGTCGTTTTACAATCCTTAAGACCACGACTTCCTTCATTACCTAAAAGGATTCAATTCGTTCCAGTTCAAGCGTTTATGTTGTTCAGCCAAGATCTTTAATTAATTCATTAGAAACATCCAGATCATATTCCACAAGAGCTCAAAAAAATTCTATCTTCAGATTATCCGAGGGCTAGAAAATAACAAGTGCCAATTCTTCCCTTTCTTTGTCAAACACTGCCAACCTCCTGCTGTAGAGGTATTGCCTACTGTACCATCATCACCATCATTATCTTTTGTTCCATTTGTCAACTCCTTCCAATTTGCGACTCTGAATGGACCAATCACCAGGGTATCGACAAAGGAGTTTCGATTAACTTTTCAGAGTGCTACATCTGTTCCAGAACGTTTATAAGCTATATCTAGTGCCTTTTGGGTCGATTTTTGGAGCTGGTTTCTGCTGCCAGTTGCTCATAATATGATGTACCGATTCCTTGTTTCCAAACTACCTACAAGGCAATTTCTTCACTCTATAACTCCTGATACGTTTACCTCGCCTCTTTGTCCAATTTGCACAATGCATCTTGAAAATGAATAACATCTCCTTTTCTATTGTCCGCCAAAGAAGTTTTTCTGGAACAATCTCATTTTCGAATTTCTTTGAGCTACGACCACTGTCGAAGATATTATTCAGGCACTTGTTACACTAAACTTCTCTAGAATAGATTATTCATGAAAGAAACACTTAACTGTTGTTGACATTGTCATTACCGCCCTCTCGCAAGTCTGGAAAACACACTGGAGATTTGTTATTGGCAACGTCTCTTTTGATGCCTACTCCACTCTACAACAAACACGTACTGCTTTACAGCTGCTTGCAGATGAAAAGCAAGTATACATAAGACTGTAATCCTTATTTTACCTTTTTTCCACTCATAACAGTGGCATACTTTTCATTTTATTCTATCTAGTTAATTTGTAGCATAATCACATAATATAATTCCGTATGAATTGCGCCCGTCTTTTGGGCACTATTAGGGTAACTTTCGCGGAGCAAAAAAAATTTTTTTTCTGTTTTTCAGAAAATTGCGATTTGTGAATAATACAGCAACATTTCACTAAGACACATGTTAGCCAAAAATGCTATAAAATATGTGGAAAGTGTTAGATTTGCAAAAGCATTATAAAAGTTGTATACTATGTTCCAAAAACAGAAAACGTGTTTTTGCACAATTGCTCAAAATCTTGATAATAGACAAAGTGTTTGATTTATACCAGTAGATACCTGATTTTAATATCTATTACTTTTGGTATTATCATCTTTTGCTGGCTCTTTATTTTTGTGCACTTTTAAATGATCATCTTTTTTTTTAAAAGGTTTTTGTTTTTTGCTCCACGTAGACTATGACTAAAGTCTATCAAGAGGTGGTCGCAATTTTAAGAGATACAAAGGGAAAATACATAAAATAATTATTTATAAACATTTGTGCAAGTATTTCTCGTCAATCAGAGAATTGAGAGAAGCACGAGTGAATGAAAGAAGTAGAATTGGATTAAACGGAATTTCATTGAAAATAGTATTCCAATGGACTTTCCAAATTTGACCCATGCCTTGGAATACTATTTCTTGAGAATCTAACTCACTATTCTGAGTACAACGAATGGAATGGAAGTTCATATATTGAAGTGCTTGTATGATATCATCAACAGTAGTGGTTGGCTATAAAAATCCAAATATAAGCTCTTTCCAAAAATGTGTTTTTGGAGGACATAAAAAGAGCATATGGTTGTCATTTTCAGTATAAAGACCACAAATTTGGCATAAAGGAGTTGGGAATCGTTCAGGCAAGAAACGATTCATACGTATCGTTGTAGGCAGCTTATAGTTTATATATCGATACACCACATTTGGCACAACGGCGGTAAGGGACAATGTCCAAAAAGAGTCCCAAAAATTAGAAGAAATGGCTGACAGGGCGGAAAGGGCAGGATAAGACTCCAAGCGAGTCATTCGATATACCTTAGAGCTGATCCCATCGTTCGGGCTCTTGGTAGATAAAACATTAAAGCAGTTGAGAAAAGAGGCAAAGCTGAATCCTGCATGTATGTCTGAAGAGATGGCATTGGAGGAAGAAGATATCGCTAAATGGCGTTGAAAAAATGGAGCGACACCTATAGTCCTTCTTGCTAAGCCACGAACTAACCTCTGTTGAATTGTTTGCAACTCTTCGGGGATATTTTAAGGGAGCTTCCAAAGAATAACCTTGACAAAATGATCGTACACCATGAGGTCATTAGCTTGGATTTGACGCATAGCAGGAGGCAAAAAAGGTCGTTGAACATTTATATAATGCATAACCACAGAGATTGGTAGTACCATACAACTGCTGGGTTGAACTCTATAGTATCAAAGTTTTTAGGAAGTCTATCTATAGACGCATAGAGCAGTTGAATCATACTGGCTTTGTTAGTGACGCCATTAGATCGAGTTATAAATTTTCTTGTAGATGGGAAGAGCAAAGGACTTGTACATGCGAGACCCCTGTGACATTATGCATATGAAGTCGAATAATTTTCAGCCAATGTGCTGAAGAACGATTCAAAAGCAAAGAAAAGGTCCAGCGAAAAAAAAGTGTGTCTCTCTGTAGCAGAGGGTCCAAGATACCCAATCCACCCTTGTTTTTCGGAAGTACCAATGTTGACCAAGCTATTCGAGGGAAAATCTATCTATTCAAAAATTGGCATGCCAATGATCGAATACGAGACAGCTGTTGTGTACCGAAAGGAGTGACTCGACATAAGTACCAGCATTTAGATAGGATCAATGTGTTGGTGATGGTGGCACGTTCTACACACGAAAGCGATCTACCCAAATGCATCTGGAAATGAGACTGAATCTTGACATACAAGGCTTCAAAAGAATTCTGTCGTTGAGCAATTGACTGAATGAGAGGAAAACCTAAGTATATTGCAGGCTGTAGATCGTCTGCGGAAAATAGTTTTTCAATTTGCAGCGGTTGAAGATGATGGCGCCAAAAGGAAGAGGGATTGCGTCCGGACAAAGACACTGCTTCAACTTTTGAGTAGTTGATCTTCGCATTTGATGCTCTACAGTAGCGCTCAATATGCTGCATCACTTGCGTCAAGTCATCAGGATCGTGTATAAAAACCATCGCATCATCAGCATAGTACAAAATTTTAGCAGCAATTGAGGTTGGCCAAACAGTGATTTGATTTCGAAGCTCGGGGCGTAGTCTTATCTAATACCCCTCAATCGCTTCGTCTTGAAGAATAGCTCGCAATAAAGGATCAAATGCAAGGTTATACAAAACAGGGGAAACTGGGTCGCCTTGCTTTAGTCCACGCTTCTTGACAAATGATGGTGTAAAGAAACCATTGACATTTACTTTGATCTAATTACCGGAAAGCAAGTTGCCTATGGTGCTTACTATGGACTCTGGGAATCCAAATTTTATCAAAACTTGTTTGAGATACTTCAGATTCACACGATCATACACTTTCTTTTGGACGAATCAAAATTATTTTTCAGATGTTTAGCTTACCTTTTTTTGGATGAAGTAAAATGGAAATTTAGACAAATGAAAATTAGCTGTAAGACATGTTTTAAAATAAGATCTAATTGTGGATGCTCAAGATAACAATTTCGTTTTTTGATGGTTTTTTTTAAATTACTGAAACAAAATGCTTATACAGTATATTTTCAAGAGCTTTTTTGTAGCAAACAACAAGTGAAGAATGGTTGATATATAGTTCAGTGCTATACATGCAGTGTCATATACACTTGCAATACAGGATTTTAGTCTGATTCGACATGTCAACGCTGTTAAGAATATTTATGATATTTTTATTTCTGCTGTCCAAAAAAAAATAACGCTCTCGTGCCTATCCTAATGGGCATTATAAAAAACCTCTTTATACAACCGTACGTGTACATTCAGTTATTACTGACTTGTTCAGAAAACAGTTGATTCTATATACATATTTCATAATTTAAGACAACTTTATTGAATTGTTAGTAATACATCATCGATTTGGGATATTCAAAAGATAATACATACTTAAGAGTGTGCTTTATATGTGATGTTGTGACCTTACACAAGTTACAAAAAGTTTTTTCGAGAGAAAAGAATGTGTCACGTCAAAGCTCATATTTACTATATTCTGATTTGGTGGCAATGAATAAAATAACCAAAAAATCCATTTTTTTCATTTCTTTCAATTATATACTATATAGTGTAATAGCTTTCTTCTAGCCAATACTATCTATTATATTCCAAATACGTAAAAAATTGAAAAAAATGATGAAAAGAAGTGGAAAACAGTCTGATAATGGTCGTGGAATCAATACTGGTAAAGTCGAATATTATAGTAAATAGATGAAATCCCATTGACCACACTTTTTCTGATACAACAGAAGAAACCGAACAAGAAGTTACTGAAGATAATTCAGATGAAGATTTCCAACCGATTATGTATAGAAAAAGAACTAGTACGTCTTATTACATGATCTTTATGTACAGGTCTAATCTAACTTTTCATATACGTAAAGAAAACACGCCGTATAGTTCTGAAAATAAAAAGACTAAACTAAATAATGTGGTCCATACCTCTTCTAATACAAGTGCTACTGCTAGCTCAAGCTCCATAATAATCAACCCCAGCTCTTCAGCAGTCAAACCAAGCTCTTCAGCAGTCAAACCAAGTTCTTCAGTAGTTGAATCAAGCTCTTTAGTTGCTGAATCAAGCTCTTTAGTTGCTGAATCAAGCTCTTTAGTTGCTGAATCAAGCTCCTCCAATTCAAATGTTGCCAATTCAAGCTCCCCAGTTTCTGAACAAATTAAACAAATGATCACAATCAAAACGACTATTCAAAATATTTGGAATCAGGATCATGTACGACCTTTATACGATTTAGTCGACAATGTCAATATACTAGTTTTACATACTTATAGTTTCTCAAAATATATATTTTTGGAGGAGCTAAAGAATAGCATTGACTTCAGCTTGGCAGATTTTGTAACAAAGGAGTTTTTCGTAGAGGTGTTTCTGGCTCTGATCATTCCTGGAAAGGTAAAAGATAGAACCGCTATCTATCGTGAATTGATATCTCGTCACAAATCATCGTATTTTGAAGATGCTTAATATACTCCGTTTGAGATAAAGTACGCGCAACAGCTCGCATTGTACGAATGTACTAAAATTAATACGGCTTACCACAATAATATCAAGGCACATTTTGGTAACAGATTGCATATGTTATTGAACATGCTTTCTAAAAAAGAAGAAAAGTTACTCAGTCTCGATCATCGTATGAAAGCTGTAAATGCCACGAAACAAGCTATAAAAGAAGCCCGCCGAAAAGAAGTATTTGAACCCCTTAACAAAATGAAATTCGCTGTATCAAAAAAAGAAATTCCTTCTTCGGATGTCCTGGATGAAAAAGCATTATCATCTGTAAGGGACCTACTATCAACTTACCCAAACAACTACAAATTCGAAAAGAATTTTATCTATTATAATGTTAAAGCTCACCCAGAGAAGCATTTCAATGCTTTCTACAAGATTGCTAAACTTCTGGAAACTGAAGCAGCTAAAACATTTAATTGTTTTCCAATCAAAACATCGTTTATACCATCCTACATTACTCTGGATTCCAAAATAGTTCATCATCACATACTGAAGCAGAAAACTTCCTTCAAGGCGGAACAAAAGTTTGAGATTTGGAGCAACGTCGTTAATTTAAACAAGAAATCATTCAAACCTCAAGGACTTAATAAATCTCTACGATTTCAGGGCACCATTGAAACTGATGGTATTTGTGCTTCGGTGTTAAAACAGAATATCACCACGGGTAAAAAGCAGCCAAGAATGAATAATAAGAAGACAGATACTATCGACGAGGAGTATGTCGAAAATATACTACCTGCTACACTGAAGGAAAACCAAGGCAAATACGTTTTAATTGACCCTGGAAGACGAGACCTTATGTTTTGCATGCAAGAGTCAAGTACGAAGGAGAAGCCCCAAATTCTAAAATATACAAAAATCACTAGAAATAAGCTGACTAGACATAACAAAATATTAAGCAAACAAAATACGCCAGAGTCAGTAAAAATCGCCCAACTCATTTTGTCTAAAACCGTATCTTCTTCAGTAGACATTACAAAATTTGGGGATTACATCAAAACCAGAGCCTCTGTCACACATGTATTAACGAGATATTATGGAAATGAAACAATGACGATCAATGAATCATATTTCCCTGGATCTGTCACGGAATTCTCAATACGACGAGGATGTTTATACTATGGAGATTTGTTTGTTATAAATTTTCGAGGATATTATCCGCAACCGAAAGACACTACTAGCACCACTACTGATTTGAATTTGTATGCGACTTATTTGGAAATCATGTTAAAACAAAAGCACATCGCACAGCGTCTGACTGCAACAACAAAAAACTCACTAAATGCACTGATTAGTAACATGTCCTCAAGTAATGAAGATAATGGGTTAAAACACAAAGCAAGCACACAATTAGAAAAGTTGCGACTGTTACCTTTCAGAAAGATAAAATTCAACAGCAAGCTCTATCACGATCAAAATGATGCCAATTTGGTTCAACGGCTAAAGCTAAAATTTGGGAAAAACTCGATTTTAGTGATAGGTAATTGGTCTGCTCCGAATACGAAATTCCAGGAGCCCACAAGAAGTAAAGGCCTAATCAAAATGTTGAAGAAGGCAGGATTTACTGTTCTTTTAATCGACGAGTTTAAAACGTCCTCATATTGCCCTACTTGCGAAAGCGAACTGGAGACATTCAAGACTGTTGTCAACCCTCGCCCATACAAAAGAGCCGATGCACCAACTGTTGAATGTCACGGTTTATTAAGGTAGACGATAATAATAATTGTAGAATGGAGCTATTAATGACTATAACCACTGGATTATTAGATGTCAAAATCTTAAATGTCTTGATAACGGCGAAAAACAAAGAAGAAAACTCTGGAACCGGGACTTGGCCGCAGTGCTGAACTTTAAGAAGATAGTTGAAAGCTTACGAGAAACTGGTCGAAGACCAGCAATATTTTGCAGAAAAAACACCGAAACTATCCACCAAGGTTAACGCTTTGGTTATTTAATGCAGGTACCTACTTTTGAATTTAACATAACAATCGTTTTCCGTAACTAAATTTTCATTTGTCTAATTTCTTTTTTTACTTCGTCCAAAAAAGGTAAGCTAAACATCTGAAAAATAATTTTGATTCGTCCAAAAAAAAATTTAACATCGTCTGAATTTGAAGTAGAAATACTGTACTTCAGATCCAATGATTATCTTTTAAAAAGATCATGTATCATCTTCAAATTATTGCTATTTCAATCACCGCCACCATTTATGCCGACATGGCAAGTATGCCATTTGCATACCCAAAAAATATTTTTCAGAAAAAAATAGAAACTACTAATTTAGAATATAACAAAAATATTTTCTGCAACCAAAAACAATAAAAAAAATAAAAAAAAAGAGAAAATTTTCAATTTTTCTGTTTTGAATTTATAAAAAAAAACTAGTTTTTTAATTTTTCGTTTTAAATTAATAAACAAATCTACCAAATAATAACTCCTGTGTTTTAGTTTAGAGAAAAGATTACTGCCTGGTAGACTTGTTTATTAATTTAAAACGAAAAATTAAAAAACTAGTTTTTTTTTATAAATTCAAAACAGAAAAATTGAAAATTTTCTCTTTTTTTTTATTTTTTTTATTGTTTTTGGTTGCAGAAAATATTTTTGTTATATTCTAAATTAGTAGTTTCTATTTTTTTCTGAAAAATATTTTTTGGGTATGCAAATGGCATACTTGCCATGTCGGCATAAATGGTGGCGGTGATTGAAATAGCAATAATTTGAAGATGATACATAGATTTTGTAAACTCTTTATTTAGCCGAAGGATCATCCTCAATGACTTATTCATTTTTTATAACTTAGGCCTTTTTCAAGCTGTTTCCTCAAATTCGGGGAGATGACATCTAAAGTAATAATAGCACTAGAACATTTCCATAAGTGAATGGGGAGGGGATTTTGAGAGATGAAAATGCACTCTTTTGGGAGGATCATAAAAGAAAGTACCAAGCTTATTCCTGCGGTGTTCAATGTGTATCCTCTCAGGCCTTTTGGCTAAAATCAAATGCAGTGTTCAATGTGCCAGAAATTGGTTTCAAATTGAAAAAGGCTAGCTGTTCAATGCCTCATTATTATACACAGAATTTTAAGATTTTATGTTTTTCAGAAGAGAGAGACAATTTGAAATGACCTAAAGCAATTAAAGACTTGCAGAAAAACTCATAAACTCCAGGAACTTTTCATGAAGAAATATGATAGAAAGTGATAAGCCATTGAGGACGATCATTCGGCTAAACTCTATCTGGCGTGATTAAATAAAAGGGCTCTATTAAAGGGTTATTCATCTATTTCTTCTTGAAGCGCGAAACTGAGCACTATAAATTTCAAGCCAAGAAAGCCTATTGATATTTAGGTTCAAAAGTATGGTTACTTATAGGGACATTTCTATGCTGATAACAATCAATATGAATGAATACCTTTTCGCATTCCTTGCTACAAATAATGTTTATTAATGCATAATGCGAGATATTTAGAACAGCAATGAATTCCCAAATTCTCCTTGGAAATAGCTTGCAATGCCCTACAAAGCTCAAACAAAGATATAAAGTTTATTTAAGCCATAGAAAAAAATCACGTGATTTTTATGTTTCTAATGCTATCAGAAGGAATGAACTGCATAATACTCGTGTCCGCCTAAAGGTCTGTAATCAAGAAAGAAGTTTGTACAAAAACAGCGTAATAACTGCTCATGATAGCGTATGATTGGTATTCATTGTGTCATTTTGAATAGGTCCTAATAAGTTAAAGGCTTGTCTGTTTGTTGGAGAACGCGATCTTGGTATTGATTTACTCGGGAGCACAAGTATTGTATGCATCACAAGTGAGTAAATACGTCCCAAATTTGTGTCTTTTGTTTCCAGAAATTAGCCCACCTAGTTAATAGAACCGAGAAGGGAATAAAAGCAGTGAAAGATACTTTCTATTGTTTGAATAAGGATTGTATTTGCGTAAGAAATAACAAGACAATTACGTCTCGCGACCGATTGTCAGCTCTGACGATTGTTGTTGTTGGTCTATCTATAATCTTGTTCGGTAGAACGTTCCCCACATTTCCCATAAATTTAGTCAATACTACACTGAAGATGATTTCAAACAATTCCTAAATCGAAGAGTGTGTAAGGTTGATGATAGTTCTGCTACTATCAATATGGATGATAAGCGGTAACATGTCTCTAGAGTCGAACCTTTCTAATGGTCTTATAATTGATAATACTCTCTGAGTGGCTGCGGTTATTTTTTGAGTATTTATCGATTCTTAGACGGCTTCAGATCTTCCCTAACTTAACTCAGTAATTCATTGTTGGAATTACAAAAAAAAAAAAAAAAAAAGGAGAGATAAAGAAGAGGAAGGGGAATGATTCAAAAGCGAAAAAAGTGAATACAAGCTGAGTGACAATTGTTTATGTGTATAGACTTGCAATGATGAGGAAACATGAAAGAGCTTCAGCAGCTTGTTTGCTTTAACAAATTGTAATTCAATTAAAATGAAGAAAATTTTCGATCTATGACAAAGCAGTGCATCAGGAGCCCATTCTGAAGCTAAACAATAACAGTATGTTGATTTGGATATTGAACAAAGACATCGTGTTTTTTCTTTGATTGTATATACAATAATATCCATACATTCATAAAGACAATCAACAGTCTTCAAAACATGTTCGAGAAAGGCAACTCATCATGGTTTTATTGTAATGCTTTATGCTTATAAATATTAAAAAATCAAAAGGTCACCTTATTTCTCTTTAAACCATGACTATAAACCTTACTCGACAATTGACACTTTTATTTCGAAATGCACTGCTGGTTCCACAAACCTATAGAGAAGGACCTTCAACTACAAGTGATGATCCAACATGGGCTTTTTATGCATATACAGTAGATCCGTAAGTGACATTTTAAACTGCATATTATTAATGTAAATCAGGGAGTGTATCATGTTGCTCCACATGACAAGAACACTTGTAAATCAATATTTCCCAGACTATGACTTCAATAATCCAGGTACGACTGGTTTCTACGTGAGTGGCACTGGCTATTTTGATGTGATGAATTCTTTTGTTCGCCAAAACTATCCTCAATCGTCTTCCTTGTCTGTTCGTTTTCGAGAATTGCATTCGATTGTTCCTAATGTCGAAATTCCTCATCGATTTCGAGAGCCTCCTATCATTACACCTCCGTCACCTGTTCATTTACCTTCTATTCGACAAATTACAAACCTTAATAATAATAATAATAATAATAATAATAATGACAATAGAGCTAGTGTTCCACTTCCGAGTCATATTCCTGCTGAACCTTCAACAACTGCTGGTCGTAAAAAAAAAGGCGGGCCAAAAGCAACTGCAGCAACGACAAAAAGAATCGAAAGTAAGGTTCGAAAGTCTCCAAGTACCAGGAATCGTAAGAAAAGTATTTCTGGTTCAACAAAAAAAAAATCAGGTGTAAAACTCAGAAAGAGAGAGAACATTCGCTCTGGATTAAGAACTTGTAAAGAAGTAAACTACAAAGTTTAGACCTCTTTTTTGTATATACTTACTTTTGACAATAACAATAAAACTGCATTTGGCTGAACTCAATAGTATCAGAGACTCATGTCTGGACGGTAAAATCAATTTTTCATGCCAAACCTCCGTCCAAGATAAAAAAAAAAAAGGAAAAAGGCTCGCGCCTGCAGCGGGCTATCAACCGGTCGCTGGTTTTATTAAGCCGATAAAGTGTTTGTCTAATTAATTCATACCTTAGTTTTCATGCTTATAATAACAAATTATGAGCTAGATTTTTCCAAAATGTTTATTGAAGGACTGCACAAAGATCAAAGCATCATGAGTGCGCTTTATTTAAAAGCTTCTTTAAAGACAACATTGCTGGTTGTTTATGACGGACTAACATTTTATTTGATTTAGGGCTCTTTAAATGAAATGTTGAGAGGAACAGTTACTTATACGAAAAGGCACAAGAAAGAAGGTAAAGGTCCACAAAATCTAGCATTTAACCTTGCTGCAAGAAAAGTGTTTTCTCAAATTTAGTGTTTCAAATTTCGTATAAAAAAAGAATATCATGATATAGTCTGCAGTCATAAAGCAATATAATAAATTTTATTGTAATAAATATACATATATTTTACTTGGGACACCAAGTAATGGTGTATGACGAAGATTTACATTGATAAAGACTGGCTTTATCATCGTAAGCGTAAGAATAGACATCAGGACAAGCTTGTTTGATCTTTGCAGCATAACTGTTGATAGGGCAGGTAGCAGACGTGTTGTGAGAGCCAGTACAACAGTATTCTTCAGTGTTAAACTTTGAGCAAGCACTAACACAACCACTGTTCTTGCCATTTAAGCTCTTTGTGAATCCAGAAGGACAAGCAGGCAAATTCTTACAAGCAGGTGTACCACACCAATACTTGCCACCTTCTCCATTGCTGGGTGCAGGGTTAGTAGGTGTGACGCTAAGAGGCAAGTTGTAGCCGTCCACAAAAGACAAGTCATAAAAGTCTTTACCATTAGCACCGTTAAATGTAAATTCAGCCAAAGAAGCAGGAAAAGCAGCACCTGCAGTTTGACAGTCAGAGCCGCCCTGACAATCTACACGTGCCCAGAAACGAAGAGAAGCCAAGTTCTTGCTGAAAGAGTATGTCTTGGAACCACCAGTAGCTACAGAATCAGGGGTGCCAGAAGTATCAGCAGGATTCAAATGACCTACTTGAAGCGTCTTGCCACAGTTGTTGACTACCTTGATAATAGTCTGATCTGCACGCTTTTCAAATGAAGGCAAAGCAGAGGCCAAGCCGATAAAAGAGACAAGATAAAGATGGAAGAGTTGCATATTGAACACAAGTAAAGAAAGAGAAGAACTACCGTAATATCAACCCACTTATCTCTCTTTTTATACACCTTTTTTTTCTTTTAATCTTAAATTAATTGCATTAGAGTTTCATTTTTGAGTAACAAAAGAAGTATAGTGAACACAACATTGTGGTAAGGTGACTTTGATCGCCTAAAAACATTACATCCATTTTTAAAGATTCCATTTCCAGAAATAAATTGCACAAAAAAGTTGAAATACACTACACCCCTTTATAAATTCCAACACTTTTTTTTATTCATTTCAGCTCAATGGATGGACTAAATCTCTTTCTTATTTGACCGCTTGGCTAGAAAGGTAAGTTTGCTTTATTTATTTATTGTTTGCTTCCTCATTCTGGTTTATGAAAATGATAATTTACAACTGATATGAAGCTATCAGGTGAAACTGACCCGATGGTATGACATCAATCGTAAAACCTGATTGGAGTGCTGTTCGCTTGATATCAGGCTACCAAGTGAATTCCAACCGAAGGCTGATACTGGGCAAAGTTCAATTGAGATCAAGTTAGGTTTTAAGCCAGCTACTTGATCGCAGTTGAACTCACTTGATCGCTGGGTCATTGGTGTACCTCAAGTACGACAAACCTATCTGTGGTACATCGGCTTTAATGACTACTATTTTGACAGCAATGTCTATAATAAACATTGTTATTGTTGAAGTTAGACCCCAAATAGACAAAAGGAAAAATTGTTGAAAGTCGCAAAAGAAAGACTGCAAACATAAAAAAAAAATCATTTTGCACGAATGTAATTCTTAGATTGCACATTAATTGAACTCGTTTTGCACACACAAGAAATAAAGATTGCATAACTTGTGCAATTTATTTACGGGAATGATGTATTCAAACTTACATATGTCTTTTACTTAGTCGAATAGTACTATGTGTCACTCGTCAAGGTCATTTAGATAAAACAATACGAATTTAATAAAAACATCGCTTTTATTCTCTTTTACGTTAATTCTTGTCAATTGCTCATGATCAAATTGGGAAGCTGATATTGTAGTCAAGAAACTTTGTAGGTAGAAGCACTTGATAGTTATGATCCTGAAACAACAGCATCAGAGTAAACTTGTGAAGATTGTAGCAGTTGTGTTTGAGCAGGAGAGGTACTTTGTCTTTCCGCAAAAACAGTTGGTGCAACGCTGTTTTTATTTGATCTCGTCCTTGCTTACAGTAAGAGATCGATTGGAACAGGAATGAAGCATCTCACGTGAAGTAAGACAAACGTAAAAAAAGAAAGTATTTTATGAATTAATTAAATTTATGTAGGACTGCAGATCTAACCCCTTCAACAAGTATCAAATCGCGGGTCTCTAAAAACCAAATCGCAGTAAAGAATCTGTGTACCGAAAACTTGAATAGTACACAGGTTTTATACGACACAGGTGAAGGTACTAAAAATCTATACTAAGCTCCCCTCAGGCCCAGAAGAAAAATCAATTTCTTTGAAGATTTGAGACTAAAAAAGCCTTTTCTAGATGGTGTCATGCTCTTATTCAAAATTTATTGATCACAATTTATGCAATTTGCATAATAAAATTTTTCGTTAAATACATAGTTAATAATAAATAAATTTCATATTGATAGATTTATTTTTGGAGCCCATTAGCTTGTTTTATCTAAAAAGGACTTGAGGATTACAAATAATTTTGTTTTATTGATCTAATAATGCAAAATAAAATGATATGAAGACAAAACAAATATATAGAGAATGTATTATGATGTGAGTGTGTATATATAGATAGATAGATAGATAGCTGGACTTAGTCACTCTCAGTGTCAGGTTCCTTAGTGCCACCTTCAATCAACCACTTGAGATGACGAGCACGGCGACGTTCTTCTTGAAGCTTAAGTTCATTTCTAGTCTTCTTCTTTTTCTTGGAGATCTTGGCCTTCACCTTTTCTTCATCAATCTTTGATTCATCATCAACAGCAGAAACACCACTCTTGTAAAGTTTACCGCCAATCAATTTCCAGCTTTCAGGACACAAGGCTTCAACAAATTCAGTACTGTGAGAAATCATGACAACAGCACCTTCCCACTTTCTAATAGCAGTAGCAAGACCACCCAAGGCTTCACGATCCAAAAAGTTAGTAGGTTCATCAAGCACTAACATATGACAATTGTTCCACATAGCAGCAGCAATTACGACCTTGACCTTTTGACCACCAGAGAGAGCACCCATCTTGGTGTACTGAGCAATATCAGGATCAAGACCAATATCAGTAAAGTGTTGACGAATATGAGGCATACTCAATTCACGGTACAGCAAACCTTCACGAGAAGCTTCTTTATCATCGAATTGTTGGACGAGTTTTTGGAAACCCAACTCGAGTAACTTTTCACGAGAGAACCAACTGTTGAACTTGTGGAGCTTGTTCTTCCATTTGATTTCGTATTGGAACGTCTTCTTGAGCTTAGTACGACCCAACAAGGCTTCGATCTGACGCTCTTCACCATTGACAGTGATCATCTTCTCCATTTGAGCTTTTTCTTCGTCACTCCAGACACGGGTTTCTTTTTCAGCGACTTCCTTGTCTTCACCAGTAGAGTAACGCCATTGCAAGTAATCAGTAGGTGTCTTTTCAAGATGTTGTTCCAAGTGGTGGAAAGCATGTTGAGCAACGTAACCAATACGAAGAGCAGGGTGACGCCAAACAACACCGGTTTGAGGAATAGTCTCACCTGTCAAGAGCTTGATCATAGTAGACTTACCAGCACCGTTAGGACCCACGACAGCAACACGGGATGAAAGAGAAAGAGAAGCGCTAGCATTGTAGAGAGAAGGCACCTTGTTACCAGGATAAGTGTATGTACAGTCTGTCATCTTGAGAATGGCCTTGGTGTTGGATCTAACACCTTGCAAGACAGATGGCTTGGGGAAAGTAAACTCAATTGTAGAGGCATCCAAAGTGTAGTAAGTACGAGCAGCAGGATAAACTTCAACAAAAGCAGAGAGATTACCATGGTACAAACGAAGCTTCTTCTTTTCATAATGAAGAATCTGAGTACAGACATTATCCAAGAAGCCAGAGTCGTGAGAGACAATCAAACAAGTGACTTGAGATTGAGCATTCAAATAGTCTTCAAGCCATTTGATGTTGTCGACATCCAAGTGATTGGTAGGTTCATCCAACAAGAGAATATCAGCCTTGGTAAGGATAGCACGAGCAAGCTCAAGCTTCATCTTCCAACCACCAGAAAGGGCAGAAGCAGACATTTCGAGACGAGCATCATCAAAGCCAACAGTACGCAAAGACTTTTCAATTTCAGAATGAGGCAAGTCCTTCAACAAGGGATCAGCAGCAACATAGTTAACAATCTTCAAGGAAGTGTCAGCAGCTTGAGAGTTATAGTCAACCAAGGCAGTGCGAACTTGATCTTGAGAGGGGAATCCTTCAACCTTACCATTGTGGATAGCGTTCATCAAAGTACTCTTACCAGCACCGTTTTGACCACAGAGACCGTAACGTTGACCACGGTGCAACTTGAGACGAGTGTGACTCAACAAGAGACGGGTACCATAAGCAAGAGAAAAGTCTTCTACGTTACAGATTTCTTCACCTTCCTGTTCATCAATAGCACTGTCATCCACATCTGCATTACGCTTCTTGAAAATACCCTGAATTTCCTCTAAAGCACCATAGATCACAGAAGAAATGTCTGCCTTCATAATAAAAGCCTTGAGGTAAGGAGTAAAGGACTCAAGCCAACCTTCTTTAGAGAAGAGCTCTTGACGAGCGTAGTCAGCAGCAATGATGCCAAGATAAGAAATATAAGGAAGGAAGAAGGAATCAAGAAAACCTTGTGCCTTAGTAGCAGCCTTCTTGAAAGCAGCAGTGGCTTCTTCAATCGTGACTTCAGTAGCTTCAGCAGGCTTTTCATTAGCACCACCAGCATCAATCAAAGTCTGCTTGGCCTTGTTAGCAAGCACACGAATTTCAGGGAAAGCAGCACTTTCAGCTTGACGATCAATACCAGGATACAATTGAGGCAAGAACTGAGCAGCTGTACGAGGATCACGCACAAGCTTACACAAGTTGTCTGTGATCACAACAGTTTGACGCATGATAGTTGTCGAACGTTCATTCAAGGCACGAGTCAAAAGGGGCACCATGATAGCCAATGTGGGACCATTGACTTCAGCCACAAAAGTAGTTTGAGCGAGCTTTTCAATGGTATCAGGCACACGAGTAGGGTTGCCCATACAGAGCACCAAATCCTTCAAATGACGATGGATATCAGGGTTACCACCCACAGAACACACCTTCAACATGGCTTTTTCAGCAGCAGTAGCAACTTCCTTCTTAGTGTCAGAGAGACAGTCAGAGACAGCAGGAATGATTTCAGGCAAACATTCACCAATTTGTTCGGGAGCTCTTTCTGTGAAACGTTCCAATAACTTCAAGGCACCAATCTTGGTCTGCCATTTCTTTGAACTGGTGTTATGACCCATACCCTTCAACAAGACAGGCAAAAGAGCCTTGGTGGCTTCAGCAGGAATCATGTCAACCAAAGTGCGAGAGGCCATTTGAGCAGCTTCTTGGACAACTGCACCCTTATCAGCATAAAGATCCAAAAAGATTTCCAAATGAGGAATCAACAAAGGCTCAATTTCATGAGACATGACTTCTTCCATCGCATTGAAACCGATAAGACCACCCTCACGTTCCAAGCCAGATTTCTTGTTTTTAATAGAAGCAAGAAATTTGTCGATGATGCCATAAGTCTTGATCATAATCATACCTTTAGATTGAACAAGTTTAGCAAGCTCTTGAGCAGCTTGTTCGACTTCTTCAGAAGAAGGAGCAGTGTTAATCTTGTTGAGAAGATCAGCAACCATAGTTGCTTGTTCGTTGGTTGCAGAAACCATCATTTACTAGTTTTGTTTTTGTTTTTCTAGTTTAAAGAAGAAGAAGAAGAGGTGATAGAGAATGGATAAGAAAATAACAAGAAAACTAGTCAAGTCAAGCCTTGAGTCGATAAGTGATGAGAAAGGAGGAAAAAGGGGGAGAGATAGCAATAGTATCAAACAGAAAAAATTTGCTTTGCCTTCCTAATGAGCTCAACTCCGCAGTGAACATGGCCAATCAAACTACATTATGATAGCAACAAATAGAAAGCTGTTGTTTTCTCACTTAAAAGGGAGAGAGTAATGGTCTATTTTTTATTATTATTGATTGTCATGCTGGTAAGACATTCTTTCTTGGTGAATGACTTCAAGGTTGTGTTTGATCTTTTCGTCCATTTCTTTCAGGGACTCTTCTTGTCGTTTTAAAGCAGCGATTTCTTTTCGTAACTGTTGTTCGTTTTGAATAAGTGTAACTAATTCGGGTTGAGAAGTGGGTATGGTATCAGGCATGATATAGAACAAGAAAAAGAAACAAAAAAAAGGAGAGGAGCATGACAGAAATCAAGCTATATAGTGTTCGATCCGGAATAGCGCATTCGACTAATGACTTCCAATTTAGGCAAATTTCAAGGAAAAAAGCGACTCCAAGCGTCAAAACTATAGACAAAGCTGCCAAACCAGATACATCCTTCCTTTTAAAAAAAGTAACCAACAAATATGTCCATGGCTGCTCAAATCTCCAAGAAGAGAAAGGTAAGGATAGATAAAGAGAGACTGGATGGATGGATACTTATATTTTTCAAATAGTTCGTAAGTTGGATCAGCATGCATCGATAAACACATTGATTTACAATTTCAACTTTTAGGTCGCTGACGGTGTCTTCTATGCTGAATTAAACGAATTCTTCACTCGTGAGCTTGCCGAAGATGGTTATGCTGGTGTCGAAGTTCGTGTCACCCCTGCCCGTACAGAGTAAATATGAGAGATAAAACATCATCAGCCTGTACTCATTGCATGTAGAATCATCATTCGTGCCACACAAACACAAAAGGTGCTCGGTGAAAAGGGTCGTCGTATTCGTGAATTGACCACACTTGTTCAAAAGCGCTTCAAGTTCCCTGAAAACGCTGTTGAACTTTACGCTGAACGTGTCCAAAACCGTGGTCTCTGTGCCATTGCTCAATGTGAATCTGTCAAGTTCAAGCTTCTTAACGGTTTGGCTGTCCGTCGTGCCTGTTACGGTGTTGTCCGTTTCGTGATGGAATCCGGTGCTAAGGGTTGTGAAGTTGTTGTCTCTGGTAAGGTCCGTGCTGCCCGTGCCAAGGCCATGAAGTTCGCTGATGGTTTCATGATCCACTCTGGTAACCCTGCTCGTGAATTCATTACTACTGCCGTTCGTCACGTTGATTTACGTCAAGGTGTCTTGGGTATCAAGGTCAAGATCATGTTGGACAGCGACCCCACTGGTCGTAACGGTCCCAAGCAAACTCTTCCTGATATTGTTACCATTCTTGAACCCAAGGATGAAACTCCCATCCTCGAACCCTCTGCTCAAGACTTCAGACCTGCTCCTACTGCTGCTGAGCCTGTTGAAGCCTAAACTTCTTTTTTATTTGCTTGTGTCTATATTCTAATTGAAAAATAAAAAAAGGAATCAAAAACATGTATATATATAGGACTTACGAGAGTATCTTCAAGTGCATAAAAAAATAGGAAAGAATGACATGTTGCATTTTTTTATTGTGACTTGTAGGAGTAGAAGAAAAAGTGGAGATACTGCACATCTCTAAAAAAAATAATCTTGATCATGATGGCAAAAGAGAAAAGAGGACCTATAGAAGGTAAAGGGGATGATCTCGAAAGACACTGACAGGATCATGTAGGATCTATTCATAAAAGAGCACCTCAAAGACCAGCTACAGTACCTACTGATATTTATGTGTCCAACAAGACAAAGACAGCAGCAATTATTAAACGAGTAACAAGACTCATGTTAAAAGAAAAGTAAGATCAATCCCCATGTCAACATGTGTTCATAATCTATAGTCATCAACATGTTACACTTCATGGTTTAGGTGCCATGGTTATACGTGCTAGTTCAATGGCTTTAGCAGTACAACAAGCCTTGGAAAATCAAGTTTTATTGAAACCTAAAACAGAGACAGTTCAGCTGATAGACGATATCATACCCGAAGATATGGACAAGGATCTAGAGACACAAAAAAGAGCCAATTCAGTCATTCATATTCAAATAGAAGCCACGGCAGGGCTAGCAGCACTTCAAAAGAAAACAGGCAAAATTATCCATCATCCTTCTCGTAACAGAAGGAGTAGAAAATGGCAGTAATTTATTTCTGTAGATGAGATAAAAGCAATAAAGCTTCATTTTGAAGGTGCAGGTCAGTAGGATATGTCTCTGGCTTAAGAATAGGTGTAATAACACGATCCATGACCATACTGCCTAGTCTATCCAGGTGTATTTTGGGAATATGTCTACGCCATACCATTAATGTCTTGAGGTATTTACATTGGCTCCAAAAGAATCGATGTTTGGCTTGTATAGATGCCTCATCCAAGTTCGATTTGGGAATAGCAGTGGCAATAGGCTCAATAAAACGAGATAATTGCTTATCGAGTGTGTCTACAATATCCATGGTTAAATCCTACAAAGAAGCGTGAATAACCTGTTTCTTGTCCATAGAGTATATACCTGATAGGCCTTTTCGTGTGTATCTACATAATACGATATTTGTTCGACTATTTGTGCTGCGTATCTCATTTGTCTTGAAGAAGCTGCATCAAGTGTGTCTAATAAGGATTTGACTTTCTTAATGATGGTCTTTTCAACCACTTTGTTTAGCATGTCGACATCAGGATCTTCATGTTCTCTTGATACACCATATTCAGACAATACACTATGCCATTGCATCCCATCTAAATCCATAGGTTCCTATTGAAAATGTATAAGTTTTTTTTTTCTGCATTGTGATAGTATCATTGACTCACTGAAAAGGGATCCCAAGAGACAAGTTCTGTACGAATATAGAATTCAAATGCACCAGGTAAACTTAGACTACCAAAGGCCTTTTCATAGTCTTCTGTAAAATCAAGTTTCCATGCTTCAAATTTGTCCTTGACTGCACGCAATGAACTGAATTCAGGACTCACATCAGACAATAGCTGTTCAATAGATGTGGTCTGAATGTCTTGTAGTTGTGTATCTCTCTTGATCTCATATTCTTCAGTCATTTCATCGTCTGTAAATAGACCTTGTTCACGTATGACTTCATCTCCTTCTGATTCTACTAAACGTTGCATACGTTTTTGTCTTTCTGATTGACGACGTTGAAGGGCTGTTGCTGAATTGCGTACACGACCAAACTCATCTATTTCTTCTTTCTCTGCTTCTTTGACAATATAGAACATACAAAGATCGTCTAGTTGATGCTGCCATCGACGGGAGGTGACAATATCCGTTCTTGTAGCTAAGATATCATGTACTTGTGCTTCCAGTTGTTCAAGATCAGGGAATTTAGCATCTAAAAATTCACCTAAATCATTCACAAACTGTGCTAATCCTTGGAAATAGTTATATCTTTCACTACTCTTCTCTATCTGTCTATCCAGGTCTGATTCTATTTGGGTTGAATTCTCAATTGTCTTGAGTGATTCTGCTAGATTAGACTCATAATGTTGTATTGATTCATTGATTTGGGTGATAGACAAATCCATGGATGTCATCATATCAGACAAAGTAGGTAATGCAGCAGTCTCAGGAACTAAGTTTGTTAGAAAGGATAGGGTGGTATGCTTTACTTACTCTGTGCAGGGCGATAATTAGCAGGTGTACTGTAAGGATCCATGCCTGTTGGATTTGTCTTGACACCACCGTACTTGATCATATCATTCTCCCATCTTGCCATATCTTCAGACTGTTCTTCTTCGTCCTCTTCTTCTGCTTCCTCAATCATTTCCCTTACACCTTCTCTGCGTTCTCTTTCTTGCTTTTTGGCTGTGCTCTTGTTGAAAGCATACTTGTCACCTACATATTTCTCGAATTCTATCTCTTATGTTGAGTATATGCTGGTTGAAATAACCTCCTCCCTTTTTTTGATTTTTACCTGCTTCACCATCATCAGCTATATCATCTTCTTCTCTTACAAGTCGAGATCCTGTATTCTATAGAAAGAGGATGTAAGCAAAACCTTTTGATGACTACAGCACAATTTACATCTTCTTCATCCAAGGGTATAAAACCGTCTTCGTTTTCGACTACATTGAATCCTCCTTTTCGCATCTGTTCTCTCTTTTTCTTGGCAGCTAAAATAGCACTTGCATCAGGAATGCCTGTTGATGCAGATGGGAGTGCATTCATCGAAGGAAACTTTTCATGCAACAAAGCATCCTCCTTGTTTAAAGAAGATCGAACAGAAGCAGGTAAATTAGGTGTACCTGCTTTAAGTTGATTCAACATTGTTTCATCATAACTGGATTTTACATCGATATCCATAGCATCGACGAGATTACTAGTATGAGCTGAGTCAGTGGATTCATGCATATACGCTATCTTACTCTGGTAGCTGAATGGTTCGACTTGGTTTTATCTTTTTTATTTGGAATGATTCTTGTTGTTCTTCATCTTCAAAACTGAGGGGATTAACTTGTTTCTTCAATTGCTTTTTCTTCTTGAGAGTCGAAGTGATTGTCTTTTTGATATCCACTAGTACTGTGTGAGTAACGATAGAATAAGATGTACATACCTTCTTCAGTAGGTTCATCGTCTGTTGTTTCAATCTTGCGACGAATATTCTTTGCTCTTGATGATTTCTTGAACATGACGAACGATTGTAAAGAAACGCGTTCTTCCTTTTCAAAAGCTACGTGACTGCGACTGGTGATTTCTACAAGCGAACCACCTGTCATTATTCCCGGGGCATCCTCTTCAATTTTTTTTCTTTTTTTTTTAGGTTCTACGATGGCATCTCTTATTCGACCTGTTGGTTTGTTAACCAAGACAACACAACCTGCTTTAGTTCCGCGTTTAGTTTTATCTCAATTACCCAGATCGACTGTCTTGGGTATTCGTGCTTATGCCACACATCAGCAACAAGGCAAACAAATCTTGTTGCGTGATCATGGTGTCTTTGGTAAGCAACTCATTAAGCATACTCCAAGACACTTATACCTGTATTTTAGCCAATTATGTACCCCCTGAACAATCACCTTCGATTACAGACTTTAGTCAGTGGCGTTTGACCAAATGGAGAAACTTGAAGAACAATGTTCAAAACTTGTTAAGGTAAGCATGATAGGCCACCCTTCTACTTCCTATTCATATGCTAGCTAGTGTCGGTTTGATTAAATACAAGTCTCAATATGAGAAATGGAATTCTGCTAAATTCATTGCTGAGGCTCAAGAGACTTATAAAGATATGAATGATGCATTTGCTAGAGGTGATCGTCAAGTGTTAGAAGAAGTTTGTTTAGATGCCATGTATTCTGTGAGTCATGTCTATGCCTAATCAATTGAACTTATTGTCGATAGAGCTTGAAAAACCAATTGAAAACCCGTAATAACGTACGTTGGGAATGGAGATACCACGGTGATGTTGAGTCACCACGTATTGTCTGCGTGCGTTGTGTAGGTACCACAGGTGTTAGTAAGCATGGTTTTGCTGTAGGTCAAGTCACAATGCGTATGTTTACCAAGCAATCGATGGCTGTATTTGACAAGAAGAACAAGTTAATCGGTGGCGATCCCAACAAGATTCACAATGTATTAGAATATGTCGTCTTTCAAAAGACCATCTCAGATCCAGAAGATATTTGGAGAGTGTATGGTAAAGTGGCACCACAGGAAAAGATGGTTCAATAATTGTATATACCATCTTATAATAAAGTGTTTACATGTATAGTCATTCTATTGCTATTTGGGAAAAGTTAAATGAAGGGGGAAGCCACGTCGGCGAAAATCTTAGCAGTAAAAGGAACAATATTAAAAGTAAAAACGACCAATTTAAAGGCTAGAGCAATTAGTCGTTCCTATACACGCAACTTCGATAAAAACTGCTAATCTTGGCAGTTGAGCCAATATTCGATTAGTGGTTTTTGAACAAGATTGTTAGTAACTGCCAATAAACTATTGTCAGCAACCGCTAATCTTGGCAGTAAAGATCAATTCCGCAAAATTTTATACTATTGGATTATATAAGCGTCTTTTTTGTTACATATATACATGCATTACATAATATATTGTATACACTTCTATGGTTGGTGGCATGAATCCAATCATACACTACTATACTCATCACTAGAAACATTCTTTAAAGGCGATCGCAAAAGAAAAAACTAAAAGAAATATATCCAATGCATACAGAAAAGGAACTGGAAGGAGAAGTATAACTGACATCGCCAGTGAAAAAAGGAGAAGGAAAGACAACAGAAGAAGGCGGTAAGTAATTTAATATATAAGAGAAACTTGCAGCCATATAAAAGAAAAAAGAATTAAAGTCGAATGTAAATAATGGAAGATTACTGCTTCATTGTTGAATTCATTCTGTTCAATAAGTGCTTAGACAGACTGATTGATGTGCAAATAAATCATTCGGCTATGTATTTTTTTTTTTTTTTGAAATTAATAAAAAAAGACTTGGTCACTGAGTTGCTCGCCAAAGCAAAGATGACTTGTACGGAATAAAGAAAGGATTAATAGGTAACAATAAAACCAAAAAAAAAAATAGAACTTCCTGTCGAAATGATAATGATGGAATTTCCCGAGTCGTACGTTTTCTGAGTACTACATACAAAATCCTGCGGTTATCCAGCAGTATTCCCTCTGTTTGTGAAAGAAATAAGGCCTTGTCTGGAGCTTGTCTGGTTGGCTAGAATAATTATGGAAAAGGCAATGAGAGCCCTTACTTCTCCTGGCCCTCAAGAAACAGTTGGCTTCAACTTTGAGTCAGCACTTGTTGATTTGCCAACTGTCTATAATTAAAAATAAATGTCTTTCTTGCAATGAGACCTATATACATTATTTTATTATAACATTCAATGGATAAACTTTCTGACTAATTTATGCAAAGCAATTTGTGGTGATAGGAAAAGCAAGGATGCTAAGAGTTATTAGTTACATATGGACAGTATGAAAATCCGGCTTTCATTGCTTTATACTCCTGCTATATCAAAACAGTGTATACCGCCACCACAATGACCCATTTTCTGAGTAGGAAGAGGTCTAACAGATAGTCCATTTTCCAGCAACCTTGTAAAGTGCTACATGATAAGAGTGTTTATTTAGATATTCTTTGTTTATGTAATGTAATTCTTTCAGTTCTTCGCTCTAAACAGACTCTAACAATCAGTTAGAAGATAGTTTAAAACAAATTAACAGGATTCACCTCGAGAAGGTAAAAGCACAACGAATCCCAAAAATAAAACGCTCTCAAACGACGCAAGAAGAGAGGCAAGAGGAGATCTATCAACAACACAGCACTGGTACATACGCCTATACTCTACTTCAGAGTATGGAGAAGAAACCTATGTGGTAGTTGTATTGCTAGACACTGCGCTTGCTTGCATTCAAGTTTGAATGAAAGAAAGGCATTCTTTTTCTCAATACGAAAAAACCAATCAAATTTATATTCTGCTCTGTGTCAAACTAGCAGCCCTTACTTGTCCGAAAAGCGAATGGATTTCACCTTAATGCACCACATGGTAACAGCAATACTACAGTTCTATTCATATAGTCACGCTCAAAAATGTTTAGTAACTTTAAGAGCAAAACTGTAGGCTCTCCATCCTTGAGTAAACTTTCCAAAACATAATGGATTAGTACTACAGACCGTATAGAGCTAAAGCTCAGGTTATTTATCAAACAATATAAAAAAAGAGAAAGGATTAATGTTTGATGCGACCACTCTTGTCGAAGCACAACTCTCCAATGCCTCGACTTGACACCTGTATGATCATCATCTTCAGTTTAAGTCTGTTATTAATTCATTATTATCTGCTCTCCTTTATCACCTAATCTAAGTGACACTATAATTCCATTGTTCACTTTTTATTTGCGTTACTTGGTTTCTAGAATTCAATTTTTGCTTGTTTTATACAGTTTTTACACTTTAAAATCAGACGATGTTAGTTTTTTCTAGACGAATTAAAATTAACCTTTGAACTTTTATCTTACCTTTTTTGGACAAAACGAAAAAGGAAATTAGACAAAATGGAAAAGGAAATTAAAAGTTACTTCTTCCTTTAAATAACGATGCAGGATGATCATTAGCAGAGAGGTGAACACAAAAATTTAGATACAAGTCAAATCATACTTTAGTTACTCAGGCTATTTTTTTTTTTTTTTTTTTTTTTTTTTTTGCTGAGCAAAGCATGTTTATATTTTTCAGGTACTGGACAAAAGCCAGAGTTATTTTCAATTATTATAAAATACGCACAATTAAATAGGCATATATCTGTAGGACCTCAAATAAAAATAATACATCAGTTATTGAAACTCTAAATAAAAATATAAAAAGCTGTCAGCTGTATTCTTTCTTCTTTTTTCCTTATGGAACCTCCTCTAAAGATAACTGCAGTTAAAAGTTCTATTACTGGCATTGAGTGGAAAACGAGATACATTCCAAGTCTCAAATCTCTTGCACCTAAAGTACATACTCTCGTAACACATACTTATGTACTTTTGAAGTATATTTTTACGCAAGAACTTGAAAACAACATCGATTTTGCTTTAAAGGATCTTGCCAATGTTGATTTCTTCAGAGAAGTCTTTACTTCACTACTTGATAGCTATAAACCGGATAAAGCAAAACCAAAAGAAAAAGCAAGAAGCTACAAGAAGCTTATCAATAAGCATCGAGATACCTATTGCCAACTCGCCTCTTATGTTCCAATCAAACTGAAATATGCGCAACAAATAGGAAGCTATGAAGCTACGAAAATCCACACTGCATAGATGAATGGTGTCGCTCTTCATTTCTGGAACAGATTGCGTATGTTTTTGAACCTACTGTTAAAGAAGCAGGAAAGAATTGGCGCTTTGAAGAGTGAAATGAAAAAGAAAAATTGCACAGAAAGCGAAACTTCTGCTGCGGTCAAAACCATAGCAAGCCAGTGCACCGAAGTAAAAATGAACATCTCTCTGAGGAACATCACTGAATTGCCAGCGCATCTTTTTAACTCACAAGAAGTCAGTATCCTTCAACAGTTTTTTATTGTTACCCTTCTGACAATCACTTCAAGAAGAATTCTATTTATTATGATTGTAAAGCGGATCCATCGAAGCATCTGAAGGCATTTTATTATCTAACGCGATGTTCTGAATCTCTCTACAATAAGCCGTTCAACTGCTTTCCTCTGAGAAGAACATTCATACCTAGTTATATTACTATAGACACATATATCGCAAACACTCAAATTTTAAGAAAATTTATCATTAGCCATTTAGACAAAGAAGTAATTTAGGGAGCAGTACTGAACATGAAATCCAAAGCTATGAAGCCTCAAGGAGGCAATAGACAAATGAATTTTAGAGGTACTATTCACACAGATGGTGTTGCCGTATCCATTTTGAAGCAGACCTATGACAGTAAGAAGAAAGGTTCTGGAGGCTGCATGCGAAATGATAAGAAGATAGAAGAAGACATTGCTTACATAGAAAGTCTGTCGCAAGAAAAACTTCAAGAACTTACAAAAATAATTGTGTTTTGATTGACCCCGGACGGCGTGATATGTTGTTCTGTATGCACGAAAGCAGTACCGTTGAAAAGAAAAGAGCTTACCGCTATACGAAAAATCAAGGGAACATTGAGAAAAAAACAAGAAAGTTCATGAAACTTTGTGAAATACTGAAACCAGAGGCCGTAAGCAATGCAGAAGCGATTCTTTCACGTTTAAAGTCATCCACAGTCATAAAAGATCAATACGTAGAATATATAAGACAGAAAGCTACCGTGACTCAAGTTCTTCAGGAATACTACTCGAATGAAGACTTACCTTTAGAAGAACGTAACACTAATATGTTACCATTTCGAAAGCTAAAACTATCAAGCTACATTAATCGACAGCAATCTGACAGACGTCTTTGTAAGAATATCAGAAAAAACTTTGGCAACGATGCTGTTATTGTTATTGGTAACTGGTCTGCGGGGAATGTCAAGTTCCATGAACCGATTAGAGGAGTTGGCATGAGAAGAATGCTTCAAAAAGAAGGTTTTCTGGTACACCTGATTGATGAATTCAAAACATCCAGTATATGCCCGGTATGTAAAGGTGATGTAGAAACTTTCAAAGAAATCGTGAATCCAAGGCCCTTTAGAAGGGAAAAATATCCAACCGTAAAACGTCATGGTCTTTTAAGATATGAAACTTTTAATTATGCTTAGTTTATTGATAATGTCTGTATGTCGTCTAGGTATAAAAATGAACAATGCTTGAAAGAAGGTTGTCGTCTTTGGAACAGGGACTTACTCGCCACCCTTAACTTTTGTGAGATTCTCTTTAGTTTACGTAACCACGGTGCAAACACCAAAAAAAAACAACAAAAAAGACAAAGATCTTCTTCTATTGAAAACGACAGTAGAAAAAGACAATAACAAATCCGAAGTAGTTATCGCTGCTTTCAATCCATGATACATGGTGAGTTCATTATTTTATTTTTATTTTTCACTTCATCTGAAAACTAATTTCCATTTTGCTTGATTACTTTAATAGGAATATTTCTTTACATATTAAAAATGACCTTGCTGATGAGGGGTGGGGCGGCCAGGCGAAATAAAAAAAAATGGAGGGAGGTGACAAGTTATGCTATAAAGGAGACCTAAGGGGATGACATTGAATGATTCTTTTTTAGGCACAATTCTTGATGGTGACACTGATAGAAGCTGTTGAGATGTCGTCAAGGAAATATAGACCTACTTTAGATAGCTGTAGCCTAACAAGTCCTCTAGGTAAAAGACAAACATGAACAAGAAATGAATTATAGCCATTGTATATATTGACAGAACATTTAGAAACTGTATTGAGTCAAGCAAGTGATATATGTCTTTCACTGATTGGTTTACATAAATACAGCAGCAACAGTAATTACCTTAGCTTCAGTTGGGAAGATATCCGTCTGAACAGACTATTTCTTCTCGAGAACAATGCTATCAATTTAAATTCCTATTTCATCAAAAGCAGATTCATTTATGGCTCCAGTGTAGATAATGTGCTAAGGCACAACGTAGGGAACGACATCACATATGCGCTATCTTATACGAAATCTGGGAGAGATGCGCAGGCATGCCTATTGTCTAGATATACTATGGGCATTGCTTTACAAGAGGCGGCTACTTGTGTAGCAGAGAACATTATCATGGCATTGATGTTTGCAGCCATCATCACTATTATTGTTATCCGATTTGCAATGGCCTGTCTCTTTCAGTGGTTTATCTCACACCAGCTTGTGAAGCCTGGAGGAAGATCCAATTGGCTTGCTTGGCGTTCAGTTAGAGGTGGTAACAATGACCCTGCTAACCATGTTTCCGGCCCATAAAATGACTATGGTACCACTGGTATCATGACAGGGTCTTCTCGATCTTTGGGCTCAAGCAATCGTAATCAATCTGCCTCTAGGATAGTGAGCCATCCCAGGTCTATGTCAGGATTTCATGATTATACAACAGATCATGCGTGGTGCAAATGCAGATGATGAAGCTGATGAGGATGGAGGAAGAAAAAGAGACGGTATAGATGATGGTAGCTGCATATCAAGAGGGAACTCAAGGGAGGCATTTTGAGTTGATGTGGGGCTGTCTAGTGGCAACGGCCCAATAGTGTTCTGGAGTGGAGGAACCATGTGCGTGTAACCATACAGAAGGTAGCATAATATTTTTTTTGTCAACAAATAGTCATACGAGACTTCTTTTTTTATACTCTTTTCTCTTCCAAGCAAAAATGTTCCAAGGTGCCAAAGGTAACTATTAGCAAATTGTAAAGCTATTTCGAATAACCAAATCATTATATAGAACTTCGCGTTTATATTGAAAACACTGAAAAGCCAACACTGAATGAGTTTGCAGCAACTCACGCGCAAATTATTACCAGCACTGAGCATACTCTGAAGCGATTGATTAACCTATGGAAGGTGCGCTTTTCTTTTATCGTAAAGAGATACAGGCCAACACTTTCAGTAAAGGAGCTGATCACAGTCGACCACGCGATCTGGAAACAGTTCGATTCAAGCACAGCTGAGCTATCAAGATCCTTGCTTTTTCAATGGTATTTTCTTCTGCAAGACAAAAGCGATTATCTTGATACTTATTTGAAACAAAACGACCTTGCAATTGAGCGCATACGGAGGAAATCCAATGACAGAATACCTGATGCTCTAGAAAAACTGAGTGTTTCGCTTCTCGAGAATTTCGACTTAATTAGTAATACAGAGAAGAATGTGCTGAAGATGTCATTGTCATATATTGTTGATCTCATTGATGACGATATAGCAAAAATCTATCGACGTTTCATACCAGAGTACTATTTTGACCTATGGCAACAAAAAGAAGCAGCAATGCAAATTGAAGGAAATGAACGAGAAATAATTGAATCTACAGTCGATGAATTTATTAGCCAGTTTTCCACAAGCATCAAGTCGGCTAAAAGATTTGTTCTTCAGCAACAAATTGAGCTACTAGATAATGAAAATGCAACAAAAAAGAAAGTAGTCAACATGCTGCAACAAATAGTTATGTTATTGGAAAGAGATGAACAAAAAATGCAAAAAGCTGATTATGTTGGATTTGTGAAGCAGCTCTTATTAGATGTTTTTAAAGGCACGCCACTGGTTGCTGTCATTGGTGAAACAGGCGCCAAATGTACTGTTGACGTCCAAAAATATAACGCTAATAATTTCCTTGGTGCTGCCAACAGTACGCACATTGTCTCCAGCTCGCCCATCTCATCATCTTCAACCAATGCTGATACAAGTTCGTGCAAGTTAAGAAAAATACATCCTAGAAAGATTGACTTGCGTATCATTGGCGAGAAACAGCAGGAGATTGCCTTCTGTGAGTTCAAAACTCACAATGCTGGAAAAGACCTTTTGCAACACCAAGAATCAAAAGCAATTCGACTCAACCAATGCATCATCAAGAAGCATGGGCTTGTCAACCCAATTACCTCAATCAATTGGAAGGGATGGCATGGCACCATGTACCAAATTGTCGGTTGCGATGGCTTTTGTTTAGCAACAAAGTTATGTGATGTCTTGATTCCTAGCGATCGAAGACTAGTTGATTCCAGAATCAAGTCATTGGTACTATCGCTCTTCTCCTGGAAGTCAATGTTGTGCTCCCTGAACGATGAGGTGTCTAAAAAAATTAATGAAGTTGGTGTAAAGAGAAAGATGTACGAAGACATGCCCCATACACTCCTATCACCAAAGCATCCGTCATCCTTACAATGAATATTTTTATATCAAATACTAAGAATAGAAGCAGACACAAGATGAACGCCTATCTTATCGTCATAGCTTTTGATTCAAATATGCAAAAACAACACTTTTTTATTTTTGCCTTTAGCAACCAAAAAATAAAGAAGTTCATGCCTCGCTACTATCTACCTTGGAATATTTACTGAGTGCTGACTATTTCTATGCCATTTCCTTACTCCTTTCACTGAGACGTAGTAGCATTGTCTAGTATTGCTTCTTATTGGGGTTTGTGAACCTAATGGTAGTCGTCTATTAAGCTGTTTTGTCTCTTTTTCTTTTCTTGCAAACATAAGGACAACCAGGTTCCAGTAGATTCTATATGGTAGAAACAGATAGCCTTACGACTGTCACCTATCCACCTCTTGAACGTATGAATTCTTTTTTGCCTTAGCTTCTTGATTTGATCTTCATCGCTTGTAGCTGGCAGAAAAGCAAAAAGTTTGAATAATCAAGCACTACCAAGTGAGTAAAGTTACAGAATTCTTTGGCATTTCTCAGTCGTGGTTCGATTATTATCCGTAAGCGATCTGATCTTTATGTTGCTTTGGAAAGATAAGTGGAAAAACCCAACACAGTAGTTCTTTACGCATCTTATCTATTTCTTCGATCTTTCAACCGAAACTTAGGGGAAGGAAATGCGCTCCTGAGTACAGTCAAGAGAATGAAAGAGTTGTTAGCCTTGACACAGTAGTTCTTTACGCATCTCATCTATTTCTTCGATCTTTCAACCGAGACTTAGGAGACGGAAATACGCTACTGTGTACAGCCAAGAGAATGAAAGAGTTGTTAGCCATAACACAGTAGTTTCTTACGCATCTCATCTATTTCTTCGATCTTTCAACCGAAACTTAGGGGAAGGAAATGCGCTCCTGAGTACAGTCAAGAGAATGAAAGAGTTGTTAGCCTTGACACAGTAGTTCTTTACGCATCTCATCTATTTCTTCGATCTTTCAACCGAGACTTAGGAGACGGAAATACGCTACTGTGTACAGCCAAGAGAATGAAAGAGTTGTTAGCCATAACACAGTAGTTTCTTACGCATCTCATCTATTTCTTCGATCTTTCGACCGAGACTTAGGAGACGGAAATACGCTACTGTGTACAGCCAAAAAAAAGAAAAGAAAATTTTTTTGCGAACTTACAGGGTTTTCTGTGACGTAAGCTAGATCGTTGTTGTAACGCCTAACTTATCTGAGTTCAAAATATTCATATATATAGCCCTACGAAATTCTGAAATAAGGAACAACAATCCTCTTTTTCCATCTCACAAAGTATCCTTTAGCGCATGTTCGCATGAATCTATTTTATTTTCTTTTCTCATTGTTCTTTCTTACTTTCTATTTACTTTGATCTGAACAATAAGTCTTTCTATAAGTTTAGACTACACTGTCAGATTAAAACATAAAATCTCTACTGAAACAATAACTTGAGTAATTGAGTATACTATTCAAAAGAGTACGCAGCTTTACACTAGTCTTGACTTATATCTTTAAGAACAAAGACACACTAGAAGTTGTTTGAATAAAATCTTAATAGATAGTGTATCTTATACAATTTAGATTGAGTAATACTATTGTTCTATTAAGTCATGATATCAAATACTATTTCAATAAGAATATCTTTGTTGAAAACAATATTAATATTAAGTTATACAAATCTTTATCATACAATAGTCTTGATTTGATCATATCATAAGAAAGGTACACTAGCGATACACGTTATTTTACTTTACAATAGCTTTGAGAATCTATCAAAGTGCACTAGAAGTGAGCTACAACAAACCCATTGTAAACCTCGCATCTCTTATTTGTACTCCTTTATACAAAACCCACTATATCTTCTCCTTAAAACTAAACCCCGAACTCAACATTGTCTTTTAATACTGTTTTTACACTTCAAATTCAGGCGGTGCTAGTTTTTTTCTGGACAGAAAAAGAATTAGCATTCAGACATTTATCTGTAAAGGGAAATCGATTGTTAGAGAAGCAATATCAAAATGACTGGTTATTGTGGTGTTTTGGGACTTTTTAGAAACTATAAAAAAATAAAGAGACTTGTAGGAAGTACTTTGAGACCGTTTATAAATGTTTATTAAGGTAAAAGTTCGAGAGAGATTTTTTATATTCTAGGTTTATATATGATTTGGATTATGTCCTTGGATGTAACCTGAGATAGGACTTGATGAGCTGAAGGTTATATTAGATGAGATAAGAGTATTGGCTTTTTCAATAAAATATACTTTGTGAACCATCTTTACAGTTATTTATCATTCAAGATGGGTGATGTGTAGTTTTTTTCTTTTCGAAATCAAAAAACTTTCCATTCTTGAACAAGTTCTCCCCCAAAGCATAATACTGTAAACCGTATAGAACAAAAGCTTAAGTTGTTTATTTAACAAAAATAATATTTAATGTAGCCACTATTTGCATTAGTTACAGCTTAGTATTGGTCAGTCAAGCGTGTAGTAGTAGGAATATAGAGACTAAGCAGAGTATGAGATACACAAGTGATATTTACATTAGGTTATACAAAAGTAGTAAAGAATAGAAGGGACAGTCTATGTAAAATATTGACACAGATACGAGGAGGTAGTTGAATACCACTCTATCTTGTCAATTGCATGAGATCATTAGAACTTAATTTTTTCTAATATTTTTTATTTTTTATTTTTCTTTTATGTCTCATCAGAGTGGTATTCAAGGTAACAAACTTGACCAATCTGTCTTTATGCTTATACTTTAATAGTATCCAAAGAGCTTTCAGAAGCCTTTACTCAAGCTGTTTCTCAAGGCAATGTGCGTATACTTCGCGTCTCCATTGAACATGGTAACTATATATACATACACACATGTAAATAACATTCATAGAATCACTCGTACCTAATGGCACTAGTCCCGTAGAAAATGACTTTGAGACAGGCAAGTAACACTTTTTATAATTATCCACTCATCGACATGATTAGACTATAAAAAGTTCATTGAAACCTATCTGGATACCCATACACCTGCTTATATCTTTGTTCGTTATGATGAAAAAGGCACTGGAGGAGAATACAAATGGCTCTTTCTTTGCTATGTGCCTGATAATGCCAAAGTTCGAGACAAAATGTTGTATGCTTCTACAAGAGCCACTTTAACAAAAGAACTGGGTGATTACCGTTTTACAGATAGCGTGTATGGTACAGAAAAAGTAGGTTGTTTATCTGTCGTGGTATTCTATCTTGCTTATATAGAGTTATAGAAAGAATTTACCTGGGAAGGATACAAGAAGCATCTTGCTCATAAGGCTGCTGAAGCTCCCTTGACAAGACGTGAACAAGAATTAGCAGAAATCAAAGCTGCAGAGGTAATTTATTTTCGTTGACCCCTCTGCTGATGAAAATAGGCTAAAGCAGTGTCTGATTATCAAGGCACAACCACCAGAAAGAGTTATGCTCCTGGTGTTGCTTTTCCTTTAACAGACAAAGCGGTAGAGGCTCTTAAGGAATTAACAAAGGACAGACAAGAACGTTCCTTTAATTTTGTGTCTTTGGTAAAAAGAAAGAAAAAACTAAAGACAAACAAACTGATTTCCATATTACAGTATTTAGAGAATGAAAAGATTGATTTAGACAATCAAGACCAAGTCTCTATAGATCAACTTTGTAAGGCAATCAGACAAGATGCACCTCGATTTACCTTTTATGTGTATGAGAATGGATCAACTGAAAGCCTTGGTAAGCCATAGTATAACTGCTTTTATCTCATTCCATCTAGTGTTTGTCTATACATGTCCCTCTACATCTAAAATAAGAGAGCGTATGTTGTATTCTTCTTCTAAAGCCAATGTCATTACCGCGGCTGAAAATGAAGTCTCTCTTAAGGTGATCAAAAAGGCAAGTTGTGAAATGTCTTGATTGCTACTTACCATACAGTAGTTTGAGACCAGTGACTTGGAAGACTTGACTCAAGCCTATTTTGATGAGGAATTGAATCAGACTACAAGTGGATCTGCACCCAGTACACCCACAGGTAGTATTGTAGGTGATCGTATTCAAATGTTGGGAGGAACTCAACAAGGTTTCAAGAGACCTATGGCTCCTGGTAGAAGAAGACCTGGTACAACTACTTCAAATGCCTCTTTTTAATTCCTCTTTTAGAAAATAAAAAAATAAAGTTGAGTCACACTAGTCTTTGCTGTCCAACCAAACTGTACACGCGCTTCCATTGAACTTACATTCCAATACAACATATGCACGAATAAAGACTTTAGATTGGTGGCCCCCCTTTTCTTATGTTTTCTGCCTCTGTTTCTGTACACTAAGCCCCGAGATCCATCCGCTATCTTTTTTATATTTTTCACACCAATGTTAGATACAATCCTTTCTCTTCTCTTCTTTTCTTTTCTTTTTATACGATGACAATAAAGTATCGTTTAAATATAGCAGAATATCCAGTGGCCTCACTAGTGAAAATTGTTGCTGATCTATTAGATTCCATTATTGAAACAAACGATAAATTGATCAATCATACAACAGTGACTCATTTCCATTCGAGAACAGTGCCCAATATCAGTGTTTATGCATACTTGACGCGTATTTTACGGTTTGCATCTTTCTCAAATGAAGTCCTCTTATCCCTCTTAATTTATTTTGATCGGATTGCTGAGCTTAGAAAGACAAAATATGCTGTCAATTCACTCACTGTCCATCGATTGTTGATTACAAGGTAAGAAATACAACATAAAGTAGATATTGACTTGAAATAGTATTGTGGTTGCATCTAAATTTACTTCAGATGTCTTTTATCCGAATGCTCGTTATGCCAAGGTAAATATACATATATATATATATATATCTAATCTGAATAGGTGGGAGGTATTCCGCTAGGCGAATTAAATCAACTCGAATTAGAGTTTTTATTCTTATGTAATTTTGACTTGCATGTTAAACTAGAGGATATGCAGGCCTATGGAGATCAGTTACTAATGCACGCATTCACTACTCAGTCATGTACACATCTTCAAATCATCACTTCTCCACCTCTATCTCCACCTTTATCAACCAAAAGAAAACAAAGCCCTAGTCTGGAAGAACCAGAACCCAAGAAACAAATCACTTTGGCTTTATGTAACAAACTGTACACAGCTTTATACCCATCTTAATAAAATAAATAAATAAATAATGATACCCATATTATTGACTCCGCATTTTCAAAACGACAACATCTTTATTCTAACTAGAACCATTTCTTTCGTCTTTGTTATTATTATTATTATTATTATTATTATTATTATTATTCATGATACAGAATGTATTACCAATAACAATCAAAGATATAGAAGAAGGCACGGTATGTCATTTAGATACAATGCATGACTCCTCAGTCACAGAGGAAGAACAAATCAAACGAAAAGCATTGATATCACTCTGTAAATCATTGATGCTTTATGGTGCTCCTTGTCATCGTATTGTAAGTTAGTGTCTCAGACAATGTGTCTCATAAGCTTGTTGGTTAGGAACAAGCATTGGAATACACTTCACAATGCCTTTTGATCACAGCTACTTTTGTCTTTATACCTGGTGTCATGATGGTAACATTTGCCTCTGAGTTACACTCACAGACAATCTTGGTAAAATGCCCACAAGGCTTCGACATGGGAAAACTAACCAAAGTGAATGACATTATTCAAGGTATGACTACACAAGACATAGAGAACAAGATTCATGCAGATCAATGCCTAGACATGCTAGAAGAGCTATTTCAATCAAAACCAACCTGGAATTCTTGGTTTATCCTGTTGGCTCATATGACCAACAGTCTTCTTACTGCCCCAGTGATGTTTAATGGGTCAATGCTGGATACTGCCCTAAGCGGTGGTTTGGGCCTTGTGACAGGCCTGTTGATCTTGTTGTCAGAACGATATACAGCCTATTGCAACATTGTCGAGATTTCAATCACCATTCTGATTTCATTTGTGGCTCGAGCACTCGATCAATGGGTGTGCTTTACAGGTGTCATTTTGTCAGCCACATCCATCTTACTGCCAGGATATACATTGACCATGTCCATTGTAAGTCCCACTCGTTCTTATAACACCAGTTCATACCCAATATAGATGGAATTGTCTGCTCGTCATGTGATTACAGGCACCATTCGATTTGTGTATGCTATGGTTTATTCATTGTTTATCGGCTATGGCCTTGAGATAGGCACCAGCTTGTATGATGCTATGGATAAGCGTTCTGTGCCTACTGAATTTGGTGTCTGTTCAGGCTCTGTTCCATCTTGGCTTTATACTCTCTTGTTTCCATTCATGGCCATCAGTCTCTCTATCCATTTAGGGGCTAACATAGACCAATGGCCATCCATGATATGCTGTTCTGCCATCGGATTTGGTGTGTCTGTGATCACAAGCAAAGTGATTCCCAATTTTCAGATTGTAGGCACCATCAGTGCATTCTCTGTTGGCTTGTTTGGTAACCTGTATTTCAAAGTGACAGGTGATTTAGCACTCATACCTCTTTCGTGTGGCATCACTTCACTTGTGCCTGGCAGTATTGGTGTCCGAAGTGCTTATCTTTTGATTCGGCAAGATGATCAAGGCATTTCTTTTGCTACACAAATGGTTGTTTCTTCACTTGGTATTTCAGTCGGTCTTTTTGCAGCCACATTGGCCATTTCACCCAATGAAAAAAAACGAGTTGCTTACTTGTCTTATTGATTTTATTTACATAAATGTTAATGTTTGGCTATCTTTTTCTTTTTTCTCATATGTGTTTTTGAACTTGATTGCTGGTCATGTAATTGCTGGTGGATGTCAGAAAGGCAATGGATATGAGGGAGGTTTTGTTGACTTACCATACTAGCCACACGTTTAGCAGCCGTCACTTCCGTCAGTTTCTCAAGTACTTGGTTTTCATTCACGTCATAACTTGTCATCTTTTTATCTAAGCTTATGGTCAGTCTTTGTTGTTTACTTTGTACTTACTGATATGGGCTTCAATGTTTTGTAATAACTGAATGTCTTTTTCAGCAATGATAGAAATGGCTTTACCATCTCTACCAGCACGAGCAGTACGACCTACACGATGAATATAGTCTGTAGGATCACGGGGAATATCATAGTTCAATACACACTCTACTGAAGGAATATCTAAACCACTACATGCCATGATAAGCCATTATTTGCAACCAGCACGACTTACCGAGAACCCACATCGGTCGAGATCAAAATCTTGACGACTTCGGCTCTAAATTTACCCAAAGAATCCAAACGTTGTTGCTGCGACATGTCAGAATGAAGTGCTGTGCATCGAATCCCGAGTTCCTTTAACATGACCGTGATCAATTCAGCCGTCGAACATCGTCCACAAAAGATAATGACAGATTTTTCTTTGAGATCGTCGGATTGTAACAAATGGGCTAAATAGACTGTTCTGACTTGAGAAGGTACAAACACATAGAATTGATCGAGTGTGTTGACAGTCGAGGTCGCCATGTTGCACATATGGACAAACGGTTTCTTTTGAGGATCCTCTTCAGCATCTCTTAAGGCCAAAATCGAGTCTGTCATGGTAGCCGTAAATAACAAGGTTTGTCTTTGTTTAGGCAGTAAGGGTAAAATCACTTGTAAGTCAGGCACAAATGTGTCTGAGAGCATACGATCGGCTTCATCCATCACTAGAAACTTGCATCTCCTTAAATCCACTGCGCCTGAACTACTCTGAATATGGTCACGAAGACGACCGGGTGTGGCAATGATGACATGAGGTCTTTTCGAGAGTTCTAATGCTTGTGCCATCATATCTAACGATGGTGGTCAATCACACTGCATAATGGCCTTGTACCTATCCTTACCCATGCCACCAACAACAACGCATTCTTTGATGCCCATGCCTTTACCAAGCACTCGAAACTGTTCTGCGATCTGAAAAGCAAGTTCTCTTGTCGGTGTCAAGACAACAGCATAGACACCATAAGGATCTTCGGATAACTTTTGAATGATGGGTAGTGCAAAAGCAGCTGTTTTACCAGAACCTGTTTTAGCACCACCAATGACATCTTTACCAGCAAGAATAGGAGGTATACAAGCTCTTTGGATCTCGGTGGGTTCCTTGATCGACATGGCTTTCAGTGTATCGCTCAACCATTCTTCTAAGCCAAGAGAAACAAAGCTTGTGCCTTCAGGAGCCACAATCTGTTTCTTTTTTTCTTCTGCTTTTTTTTGTGAAGCAGCTACTCTACTTTGGATTCTACTTTCTGCCATGATCAAAAAGACAAAAAAAAAGGACTCGAAAAAAAACACCCAAAAAAGAAAAAAAAATCAAAGTCACATTCCTATTCATGACAATGTCAATAGGTATGTAAAAGACAGCCATACGTTATCATATACATCTTGAGTTGAGTTCTGGCCTTTTAGGAAACTCAACCTCAGCGGGGTCATGCCTATCTTTTATTTTCCTTATTAAGAGAAAGAAACAAAAGGGAAAAACCTGGGGCAATTTACTTTGTGAATTTTCCTCCCCCATATGAAATAAACGTTTATTCTTACTGTTCGAAACCTAGCAACAGACTTTCGAGATGCAAATCACCCATATGTCTTTCTTGACAACATAATGTTTTCTTTGCTAAACCTATCCTATCAACTATTGATATGGCATTTTTGATTTGTGTTATGACAAACATAAAAGGGTTTTTTGACATAATCCTTCATGTGTCACAATCAGATCCCTCTCTCAATTACGCTGTGTGTATTGGGGAAGCGATGAGATTTTGTTGGGGGCCACAAAAAAAATGGGTTGATTTGAAGTCACAGAAAAACTTTTTTTTTGAATGGTATCAAGCCTTTTCCAAGCCCTAAAGTAAAAAAAAAAAAATACTTTCCCTTTTCAAGGAATAAGTTTATCAACTACTTTCTTCTTTTTTTTTTCCTTTTTTTCTTCTTCTTCTGTTTTCATGGATCAGCAAGCAGGTAAAAAAAAAAAGAAAAAGAAAAAGAAAATCATTTCATTTTCTTGGTTAACTGTGTTCTATAGTTGATATTAAAAACAAACAAACTACTGCACCTACACCTCAAAACACACCTATCAATACAGCTTCCATCAATTCTCAATTCAACCCTTCTATCCCTGCTATTACTGAAGAAATGGAAACTATCACTACTCCTGGTAAGTAACTACTGTCTATGTATAACATGCTGATTTGGGTAGGCGCTGCTGGCAACCCTGCTCTTATGAGCATGCTTCAAGGTAAATTAGGTAACCTTCTCGGTGAACCTCTTCCTGCTTCTGTTCAACGCCGCATCAACGGTCTCAAGTACCTTCAATCCAAGCATACTGAATTGGAAGGCAAATTTCAAGAAGAAGTCTTGGCTTTAGAAAAGAAATATCTTGAATTATACCGTCCTTTGTACACCAAGCGTGCTCAAGTGATTGCTGGTGAATACGAACCTACTGAAGAAGAAGTTGCTTTAGGTGCCAAGGTCGATGAAGAAGAAGAAGAAGATCAAGATGAACAAAAGGAACAACAAACAGATAAAAAGATGGATGAGGAAGAAGAGGAAGTCAACATTGCTGGTATTCCTGAATTTTGGTTGACTGCTCTCAAGACACACCCTCAAATCAGCGATACCATTTCTGAAGAAGACTGTGAGGCCTTGAAGCACTTGACAGATATCCGCATGACTTACCTCGAAAAGCCTGGTTTCCGTCTCGAATTTGAATTCACCGAGAATGATTTCTTTACTGACAAGGTCTTGACCAAGACGTACCATTACCAAGACAACGTGAGTGGTGGTGATTATGTCTATGACTATGCTGAAGGCTGTCAAATTCATTGGAAGGACGGCAAAGACTTGACTGTCACTGTTGAGACCAAGAAGCAACGCCACAAGGGTACCAACAAGACTCGTGTTGTGAAGCGTACTGTTCCTGCTGAGACCTTCTTCAACTTCTTTAGCCCTCCTACCATTCCTGAAGATGACAACGAACTTGATGAGGAAGAAGCTGAAGGTTTAGATGCCAAATTGGAAGCTGATTATGAAATGGGTGAAGAATTCAAGGAAAAGATTATTCCTCACGCTGTTGATTTCTTCACTGGTAAGGCTCTTGAATACGAAGACTATGATGATGAAGACGATTTTGAGGACGATTTCCTTACTGATGAAGACAACGAAGAGGATGACGATGAAGAAGAAGAAGATGACGATGATGATGATGATGCTCAACCCACCAAGGGTGAAAATGCTCCTGAATGTAAACAATCTTAATAAATTTTTTCTGCTTATAAAAAGAGTGTGTCCGAAAACTGCCTTTTTCTTTCTTTTTCTTTTATTATCATGACGCAAGCTATTATTTCTTTATATCAAGGAAAGACACCTCTTTGTTTCCCTGTTGATCATCAAACAGCACTTGATTTAAAGCAGTCTATTTATGTTACTACTTGCATCCCTGTTGAAGATCAAGTCTTGAGGACACTTGATGGTCATTATTTGTCTGATCAAGAACCTCTTGACCGCAGCCATGATATTTACCTGACACTCTCGGGTAGACTTGTGGGTGGTAAAGGTGGTTTTGGTTCCATGTTGCGTGCTCAAGGTGGTCGTATGAATGCTCAAAAGACAACTAACTTTGAAGCCTGTCGAGACTTACAAGGCAGAAGAATTCGTACTGTGAATGAAGCTAAAAAGTAAGCAAAGGTTAAACAAACAAAAGAAACTGACTCATTTAGACTTCAAGAAGAATTGGATGCTATCCCTAAACAAGAAGAAGCAAAAAGAGAAAGATTAAAGAGAAAGATTGAGGAAGCATCAAAAGAAAGAGAACCAAGAAAATATTTGTTTGATGATAATCAATTTTTGGAGGACAGAGAAGACGTAGTAGAACATGTCAAGTCTGCAGTAGGCAGTGCTATGAAGAAACAAAAGACAACACATTTATCAGCCTCATCATCATCGTCGTCCTCATCCACTAGTTTATTTGATGATGATGATGATGATGATGATGATGATGATGATGATGATGATGATAATGATGATGATGATGTTTCTGATGACAAAGAAGAAGAAGAAGAAGAAGAGGGAGAAGAGGGAGAAGAAAAAGATCAGAAAGAGGAAGAACAAGAAGATAAACCCAAGGACAAAGGAAAGGCTAAAGCATAATATTAAATAATAAAGTATAAGCCACGCTGATGTCGCGCACTTATTTAAGCTTACATAATCTTGTGCTTGATTTTCAACTTCTACGATAAGATCCGAACTAATCATCTATGTTTCCCACACAACAAGATGCATTAATTTACACTGTTTTAGGCAATTCTGTTGCAGGAATTCCTTGTTTGTTTATTTACAAGTATATACATATTAAACAATAATAATAATAATAATAATAATAATAGTTTTTTCTTCTTTTTTGGTATATAGTTTTAGTCTTCATCTACTTCTGGTAAAGTATCCAGCTTTTTTTGAAGTCGCATGAGCTTAGGTGCCATTAGATTCTGAAGACCTTCACGTGTCACTGGATCTGTTGTATGTAAGAGTAATTCCATAAATGCATTGGCACAGTCATTTAAGGCTTCCCGAGCAGTAACAAGATCGCCTGAATAATAAGAAGAACCTTGAGAGTCAATAGCATAGTTTAACTAATATATATGATGATGTTAGTATATCAACTACCACAAAAGCCAAGGCAAATTACCTCATCTACAGCAAGTGTATACAATGACTTGAGTTTATCGAATGCCTCCGTATAATCAGGTGATACAGTCGTTGTATTTGTTGTCGCAGCAGAGAATGATAGATTATAATGTTGGCTTGTGGATTCATCTGCCATATGTTGTTGCACAGTCGAAATGTTGCTTGTTGAGCTTCTGCGGCGAAAGAATGGAATGACTTGGCGAAATTTGTCTGCCAGGGTCGCTATTGAATCAACTGAATTTGCATCACTGTTCTTTCTTTGTGTGTTGTCACAGAGTGTATACATCGTATGGTCATTCTCTTTATGATTGTCTTGATGAGAGAACTTTGTTATAAAATGATTCCATTTAGATTTAAATAAAGCAGATGTTGCAGGCATGGTTGTCATTTGCATTTTTTTTTTCAAGTCAGAAAGAAAAATAAAAAAGGAGTGAATAATAGCATCTATACCCAAAAAAAAAAAAAGCGGTTTTTATATATAAATTATAGACTCGATTTAGAACGGAGATAAGACAGTGTAACATGCTGATGAATATTCGATTTTAGAAATCAGCTATTTTGACACTTGAAACCAATGATTCATGCGCATAAATGATAGTGTCTTTCAAGTCCCGCTCATCGGCTGTGTTTAACAAGATGCATTGTGATGAACATTAAGCATAGACAGAGATGAACATCTAAAGATACTGCGTCACTACTCGATAAATATGTAGGTGTAGGCTTAGGTCCATGGTTGCTATCATCGCAGATAGACCGAGATCTGGGTGTCTTGACACTCCCATCTGTTGTATAATTTGTGTTTGTCAAGACAGTTGAGTAGCCGATGGAATCTAGGATACGCAAAATACCTGGACCAATCGGAGACTTGTACTTATTTGTGACCCTTGTACCATTGGACAAGGATACATGGTAGTCAATAGATGGAATGGCTTGATAGAATGTATTAGTGAGTATTTCTAAGGTTTGACCAACATGGTAGTGCTGAGTCATCAAGAAGTCAACTGTGTTTTGGTATTGATCACCCAAATGTGAAATCATCAATCCAGGTCGATTGATAGTAGGGTCTGTCTGCTCAAAATAAAACACTTGGAATAAATCATTGCCTGTCAAGAGTGTCATGTTCTGATAGGTCTGTTGAAGGTAAGGTATATGGTTATAACTACTGTTGGCAATAGAAGGAGGTTGAAATCTAAACTGAAGTGTCTCTGGTTGAGAAAGAGAGAGCCATAGTTTATGAGCTGTCGTAGACTGATTGGCCGCATTAAAGGCATGTAAGAAATTCACAATAAAGGCATCACTGTTCTGTACACAGAAATTCTGCATATCAAATGCCATGTCAGACAGAGACGCATTTGTGTTGGTTTCTGGATCCATATGAACGAGATATTTATCAAAAATCATATTTGGCTGAAATCCAGTGACATAGGCAGGACCAGTGTCCTGATGAATGAACCAGTATGGACCTGGTGTGACCAACTGAAGTTCAAGAGGATCTATCACTCCATCTACCAGAATACGGAAAGGCGAGGCTTTTGTCCAAAAATAGGCTGCCCATGAACTTAAAAATCCTAGACCATGCAATAATTCATGCAGAACAAGATAACGGAAATCAATTTGATCAGGTGTAATTCTGCTCTCATTCTATCATGATTATTATCAGTGGGTTGGTCTATGTATTTTTTTTTTTTTTTTTTTTTTTTTTTTGCTTACAACAAACCAGTATTTTCCATTTGCTTCTTCTGAATCCATCAGATAAAGGTCACTATTGATCTCAATTTCAATATCATATTTAGACCAAACTGAAGTGCTACTATAAGGCGCTAATTGTTTAGCCAGCGCTTGCGGGTATACGTAATTTAAATCAGCACCATCTTCAAATGGTAAAGTAAACTTATTTTAAATTAGTCAACTCAGAAAAAAAAAATATGTACCTGTGAAGTGGGTGAACCCCAGCCAAAGGTATCATTGGCACATATCTTTTCACAAAAACTATGATATTTCACCAATATTCTAGCAATATGAATTTTAGCATACAGTGTAACAACAATAATAAGTTTACAATAAACTATTCTTAATATTAATCACTCGCGTAAGTTCATCAATGGCTGCTGCAATAGCCTTGCTGACTTTGTCACAAAATACCGTGTCTGCTTTACATTCAAGATCATATTGAACAATCGTATTGGTTGTATTTGTATATTGATGACTAGGATAAAAAGCTATTGTCTGATTGAGATACACAAGCAAGAATACAGTGAAAATAAGCATAAAAAAAAACAAAACAAAAAAAAGAAAAGAGAGTGGGTTGCATAAACAACTACTTCATGAAAGGGGCATATTTCGTTCAAGGAGAGGACAAGGACACATGGGTTTAAATTCGTGTTCGTTTACCAAGTTTGGGCTGTAAATTATCAAACTCAAATTGTATCTTTATATTTTATATATATATATTTTATATATATATATTTCTCTTTTCATCATCATCATGCATCTGTAAGTAAAAGAGTCAATGGGATCCACTGATTCACACGTCATAGTTATACAAAGCATGCCACTCTCATCAATAACTGTTATCCTGAAAAAGAAGGCGAAAAAGGCCCTCGATCTTCAGAGCTGAGCTATTTAATGTTTTATGCTAGTTCAAGACCTGTCAAACTAACCAAAGTAGGCTTGTTTCTTGAGAAAAAAGCTGAGCGTGATGCCGTTAAGGGCAGAAAACAGTAAATGGAGCACACCTTTATTTTGTGTTTTTATTGATTGATTTAGAAACAACCAAGTGTCTTTAGAAATCCTCAAGTCGTTGATTGAAGCTTGTCATCGAGACCTTAATTTGTTCTCGAAACATGTAGTGAAAATTATCGATATGATGGTCGAAACAAAAGATATTGATATCATTGATCTTGCTTGTCAAGTGGTAAGTCAGCTCTTTTGTTATACAGGCGTTCATGGGTTTAGTTTGTGATTTTCACTAGTTATCATGATGGCTCCACTTTGGGTGTGGATACTGAATTCACAAGAGATTATGAAGACCTTTTAAAGAAATTTGCTGGGTTTTGTTCGTTTGATACAAGTGATGATACATTGCAACTACAGTAAGTAAACAACGCGAAGATAGACAGCATGAACTAAGGTATAGAATGCGATACATTGGCCAAAGAGCATTACAAGCTGCAGTGACATCCACTGCACTTCAGGCGTCTAATTTTAAAGTTCAGCTGGATATCATCCTTTCACCACTCATTGTCACATTAGCCAACTCAAAAAACCCAGCTGATGCTTTGGCTCAAAGGTACAGAAGAGAATGGGTTTGATATGTGTTCTGATTGTATCTAGTGAGGATGTGGATATCAAACAATCAGCCATAGGTCATGAAACACTCAATACACATTCTGTTGATATCCTGGCAGCAAAGACAATAGCTATTTTGTTTAGCAAGATCAATGGTGTTGCTGTCAAATTATCCTTGAATCCTTTATTCAGGTACGGTTGTTCTTCATCCATAAGCAAACCATTGACATAGAAGCATAGCTTTATGGATACACATCAAACATGGTGGCCTACTACATTTGCTGTACCCATGATGGAATTAGCCTTGAATTCACTTCAGGTAAGTTTTATATTTAAGCATGCACATGCTTAACATCTTTACTAGCCTCAATATCGATACCTTCTTGTGCCTGAAATACTACTTCAACTCGAGAGCATAAAATCAAGCAGTCATGATCAACCTACGATGAAAAAGCATGCATCGCTTGTATCGATTTTAGATACCATACTCGATGCCAACATACCTCTTGTTGGTATCTCTGTTCTTGAAGTATTGAATTCACTCTTTATTCACTTGGTACAGTCAGTACAAGACTTCAAGGTATTTCTACGAGAAAAACCAAGTGCATCAGAATACATGTTGGTATATGCGATCCAACATGGATTAGCACACAGTATTGGTGGTTTAGCTACACAGACCTATTACCTGAACCAATTGAACGATATCACAGGCTACTTGATTGCCAAACTCAAAGTAGGCAACACAGCCACAAGTCTGGATGGATTGGCCATGAAAGACTACCGTAGCGTTGTCTTGGAATGTTTAGATTTAGTGATGACAGCCTCTTCTGTTCAAGAAAAAGTCAAGGAGGATACAGAAAGCCATCATGAAAGTATGTCTGCCTATAGCAGCTCTATTACGTTGGATGTCTGGACACCCGCACTAGGCTTGTTGACAGAGAAAGAACTTCAAACAAGAGTCGAGTTTGGTGCTCTTTTGGTCCATTATTTACAGGCAACCGGTGAACCTGTTATTGAGTTAGAGCAAGTAAGAGGAAGCATAGGTGCATGCGAGTCTGACTCTTTTAGATTAGGCCTTACCCTAAACATACCTTAAACCAACATGGTGATGTGATGCTTGTCAATAGCCTTCATCAGTCTATCCTTGACTGGGTTCAATTGGAAAATCTCGGTGTTCGAGACATGGTTGTGATCCGTGATATCTTGTCTGCCTTGATTCGTCGATTTGGTGCAGATGAGACGATTAAAGCCGTGCCTTTGATTTTCAAGCTGCAGGAACTTGTGGAACAAGGTGTGATTCAAAACACGGATCGTCAAAAGGCAGTGGCTGCCCTGGTGATTGAATGGCTAGCTATGGTAGGCGAGTTCTACCATATCGATAGCTTGATTGAATACGCAGGCCAGTTGAAACAAGAACGCATGGACTCAAATCAATACTCAACCGTGTTCTCGGACTCAGAAAGTCATACGTCATTTGAAGAAGACACCACAGGTGTCAGTCTATTTGTTGATCGAAAGACGGTTGTTAATATGCTGTCGAATGACGGGCCTTTAAGAGACGAAGAAGATACAGAAGGAATAGAACTAGAAACCAAATTGATGGAAGCATGGGGAGCAGCTATTCAAGGTAATACTAAGCAGACATGATGAACCGTGTTGGCTCATCATCATGGCTATTTGTTTAGAAAACCATGATCGAACATTCAGAATAAGAACTTCTCGCAACTTGAGTGATTTAAAAGCCAAGCTGGCCACGCCTTGGACGAATCTGGAATTAAGCGTAAGTGTAAACAGATGATACAACATGACACAAACTACGATGATAGCGTGATGAACAAGGCAAGAAACAAACGATTCGGGTAGAGAACTTGAAAGATGCTTTATTGGGTCAAAATAATGACAACCTTGCCAAAAAATCATTTGAGAGTACGCAAGATATGACATTACTTCTTCAATCGCTTTCTTTAGGCACACATGTTCATAAGTAAGTAGATTCATGTCCTATAGCATGTACTGATATTTTTTTTTTAAAAAAAAACAGCACTACTTCTCTTGTCAACCCTCCTTACAAATAAACAGAGTAGTTTCAACACATATGTAATGCTTCTTTTTAGAAGCCGTATTTAAAAGATATGAACTGAAAGATATTGTTCTTCAAAGCTTGAGACGCATTTTTGTATAAACATTTTTTTTTTTTAAAAAAAAGCTACTTTATGGCACATATACAAGCTCTTTCTTTTTGATATTCTTAACAATGCGTTATTGCAGTTTAGTTACTACTGTATTTGCTTTGTATTATCATTCTATATATATCCAGTATTCACATTGACATCGTTTATACAGCAGCACATATCATGGAGCACGAACTTGCCGCGCCCGATAGAAGGGATTGTCAATGGGGACTAGATGCAATCAATAAAGAGATTATCAGACTTAAGGTGAATTATGAGCAATTAGGTGGTCAACTTGACAATTCAGAGATTTTTTAAACATTTACTTGATACAAATGAAGGCTTGATATTTTATCATAACATGTGTTACGAACAAGCCATTGGCTATGATGAGAGTTAAAAAAGAAAAGACAGTGTAAAAAGCTTGCTCAGAAGTACAAAAACGACAAACAATGCCCTCTCAGACTCTTTATCTTCAGACATTCTTCCAGCTCTAACTAAAGCTACAAAGGGCATTTGGCCTGCCACAAATACAACAACAGACTGTTTTCAGTAAATGAAATAAAATTTTATTGATTGTGATCTAAATACGGTCCTTGTTGATAGAAAGGTATTCTTCTAAAGTTTGAGGTTTTCTGCCTAGTAGAATTTCAATGATGGGATTGATACTTGGCTTGATACCAAGCTTAAAATTATCCACAATATCGACAGCAACAGTATGAGGTACACCCACTTTGATCAACATATGGTATTTTTCAACAGGAGAAATTTTTCTAAAAGGAATTTCACGTCCAAGGATACGAGACAAGGTGGCAGCCATCTCATTTGGAGTCACAATATCACCTATCATATTATAGACGCTGTCCTTGTGCTTCTCCACATCTTCTTGTAATACCACCGCAGCTACAGCACCAATATCATTCGGAGAGATCATACCAAGAAGTTCTTCAGGTTCACTGTCTTCATAGAGAGCACCTTGTGCACTTATATGCGACATGAACAAATTTGACATAAAGTGACCAGGACGCAATGAGACAAGACGACCACGGCCTGGAATAGCCATCATGGCATTTTCAGCATCTAATTGACCGGCAGGAATAAAACCGTTACGATAACCAAAGCTGATATGAAGTGTAGAAATATTGACAATTTGCTTGACGCCGGCGTCGTAAGCGTATTTAGCAATGGTGCCTTTGATCTCTGCAGGACGATCATTGTCAAAGATACTAAGCAAGAGACGATCATGGCCACGGATGGTTTCCTTGATGGGTGTTAAGTCTTGATAATCGCCTTGAACAACGTTGACTAGATGAGCATGAGAGGCAAACATGGACTTGACCTTTGCTGGATCACGAGCAAAGAGAGTGACAGACACGCCATGAGAAACAAGGTCCTGAACGGCTTTGGTACCAACATTACCAGTACCGCCGAGAACATAAACACGTTGTTGAGTCATTTGAGTTTATTAAAAGAAATTATTGTTGTTATTATTATTATTATTATTTTGGTAATCATCTTCTTTACTATTTATATAGGTATCTGATCTTTGTTTGTATGAACAAAGCGCGCCAACTCGCTTTAATTTTTCCGTGTCGCACAAGACCTTTTGATTTTATCCGTAAACCGATCCCATATTCGCTGACGTTTGTGTGTAACACCGCTTGAGCGCACCTATCCATGACACCAATTCCAAAGAAATTAGCTTTAGTACAACTGCTTTCTATATTGTATAGTATAAGAGTGCGAATCCATATTGAATTGAGATGCACTCTTACATATACCATACTAATCTTCATGAAAATCAGACAAAGCCAATTTTTGAAACAAAAAAGATTGACAGAAACGAGAAATGGCTAGAACCAAAAGCTCTTTTGCAAAGTGATCATTACTGTTCAGGCAAACATGTCGTCAGTTTGACTAAATCGTACAAAGGGCATTGTATCTCTTGAAATGGGTACACATTTTCTATTAGAAAGATATTTAAATACATTCTATACATTGATATTGGATCCATGGTTAGAATAGACAAATACATAGCATGGTATAGCTACACGAAAGCAACAAAGAATCTTTTTATGCGCGAATAAATGCGTCAAATATCTAAGAACCTTGTTTAATGACATATAGGGTGCTTTTGGAATTGATTTGGACAAAAAAAAAGCGACTTGTAAAAAACAGCCAAAATAACCTTTCGACCATGGAAATCATCATTTTCAAAACTTTCAATCTTCTTTTTGACACTATAAGACGAAAAATAAAGATACCAATGAGTTTAAATACTCAAAATGAGCGTAAAATACTGTAGTTTTTGGTGAATGTGTTTGCTTGCTTATTATACCATTTTTATAGTACAATATGAGCCAAAAACCTCGAGACCATTTTTGTCTATTTAATCAATATTTTGGCACCAAAGCTACTATTTTCTCTACATCAATCAACTCAGAAAACAAAGATCTACGACTTTTGTCACTGCATCAAAGCTGAATAACCGCGTCTTCATGCAGTTCTCAGCAAAAGCTCGATTTTTTTTAATGATTTTATTTGCCGCACGTATTAGTGGTCTTGGGAGGGACCCACTAAAAGAGATGCTCAACAATTATTTATTGTAAGAAAATATAAAGAAAAACAAAATTGGTACGATAGTACGAAAGTAGAAAATATAAAAGGAAAAAATAGCAGCTATTGCGAGAAAAGACCTCTTAAGATGAATGGTCATGTTCTCTTTCAAGATAGTATTTTTTGTTGCATGTTGACCATAATCCAATAAGAGAGTTGAAGTTGAGTATATCCGAACTTGATCAACCATATATCAACAGATTGAAATAAAGCACGAACCGTATATAGTCTTTGGAAAAAGGACATCTTTTATCTCTGAAAAGGTAAACCTGATCTGGTTTGACTAACGATTGATCAGTAATACCAGATTTGATTGGTTGTGATATTACTTGTTGAAAAGCATTGGTCATTTTATATCACGTGACCTTTGTTGTACGCTTTGTAGTGCGCTGAACTTTTGTCTTTTTTTTTTTTTAACCAGATCTTGCGATGCCTCCTAAAAGAAAGAACAATACACAACACACCAATGCTAAACATGAAGATGACGATACCAAAAAGAATGAACTTAATTCCTCTCATGAATCAAACAAACGCCAACGTGAAGAAGACGAACAATTGGAACAACCCACATCTTCTTTAACTGATCGCATGGCCAAGCTCAAAGAACTAAAAAGACGCCGGGTAACGTATAATAGATATCAGTAGTGCATTTCTAACTTGTTGCGTCATAGGCTACAGAAGTCGAACAAGGCAATCGTCGTGATCGAAACCTAGAATTCCAACGCAGTAAAGAAAACCCCAAACTTGAAGCTAAAGACGCACGCAAAAAAGAAGAAGCACTCAAATTATTGGCAAAACAAGAGGCAGAAGAGAAAGGCGAAGATTATGAACGTAAACAGTTTTGGAGATACTCTGCAGAATCAGCTGCTTTATGGGAAGAGAAGATGGCCAAGAAAGCACAGCGTGCTAACCAAGGCTTTACAGGTAACATGGATGAAACCAAATCCTATTTTTTCTTATTTGTTTGATTAGACCATACTCAAGCTGCACATAAGAAATATGAGCGCTTAATGTCAGAATTTAAGCCTGATATGAATGCGTATCAAGAAAAGCGATTTCAAGCCATTGAGCGTGCTATTCGTAACGGAGAAGATCCCTCTGATGTCGTTGCTGCTGCCAATAGTTTGGATTATGCAGATATTGACGACAAGCCATCCAAGAATGCCATTGATCGTCTAGCAGCCGAAACAAAGAAACAGTATGTCCTTGTTCTTTAAAATGTCTTTTAACCCTCTTTCTATAGGATTGAACAACGCGAAACAAGATCTCGTGAACGTAAACAACCCACAGACGACATTTCCTGGATCAATGAAAAGAACCGTGTCTTTAACCAGAAGATTGCTCGTTTCTATGATAAGTACACTAAAGAAATTCGTGATAACCTTGAAAGAGGTACAGCTTTGTAAATAAACTTTTATTTTTTTAAAGGAGGTGGTACTTTACAACGCCACATAACAAAGGGAGGTTCAGATCCTTTGCCCTTGAGACCTGCTGTTGTTTGCTTCTGAGGACGACAATGACAAAGATGGATTGACTTATCGAGAATTGCCTCATAAGCATCCATGCCGCCTTGTAATAAAGCCGTTCGAGGGAAATTCTTTCTGACAAGTTCAGCAGCATACTATTCAATGTTAAAAATGGTTTTCATGTGCCTAACGTTGCTTACTTCAGGCCCTTCTTCTTCTTGGTTTGCAATCACAACATGATACTTTCTATTCAATTTCTTGAGAATATTGGCATAACTTGCAAGTTGAGTCGTCAAGACATTCATAGAAGAGACGACATGTCCTTTAACAAACCTATGTTTCGGGTGAGTCAACAACAAAAAATACAGCACAAATGTCCTTACTCTGACTCAGATCGAATATCCAACACCAGAGAGTAAGAAAGAATCTTTGAGAGGTCTTGAATACCTAATCGAGGAGCTAGTTCGGTCTTTTTTGTTTCTATAGGTATCGGTTCTTGCCACCATTGGTTTGACAGGTGCTTAAAAAAAGATACGATGAGATATTTTCTTTTCTTGTTGAAGCTTACCTCTGTGTCCTGACTTGCTTCATTCACTGGTCCATGTACGCGTGTAGAGATACTAGGAGGTGTTACTTTACACATATTCAATGCACTCTGAACGCATTTCTCAATATCAACTTTAGGGAAGCTATCTGAAAAAAGCACAATGCAGTCATTGAACTCATAAGTAAGTAATGTATCTCGAATTTGTCTTAGAATGGCAATCCCTGCAAAAAGAGGTAAAGAAGCTGGCCCCACTAGCAATTTGTCCCATAAATGGTAGATCTTGTCCAATGGAAAGACATCTATACAGTGTTGAACAACATGTTTATGCTATCCTATTGACTTACGTGTAAATAAAGTCAGGAACCAAGGTATAGCGTATAAGTCAGGCATAAATCCGATGGTATCCAAATGACTCGAGAGTTCAGGATCATGGAAACTCAATAAATGTCGAAACACAGCTAGATATTCTTGCAGTACAGGAGCATTATCTGATAAAAAGAAATTGTTGAGGAATTTGGGAATGAATTTCTGTAGACAAGCAAATGCAATGGCTTCATCGTTAAAGTTGAGTGTCAAAAAGGGGGCACAGAGAGAATCCAAGCCTATTTGAATGAATACATGCATACATTTATCTATTCTGTACCTTGCCAGTAAACCAAATTTTTGTTGGCAGAAACCCAAGCTTTCAGTAGTCTTCGTAGTTTTTCATGACCTGTGGACGATGCTAGCAGTTGATTGTATTGATGACAGCGAGGTACATCCACATCAATCTATACTATCAGACAAATTGCAAAACTATGTTACAACTCACTTGTCTATCTGCTCCCATGTCTATATATTTGTTGATCTGATCATATTCATAGTCTAAATCGCCACGGACACCTAACACGGCAGCCCATACTTTTCCTCTCAATAAGGGGGGAATATCCACTTTAGCATGATGCAGTATTTCTTTTCTTGAAGCAGGATATTGTTTAAGTAATTCAGAAAACAATGTCTGTCGATAATATTGATAATTGATATCTTGTTCTCGTAAAAACAAGGGCAATTTGTTGTTGACTTGTTGTTGTTGTTGAGTAGGGATAGATGTATTGCTGTTAATGGAAAGTGAAGAAGCAGATCGAGATCTTCCCATACTGGCAGACAAAGTTCGATTCAATGACCGAGAAGAAGAAGGCGTTGTAGGTGTAGGCATATTGGTCGATTCAACTGTAGGCGATGCTACAATAGTCTCATCTGCAAACACCATATCATTTTCTGCATCCATACTGGTATGGCTGTCTGCATCGCTTGTGTCTTCTTGCTCGTCCAACAAGAAATTCACATCATTTTCATCCACCAGTTTAAAGTAATCTGTATCCCATTCAAACTTGTCATTGTCTACTTTCTTTTTTCCTTCTTTTAAGCGCTGATAGAGCTCTTTATATCCCAATACATAGACTGCATCCGAATACAATTGTGCTGTATCCGTTACTCTATCGCCCACCTCAGTTCCATCTGGCATGATACATACGCGAGGTAATCGTTTAATGATAGGTGTTGATAGAAAGACACCTCGTTTGACTAAATCTAACTCGACATCACCACCCGCTAACTTCCATAGATTGTATACTTGAAAAGCAGGCAATTCCTTAAGTAGACCATGGATATCTTTTTGATCAGCATCGTGTACTGCATCTAATGCATCAAGATCAATACTATCCGAGGCCAAAATGGGACCTTTCACCCACTCTGTTGCAGTTGTAGACACAAGGCCACTTGCGAAAAACGAGGACTGAAGTGCCTTTGTTATGTCCCATCGTTTCTCTATGGACACCTGTAGACACTTGAGCACAAATTGACGAAACGCTTCTATCTCTAGGTCTTGTTGTGTTTCTTGTAAAAGCTTGAGAACAGATGGATTGATATCGAGTGTGTTGATGTCTGGATGATGCCAGATATCTGTCTCATGTTCCCATTCTTTCAATGTCCATAATGACTCAAACATCAATCCTACATCACTGGTAGTCCAGAATGAATGACGTGTATATTGTTCAATGAGAATGATACCCATGGCCCACACATCTCGCTTGTCGTATATAGTATCGTTTATTTGGTCCAAGCATTCTGGTGCTAAATAAGCAGGATAACCAATAGGGAAATCAACATCTTTGCCTCCATGGGTCATGTAATGCAGACCATAGCCAAAGAGTTGGATATGGTTCTAATTATGCTTAGCAACCGGTACCTGAATTCTGGTTGCTAGGTTACCTCTTTATCCAATAAGATATTGGTGGGTGACAATGAAGCATGAATCATGTTGTGTGTCTCAAGAAACTTGAGTGCTGATAAAATCTCGAATCCCCATTGTTTTAATACAGAGACACTAACACTGTATGTTAAATATGCAATTTTTATTTATTTATTTTTTTACCTGATAGGTGGTGGATTATTTGATTCTAGGTTTCTTGCTTTTTGAAGTGAAGAATCGTGGTATTCAGAGACTACAAACAAGCGGTCTAGAGAAAGAAGGTTGATTTATGCATCTATTTTATGAGTGTTACCATATTTTCCTCGGTGAATCTCGACATATTCACACAAGTTGGGATGAGATAAAGTCTAAGTCACTTGAATAAAAAGGGAAGGGAGGAGGATTGAGTGATGGAAGAAGTTTACCTTGAGATATTGAAAACGTCCAACGATTTGTGAAGGTGCTGACAGCGCCAAGTGTCCTGAGACCGCCAATGCTTCAGAAACGCGTGAAGACGCGACAAAGTTAACAGAAGCAAGTTTAGGCGTTGGCGTGTTCTTTCTAACCTTGAGTTCAGTGGCTCTTGCAAATAAGGCCATATAACTTGTTAATACAAAAAATAAAAATAAAAAATAAAAAAAAAAAATGGAAAAAATGGCTATCCGACGTACATTTATATATATATTTTATTTTATCGAAGATCATCATCAAAATCACTACCACCAATATCAATATCTTCATCCTCATCCTCATCATCTTGTTCTTGTTCTTGTTCTTGCTCTTGCTCTTGCTCTTGCTTTGTGCTTGATGTTTGATGAGGTGTTGATTTTTGATTTACAGGAGGTTTATGTTCTACAACGACATGATTCATTTCTTCTTCTTCGTCTTCATCTTCCTCTTCTTCCTCTTTCTTCTTTTTACCAGTTGCCTGTTTAGCTGGAGTCTGTTTCTTCGTTTGTGATGATTTTGATTTTATGCTAGGCGTAGGCTTTTTACGTGCCGCTACATGAGAAGACTTGCTTGATTTAGGCACAGGTTCAGATATTTCTTCTTTTTCTGATTTTGTGTCTGTCAATGAACTTCGTCTTCGCTTCTTTTGTAAATCGCGAGGGTGTATGTGCAACGGTTGCTTATTCGTCACTCGACTAAGGATTTCCTGTAAATCAATGGCTGTCTTTGATGGTGTCTTCTTTTTCTTATTATCATCGGCTGTTGATTCAGCATCACTTTCTTCATCATTGGAGGAAGCAACAGAGGAATCGCTTGTGTTGACAATGTCCACTTCGCTCTCTTCTTTTTCTTCATGGGCTGTCTGTTTGGGACTGGTCACTTTATCGTCTTTATCGTGTACTTCATATCTGCCCAACAAAGGTTCTCTAGGCGTATTGATCAATCCATTCGATTTAAGTGCTTTATGAGGATGTGTAAGAAGCAACTCCTGTAACTGAGTTGCTGCTGCCATGCTGCCACTTGAAGATGCTTGACGAGAGATAGGAGGTACTACAAACCCATTCTTTGTATCTGAAGTGGATCGTAAAGCAGCCAAAGCCAAAGCAGTAAGCCGACTGTCCCTTGTCGGTTTCCGAGGTGTGATCTGGATAGGCAAAGGCGAAGGAAAGAATTGTTCAATCGAGTCTTCAAGAAAATGACCTAATTTATGCTGAATCGAACATGTCACGGCTAATTCTTGTGCACGGCGTAAAGGAATCCAGGTACCAAACAAAGCACTTTTCTTTTTAGGCATGCGAATACGTTCCATTTCAAAACTGAGGATCATGCTGCGTTCACTTTCGGTCTCAATACCGCCTGCTGTTAACAAGACAGTACCGTTAATGAAGCCTGTATCGACACGACGCATGATACGGTATTCAGGTGTATGTTCTGTCTTGGACAACACGGCCACACAGACAGCAATATGGTCAATCAGTGTGATGTACATGGGTGGGTTCATGGTCGTCAGTGTGTGCACGATGGGCTCCGTACTGCCTGCAGTCAGAGAAGGACTATGGGGGTTGGGGAATTCAGTCGTTGTAGGCGATAATAGAGGTGGTGTTGCTGTGCCTGTGAGGGCTGTATTAATTGATGGAGGAGGAGGTGCTTGTGGTGGTTTAGGTGGTGATGATGATGATGATGGGTCCTTTTTAATAAAAGCTTCAAGAGCAGGAAATCGAGTCAAAATAGACTTTAGATCTGCACTATGATTGGATGAATTCGATGCATTGTTTGTGTTGGCTGATTTGGCTAAGGATTGCATATAAGCTGCCATCGTCTTGGCCAAATCAAACGTAGGTGACAAATGCTGTAAACTGGGAATATTGGATGTCATTTGTTGTAATGCAGACAAATTAAGGTTTTGAATGTTCATGGATTTTAAGATTTCAGCTGCAGTTAGTGTGGTAGGTGTAGCAGGTAAAATATCAGCTACTTTTTTAGGTGCCACAGGTTGCTGTTGTTGCTGCTGCTGCGGTGGAGGTGGTGGAGTTGGAGGTGATGTTGTTGTTTGTTGTGACACAAGGAGGGGTAAAGTTTCCTTCTTTTCGTCTTCTTCAAACTTTACAAAATCTTCACTGTTTTCTACATCCATCAGCGTAGATACTTGTTGAGAAGATGTTTCTTTCTTTTTCTCCTGAGAGGGAGGAGTAGGAGCAGGTTCTGCTTTGATTTCCTGGTTTTTCTCTGTTTTAGGCTCGGTTTCAGGCTCTGGTTCTTCTTCTATTTTATCAGCAACACCTCTTGCTGCACTTGCCAACAAGACTTTTTGTAACAAAGATTTGTCATTTGGGCCCAACATGGTAGAAGAGAAACTTTTGCGTTGAGGGCGATTTGAACTTGTACCGGTGCTTGCAAAATAATCATCTAGCTCAGACACAGAGACAGATTCAGGTGTAGCAATGTTGAATGGAATGTCATGAGCTGTTGAAGAGTCATGTACAAACACATTATCAAAGTCGTGTTCGAAACTGAAAGGTGTCCAAAGTTCTTGGTCACCTGTAAATCCACTGCTGAATGAAAACGAAGGTTTTCTAGGTTGTAGACCAGGATTTTCTTGAGGCACAGCGAGTTTAGAAGACGTTGTTTTAGAGGGTGAAGAAGAAGACGGAGGAGGAGGAGGAGAAGGTGTATGGGTTTCTTCAGGCAATTGGATAGTGGGTGTATTAGAATGAGTAGTACTTTTGGGTGATGATGATGGCGATGATGATGATGATGGCTTCTTAATGTCTATGATATGCTGTGATTTTGGTAGTGAAGTAGACTGTCTTCGAGATAGACGTCTTGCAGTAGAAGGATGTAATTCAATATCATCCTCAGTTCCTTTAAGCATCTCTTCATGATAATCTGAATGCTCTCCTTCACTTTCATCTTCATCATCGTCGTTATTTTTCATCAAATGTGGCGGTGAAGTGATTGATTCGTGTGATGTATAGATGTTTGTTTTATGTCGTTTTTGTTGATGTTCTTCTTCACTATCATCATCGCCTTCTTCTTCGCGCTCATCATCGCTTGCTTTCAATGATCGTAAAGAACGTTTTATCTTGGGAGGAATACGTCGTGTTTTACTATTGGTACGCAAAGGATTGGGTCGTTCGTCTTCTTCCTCTTGTGCAGTTGTATCATTGTTTGTCTTAGAGACAGATTCGGTTGCTAAAGAATAGTTTATCTTTCGAGAGTGATTCTGATCTACGTGTTTAGCTAATAAAGGTGCTCTCGGTGGATTATGTTCAGCCGCTCTTTTGAAATGTTGAGAAATACGTGAAGAAACAGTAGCAAAAGGTGTAGCGCCACTACAGCAGACGTGTTAATCAATCATGCTACTCTATGCTGACTTACCCTAGTGTCGCGTATTTGTGTTTGACAATGATATTGGCTAGTTCTTTGGGTGAACTGGGCTTATTTCCCATTTTCAACAAGGCTTTTAAAATGGCAGTGAAGACTTTGTCTTTGGCATCGTCGGGATGAATAGAAACAGGCAGACCGCCTCCTTGTCGTTGTGGCTGTTTCTGTTGTGTGTTGTCATGACTTGTTGCTTTTTGTGCCATTGTCATTAATAAATAATGAGATAAAGAGCCCTTAAAGAAAAGAAATAGGGTATTATGATAAATGACAAGGAAAAAAAAAAGAAAGAGAGAAAAAAAAAGAGAGAGGAGAGAAGTGAATAATAAAACTGGGGGAGGTGATTTGAAACGGACTTTAAATTTGACAGGCAGACAGACAACTTACTTTTTCTGACAATAATGCCATGGAATCAAAAAAGACATGGATCAATGAGGAAATAAAGAAAACAAAAAAGGAAGAGAAGCTATTTGTTATGATATACTAGAATATATCTAGTCTATTTATACAACGTATACATTGACTCATACAAAAAAAAAATATTCACTGAATGTCAAGTCTTGTTGTCATTTTACACATATAGAATGACACGAAACCCAAAAACAGTAAACTTGCTTTTAAATTCAGATTTCCTTTTTATTTTTATTTTTTTCGTCTTTCTTTGATGCCTCTGTTAAACAAGAATAGTTCGCTTGATGCAGATTTTTATAGGCTTGATTTAAAAATGCAGAGAAGCCTAGAAGGCTTGACTAAAATTACAGAGCAATTAAATATCAAGACAACTCTTGAGCAACAACCACCTGCTTTACTCGATCTAAAGCCCTTAGAGCAAGAGAAACTCTCTCTTGAGATGGAGTTGAAAAAGAACAAGGAACTACTAGAACAAGAAAGGGATAGACAACAACGTTTAGAAAAAGAAAAAGAAGCTTTGGCTCGAAAATTAGAAGTGTCTGAAGCAAAACAAAGGCAAGATAATAAGTGGCAGCAACAAATCAAACAACTAGAGCAACAATACGCTCAACTGACAGAAAAGAACCAATCTTTAGTTGCAACAATAGAACAACTCGAAGAACATGCTCAAAAAGAAGTGCAAAGAAAAGAGCAGCATGAACTCTTGTTACGAGAGAATGCAGAGGAATTAAAAGCCACAACTGAAGGCATTTTAGAACGAGACCAAAAGATAGAAGAATTACAAGAGAACCTAAAATACGTACAACAAATCCTGGAAGAAAAAGATGAGCTATTAGAGAAATGTGTGACAAAAGCACAATTGGATTCTGAACAGTATGATCGTCTTCAAGATAGACTAGAACAATTGGAAGCAGAGAACATAGAATTAAAACAAAGACTAAAAAAGAACATAGCTTCACCTATTGAGCAAGAAGAAACAGAGGGAATGGAACAGTTAAAACAAGAGTTGGCTACATGTCAACAGCAACTTTTACAAAAAACATCTCAAAACAAAGAACTCGAAAGTGCAATGGAGCGCGCAAATGATCACTGTGAGATATTGAGAACAAGCTTAAATGAATCGAGAGAAGAATCATCCAATAGATACCACAAAATGATTAGTTATTTAGAAGAAATACGTTTACTGAAGCATGAATTAAGTACATATAAAAATCAATAATAAACAATTTCCTTGTCAATATCTTCTTGTTCTCTTCTTTGGTGTGGGTGGCTCAAGAGTTGACTCAATGCCTTTGCCAGATCGTCTTTACCTTGCCACAAACCTGCTTCATAGTACCAACCTGGTACAATATCGCTATCCAAACTACTCCAAAAATCATAAACAGATTGCATTGATTCAGATAGTTTTCTATCATGCAAAAACAAGACATCCAATACAAAATTAGGCGAATCGCGAATATGCTGGTAGTCATGAGCTGGTTCAGGCACAATAGAATCTCTGTTATAGACAAGAATAACCTGTGTAAAATAAATATCATCATCAATATCAATATGCATAGACAAGGTGTCAAATATAGACTGTGTATCTATTATGTATAGGTTAACATTTTCGTCTTTCAATAGAGTGTATATACCTAATCTATCATAGTGCTCTGTTACGGATTGATCTAAGGAATCAATGGCTCGATAGATTGTGTTGATATCATTTGTGAAGTTCACTAGCTATAGAATTGCACGTAAATACAGGCATGTTTGGGTCCTTATGGACATACCCATTTTGCTTTCGTTGTAAGTAGCATCAATGCGTATTCATCTTTTGTGTTTTCAATCAAGGTATTTGTCTTTAAAAATCTTTTTAAAAATCGCTGTAATGTTTCTAGACGCGTACTATAATACAAATTGGTGTCTTTTTTGCCTGCATTTAAAGAAGCTCGAAGCAAAGTCAGCATCTCAGAAGAACTATCAATACAAAAAACCTTGGACAAATGAATATGTATTTGAATAAACAGAACAAGGCTTACGATTCGCTTGGGCCTGATTCCTTTTGAATCTAAAGTTGAAGTAGCATCGCCTTGCATTTGTATATGGACTACAAATTCACTCGAATAAAAATAAAAATAAAGAGGCTTTTTTTTGCATGAATGGATATTTATTTTAGCTTCAAGATTTATTATTACATAATTAGAAGAGTTTGATTTAAAGAGAAAAGGAGGCAGTTTGACGAATATCACGACTAGAAGCGCCAACATGAATAGAGAACTTGCCAGAAGGAATAACCCAAGAAGCTGAATCAACATCCCAGATACTGAGTTCAGTCTTACTAAGTTCAAATTTAACTGTTTCTGAGGAATCTTTCTTCAAAAAGACTTTTTCAAAACCACGAAGGTTCTTGGGGGGTTCACCAGCACTATCAGGGAATTGAAGATAGACTTGAACGATTTCAGCACCAGGAACAGGACCTGCATTCTTGACCTTGACGGACACATTGACCTTGGCTTCTTTATCTGACTTGGTAGCCTTGGCTCTCAAGTTGCTGTATTCAAACTTGGTGTAGGACAAACCATGACCGAAAGCGAACAAAGGTTCAATACCAGCTTGGTCAAAGTGCTTGTAGCCAACATTCAATTGTTCAGAGTAGGAAATGTTGAAGTTAGGATCAGGCTTGACATTATAGTCTGAATCTTGCTTGGCAATGGTGTAAGGAAGACGACCAGATGGATTGACAGCACCAGTGACAATATCAGCAAGAGCGTTACCAGATTCTTGACCAGCAAGACCAGGCCAGAGAACAGCCTTGATGTTAGGGTGGCTGATCCAAGGCATAAGAACAGCACCCACAGAGTTAATAACGACAATAGTGTTCTTGTTAGCATCAGCAACAGCTTTGATCTGTAGAAAAAAAAATGAGCAAGAAAAAAATCTATACAATGAAAGAAAGACTTACCAAGTTATCACCATTGTTCCATAAACTAAGGTTGTTACGATCACCAACATTACCATCAAATACAATGTACTCTTCACCAGAAGTAGCAGCAGAGAATACAAAAGCAACTTCAGCATCCTTGGCAGCATTAGCAGCAGCATCAAGATCCCAATCATTATCTGAAGACTTGATGGCAACATCCTTTCCAAAAGCATCAGAGAGACCAGTAAGAGGCTACACAAAACTGTTATTTATCTTTCGCTTTGTTTGAATATACTTGCATCAATCAAGTAAGGGAAATCAGCAGTACCAGAACCCCAACCTTGAGCAAGGTGACCAATCAAACAACCATGATCTTCACAACTGTTAATGCCACTATTTTTTTTTAAAAAAAAAGTAGTAAGCAATCTATTTCAATCATAACCTTTTTCCTTACTTAGGGTTCTTTTTGATGCCACTACCAATAAGGGCAGCACTTTTGATCTTCTTTTTGTCAATAGGTAAAACACCATCGTTTTTTAAAAGTACAGTGGAAGCAGCAGCCATTTCACGAGCTAACTTGTAATGATCTCCTTGAACATCAACAAAAGGTTCTTGGTCACGGTGAAAACCATTGATACGGGTCTCAGGGAAGTCTTTATCTTGACCCATCTTGTACCAGGCAGCAACGATACGCAAAGCCATATCAGTCACACGTTCTTCCTTGACTTCCTTGTTCTTGACAGCCAAAGTCAAATTAGCACCAAAATAAGAGTCGTGGGATTCAAATTCAATGTCACCAGGCATGGTCATGTCCAAACCGCCATTAGCAGCCTTGGCCGTGGAGTGAGTGGCAGCCCAGTCAGATTGCACAAAACCCTTGAATCCAAGTTCACCCTTCAAGACTTGGTTCAATGAATAATCGTCTTCACAGGCCCATGTACCATTCAATTGGTTGTAACTACACATCACAGAGCCAACACCAGCTTCTACAGCACGAGCAAAAGGCCAAAGATAGACTTCATGGAAGGTACGAGAATCAGCATTGGAGCTGGAAGCTTTTCTGTTGAGTTCTTGGTCATTGAGGATAAAGTGCTTGACGGTAGCAATCACACCTTCTTCTTGAATACCCTTAATGGTCTCTGCAGCCATGACACCTTGTAAATAAGGATCTTCGCCTCCAGATTCCCAGCCACGACCACCTTCAGGTGATCTCATAAAGTTGACAGCAGGACCTAATTGAATATGAACACCTTTGCCATGAAATTCTTGACCCATATAATGACCACGAGCAAGGATAGCTTCCTTGTCAAAAGAGGCAGCAGCATTGATACCAGAAACACCAGAGGTAACATTACTAGCCCATCGCATACCTAGAGGAGCATCTTGCAAACAAAGGGCAGGGAAAGCAGGTTCTGAAACAGGGTAGGTGTTACCGACACAAAGACCGCCTTTCCATCCAACACCAGTTGTGATATTAACCTTTGCTTCAAGGGACATTTTATCAACAAGAGCATGAGCTTTTTCGTATGCTTCATCCCATGATAGTACGTTGACTTTGGCGTCGGCAATGCCACCGAGTAACAAGAGAGCTGCAGCAGAGGCAGTAAGAGAAAGAAAACGCATTTGAAAGTTTGATTTGTAAAGAATCAAGATCATTTTTTGGGTCTTCTTGCTTTGCTTTTATATATTATGGATTGTGAACACTAAATTTTTTGTACTTTTCCCAAAGATTCAGTTTGCTCTTTTACCGCTATAACCAACAGAACACTCCTTTTTTTTGTCCTGATTTTCTTTTAAGGTTTGCGTCATGTTCCCGAAGATGCTGAATTGTGTGGAGAACACACAGCAAGCGGAATTTTTTTTTTTTTAGTTATTTCTCATGGTATGGTCGTACGTTCCTTTTGCCTCTCAGGGTAAAGTCCACATTTGCTTAAAAAACATGATTATGTAATAGAATTCAACTGCCTTTACTATGGTAAATTCTACTGCACATCTTTATTCAATGCTTTTGTTTTTTTTTTTTGTACATGTTTATCTTGTTCAGAAATTCAAAACAACGCTCTTTTGAAAAAGAAATGAAGGCATTGCATCTGACCATAAATATGTTTTGAAAAGGATGGGAATAAATCCCGTACTGAGAGAAATTGAATAAACTGGGATTTTACATTCATGTCACTAGCAAAATCCCTGTTGCCCAAATGATTCAGTGTATCCTGAACAGGCCCAGCCAGAAAAGAAAGATTCAGTCTAATAACTCTTGCATGATTTAAGGCAATCGTTCCGGTTCCTGTTGCATAAATTTCTGAATATAGATCTGTGTGCTGATAATGAAGTAATCTCCTCTGGTAGGACATTGATGAATAAAATAGCATCTAGTGCAACAATTGTATTTTATTCGAATAGCCTGATATTAGCAGAAATGATGGCAATGAGCTGTATACTTTCAAGTTACTTCCTTTCAATCTATTTTATTCCATAAAATACATTGGCTGAGAGAAAAAAAAAGCTAGGCAATGGTTAATGTTAAGCCAGATTATAGCCCATAATATTTAACCTTCCCCACTGTTTTTTATTATTTTTGGATCCAGTTACTTTGAGGCAATTCACCTGACCCTAAAGGACACAAAGGCCTGCTTTTTGATGCTTAAGTAATGATTCCAGTCATTCTTCCCTCGGAATGATCAACTTTGGAAACCACAAATCTAGTGAGAACTTTCCTTTAAAAGTGATGTTCCTTATACCGTCTATTCCAAGCATCAACAAAAAAAAAGAAGGAAGATTAGGTCCATGATAATTGTGTCTCTCCCATCATTTAGGCAACAAACACACATACACACATACACATACACACTTGTCTTACAATATATTCGCAATTAGGCAGCTGAGAATCAAACAAGTGTAAAAGGTACAACCTTTGTTCTCTCACTTTGCTTGAATATGTCTGAACAACGATTTTGGACCGGAAATGATGGAAAATATAAAGTGCAAGCCTCCTATGTATGTTTGTTTCAAGATAAAAAAGTCAAGCTGAAAAAACCCAACGGTTCCTTTATTGCACTTCCACTTAGTTTGTTATGCCCTGAGGACATTGCCTTCATCGCAACACAATCGCCACTGCCCACTCGAGATTCCACACAAAGACCCGGTATTCTACCAATACAGAATAATATATATAGCGAGCCTTTTGAATCCTCAACCATTTCTACTGATACTCGAGAAACAATACTACAACAAGAAAGACCTATGATGCGCCAAATCGCGTCTCTACAAAGTGTAAGACATATCAGCAAAGACGAATCCTCTCAAATGATCCCAAAACAGTCTCTGTCTTCTATGGCGGACCAATTCAAGCACCAGACATATCTGTCTACACCAACACTTACTCTTCAACGTTTAGCTCAATTACCAAATAGAGCTATCATATTGGTTGGATCTTACTTGGATGTTCGTTCTCGGTTTCGATTTGCTACTGTTGCTCGTCAATTTTATCCAATTTTACACAAAGCTGAAGTCTGGGAAACAGTATTTTTCTATGCATCAGATCATTACATGATTGATGACAAATTTTTGCAAGGGCTCATTGACTTTTTAGAACGCTGTCAGTTGCAGAATGTAGTCAAACATATCAATCTTGACAGAACAGCCATCACATCCTCCAGTTTTATTTTACTCATCAAACACTTTCAATATCTCGAGACAATATCCATACAGTCTTGTTGGAGCTTAATGACTTTTCCATTAGCAGTTCAGTTAATAGAATTGGCCAAACAGCCTCGTTCCATCGCATTGTCTCGAGTCACGGTAGGTAAAGTACTTCATCGAGGACAGACACATCAACAGCTGGATAGTAAATCCTTTGGACAAGACATCTGGTATATTCATACTGCGTTAAATAAACTAGCGAATAGGAATGTCCTATTTGATGTTGTTCTATGTGGTACTTGTCATCTTGGTGCTGCTTCTCAAACCTTTCGATGTGCTTCTTGTGGTGTTTTGCCTCTAGAGAAATGCATTGCTTGTGCTCCTCGATGCGATAGGTATCTATTTATAAAATATATATTTCTTTTTCTAACCTCTTAGTAGATGCGGAAACCGATCTTGTGGATTGTCCGTTTGCATTAACCCTAAACTCAAAATACAAATCGCTCGCTGTGGTCGTTGCGAACAAACATTGGCATTATGTAATGATGAGCGTAGTAAAGCTTGCCAAGAAGCACGGAAGCCATGTAGTCATTGTCATCGTCTTTACCACACACAATGTCGTACAATAGATGGATTTTATATATCGAATCAATGTACTACCTGTGGTACAGTAGTCTGTCCCCACTGTGAGCTTAAAGGCTGCCAAGGCAGCTGCCATGGTCAATGGTGTCAAAAATGTCTACTAAATGCCCATCTTCATCACTGCAAATGTATTGTTCTTCAAGGCAGATCATCAAGCAAAAGCCTGACAAAGAAAGATGTTTGCAACAAGTGTCAAAAGACATGTAGCCAATGTGGTATTAGCCATTTCTGTAGTCGGTGTTTACAGTTACATTTAGAAAAATGTCGTTAATAAACGAACAATAAGCATCTTATTTTTATACACGGTCCAGAATTTTAGCTCCTTTCCCATTGAGCAAATGGTGCTTGAAGCATAAATGAAAGGGATCTACTATTCAATCTCCGTAATTAGGTGGGCGGGTAGGGGGTGGGGCTTCAGTTATGCTTAAGAGGTTTTAAGGGTGCTGTAGTGTCGTAGCAGTCTTGGCATTAAAAGCAACCGTGTTTTTTGCCAGTGTTGTTTCTTATTTTACATGGACTGGGCTTTTTTTTATCTTCATTTATATGTCATAGTTTGCCTCATAATTACTTTTCGGGTTGGATCCTTTTTAGCAATTGTTGATTTTAGTAGCTTCGGTGTTTTAGGAGAATGTAATGTGAAGGATTATTGTTAGTTAGGACTATATCTTGAAGGTGGGTGTTCCTGATAACAAGGGCCACACTTTGATTTACTTTGTTTCACTGTGATGACCGTTTTGCATACATGTTCTTTTGAAGCGATTTTTCTCTCTTATATAAACACTACATGCTCTTAAGAGTCATTGTAAGGCCTTTGTACAACAATTTATCACGTATATTAACCCGGGAAAAATTATACCTTGTGTCTGAAACGGGCAATTGATCTCTGATTGGACCTGGAATGCTTAAAACAATTACATTGTTCTTAATTTGGTCAATCGTAATTCTAGTCAAATTAAGCTCATGAATACAAACACAATACAAATATTTATTAAAACAAAGAATTTGACAAGATAAATTATTGTTATTATTTTATTAAGTGATTATATGGCTTATTTACAATTATACAAGGAATTTACATAAAATATACATCATATTAAACAGTGGCTGTTGAGTTGGGTTGGATGGAGTTTTCATTTGATCGTGTGGTAATCAGGGCCGAGACAGTATTGTCAAGTAAGGTAGAGACCACATTCAAGTCTGTTCTAGACTGAGACGTTTGTTCTTGTAACAGTAAGACTGCTCTTGTAAGATCTAGAAAGATTTCCATTTGAAACTCGATTTCTTCCAACCACATTTGCCAGCAATATTGAGTTGCATGGTTTTTGAGTGATTCATAAAGTGCCACTTGGTCTTCTTTTTGTATCTTGCGAGTATATCTTGTTCTCTTTTTGCGAGGATAATCATCTTCTGATGAAGACGTCAGAAAAAAAAACTGGACACGCTGACGAGTGATGATGTCTAGGTCATTTGCAGACAGCAGGTCAGTTTGGACCAGTGTACCAATTAACCGAATAAGGATTCGAAAGTTGAGGCGTAAAAGTTGGTTGTGTTGGTGTATCGTAGATGCAACAGTTGCAGATCGCGCAGAGCCTGGAGATGTAATAAGCAGGAGGCTGCGTTTATGATGACTGTGATAGCGACTGGTCAAGTTGTCCAAATGTCGATTGATATGATTGACTAAAAGTCTGTGATGGATTTCTGTTGTAGGTTCAGTCTCAAACAATGCCATCATGGTAGGAAACATGGTGGTTAAAAAGTTGGTTATTAATCGACCCATACGAGTAGGGTGAAATTCTGACGAAAGCAAAGGGTAAGGTGCCTTGGTGTTGTTGTTGTAAGAAGAATGCTTTGGAACAATGTCTAATAAAGGGTCAAGAAACACATGATCAATAATGATGCCAAGTGTCTTGTCCAGAAGGAAATCTAGACTATGCTGCCAATTTTTAAGTGGTGTTCTATCGTAAATCTCGACAACAAGTCTATTGGCTACGCTTTGAATGATGGTATGATCAATGCTATTATTAGCTTTATAGCCGTGTCTGCTCACATAGGCTAGTGCTGCGTGGACTGTGAGTTCAAAAGCAGGAAGTTGTTTCTTTGATAAATCGATGCGGTATCGGTGCCAAATGATTTGATGGGCAATAGCTTTACAATGATGTGAACAAATGGCCAAATACCAAAGATCAGCAAAGCTTAAAAACTCGGCAATCTTTAATAAAACTTCAAGTGGTAAATGTAATAAATTAGGTGGCCTGTAACTAATGCCTGACATTTTGTTAAAATAAGAGGGAAAGAAAAAGAAAAAGAGAGAGAAAAGAAAAAAAACCTCATTATAAAAAGAAAGGAAGGGAGGAATTGTCGATCGCAATCGAGACCCTAAAAATGGAGTGTTCTGGGTTCTTTATTTCCCTTTCTCTCTCTCTCTCTCTCTCTTTCTTTCTGTACATTAGAAATCAGCAGCAAGTAAAACTTGACATCGACACATTACATTCATAATCAGACTAAACTCTAATTGGCAGGATACGATTGAGTCCAGAACACTTGTTATTTGCATCTTGTTACAAGGTTGCACGAAATTATCACTCTTTTATGGGTCTTTAAAGGTCTTCACCAACTTGTCATATTTGAAAATTACAACTGCCACTTTCTAAAACTCTATTTGTCACACTATGGAATTTCAGTTGACATTTTCCTTAAGAGGTGAGTTGCGATCACGTGATAGGAACTTTGTTTAAAGTGGACACTCCATCTTTTAGATGAAAGAAAAACATACTATCTTTAATTATTGATCTAGACATTACATAATATATACATTCTAATTTAATCAAAATAACGGGAACTGAGACACTAAAAATGACCGTTTATTAATGACTATCTAAAGGTTATTAATATTGACCCCACAACTACAAAAAACCATGGATCTGTCTAAAAAAAGAAAGGGAGCTTGTATATCGCGTTTATTTCGGAAAAGAACTTAGAAGAAAGCATTCAAAAATTCAGCCCTGAAAAAAATTCTTTAGCAACAACAGAGTTGAAATGATGATAAAGGAATATGCTTCCAAATCCATAATTCTTACAGGCAAAAGTTCCAATGTGATAAAAAGCAAAAACTGTGAAATTTTCAAGCCCAAAAAGCGTAGTTTCACATGACTGTAAGTTTGTAAAATGAATCACACAGAGCACATATTAGAAATAGACCATGGGGACAATTTTACTCGTACACAAATAGGAGAAGTATGGAATTTGTGCGTCATATCAGCCATCTAAATGAATGTCGATAAACAAACCAGCAAAGTAACATAAACACTGAAAGCCATGCTCACTAAAAATAGAGTGTATGGTTCAAGGTACCACAGGTAACAAGAGTCATTGTTGATGTGTAACTAAATATTTATTCGAAAAGAAAGCCAAGTAACGCACTGGCACAAACGAAATAAACTAGTCTTTTGTAACCTGGAAGCCATTTGTTTTAGAATGAAAGAAAAAGGCTTGCATCTCTATTCGATAAAAGAACTTTTTTGAATTATTTTATTTGAGATGGACATAATGTAATTATACAACTCTAGGATTTGTACAAACAAACGGTACATATGTATTTTATATAACGAACGAAAGAGAAACGATGATTAGCGTGTGTGTAAGTATATGTGTAAGTGTGTGTGTGTATGATGTGTGTATAATATTAGTAATAAAGTAATTTTTTAAGCTAAAAGCATATTTGGGATATGAGAATTGTCTGGTTTACCAAACATGTCTTCATTCATGTATTGTTGAGAAGAAGGTGTAGGTGGAGAGTGAACACTGGTAGAAACAGAAGAATCAAACGCTGTAGCTTGTTGACAAATAATATGTTGAATATCTTGTTCCATCACATTAGCTAAACTACGTGTCAATTCAAAGTCATACATGTAATTGATGGAATTCTTGATGACTTTAAGTGACCTTAATAGACCCATACGGCCTGTCTCATAACATTGGTCGTCTGTAGTATAGCTCAAAAGTTTACGGTAGACTACATTAGCAAACAAGAAACCCACCAAAGGAACATAACACTCTTGTCTTTGGTTTATCATAACCTCAAGAAGATGAGTAATGTTGTTTGCCGCATTAAGACTAGTCTCTAAACTTTGAATTGAAACAGGAGTACTGGGTACACGGTGCATCGGAATAAAGGCTTGGTAGAGAATGACTTGATTAATACTGTAGTGCAATCGCACAATATCAATACAGTGCCGCGAAAATGACTTCAAGTCAACCCTGTAATGTTTGTTTTCTTCTTGTACGTCAGTCTCTGAACAGCAGGGTGAATAAGCTGTATCTGTTGATTTCCATTCATCCGGCAACTCTTGATAGAATGTCTTGAGGGAGTTTTGCAACGAGAAAATATCTTGTAGCATAGATTCGCTTCGCTTGCTTGAACCATACAAGAGTGTGGCCATAGCTTGTTCACGAAGAACTTGTAGTCGAATCAGATAAACCCAGGCATTCCATACGTAATAGTCAGCAGCATCTTCATCGGATTTAGGTACAGGGAGTGTAGGTGGAATAGTCGATAGATGAGGTCTACACTGGCTCAGAACAGCAGGGCTAGAGCTTTCACCGCCCTGTAGAGCTTTGTACCAAGCATTACAATAATAGATTTGCCAGACCAACATGGCTTCATAGCGATTTAAAGTACGACTGGGATCATAGAGACCTAATTCTTGAGCCATGTTATAGGCTATCCATTCATAGAAATAAATAACGCCTGCATAGCCATTTTGATAATTGCAATAAGAAAGCAAGAAAGCAGCTTGACAGCTTTCGTAGCTGGGTTCATCAAAGCATTCTGATAATAGTTCACGGCCACGAAGACAATAAGCAATAGAGAGTGCTTTACCCATATTGTACTGTGGTGCTTCAAACGAAGGGCGCTTACTCCATAAATGCAATTGGAATGCATTACGAGCAGCCATTGCACATATGGCGTATATCAGTACAGTCGAAGGACGTCTGGAAACATCGGGATCTCTATAGCGAGTTAAAAATTCAGCCGTGTCTATAATCGGAAGACGCATGGATGAACAACAAGGTGTACGACAATAGAGGTCAATCAAGTTATCTGTCAATTCTTGCGTGATTTCAATGGGATAATCTTGTGGCATAGCATGGAGTGGATGGGCCCATGAGTTCCAAACAGCAAAACTCGATGAAGTATGAATAGAGCGTGCGTCATCAAACTCTAATATTGCTTCTTGTGTTTTATCCTCATCCTTGTGTTTGTCTTTGGAAACAGTAAAAGACCGTTTGAATTGGTCCACAAGTGTCGAAAAATCATGATAAGAGCTAACATTGCTTTCTACTGACAAGCCCTTTTTTGTTGTGGTGATTTTCCATGACGTTTGATGGATTGGCTTGATTCGAAGTGAATTATTGGCTCTGGCTGAAAAATCCCTTGTCTTTTGAGCAAAATCCTTGGCCATACGGTCAATGGAATCTTGCCATTGATCCATCACTTTATTCATTGTGTTTAAGACTTGAGACACATGATTGGCTTTTGGTTCTGTCTTTTTAAAATGACATTCGAAATTATTGGCTTCGCAACGACTACATTTTGGTAGTGATAAGTCGCATTGCTGAAGATCTTTAAAACATTTACTGCATGGATAAACAGAGAAATTACTTGTGGATGCTACTTTGGTACGACGAATACGTCTTTTGGGGCGTTCTTCTTCTTCTAGTTCATCATCTGAATAAGTTGAAATCATTGTGTCTTCAGTTAACCTGAGTCTTTCATTAAATTTCTTTATCCTGTCGCCTAGCGTTTCAGTTGCTTTTTGAAGTTTTTTGAGAGTAGGTGCTGCTTCCGGATAGACACAGGTGATACCTCTCCTATAACAACGGGAACAAGAGGGTTTTTCTCTGTCACAAGCATGTCTAAGCACAATGTATTAGTAGCTGAGCCATATTCATAAAAGAAAAAAAAAGCAGGCACCTGAATCCTCGGCAACGAAAACAAGCTGCTCCCAAGTTGGTTTGCTTTTCTCTTTCGTTCTCATTGCTTGAGTCTGACATGATGAGCTTATAGAAAAAAGAATAAACAAAAAGGAACTGTATTTCCAGTGCAACAAATTAGTGAAATTGAATCTCCATCTCAAGCCTATTATTTATCCAGCCAATCATGCCCTCTTTATTTATTGGCGCCATTTTTTTTTTTTGTACAGGTGATACAATTGACAAAGTATAATAGCCCACAAAAACACTCTCGTGTTTCAACAGCGTAAACAGCAATAGATAAAGTAATACAAGAATTTATTTGTCTTTTTTCTTCAAGTCTATTTTTGTATGACAATGCACAATGGCAGCTCAAAGTATGATCACTATCTTGAATTAGTCTAAAGTCAGTTTTGTTATCTCAAAACAGAAGCTACCACTTTTGCCATATTCAAATGGCTCGTAGAACCAAGCATGGATAGTACAGCTATGGCTTCATATTAGAGTATATAGACATACTATTCATATGGCCTTGTTTGTCAAGATAATACTAGTATTTGATTGGATGAGCATATTGGCACAAAAGTAGCAAAGAGCATAAAACACGCTTATTATTTTTATTTTCTTTTTTCTTTTTTCCATGTCTGACATGGCTCCACTATTTTCTTTGTTTGCCATTATACCAGTTCTGCTGGGAGGCTTTGTATATTATACGCACCATCGAACATACGGTACACTTGACGTGACAACAGCCTCTGTCGCTTACGATCGCGCTCGATACCATGATATTCTCGACTGGGACAAGTACGCGTTAACTATCCAAGGCGAGCCAACACAAATACACTCGGGAGAATTTCACTACTGGCGTGTTCCTGACAGAAATCGTTGGGAGACTATTCTAAAAGGATACAAAAACATGGGCTTGAATACCATCCGTATCTATTTCCACTGGGGCTACCATTCTCCTGATGAAAATGTGTATCATTTTGAAGGCAATCGTGATATTGACTATTTGCTTAATTTGTGTGAACAACTAGAGTTGTTTGTCTTGGCTGCTCCTGGCCCTTATATTTGTGCAGAAACACAAGCAGGCGGATATCCTAGTTGGCTTATTGCTAAAAGAGAACTAAATATACGTCATAATTATATGATGCTTTGGCGTGTTTATGACCAGAAATTTGCTGATTACGAAATACAATGGCTCAACCAAATCATGCCTATTCTTGCTAGACATCAGATCACTGAAAAAAAGAAAGGGTGTGTGATTGGAGTACAGATTGACAATGAGTTGTTTGAAGTCATGGCAAATATACTCCCTATTGGTTTGCATGATCAAATGAGAATCTTGGCTAAAGCAACAAGAGATGCTGGTATTACAGTGCCTCTGTTTACAAACGATGGTTTTGAAGAGGGTGGATGGGTTCCTCGCACTGACGATAAAAAGAAATTCGGTATTGATCTTTATGGTTTTGATAAATATGTCAGTAAGTATAGCTTGTATGTGTACAGAGAATCTATTTTGCTAATTCAAGCAGTTTTTGCACCTTCAAGTTCGCCCAAGTCATGGTTGATTAATAGTGGTGTGTCTGTTGGGTCTTGGGATGAATGGAATCCCAAAAATATGGAGAATTCAATGGATGGTTTAGAAAAGAAAGTGCGTGGATTTGGTGGTGGTGCTAAGGAATCACCCATGTTTATTCCTGAACTTCAGGGCGGCTGGTTTAACCATTATCAATTGCAGCATACCTACGATCAGATTTTTGATTATTATGGGGATGAATACACCAAGCTCATATTAGAAACATCATTTGCTCAAGGTGTTACTATGGCCAGTACTTATATCATTTATGGTGGCACGAATTGGGGAGCCATTGGTGATCCGTAAGTAATAGACCTGCTTTCATGCTGTGACTCATTTTATAGTGATGTTTACACTTCTTATGATTATTCTGGTTGTATTCGTGAATTTGGTATGCTTTCTTCTCGAGGCAGAAATGTCAGAAAATCTGTTCTTTTGACTCGCTCATTTGATCCCTACTTTACAAAGACTGAACGTGTCGCTCATCCTAATGTCAAGTCTTCTCTTGCTCATACTTTAAATCTTCAACGTGTTGCTATTGCAGGCAACCAAAATGTTACATTTACTTTCTTGAGAAACTTTGACCGCAAAAAGCGCGAGACATTTGACATTACTGTTCAAGAAAAAGAGGGCAGTTTGACGATGGGTTGTTTCTTGCCTTACAAGTCTTCTTTCATTGCTATTGGAAACTACACAGCAGCTAACGGCGTTCATTTGATTTTCTCTTCTATCCCTATCCTGACTCGGTTAGTAAGCCCCCACAGTAAGGATGAAGTATGGGTTGTTGAGCCCAATATTGTGGGTGCCATGGCTTTCACTAACAAAGAAATGCATTTATCTGGTAATATGCAAGACAATGCTTTACGTAATGATGGTCCTGCTGTGATACTCTCATTTGAAACAGATCATGGATGGTCAAAGCTCCAGACAACAGAAGGCAATCTTTATATTATCGGTCTTTCTAGGCTCGATGCAGCCACTCTTTATGCTGAATTTAGTGAGCCTTATTGGAATGAAGGTGTTAAGAAATACCCTTTTTTTGTTGCTTGGGGTGCTGATAACTTTTATTTCGACAAAAAGACAGGTCAACTTGAAATCAACCATCGCCGCACAGAAAAAGCAGCACATATCATTTCTTTTGATCAGATAAAGGGAGGTGTAACTGACAACACCTGGGACCTTGATATTATCCATACATTTGAATACAAGAAGCATACCGATATAATTCCTGTGACATTCGATTACACGCATTGGGAAAATCGCCCTGTTCGATTTGACGAATTACCATGGGAAAAACTCAAGAGCTTAAAAAAGAATGATAGTGTCACTTTTACTGGCCTTGATTATCATTTTACCAGTGGTCATGTCTTGTATCGCACTCGATTCAGAACTCCTGATTCAGATCATCCTAAAGTTACACTTTCCTTAAATGTTCGTAACCGTGCCACGGTGATCTTGAATGGTCGAGTCGTTGGTGGCCACACTACTTATTCTCGTCAACTGTTTATGCCCGGTGCCAAAATTGGACCTGATCCATACTTTTTGGGTTCACATACGTATGATCTTGCACCTTATCTGTCTCGGTCAGATTCCCTTGAAAATCAACTGATTGTAGTCGTAGAGAGCTTTGGCTTAAGTCGTCAAGCATTTATTATGAATGATGTTCGTAATCCACGCGGTATAGTGAGTGCTAAACTCGCTGGTCTCGTCCAATCACCTGAATGGGAAATCACGGGTGTTGATGTACGCAAATTATCTAACCCTTACAACACCACTGGCTTTCCAGACGAAATTGTCTCTTCAGACTGGAAATCGTTCAAGAATATCAAGTGTGATAAGGAAGGGTGCACGATTCCACTTAAAGTAACACAGGGCGTACAATGGTTCCGTTTCCGATTTGATAACGCCTATAAATCTTCTCTGTACAACATTCCACTTCGTCTCCATCTGGAGGGTGAATGGACAGCTATGGTCTTTTTGAATGATGTCTTGATCGTAAGATATTACGGTAATGGTGATGGCCCTCAACATGATTTTTATTTGCCCGACGATCTTGTTTTAGCAAAGCACAATGAGGTCAAGATTCTTGCTTATACCTGGGAAGATACACAAGCTCGACTCTTCTTAGCAGGATGGCCTGTTCTTGCAGACAGTGGTAATCTTATTACTCACTATGCACAAGACAGTAAGCCTGCTGAATACATGACTTTTAAAGAATCTATTAATTTGTAGCAAAGTTAATTAGCATGTCACACAAAAATATAGGGAAATATATAAATCTTTATTCTCATTTATTTTTTTAAAGAATGTTCATTGTCCTATTTTATTGTCTTGAGTCTATGTCAAAGCAAGACAAAGAAGAAGAGAGAAAGATCAAAATGTGAAAGCGTATGTCAGCAAGCTAATATGATGAGAATAAATACTTTGATTTTATTGAATGTCGATAAATACTCAAAAAATAACCGCAGTCACTCAAAGAGTATCACCAACTATAGAGAGGTTTGAATTTAGAGACATGTTACCACTTACCATCCATATTGATAGTAGCAGAACTATCATAAACCTTGCACACTGTTCGATTTAGGAATTGTTTGAAATTATCTTCAGTGTAGTATTGACTGTATTTATGAGAAAGTGCGGGGAACAACATTGTAGAGACCAACAACACCAATCGCCAGAGCTGACAATCGGTCACAAGACATAGTTGCCTTCTTATTCCTTGCGGAAGCACAGCCCTTATTTAAGCAGTAGAAAGCACTTTTCACTGTTGTTGCTCCTTTCTCGGTTCTGTTAACTGGGTGGGCTAATTTCTGAAAACAAAAGATACAAGTCTGGGATGCATTATGCTCGTTTGTGATGTATATAATACTTGTGCTCCCGAGTAGTTTCTGCTTCCATTTTCATCCATATTGTCTATGCCCTTTTATCTTTGAGCCAACACCAAGTCTTCGATCTCCAACAAACGAACAAGCCTTTGACTTCTTAGGACCTATTCAAAATAACAGAATTAATACCAATTACACGCTATCATGAGTAGTTATTACCTTTTTTTGTACAGACTTCTTTTCTTGACAGGACATTGCAAGCTATTTTTAAAAAGAATATAGCAGCTAATTTATTTAGAAATTTATTGCTGTTCTAAATATCGCACATTATGCATTAATAAACATTGTTTATAGCAAGGAGCGTGAAAAGACATTCATTCATATTGATTGTTGTCAGCATAGAGATGTCCCTATAAGTAACCATATTTGTAGACTCAAATATCAACATTGGCTTGAGATTTACAGTGCGACAAAAAGAATTAGACGGGTAGCCCTTCAATATCGAATAAGGCACTTAGATAACTTTTGCTGATAGTGACTACTAAATTTTTTTGGGTATTTATCGTTAACGGGTTTTATTTCCTGCGGGACCCGAAAGTATCGAAACCAATCATGTTAAGAGCAAGACCATTGTCTAACCTCTCTTTTTTCTTTCTTTTTCTCTCTTTACACACGCATTTATTTTTTATTTTTGTCAAACAGATAGAAACAGCAATCATTATGGAAGATCCTCAGTCTTCTTTAGCTATTGCTTCTCAACATTTTGACAATGGACAAATAAAAGTAACCGAAAAAATGTCAACCTTATTTCTCATTCAATTTTTTAAGGATGCATATAGTATATTTCTGACCACAGCTACAAATGCGATAAAACCACTTTTTGACGTCAAATTTGTTCATTGCTGTAAGTATAGCTATTAAATTGCTCTTCTAATACAAAGTAGCAATTGTCTCGAAGCCTCAGAATTCTGCAGCATTGATTTCAGTCTTACACATATGTCTTGAACATATTGAAAAGATTATTGAGTATCATTCACCTTCAGCGAAAATACCACCTCCGCCATTACCACCAAAACCTTCACATGTGAGCAAGCCGGTCTTGCCACCCAAGCCTACAAGAACGACTCCACCCATACCAATTCCTTCAAAAAGTAGAGTGAAACGGTCATTATCTGATAATCAAGGTAAATTACACAGAAAGGGACCCGTGAGTATATGCTTCTTTATTAACTTTTCTTTTTATAGTCATAACTCAGCAACAACAAGAGCAACAAAGAACACACCTTCGATCCAATTCATACTCTATGGATGTACCTGATGGAGAAATTGATCCTAACCACCTTGTGCCAGCACAAACAAACAGCAACGACAGTCTTCCTCATACTAGCGCTCTGTCAATGAAAGCAGATCATGTTCCACATATACCAGTGCCACCTTTATTGACATCACACCGACTGCTACAAACTAAATTAGACGAACTTGAATCCTCACTTAAGGAATTTCGCCTTCAAAAAAGTCAATTGAATGAACAAGATACTCATAACAAATACGAACTAGACGCAGCCATTGCCAAGTATACCCCATATGTAGCCGAAGCAAAGCACACATTAAACCGAGTTCGAACACTTTACATGAGTGCTGCTACCATCCCTAGCATTCTGCATTTTCAACCTGCTCTTGTTGCCTATCAATTAACACGTATTGAATCAGCTATTTTTATGGCCATTCCTTCTGGAGCTCTATTAACACATGCACCTAAATCACCTCATCCTCGTATCGTCGCCTCTTCTGATTTTTTTAATTATGTTACAAGGTGGATTGAACACTCGATTCTGTTGCCTCAAGAAGCATCTGTTCGCTCTCAACACATTAATCATTGGATAAAAATTGCTTGTAAATGTCAAGACTTGAACAACTATCAAACACTGAAAGCCATCGTTTCTGCCCTGGGTACGCCACCCGTACAGCGTCTTAAGCGTACTTGGGCTTACATTCCTAAAAAGAGTCTAGCTCGGTTAGATGCCATGAATGAACTTATGTCGGAAACCAATAATTATGGCAGATACCGCGAACACATGGGTATTGTATCCACCACTGTCTTGAATGGCAAGAGTGTTGATTCAATTCAATCAGAACATTTTAAGCGGCCTACTGTTCCTTTCTTGGGCACATTTATTCATGACATGACTTATCTTTTAGCTGCTGTCAATCAACAACCTAAGGACAAGGACCCGCGTATTCTCAAACTCTTAGACACACTCAAGAAGTTCCAATCTGTACCACCTTATGATCGAAGAGCAGTTCATGTCAGTAAGAAATCACAACCTTTAATGCGACCTTCTTTCTCTCAAGCCATTCATCGAAGTAAATCAAGCTTTGGTCGGTTGGGAGGTGCCATGGGCTTTGGTAACAGTAACACAGACAATACGACAAACGACTTGTCTAGTAACGGTGCTTATGATTCAACAGACGATTTTGATGCTGAAGAACAACAGAGCCTAGTAACTCAATACATTTTGATGCGTCCATGGGTCAATCAAACCATGGTAGATGAGCTTAGTATTTTGCGTGAACCACCTACAAACAACAAAGGCCCAGGTAGAACAAACAGCCTAACAAACTCCATGATGAGTAGCACAAATTCCTTAATGCTTCTGAATCAAAGTCCTACCACAACAAACAGTATTAATAGCGGCAGTAGTAGACCTACTAGCATGGATGATTATTATACAACTCGATCTTATATTTATGGAAGGGATTCAGCACAAACATCTATACCTTTGACTTCTTCTTCTACATTAGAAGATGAAGACGAAGACGAAGAAGTATCATCATCGCCGTCGAGTACTTCATATCCCGTCATTTCACCTCCACGAACAGAGGGCCAATATTTTTGGAGCGACCCTATTATCAGTCTGTACAACAAAGGTAACGCATAATCAATGTCAATATAGGTTACTTATTCATTAAATAGAAACAGCACCTCTTGTGCCTCCCCGACCAAATCCCTCTTTTAGACCGCAGCGTATGGCTTAAAGGATAGTTTGTAAATTTCGCTTGTAAATAAATCTAAGGTCTTGCATAAAAAAAAAGGATTTCGTATTACACATGTATTCGCAACGTCAATTTGGTTATCCGACTTAGCTGTTGACCACACGTGTGATGTTGCTGTTTTGAGCAAGATGATCTAAAGAAATTAGCTGCATAAAGCATGAAATAGTATAGACTAAATAATTATAGTTTACAACATGAATTTATTCTGAAAATATTACAATGCGAAAGTGAATAAATATATATGAACAATGATAAATCTATATATGTGCTTAGAAACCAGCCATAGCCAAGACAGCAACGGGAGCAGCTAAGGCAATACCAGAAATGAAGTTACGACCAGCTGCACTATTAACAGCACTGCTTGAACTAGGGTTGGCGCCAGCAGCAGATCCAGCAGCGGAAGTAGCAGAAGCGCCGACTGAAGAGGCAGTAGAGGCAGCACCAGTAGCGGCAGATCCGACAGCAGATGTGGCAGCACCAGCAGCAGAGGTAATGGCACTAACAGCTCCATCAGCAACAGAGGAGACAGCACTAGCAGCGGCTGTGGCAGCACCAACAGCAGAACCAGAAACAGAGTTTTCATTAGCTTGACGCTTAACAGGTGTGCCGTTGGAAGATTGGCTATCGGCACTGGAAGAAGTTTCAGTAGAGTTATCAGCACCAGTATCAGCAGAAGTAGAGTTATCTGTAGAAGCGGCAGTAGCGCCAGTAGAGTCAGCAGCATCGGTAGAGCCAGTAGAGTCAGCAGCATCGGTAGAGCCAGTAGCATCAGTAGAGTCAGTAGTGTCAGCAGCATCGGTAGAGCCAGTAGAGTCAGCAGCATCGGTAGAGCCAGTAGCATCAGTAGAGTCAGTAGTGTCTTCGGAACCAGTGACATCGGTAGCATCAGTAGCAGCAGTAGAGTCTCCGGCACTAGTAGTGCCATCAGCATCAGTGTTGTCAGTAGAATCAGTAGAGCCGGTTACGTTAGTAGAATCAGTAGATCCTTCAGCACCAGTAACATCGGTAGCGTTAGCACCAGTAGAGTCAGTTGAATTGTCGGTACCAGAAGCAGCATCAGTATCAATAGCAGCATTGGTGGTGGTTGTGCCTGCACTAGCATCACCAGAAGTATCGTTAGTGCTGTTGCTAGAGGCATCACCACCGTTGTTAGAAATGATTAAGCCACCAATATAAGCCATTTGACTAATATCTTTTCCGACAGCCAAAGCATAATCAGAGCCTTCAGTTACGTTTTGAGGAATTTTAACAGTAGTAGAGCCAGAAGAAGCATCAACATTTGATGCTAAGGCTTGAATCAAAGTAAGAGCACTAGGATCACCCTTCATCAAGTTAATCAAGAGCTTGTCAACACCTTGTTGTACGTTTTGCCAAGTAACAGTTTCGGAACCACCAATCTTCCAAGTAGTGCCTTGAATAGGTTGAGTGATAGAGACAGGACCAGTTGTAGAGCCACTTGATCCAGTACTGGCACCGCTTGAACCAGCATTAGCACCACCAGTGGCAGCAGTAGTAGTCGTAGAATCAGCGGAAGCTTGAGGAGCAGCAGAAACAAGAGTAGCAGCAGCAATGAGAAGAGAGAGGAAAGAGGTCTTCATTTTGATATTGTTTGATTGTAATGAAGAAGAAAACCTAACTACTGATTAACTTGTATTTATATCTTTTTTTTTTCAACATGATGGTACCATGTTATTAGTTCTTGACAGAATTTGCTGGCATAATTACATGATGTCAATGGTCTATAATTAGTGAACAATCTAAAGAGATCGGCCCCCACAACTTAAATTAGCGTCTTTGGGCTTAGGTAGATAACTTTCTGCTTTAGTCTATCTTTTCTGGCCAATGAAAAAAGATCGCCAAGGAAGAAATGAGTGATCGTCCTTACCGGATTAAAAGTCCAGAATTTTTATTCTTAGAAACATCGCATGCTAGACCTTTCAAGGAAAACAGTGGCTTAAAAATAGCAGAAATATTGCATAACGTTACTATAAATGGGTGATTGAAATAACAATCCAGCTATGTTTCTTGTTATCAAACTTTTAGTTTAGTGTCTCCCAAACAAGCCTATCCTATTATCCTACAGCCTTTTCTTGGCGCACCCTTCTTCTATTTAAGCCTAATAAAAGTACAATAGAAATTAGATTTAAGCCCTGTTTAACTTTTGTTCGGCTGGCAAAACAAAAACAGTTAACTTAATCAACCAAATGCATCTGTTTCTCGAGACCAAGATTCTTTTCCTTGATAGATATAGTTTTCTGAAAAAGCAATTCTTTGCCAATCATCTTGAAAGACTTGTTCTAAATAATATTACATAATAATATGTGAAATTTCTCAAAGCAATAATACGTAGACAATAGTTTATTTCATTAAGGTGAAATGAAACACTCCTGATAGAACTATCACCGCAAAGAGCAGCTGTTTGCGAACAATAGTAAAGCATATGTATTTAAGAAATGATCACTTGGCCAAAAGGAACAACATGAATTCTATTGATACAGAGCAATCGACTATTTAATATCACCAAATTTAAGGAACCATTTTAACATTGACACTACGCCTGATTTTAATCAGGGATGTAAGAAAATTACTCTTCCTTTTGTTGATCTAAATGTATTTCAGTTTTTTCTCTCTAGACACTATTTACACAATATAAAAAATAACTTCCTTTTTCTCTTTTTCTTTTGGGGCATATGAAAAAAACGCTATGCAATACATACTAAAATGACTACAAAATTATAAGCTGAAACGATTTACTGCGACATTAAGGTGTTAAGAAATATTTGCATCTAATCAGTCTTTATTTGTTTTTCTTTGTATATAAACAATCAGTCAATTTTCCCATCCTACATCATCTGGTGCCTTACAAAAAAGGAAGAAGATGGATAACTTTCTCAAATCAATGTACTACCGCCTTCAAGACATATGCGTTGTCAAAGTAGTATGTCAAACAATTCACAAAAAAAAAAGATGACACAATATTATTATATCGCTTACATATTAGAAAGAAAAAGGTATGATATTCATGTTCTAATTAGCTATTCTATATCTGCACAACAAAATTAAACAAGTGTGGGGAGATTTCATTCGAGTCCAGGTTCTTTCTTGTTGAGTATATAAACATGGCACTTTACCCCCTTTTTTCTTCTTTCTTTCGTCTCAATTCACTTTTTCTTACTTCAATTCAATGCATAACCAAGACTCATGCTCCAAACATAACAGTTTAAAGCCTCTTGATTTGTCCCATGGCCAATGGTAAGCAAAAAAAAAAAACTGTCTATACATATATATTAATTCTCGTCAAAGCACTTGGTGTGGTAAATACGGTCATAATCGCGTCAAATGTCCTTTATTAAGATAGAACTTTTCTTATTTTACTCTATTTTGCATTACAATAAACAATGATACCAGCTTCCCCCTTTTTTTTCATTTTCTTCAATGATACAATATGTCGTTTTTTTGAGTAACGAGTTTAAACAAGCATTGTTTTGTGTCACACTTCAAAGCACTATCCAATAGGATTATTTTACTTGCAGACAGTGAAAATTTCCGGATATTTAATTATGAGAAAAAAAAACTCTTTTTCCTTGTTTCTTCCTCTTGTTCCTAGAGAAAATGGCAGCGCAAGAAAACTACTTTATTGGTATTGATGTAGGGACAGGGTAAATACTGTTCTTTGTATTTTCAGCTGCTTGACAAAACATACTTAGTTCTGCTCGTGCAGCTATCATCGATATGCAAGGCCATCTTGTCAGTATAGATGTGCAGCCAATTTTATTACATAATCCCAAACATGATATTTATCAGCAATCTTCGGACAATATCTGGTTTAGTATTGTACGCTGTGTTCATACTATTATGGAGAAAACAAAACTTAAGTCGGATCAAATCAAAGGTATTGGTTTTGATGCTACTTGTTCCTTAGTTGTGTTGGATAAAAACGGTAGTCCTCAATCTGTGGATGAGTCGAGCCAATTCTCAAACAATGATTATAATATCATTTTATGGGCAGACCATCGAGCGATCAATCAAGCCAACCGCATCAATGCTACACATCACCCAGTATTGCGCTATGTAGGCGATACAATCAGTCCTGAGATGGAAACACCTAAGACATTGTGGCTGAAAGAGACTTTGCCTGCAGAGAAATGGGATCATATTGGTCATTTGATGGATCTACCTGACTTTCTGACTTGGCGTGCAACAGGATCAACCACCAGATCAACATGTTCATTGACATGCAAGTATTCCTATTTGCCCCGTTTAGTAGGCCAAGGATGGGAACCTAGCTTTTTTGAAGAGATTGGTTTGGGTTGCTTGATAGATGAAGAATTTTCTCGTATGGGAGGTCAAGAAACACTCGAAGCAGGTGATCCTGTAGGTTATGGATTGACAGCACAAGCAGCTGAGGAATTAGGCTTGTTACCCGGCACACCTGTTGGGTCTGCTATCATTGATGCCTATGCAGGTGCAATTGCCACATTAGGCGCAACAGCTAATGTTAAGGAAAAAGAAGCGATGCTTGCTGGACTCAAGGTGCATGGACCAAGTCGTTTAGCTATCATTAGTGGCACATCAAGCTGTCACATTACCATGTCTCCTGAACCCATTTTTGTACCTGGTGTTTGGGGTCCTTATCGATCTGTAATGGTGCCTGATATGTACTTTGCGGAAGGCGGCCAATCGTCCACTGGTCAATTAATTGACTTCATCGTCAATTCTCATCCTGCTTTGTTGGAGGCACAACAAAAAGCTCAAGAAGCTTCTCTCAATTTGCACGCTTTCTTAAGCCAGCATTTAGTGACGTTACAAAAGCAGCGCAAGCTTACCTACTTGGATAACCTTACACAGCACTTACATATCTATCCTGACTTTCATGGCAATCGATCCCCTCTAGCAGATCCATCCTTACGTGGTACAGTTGTGGGTATCTCGCTCGATAAAAGCATTGACGACTTAGCCTGTAAATATTTGGCTACATTACAAGCAATTGCATGTCAAACTCGACACATTATCGAGACATTGAATGCGCAAGGATACACTATTGATACATTGTGTATGTCAGGTGGTCTTTGTAAGAGTTCATTGTTTATGCAAATCTTGGTAGATGCTACTCAATGCCGCATCATTATGCCAGAGTCTATTGAAGGTGCTGTTGTAATCGGTGCCGGATTTCTAGGTGCCAAGGCTTCTGGCCTTATTTCCAACGATTTATGGAATATAATGGTGCAAATGGGGAAAGCAGGAACCACCGTGTTACCCAACAAGGATGAGAAAATCGAGCAGATTTATTCACGTCGCTATCAAGTATTTTTGGCCATGTTAGAAGACCAAAAAAAATATCGCAAGCTAATGGCGGAGTGTGAATAAAATTTTTTCGTTATCAGATTTTTGCTTGTTTGATACGCTGTCATTCTCCTTATCATTGTTTCATCTCTCTTTTTATTCAAAAGAACAAAAGCAAAGAAATTAATTAATTAAGATAGATAAGGCTTCATCTCTCATCTATAGTCATAATTGTACAGACTGGTATACAGAATATCTTGGATGTGATTAGATCAAGAAATCATCTTGTTGTTTTGTACAACT